GGTGTCGCACACACCTGTGAGGGGCTGTAGCCGGGCACAAGGTCTATACAAGCTTATATGCTCGTGTCCCACCACCAGGTAGGGCTGGACGATAAACCAAAAATTCACTCATACCGAAATTTACGACAACAACCATTGTCATTTTACCCATATTGGTTTATTCAGTGTCAAATAAATAAATAAATAAAAGTTGGTTTTGGATGTATGTAGGTAGGCTGTGGTCTCATGTCCCTTCAAGATGCTGTCCTACACCATAACAAAGTGGAAAAGACAGGTGAGGAGATGGAGGACGGTTCAAAAGTTGTAGCGACTGAAGTAGACAAAGTTAATGTGAGAGGGGGTGAGCAGCTTGTGGTGTAGTTATCGTCCATTTATCGTTATCGAGGTGAACTGCTCAATATATTGTGATATTAATTTGAGGCCATATCGTCCAGCCCTACCACCAGGGACGCAGACATGAAGGTCGCATACAGAGAGATTTCTCAGACAGGTCAAGCTGCACATCAGTAGGTTTGCAATAAGGACAAGCTTGCAGAAAACTGGACACGGAGAGTCTGGAAAATGTTTCTGCTTCAGTTGTTGATTTTCAATATCTAGGTTTCTGTTAATCGATCATTAAAAATAAGTATTTTCAAGCATATCAAGCTCAGAACAGACATTTACAGTATGCTGAATAAAACACTTTTTACAGCGAGTTTTCCTTGGAGAGTAAAGTTATGGTAACTACGGGTTGTTTTTGGAGATACTGAGAATATTCCTTTTTTTTTTTTAGTTTCAGGGATAAATCTCTGTGACTGGTTAAAAATCAAGTTTTTCAGACAGTTTAGAGGTTTTTTCTGTCCGGGATCGTGTGCGGTCTGCAGCCGTGAGAAAACTCTGCAGACTCCTGAGTAATTATTTCCACTTTTGCCCTTCCTCAGACCGTTTTCTTCTCGTCCTCAGACACACAAAGCTCCTTCAGTCAGGATACCTGAAGTCCCCCCCTCCTCCTCCTCCTGTCCCGGAGGTGTTTTACAGGATCTCTGCACGATGAATGGTTTGTTTCCGTCGTTCATCATTCACCCAGAGGAGCGAGAGGAGGACTGCCGAAAACCAGTGGGACCACAAATCTACGATTACATAAATCTGCAGGCGGGTTAATGGTGATGGACGTGAGCGTGGATCAGTCAGGATCAATCAGCAGGTTCAGGATCGATGACTTTCTGCTGCCTGAGACCAATATTTCACCCTGACTTTGCTATTTTACTGATTTTTAGTTTTAAGATGTTAAACTGTCAGTTAGACCTCAGCCTCATTTTTATCTCCTACTTTTTTCACAAATATACTTTATCTTAGAGTATTTTTTTGAACACTGAATTAAAGTTTAACGCTATGGTTCGTACCCACCGCACGCCTCAGGCTGAACTTCTGACCTTCTAAGAGTCAACACATAACCAGAGATATTACACCTAAAGCTCCAAACAAACACTTAGTCCAAGTGTGTCAGGTTTCAGAGACCTTCATCTCCTCCATCTGGTCCCACAGTGTTGAGAGGATGATGAAGTGCAGGGTGGACAGTCTCTAACCTCTCATCCTTTACGTCTCTAAGGAACAGTGGAGTCCATTGAGCAGAGAGGCGGCCATGTTTTTATCGTCTGCAGGGACTTGATGAAAAGGCGAGAAGCTGTTTGTCAAAGTCCGTCTATTGTTCGAACCTCGGGTCACTGAGACGGACCCTGACTTTACCCTGCAGGAGTCAACGTCACGATGGTGATAATGAAAACCAGCAGGTTCGACTAAAAGAGTTTAAACTGTTTTAAATCAAAATGATGTAGATTTGGTTTATTCTAGGAAGCTGTTTGTCCGGATAATCCTCAAGTGTGGATGTAAACAGACCTGAGTCACAGAAAATAGCCCACTTTACAAGTTTTGCCATATTTTTCATTTAGGGTTACATTTTTGTGTTTTCTTAAATACTTTTTTTCAAGTTTTTTACTGTTTCATTGATATTTTAGTTTTTAAAACCATTTTATGGTTCTTTTAATATTTTTATAAATATTTTAATACATAATTCTACATTTTTTATATTTATTTCAAAAAATGTGTTTTGATTTTTAAAGTTCTGAGAAATATTTTCTTTTTTAATTTTTTTTTGTATTTTAGTGTTTTATTTTATATAATGAAGTTTTTTTTTAAACACTTTTGTAAATTTTTTTGGTATTTTAGTGTTTCATTTCATATTATCGAGTATTTTTTTTAACACTTTTGTGAATTATTTTTGTGTTTCATCAGGTGTTTTCCTTAAACCTGGTTAAATAGTTTTGCATTTATGCCCAAGTTTCTTTGGGTTTCAATGAATTATTGTCCTTCCTTGATCATTAAATATTGGCGTTTTCGACCTTTAGGCCACCGTAGTTAAAGTAAACTTTTCTGATCTTGTCTAAACTCTGGATTCCACTGATTTGGCTGAAGGAAATTTAATATCTAATAAGTCTGTTTGAGGTCCTCACAGAGTCCTCCACAGAGGCTTCATGGACCACATTAAGCGTCTCTTTCTGTCTCCACGATCTGGTTTATTTTCTCCAAACTACAGCAGCTCTGTCTTTCTTCTCTTCATGGAAACTGTCCTCCACAAATTAGCTATCCAAACATCTCTTCCAAAACGGACAAATTGAATAATTTGACCCAATTAGCAGAACAAACAGACACTTTCAGGCATTTTAATGGGATTAACGAGCTGCACTTCAGCGTTTCCGTCTCTAAACCAACATCCTCCGCCGTAAGGAGGCCGCTCTGATTAACGGCTAACACACACACTCACGCTGAGACACGAAGGGGGACACGTCCAAAAACAACCGGACAGAGTCTGAAGAGAGTCCTGGACAACAACACGGAGGTTTCCAGGCCACCAAGGAAGAAGAAGCTGCAGCAGGCGGCAGGTCAGTCCGTCTGTGGAGGAAATACACCTGCAGATGACAGAAAGGAAAGAGATCTTTTGATTCACAGCTAATTTAAGAAAAATACTTATTCTCTGGTCTGTGTTTGAATGATCTCAATTACTTTAACACTCTGCTTAAAAAACAAACAGCCTAATTCAACATCTTGGCTCTGTAGTAGAAGAGTCCTGCTGCTAAACTGGCCTGTCTGCAGTCCTGACAGGGCAAAGGAGACCTCATCCCTCCTTTTTCTTTCCCAGGTTGGTCCCAGAAAGCTGTGGAGAGAGACTCATGAGTAGATATAGGGTATTTTCTGGCCTTAGGATAACCCAGGAGGATCTGGAGTGTGTTTATATGAGGAGTAATGACTGCACCGCCTTGTCCTTACTGCCTTAAAGGAGCACAAAGTCGTTCAGATCTGCACAGATTTGCTCCGTGTTCACTGGGCATCAGAAAAGGCTTTACCCCCCGTGCGCGTGTGTGCGTGTTTCCATCTCTTTATAAAAGCGGCCTGTGGTGGTTCACGCTGCTCCTCTTTAAAAGCTGTTGAGGGTTTGTTGATCTTTGTGATTACATGTCTTCTTGGCCGCTGCAGGCCGAGGATTCGTGGGAGGTTCGCAGAAACGTTAATGCGAGGGGAGAGTGTTTGGCATTTAGACGGAGCTTTTAGCACATTCCTCTGCTGCAGAACGTGGACGTGGTCTGGGTTCAGTCCTGGTCCGTCCCTGCTCGGGAGAAAACCTGGGCAAACTTAAAGCGAGTCAATCAAAAGCGTGAGTCTGAGTCAGCAGGTTGCGGATCCTGAAATGCTCCTGATAGCTGAGTGAGCGTTTACTCCTCACGTGGAGAAAGAAAGGTGGGTCTGTGTTTGAAACCTGCGCTGTCTTTTTCCTCTGGAGGGGAACCGAGAAAATCCGGACCTCCAGAAAAAGGTACAGGAATGATCTAAGACATCCAGGCGATGATTGTGAGATGTTTAAGGCTTAACAAACACAACTTTTATTTTGATGAATGAGTTCAGTAGAAAGTTCACTCTTTAGTTTTTAAACCCTGGTCTTGTTTTCCAACTTTAAAGTCTAAATCAGTGGTTCTCAACTTGTAGGTCCCGACCATAGACTGGATATAGAATGGACGCCGTCTGCCTCCTTGCTGGGTGAAGCCACTCCAAGAACAGCAGCCTCTGGTGACGGGCTGCAGTATAGGTCATAAATCCCGCCTCCTCCAGCAATCCCTATGGAGCTGTGGACAAACTTTAGAAACTTATTACACAGAACATACATTTTTCTCCCCCCTGGTTGCAATGTTGACATGTAGTTATTGTAAGACTGGTTTGTGCCCAAGTCCTAATTTTTCTGTACAGCTCTGTTTTTAAAAGTTATCAGGGGGTTCATGTTTTATATAATTGACACTTGATACAGCCTATGGGCGTACAAAGATTGCATAGCTAACCGGGGGGATACACTGTTTGAGCCGAGCGTCATCACAGCGACTCTCCAAATGCGTACAACGCTACTAAGCAATGTTGGTTTCAGGAAATGGAGAGAAAACGCGGAATTACAGAGAGCTTTTCGGCTTCAAATCCGTATGCTGGCAGAACCAAGTTGTCCATAGTATATACAGTCTATGGTCCCGACCCAAAAGTGGGTCGCGGACATGTTCTGGATGGGTCGAGAACAGCTGGTCAAAAAAGTCAATATTTAATCCGCATCTGATGTTTGCAATGTCTTTTATTTTGAAAAATAGTTTATTTTGAAAGGTTGTTAAGTCGTGGTCCTCCTCGGTTTCTTATCAATGTGGCCTGAATGTAGTAAAAATACATGTTTTGGGGGGGCTCTTTATTTAGATATTTTAGATGTATTAGATATTTTCTGTATAAGCAACTTCAGTTGTTGTCGTCCTCAGTTCATGTGCTCTGAAATGCACTTTACTCAATAAAATGGGTGTATTTTTGTTAAAGATTAGAGTTTCTAAAGGTTTTTTTTTCTTTAAAAAATAAATTTGCTTGGTTTGAATTTTATAAAAGTGGGTCATGTCTTAAGGACCATGGGAAAATGTGGGTCCTAGAGTGAGACCAGTTGAGGTCTCTCAGGGTCTGCAGTCGAGTTCTTCATCCTGCAGCAGGTAAACAGGCGGTAATGTCTCCAACATCATCCTTGATGAATCAAAGTGTCTCTCAAAGTTGAGAGACTGTTTGTGTCTCTGTCTTTCTGTCTCCACACAGAGGGGAGTCCTGACTGCAGGACCTGACCACAGTCTGGTCTCACTCCCTGCCAGGTTTACTGTTCTGTGGCCGGGGACGATGGCTCGAGGCGGTCCCGAGGCTTTGTGGATCCACGGTCGTCCAAGAACGCTCAGCGGGCACTGAGCGGCAAAACCTCAAACCACAAAGTCCACAGAGGGAAAGACGGAGAGTGTCGGGGATTTAGAGAGCGGCTGCAGGTGAAGAGGACGACAAGGGTGGAGAGGAACGAGGAGGGGCGCCGCGGGGAGAGTTGTTCTAAACCCTGCCTTGAAATTGTTGTGGTGTTGAAGTGGAGACTGACTGTTGACTTGTGTGACCACCGTTGATCCTGATTACATAAATCTGAAATCAGGGGGAACCAGAACCTCAACCAGAACATAATTCACCATGAATCTGCAAACAGAGCTGGACTCAGATCTCTATGAAATCTTGGTTACTTTGGCGGGGTCTTCTCAACACCGCAGCACATGGTGGTAGCCTTTTCTATTTTGCCTAAATGATGTGTTTGCACCACAAAAATAAAGAAAGTTTATGTGTGGAGCTGTTAGCCAGCCTGTACATCATCTCCTATGTTTCATTTACAGCAGGAACTCTTCAGCATTTCAAACATTTATGTCTCTAGTTATTTTTAACAGCCACTCAGTGTTTTTTGGTGGTTCTGCGAAGGCAATGAGCTCCACTGGGAAGAACTTAAAATTTAACTATGTCGAGAATAAAAAGTGTCTCTAAACAGCGTTTTAATTCTCACAGTAAAACTCTGCTCTACATACTGAGCGTCTTTGTATGGAGCTGATTCGGAGGCTGTAACCTGTTTCCTGTCAGTGTGCTCTTTAAAGAGCGGCTCGCAAATAATGGAAAAGTTTGAGCTAAGCGAGCGCTAATAGTCTGATCCGGCTCGTAAACATGCGACTGTATATTAGAATTTAATCAAGCATCAGAATCTGCGGTTTGAGCTCCATTTTTCTGCTGTTTGTGTTGGAGCGAGCGGCTCGTACCGTCAGCTCAGACGTCTTTTTTCTCATGTTTGTAATGATTTTACATGTTTACGACCGTGACTCACTGAGAAGAAGGTTTTCCAGCTCTGAGTGAGGTCTCTCTCCGCAGCCACCCACTGCTCCATCTCCTCCACACACACCCAGATCACTCCCATCACACACCCACTGCACCTCCTTCTCCTCCTGATCAGGAGCCAGGCTGCCTTTTCATAATGATCTCCTACTTTCTGACTGAAGCTGCAATTATAAAACATGCTGGCCCACTGGGACTCAGGCCAGCACATAACTGTATTTATTTTCTCTCCAGCTTTTATGCAGGTTTATGAAAAACATCTGTTTTTAAACAAGAGGCTGCAGACATGCTCGCAGCTTTACGAGGCAGTACGAGAGCCGGGGTCGTCCCCGCTTTATGAGGACCCTCTGTTTAATAACTGCATTAGAGCCTTGTTCAGTTTCGGCTGCAAAAGAAGGGAGTCTTAAGGTTTTAATGTAAATAGGTAAAAACCTTCATTCTGTAGGCCATTAAAACCAAACTGTAATCTCTCAACGGTGAGCTGCAAAGAGTCAGCAGAACAACACAGAAGAGTGTCGTCGTCTGCATAAAGATAAATACGTCTTAGATCTAGAAGATAAAGTATTAATATAGAAAGTGAATAAAAACAAGGGGCCCAGCCCTGATCCTTGAGGAACACCCTTCGTTAATGATCGAAGCTCTAATTGAATATTGAAAAAAATTACTATCAATTTGGTCACTTTGAAGGTGTCAATGATTAAAGTCAGGAAAACGGTACTACCTGAAGCATGGCTTTCAAAAAAGTTAAACAACAGTTAGACTTGAGTTTGGGGCAGTAATTTTAAAATACTGTAGCAAATAAGAAAACACGGGTCATTTGACACTCAGTTAAAATAATGCAGAGGACTTAAACCTTCAAAATGTGTGATATGGAGACAGGAAGTAACGGAACATGGGAACTAATCACGAACACAGTCATTAGATGAAGTTGTTTTTTAATCTGTCACACAAATTTTGTTTGTTTTGTTACTGATGAAATTCACTTTCTGTTGAGGTGTATTGAGCCTCTGAGGCCACTGTAGATTTGACTTTTTTTGGAAATCTAAGCCTCAAAACTCACTTCAAAAACAACTGGAGCTGAGGTGCCAAATGTTAAAGACAATTTAATCAGATGCTCTACGTCAGTGGTTCTCAAGTCCAGTCCTCGAGGCCCACTGCACCAACACACCTGATTCAAATGATCGGCTCGTTATTAAGCCATTTCAGAGCTTGATAACGAGCTGATCATTTGAATCAGGTGTGTTGGAGCAGGGAAACATCAACATCTGCTCTACGTTTTGGTACAGACAGCCGGCTGCTGAACCAAAACTACAACTTAATCATGACTTTATTCTCAGAACAGAATTTTATGTTCCAAGAAAGTTCCAAGAAAGTCTTTTCCTGTTGGGTGTTTTTATCGGTCCATTTTTTGTAGGAAATCTTAAATTTTCTTGTGTCTTCAGGTTGCTGTTATTTTCTGGTCTCACACCTTTTCCCCTCACAGCAAATACAAGAAATCACATGGAAATAATTTTAATGTTGATGCTGGTGATCTCATTTGATTTTATAGATCATTATGAAGCATCACTAATAATTTCAATGTTTAATAACAGTTTTAAAATCTCCTCACAGGAGCTTTAAATTATTGAATTATTCTTTCATGTTCTGAAGGTGCAAAATAAACTCAGATCACTAGTGCAGACCTTTATGATCAGCTGTTTTAGCTTCATATATTTGAGAACACTGCCATCATGTGGACAAAGAGTACAACAGCAGAAAGCAGCATTTTTCAGGGGTCAAAGGTCACTGTCTCAAAACGATGAATCACATAAACAAAAAAATTTTTCATTCACATTGAACTGCTGATAATCAAGATTTTGATTCAGGCTTTAGTTAAAAAAAAATGATAAATGACCCTAAAACTCACTAAAGTCGGTGATAGATGTTGATGGGTGGATTTTATCGCTGCATTAATGTGTTAGGAGTTTATTGGACCTGAGGAGGATATTAATTTTGATATCAGATTTTAGTTTTTTGACGGACAAAATAAAAACCTGACAGGATTTTTCAGTTTGATTATTTTTATTTTTTCCCGCACTAAATGAAAAACTGTGTTTAGTAGAAGGTGTTTGGTCTCTTGGTGGTGAAGCGGGGTTTGTGCTGGCGACGCAGGACCCTGTGGGGCAGAGGGAACTTGATCTTGGAGTCCTGCAGGAGCATCAGAAAAAACAGATAATGTTCAGAAACAGGAAATAAAACCAGGATTTTTATTTAAACAAGCAGGTTTTAAAGTTCTCTGTCGCCAGTTTCTAAACCGCCAGGTTTAAAGATGGAAGCTAGAAATCTGGAAGAGGAATCTGGCTGTTTGTCTGGCGGATTTTTAAACTGGAGCTGACCAACGAGGGGCCAGTCCAGAGAGAGACCCGCTGACACAAACACATCCCATTTATTTAAAAGAAAACGAAAGAAACATATACTGACGTGGAACTGCTTGATGGCGGGTCTGCGACACTTATTGGCGGCGATCACCTGCACCTTCATGATCTGGATGGAGTGAGCACGAGCGCGATGGCGAGCTCCCATATCACGATCTTAAAAGACCAGACAAACAATTGAACATCAGCTGAAGGGCATTTCTTCATCTCCAAAACATCTTCAAAAGAACTTTCCTGTAGCTCAACAACTCAGCTAAACACCAGCAGGACCTCCAATAAAGTCCTTCAGTTCATTCATAATCTGGTCAAAAATCATCAGACAACAGTGTCAAATCCAGAGATCTGATTTATTCATAACATTCAGAGAGAAATATGAAAATGGAGCCTCAAAAGTTGGTTTCTCTCAGGTAAAACAGCCGAAACATTAATCCCATAATAACTTGACATGACTGTTATTTTCATTCATCTTTATACGCCACATGAGTAAATCTTTAAAGTGTGTGTGAACTCACAGCACTGGGTCACAGCTCCAGAGGTGGTCAGGTCCCTGTACTCTCTGTACATGTTGTGGGTGCCAGAACGGGAATCGTAACGCAGCCAGATACCAAAGTTCTTCACCTTCAGGGGGGTCTTCTCGTGGACCTGAATCACAACAACACAGTGTTACTTATTTCCCTACGTATACTAAGATTTATTCTTTTAAAAATGTAGCGAGAAAAATATTTACAACAGAAAGAAAACAACGAATAAAAGTGTGAATAACTGCTGAAAATAAGTCAAAATCACATCAAACAGAACTTCCTCACAGAATACAAAATAAACACAAACCAGAAACAGGTTTAGACTCGATTTGCTGTCATTTAGGGTGAAAATGTGTCATGTGAGGGCGCTCTCTAGTTTAAACACTCACTGGCACATCGATATGACACAGTTTGGGAAGCAATGTGTAAGTATACAGGTGTAATGATGCAAGACTGTTTCCAGCACATCAGCAGAACAAAAGCGTCTTCAAATCAAATCATTCGGCAAAGAAAATGACGACATTAAATCATGAATGAGCTATAGATTCGATAATTTAGATCATTCTTAATTTGAGAAAATTTTAAAAACTGTAGCTCATCTCAAAACTATGTGCTTATTGTCACTTGTTAAAAGAAGAACACAGGATTAATTTGGGTGTGAGTTGGTATGAAAAAACAGCTGACTTCATCAGCAGTCAAAAAGTTCTGTGAAAAACTTTTTCCAAAATGTAAGTAAAGCAAAATATAGCAAAGGTTGAGTGAAAACTTTGCATGGTCAAATTGGCATAATGTATTTTAAATGAGTATGCACAGGAAAGGACATCCAGCAGGAAGCAGGGGACCAATAGATCACATTTCAAGCTCATTAAATGGAAATTCAGGCCTCAAAAATGATCACGAGCCTCAAACCAATAAGAAATAAAAGCTGAAAAATAAGATTTAAAATGCCAGCACTCTGTCCTGAAAGAAGAAGCTTATTTAACTTTGGTCCTGTGGAAACTTGAAGAGCTTCGTGAAGATCAGCAAACACTGAAGTACACACTGTGAGGCGTTCAAAGACCTGTGGACCCTTGAATTCACTTTCAAAGACACTGCAGCGTCAGAGAAAGGCGACAAGGATCAGTTTTCTGTTTGCACTCCAGACAAAATCACACCACGGACAGGTGTGAGCTTTGGGTTTGGGTGCACATCCAGTGTTTTTAATAACTCCACTCTGTTTCAGCTAAATGTGTGGAGAGAGGACCTGCTGTGCACAACTAGAGGATCTTAAATCTGAAACCTTTATATAGAGTCCAGGACTTCTGGAGGATCATTAAGAACCTGATGTTGTTTGATGTCTCTTCATTTGGATAATGTTGATTTTATGTGACAATGGGTCAGAAGAACAGCTAAACCACCTGACGGAACCAAAAATAACCCCTGCAGATCCAGAGACCCTTCAGAGACATACCAGGCCACAGTAGACGGTCTCTCCGGACGCCTTCTTCATCTTCCTCAGCTGGGAGACGAAGTACCAGAAGCGGGACTTGGCCACGACATGGTTCGGGGCGAAGATCCTCATCCGGTAGAGAGGGGGGGAGGGGTTCTTGGCAGAGGGCAGCAGACGCCCAATGACTTTGTATTCCCGAAGCTGTGAATCAGAAACAGTTTGATCAATTAGATTAAAAGGACTTAACCCACTTTTGCGATGCACATGACGAGGCGTTCAAAGACCTGTGGACCCTTGAATTCACTTTCAAAGGCACTGCAGCATCAGAGAAAGGCGACAAGGATCAGTTTTCTGTTTGCACTCCAGACAAAATCACACCATGGACAGGTGTGAGCTTTGGGTTTGGGTGCAGGAAAACCAGAATACAGACCTTTGTGGTCCACTTAGAAGTTGATATCACTTATTGAAAGTAAAATACATCAACATTTGTGGTGCTATATATTTGAATTAAATCAACACAGGTGCACCATTTTCCTTCTTTTACAGGTTACCAATAGGTAAATTTTGACAGATAACTTGGTAAGACAAGAAGAGAAAGAAACCAAGTCGTGTAAATTAAAATGCAAAAGTCACAGCACAACACATTTTCATTCGCATTTAGACGATAATCTGCAGGTCCTCTTACGAAATAACCAAATAAATCACAGAAACGGGACACTACAGATCTGAAATAATAAACTGACTTTTAAAACAATCCATTTATTTTTACCTAACTTGTGTAAAACTAGTCTAGATGTGAGCTAAATGGGCTCATTAACACCAGTTAGCTCTCTGGAGGCTACACGGGCTATCAGCTTTTGACAGGATGCAACAAAGAGTGACAGTTTGGCGCAGATTATTTCACACTGAACTCTTTTGCTCAGAGAAAATGAGTCGTTTCTGAGACTTTGTTTCTGTCTTGTTGTTCACGGCAGTAACTCTCACAGACACCATCACACCGCCGTCCACATGGTAGTTTCAGCGGACGCCATGTTGGAGCCGCGACAGCACCGAGAAGAAGAATAGCGACATTTTTGCCTCTAAAAGGACTTGGAGAGCACTTAATGATACCTATCGGGTAAACACACCGTTATATATCTATATCTGCTCATATAACGTAGCTGTGGTGCTTATTTATCGGTAAATTAAAGGTTTTACATACTGTGCCGGACGCCTTCATGGTGTCTCGCTCACTGCCACAGAAAAAGAGGAAGCAGCAGGGCGGAGCTTTCAGACGTCAAATGCTCGGCCGGCCAAGAGGGGCGGGACTTCCGGGGAGATACAGGGCCGTTAGAAAGGGCTTAAGAGATACATCCATAGACATATATAAGCAAGGTGTTTATATATATATATATATATGACAGAACACGAAATAATTGAACACCTATCCTAATATAGGGATTAATGATTCTCTGTTTAACAAATTTCAAATGTTAATCTATATGAATGGTCTGTTAAAAAAGGTATCCAAAATGGTAAACATTATTTTCATTATGGGAAAATATCATGTCCTACACAAGAATGAATGGAATAACAGCAAACCCACCATAGATTGTTTTAAGAATTAAATTAAAAACTATACAACATCCCTTAGGGTGTTTGTCAGAGGAAAATTAGTCTATAAATGAACTGTATGATCAGACAATGTCAAAGTCTCTTGCTCTTTAAAATTTAATCTTATTTATTTAACACGCCTTAAGCACTTTTTTGTTGAAATGGTACCCCCTGTTAATATTTTTATTTTATTTTATAATTATTTTATATTTTTTTACCTAGATAGATTTGGACCCTATGGCGTTATATTGTTCTTTGTTTTGTGTTTTGATGTAATTCCTGACATGTCAATAAAGTCTGGGGGAAAAAAAGATAGTTATAATGAAAAAAAATCAATAAATAGGTAGCTATCTTTAGATTTAAATACGGGAATTGGTCTAAATTATATTGGCCTCGTAAATTAATGATATTTAAAAACATTTATTAATCACACGGTCAGCAATATTGTCTCTGATCTCTCTAAATAACGAACTAACTAACTTACCAAATAAATCTTTCTAAAATCTCCTGGTAGAGTTCAGGCTGTGTTGAACCTGGACTTGAAGAAACGCAGTATTTTACTGAATATGTTCTTTCAATGGTTATTTTGCAGGTGTCAGAGGATTGCAATAGCAGAAAAGGTCATTACTACTAAGTAAAATACTCAAAATCTGTAGTTAAGTACAGCACATGGACAGAGTTAATGAGTCAAACCTATCATCTGCACCAGTGATGTACCCATCTCTTTTTCCCTCAAACTTTATTGGAATAACAATATGTTGTACATTTCCATTTGAAATGAAATACATAACAATTTTCAAAGAACTCATCTGAGGAAATAACTGTCTGCACTCAAAACAGCACAAACACAAAACAAGTCTATGTAGATAGATAGATAGATAGATAGATAGATAGATAGATAGATAGATAGATAGATAGATAGATAGATAGATAGATAGATAGATAGATAGATAGATAAAGTGGATTTGTGTATGTGGTATTAAGCGAGTAGAAATAATAAATCTCAAATGTTGCACAGACATCTCCCAAGTTTGCGTCATGGTTTGTCTATCATTCTGAAGCCAACTTTATAGTTTAAAATAGCATTTAACAACCACGTAATTTGTTTTATTTTTACCTAAGTAACACGCATTTGATATGTAGTTGCTGTGTCATTTAAAGATGAAAATATTTATTCTATTTTTAATGCTTTTTATGAATATTATATGTCTTAACCGCCCATTCATAAAAGTATAACTTCCTGTGTGAGTGACCCGGATGTTAACGGACTGGACACGCCGCACCGCCGCCGCTGCTCTGTCGTGTGTCGGTGAGTCGAACCGACATGCTGCTGCCCCGTTTCTGCTGAATTCTCTGCAGCTCCGCGATGAGGTGACGGGAGGGGAGAAACGATTTGACGGATTGTTTATTTTCACTAAGGTGAGGCTTTCATGTTTATATCGACTCTTTTTTACCTCTCGTGGGCAGATTTTTAACGGCTAACGATGATTTTCACAGCGATGATGTGATTGAGCGAAACATCGTCCGAGCCGCGACAAAAATGAACAAAAAAACCTCCGAACTGCCTTTACTTCATCTCTGATAGTATAAATCACCACACTTGAAAGCTTCCCGGTGATGACTGCGGTTTTATGCGGGGTTTCGGTGTCAGGATGGCCCTGGAAGTAGCCGGCTAAAGCTAGTTGGAGTTAGCGGCAGTCAGCTCCTCTGAATGTGGGTGAAGTTGTTAGCCTGTTAGCACCGCAGTGACAACTTTCTGAGGAGTGGCCCAGCCCTGCTGATCGTCCCCCCACACCAAACCGATCACCAACAGATCTCTTATCATCACATTTATCCTCTAATGTGTTTATTATGTGTTTTTTCAGCGTGTTGATGGTGTTATAAACAGATCAGGGTGACTGGGAGTGTTGACGCTGTGTTGCATCATGTCCACAATACTGATGACTGAGCTGTCACTCTGTGTTGTTCATCCTCTTCAGCCCATATCAATACAGAATCACTCTTAGCATTAGCTGTCAGCCTGGACTAGTCACATCTGAGGTATTTGAGGCATCCATCAACACAGACCTGAGCTGATTCTCACACACACCTGGATCAGCTTTGTCATGATCAGCAGCCTGCCATGTGATCATTGACTATCTGTAAGTAGGGCTGGGCGATATGAGAAAAGTTTATCACGATATATCTTTTTCATATCAGTCGATATTAAAGGGATATTCAGGCGTAAAATTAATTTAGAGTCAAATACACCGTAACACAGAGTTAGACACCCCGTCGAGAGATGAATGCTGCTGACCGCTTGCTTTCCTAGCGCTCAACCAAAACGCCACTCTATAGCCACAAATAATGTACATATAGGGTCCTAGCCATAGTAACATCTTTTCAGCTCTGCCTAATTTCTTTAGCAAAGAGACTAAATACAACTCACCTACTCTCTTCCAGCTGCCGCTTGTTTGTATGGAGACCTCCGGGCGAGTCCATCGACTGCGGTGGGGTGCTGCAGCTCAAGGAAGAACATTTATGATTATTACTTTATCATTTCCTTGAAGTAATAATCACCATATTAATCATTTTGCACTGCAGACGCGGTAGTTCTTCTGCCTTAGCCTCTCGGTCTGATTGCATTTCTGTGAAGAAATTATCAGAAATGTTCTTCCTTGAGCTGTGGCACCCCACCGCAGTCGATGGACTCGTTTTGGTTGAGCGCGTAACTCTCTGTATTGCTATGCTGCGGTTGCTACTAAAGTTGGTATAACTAGAGAAGCAAGCAGTCGGCAACAATCTCTCAAGGGGGTGTCGTGTGCTTGACCCTAAATTAATTTTACGTTGGAGTATCCCTGTAATATATATTACGATATAAGAAATGAAATTTAACCCTGCTTATTGGTAGCATGTCTTTTTTGTCTGTCTATCATGTCAAGATAATCCTTTATTAGATCATGATCAGGGAAAAATCCTGCTCAGTCTATGACAGCAGACCTGAGTGATCAGATTTAGATGATCAATAAGATAAAAAACTAGGCTGATCTGATAAAATCGTGCACATCTATCACAGCCACGTTAGCAGCCTGCCATGTTTTCACACACACAAACACAGTAGATTCACGCAGGTAAACATGTTGTCTCTTATTTTCAGTTTTGAAACCTTTTTCACAAACTGAGTAAAAACTCAACTACAGTCCCCTTCAGGGGGGAAGGAGAGAAATGTGAAAAATGTGTCCGTGTTGAGCAACTTTGAGAAAGTATCAGAATCACAAATGTATTTCTGCATGAACTATTCTTTTTTTTTTTTAGTTATGTTTTTGGGCATTTTTGCTTTTTATAAGAGAGACAGGAAATGTGGCGAGTAGAGAGCGGGAGAAGACTTGCAGCGAATGGTTGTGGCCAGGAAATGAACCAGCCGCCGCTGCCACTAGGACTATACAGCCTCTGTGCATAGGGAACATAGACTGGTAGGGCATCAGTGCCCCTGCATGAACTATATTGTGTCAGTCAATCAGCCTTTATAAAAGACTCAGTATGAGACGTAACAAGAACAAGAGCTGACAAAACTGGGGAAACACTAGAGGCGATTCTAGAAGACTCAGATCTTGTTTTATGTCTTTTTCCGATACAAATAGGTTGTCACAGCAAGAGTAACGGGGTCAGTGCGACTACAGGAAAGACTTGATAATGAAAATCAAAGAATTTATACGTTGGTATCAGTAATAATAAGTAATAAATAAGTTTGAAAATATTAGTGCATCAGATAATTTTCTGTCTAAATGGATTTTTGGAGCCCTCTCTGACTTGGATAAAACAAAAGTCTCTCTCTCATGCGGCTGATTTGGTGTTTTCATGATTGCTATCACAGCGGTGATGCTGGAATTGAACACCCCTGGTTTATTTCACCTCCTCAGATGAGATTAATCTGCCCGCGGCCTGCAGCAGAAAGGAGTGAACCTGCCTTGGAAGAAAGCTAACCCACGAATGGCCTGCCAGTCTGTCGCTGCAGTCATGGACGAGCAGGCCCTGCTGGGGCTCAACCCGAACGCCGATGCCCGCTACAGGCAGAGGGTAACACATACAGCCATTATAATCACAGCACACTCAGTTAAAGCTGTTAATTTTTATATACTTTTGAAAACCATGTGCTTGAGATGATACAGTCACAGCTGTTGGTGTTTAAGAGCATCTTAGCTTGTGGAAAGAGGGATTTACTGTCATATTGCAAACAGAAACTGCAGAGAATGAAAGTGAGAAAGCAGCAGTGGTCGAGTCACATAGAGAGACAGTGAAGAGAGCGAGAGCTGCTGATGAAATCAAAGCAGAGAAACAAAAGAAAAAGACGTAATTATCAGACAGATTCACTTGAGTTAGGGCTCCTAAGAACTGACGGCTACTGTTGTATTTTTAAACAGTCGTTATGGCTAATTTAAGTGTGATTTGTAATGTATAGGTGTAATAACCTGTGGTATTTCTGCGTGTGTGTGTGTGTGTGTGTGTGTGATGTAGGCTATGGCATATTTTGAGCAACTGAAGGAGTCTCAAGATGCCTGGGAGGTTTGTGCTGAGGCGCTCGCTAAAGGGATTTACAAGTGAGTCTCGCACACTTCCAGCTTTACAGACGTTTAGAGTGATTTCATTTTTGATTTCTCTTCAGTTTGCTTTAGACGTTCAGTCTCTGTTTTCTGTTTCAGTGACGACCACGTGAAGTTCTTCTGCTTCCAAGTTTTGGAGCATCAGATAAAGTTCAGGTGAGGAGGAGGAGGATCTGATTTGATATGTCTGATGTTTTTACTATGTGTTGATCTCACCCTGCGTGTGTCTGTGTGTGTGCAGACATGCCGGTCTAAGCGGGGTTCAACAGCAGCTCATCAGAGAGACGCTGATGAAGTGGCTCCAGTCTCAGGTAAAAAAACGAGGATGATACGATGTGGGTTTAAGGTGCTTCAGTTTAACAAACCGCTGACGGGTTTTTTCACCCTCCTCCTCGTCTGCAGCTGATGAACGCTCACCCTGAGAAGCCCTTCATCAGGAACAAAGCGGCTCAGGTGTTCGCCCTCACCTTCGTCATGGAGTACCTGACTCTGTGGCCCAAGTTCTTCTTCGACATCCTGTCTCTGGTGGGTCTAAACCCGCACGGCGTCGACATCTACCTGAGGACACTAATGGCCATCGATGCCGAGGTGGTGGACAGGGACATCCTGCACTCGCCTGAGGTCAGACAAGCTCCTCCCACTTATTTTTTTAATAAATTTGAGGGATAATCTGGTTGATCGTGTTCGTTTCTTTCCACCAGGAGACTCGTAGAAACACTCTCATCAAAGACGGCATGCGGGAACAGTGCATCCCTCACTTGGTGGAGTCCTGGTTTCAGATCCTGCAGACGTACCAGCAGTCCCACCCGGAGCTCACCTGTCAGTGTCTGGAGGTGGTGGGGGCTTACGTGAGCTGGATCGACCTAAACCTCATCGCCAACGACAGGTAAGTCACCACACACCTGAGCCCTGAAGATCTCTGACTTAGCTGGAGCCCAAATCTGCATAGATAAAGTTTGGAGTGAAGAAAGTTGGTTAAAGGAAGTTGTGCAACAAGTTTAATGAGAAGTTGTGCAACAGCGCTGCATGAAGGAAGCTCCTAAAACAAATCAAGTCTTTGACAATCATCTCTGCAGGCTGTGTGAGAGAAGAACCAGCAGGAAGGAACAAAAGCTCTTTAAGAGTTTCCAGTTTTACCCTCACAGTGTGACTCGCTCACACTCGCTGATTTTCTGGTATTTCTGTCGTTTTTGTTTTCAGGTTTGTGAACCTGCTGCTCAGTCAGATGTCGATGGAGGAGCTCAGAGAGGAGGCCTGCGACTGCCTGTTTGAAATAGTCAATAAAGGAATGGACCCCATCGACAAAACGAAGCTGGTGGAGTCTCTGTGCCAAGTCCTGCAGTCTGCCGGGTTCTTCAACGTGGAGCAGGTTCGAGTTCTCCCTCACAGCTCCATTAAGGCTTTTAGTATCTTATCAGGCATAAAGGAGACCTCTAGCTTAGCATGAGTGGCAGCTCTTAAAACTCCTCATTCGAACCTCGATGTAACACTCCTGTAGGAGCCGTAATGTTGCGTTGCTTATCGGTTATCCTGTGTGGGCACTGTGTTTGAAATCCGGTAAGTTATCTAAGGGGCGGTCTCACCTGCACTGGGGGGGAGAGGTGAGCCTAGGCAGCCGTAATTTTTGTTGACCGCACTTTATGTTCTTTCTTTGCTATGATACACGTCGCAAAGTGTACACATATTCTATCCGATGTGCGCGTGTAAATCAACCTCAGGATCTGGGGGCCCTTCTCAAAATGGCCCTCAGGATTCCAGAGGCGTGTCCCAGACAGGGTTCAGGTTTTAATGGGTTAATTGTGGGTTACATAGACCTCAAATATCTAGAAAGTTCTGTATTCTTCTCCTACAGCCTGCTGTCATACACAAAGTCAGTGGATTATTGAGGGTTTGTTTGTCCGGTTGTTGGTTTTTGTAGGTCAGGTCATATCTGAGATAAGAGCTCCGTGTTTACTTTACAGCCACATGTTTATACTCGCACACAAAGAGGTCAGAGGTCACCTGCTCTTCCTGCTCCATCTCTTCCTGGTTGTCAGAGTGTTTTCATGTCCCTCTTCTCTTCCTGTCCCCTCAGGAGGAGGACGTGGACTTCCTGGCCAAGTTCTCCCGGTTGGTGAACGGGATGGGTCAGAGTCTGGTGCTGAGCTGGACCAAACTCTCCAGATCCGGGAACCCGAAGGACACGGCGGAGACGCTGCAGGCCATCGAGGCCAAAGTGCCGCTGCTGCTGCAGCTGCTGGTCCACGAGGACGACGACATCTCCGCAAACATCGTCGGCTTCTGCTACGAATACCTGCACGTGCTCAAACAGGTGAGTGAGGACGAGCCGCCTGGACCAATCAGAATCCAGAATCGGGGGAAATGAAAACAAGTGATAGTTAAACTTTTTTTGTTTTTGCAGCTTCCCCAGCTGACCGACCAACAAAAAGCCAACATCGAGGTGAGTGAAAGACAGTTCGCTGTAAAATCTCTGATTATGGATTTTGGATTAGAGGTTTAACTCAATCTTTTTCTCTCTGAAGGCGATCATGCTCGCTGTGATGAAGAAACTGACGTATGACGACGAGTACAACTTTGAAAACGAGGTGGGTTCCAATTCAATCCACTTTATTTATCCGATTAATAATCTTCTTTCTCTTGATTGGGCTGTGGAGGCCTTTGACTTTGTAACTTATTACCCGAAGAGATCCCATAAGTCAAATGCAGGGTCAGATATAATGGGAAGAAAGAGTGAAATAATATAAAATGTACAAATAGAGAAGTTGTGGGAAATAAAATCAAATAAATACTAAAGTGGGCGTGTGTATATATAAAGACTGGAAGCTACGTGGGAAAATACCTGAGAGTTACCAAGTTAAGAGGAGGATAAGTTTTGTTGCATTTCAACTTTAGCAAATGATTCTTATCCTGAAAGAGTGAATGGATGGGAAAGTTCACTGTTGCTCTTCTTAGATCCCTGAGGAACAAGGAAATCATCAATAACAGAGCTGAACATAGAACAATCCACTGTATTTATACAGCACAGTTAAAAAATATTCAAGTTTACCAAAGTGCTGCAGAGTCAAATTTAAAAGAACAAACACGACAGAAAACATCAAGAGGAAATAAATAAAAGCAGGTAGAAAACATTTAAAATGAAATGAAATAAAAACTCAAAAGAAATCAAAGTGATTGTAGTGACTGCTTTCCTTCAATAAAAAAGGCCGCCAGGGTTTAGGTTCCCCTAGCATCTGTGACTCGCTTGAATTGTCAGTCCGATTTGAGTGTTAGAAAAATAAATTTATTGTTCAGAAAACGGAAAGAAAACACGCTGCTCCGGGTCCAATACTTGCCTTCAACTGGAAAGGTGATATGATGAAATGAGGTTAAAACAGGATGAGTGAATGATCATGTTTTCGTTTACCTGTTAAAAGACGAGCAGCAGCATTTTGGACTAACTGTAGGCGTGTGAGGGAAGCCTGATTAACACCAACGTAAAGAGCGTTAAATAAAAGCATGAATTACTCGCTCAAAATCATTAAAAGATAAAACCCATTTAATCTTGGATAAAAGCCTCAGATGAGTTGATTTCTGCTGTGAGAACATGACGGACACAGATCTTCACTCCCGTCCTTCAGGGTGAAGATGAGGCCATGTTTGTGGAGTACAGGAAGCAGCTGAAGATGCTGCTGGATCGTCTGGCTCAGGTTTCTCCTGAGCTGCTGCTGGAGGCTGTGCGGCGAGTTTTCACCAACACCATGCAGTAAGAGTCGAATTTTCTTCAGCTGAAATATTGAAGAGATACAAACAGGATGATCTAGAAGCTCATCCTGTGTCCGATCTGTTTTCAGGAACTGGCAGACGGCTCAGTTCATGGAGGTGGAGGTGGCCATCAGGCTGCTCTACATGCTGGGCGAAGCTCTGCCGGCGTCTCACGGCGCTCATTTCTCCGGAGACACGGCCAAGACCAGCGCGCTGCAAGATATGATGAGGACGGTCAGTCACATGACTCTGGTGATAACACATGCTTTGTTTTAGTTCAACACTTCAACAAAATCAATCAAGGAGACGTGTTTTTATCATCTGATTCTGCAGCTGGTGACGTGCGGCGTGAGCGGCTACCAGCACAGCTCGGTGTCTCTGGAGTTTTTTGAAACGGTCGTCCGATACGATAAATTCTTCCTCGTGGAGCCGCAGCACATCCCCAATGTCCTGGTGAGTCCGATTAGTCACTTTGACTGTGTGACGAGGTGGAGGAGAGTGAACATGTCTAATCAGTCTGTGTTGCGTTCGCTGTCAGATGGCGTTTCTGGACCAAAGAGGACTGAGACACAACAGCCCAAAGGTTCGCAGCAGAGTGGCCTACCTCTTCTCCAGATTCGTCAAAACTTTGCAGTGAGTCTGACTTCAGTTTGTTTCTAAACTTTGGACAAAGAGGCAAAAGATCTCATGAAAACAGAATAACTTAATACTCTAGAATAAAGATCTCAGCATGAAGCTCCTCCTGCTCTCCTGATTAAACCTGGTGACCATGATAGCACCATTTTTTTTGCTGCAGAATACTTTAATGAAAATGAAATATTTCTATCAAGTTGATTATTTATCTTGATAAGTTCCTGACCAGAAAGGGGGAAAAAAAACCTTGATCCATAGACGTGAAGGTGTAAATTTGAATAAGAAGGATTGCGACCTTATTCTTGAATTATTGCGAAGAATTAAAGACTGATCCGTCTGTTTTTTTAGTAAACACATGAACGCCTTCATCGAGGACATCCTGACCAGGATCCAGGACCTGCTGGAGCTCGCTCCTCCGGTGAGTCTCCTCATCAGATCAGTAACATTGTAAATGAATCTAAAACTATCAGTCCTGACCATCCACGTGTCTTATCATTTAGGAGAACGGTTTCCCGGCGCTGCTGACCAGCGATGACCAGCTTTTCATGTTTGAGACGGCCGGCGTGCTGATCGTGAACGGGGAGAGTCCCGTGGAGAGGAAGCAGGCGCTGATGAGGAGTCTGCTGCTTCCTCTCATGGACGCATTCCGCCTGCTGCTCGCCAAACTGCCACAGGAAACCGAGGAGGAGAGGCAGACGGTGCTCGCAGACTGTTTGAGCCACGCCGTCGGGTTCGCCAGGTCAGGACTGAATTAACTTTGATAACTACTGCTGACGGTTTTTATCCCTCATAGCTAAACTCTTCGTCTTCCTCTCCCTCCTTCACAGTCGGACCAGTAAAGCGTTCAGCAACAAGCAAACGGTGAAGCAGTGCGGCTGCACCGAGGTCTACAGAGACTGTCTGCAGACCTTCCTGCCCGCGCTGAGCTGCCCTGTCCAGCGGGGGGTGCTGCGGAGCTCGGTCCGCTCCTTCCTGCACAGGATGATCATCTGCCTGGAGGAGGAGGTGCTGCCCTTCGTCCCTGCCGCCTCTGAGCACATGCTGAAGGACTGCGAGGCCAAAGATCTGCAGGAGTTCATCCCGCTCATCAGCCAGATCACCGCCAAGTTCAAGGTACGCTGGGAGAAAATGGAGACCAACAGGAAGTGTGACTCAAACCGAAGGTAGAAGGACTAAAGATCGTTAACGGGTTTGTTTACTTCACAGCGGCAGGTGTCGCCCTTCCTGCAGCAGGTCTTCATGCCGCTCGTCCTCGCCATCTTCGAGGTGCTTGGCCGGCCGGCGGAGGAGAACGACCAGGCGGCTGCTCTGGAGAAACAGATGCTGAGGAGGAGCTACTTCACCTTCATCCAAACCATCACAGGGAGCGGCATGAACGAGGTGATGGCCAATCAGGGTGAGTCTGAAACATCCGACAGAAACCAGAAGCAGAAAGTGATTCAACTTCAGAGTTAGTTTGTTGTTTTTCCTCCTCACTCAGATGAAGTTTTTATTTTCAGGGGTTGAAAACATCGAGCGAGTCCTCTTCACCATCATCCAGGGAGCCGTGGACTTCCCCGACCCGGTCGCTCAGAAGACCTGCTTCATCATCCTCTCCAAGCTGGTGGAGCTGTGGGGTGAGGAGGAGGAACTCCCAGAAACCATCAAACAGACTGATTTCACTCCGTCTGTGTTTTTAAATCTGATTTTTTCTTTCACTGTCAGGAGGTAAAGACGGCATGGTGGGATTCCCCGACTTCATCTACAAACACATCGTCCCTGCATGTTTCCTGGCTCCTCTCAAACCGACCTTTGACCTCTCAGACGCTCAGACAGTCCTGGTAAGATTCTCTCCGCTGAACAAAAGCAACATTTTAATGATGATTCACCAACGGCGTCAAATAATAACGAAAAACCGTCTTTGTTTGCAGACGCTGTCAGAGTGCGCCGTCACTCTGAAAACGATTCATCTCAAAAGGGTAAAAAACCTCTCACATGTTTCCTTTTACCTGGTCGTGTCCTGCTAGAGGAGTGGGATTTAATCTTTGCGTCATGTTTCTCATTAGGGGCCGGAGTTTATCCAGTATCTGCAGCAGGAATATTTACCTTCACTACAGGTGTCGCCTGAAATCTCACAGGTGAGACGGTCCTGGAAAACCTCCTGAATAAAAACAGAAAAAGTGCAAAGCTGTTAAGAGTAAATGTGTCTAACTTTGTTAATCTGGTGTTTCAGGAGCTTTGTCAAGTCCTCCAGCAGCCGGATATGAAAGTCCTGAAAAACTACATAAAGGTAGGAGTGATTTGATTGGCTGATGAGTCTGTTTCTGACCTTGTTTTCCTGTGTCGCTGATCAAAAGACTTACATCACAACTGTTAATACCACTTGTTGATCATGCTGATAGAGTTTACCGTAACACTTCTGACTCTCATCTCAAACCTCTGACTGTATTATTTAACTCCTCATGTAGATTTGTTTTGAGATGTCCTTTTAGAACACATCACTGCTTTATGTTTGACTCCCTGAAGTGGTTACAACCCAAATCAAGACAGTAATTTCATTGGCTTAATTTTCTTTTTAAATGTGTTTATTAGGGCCCGACCGATATGGATTCTTCGGGGCCGATACCGATTATTAGGGGGGGAAAATCCGATTACCAATTAATCGGCCGATTTTTTTAAATTAGTTATAAAATAGTTATAAAAATATATATATATTGTAGATATCTACAGTATACCATACACTGTAGATATACTGTAGACTGATCAAAGTCGGACCAGAAAAGCGTTTTCAGCTGCGTCATCATTATCTCTGAAAATATCAGCGAAAATCTGCGAGTTTTGTCCGATTACCGATTAGTCTCAAATGGGCTAAAATTGGCTGATTTAATCCGCTCGCCGATAAATGGTCGGGCCCTAGTGTTTATCTCCATTGGCCTTCATATTTAAAAGAAGTAATTCCATACAACTCCCCATGCTCTCTTAGACACATGAACGACCCATTTTTCTTTGTTCCTAGAATCTCTAAAGAAGTTTGCAAAAGATTATATCAGCATAAAGCCCCATCAGATTGGAGGAACCTGCCTATTACTTCTTTTTATCACTTTAGAATTGCACTATACTCCCATCTCAAAACAAATTGCTCATGTTTCTGATTTATTTTCTCCACTGTTTTGCATTTATATTCACATTATCTATCCTTGTTAATAAGTTTTGTCTATTTTGTATGTTGGGCGTATGTTGGTTGGGGTTGTGTGTGGGGGTCGGGTGAGCAAGATGTCTGTATTTGTTATATGTTATGTCTGTTAATGTATTGTAACGTGTCCTGAGTTCTCTGTACGTTTGTTTAAGGACCCCCTTGAAAATGAGATGCTGCATCTCAGGGGGCTATCCTTTAATGAATTCAAATTTAAACCATCTGATCGTCCTCCTCTCCGTCCTGCAGGCGTTCTTTCAGCGAGCGAAGCTGTAGGAGTTAAAACTGGAAGTTCACTTTGGACTGAACGGACTCTTCAGAGAGTGGTCGTACTTTCACCACTAACCACATCAAACAAAAAAAAGGAAACTTAGCATAGAAGCTGCTTTTGCACTTAAGAAGTGAATGCATCACAAAGCGCCGTCTGTGTGAGCCCAGTCGTGGACAGGAGCTCGGTGGACCCTCCGGACGCCGATGAGACGAGCTGTCCACGAGGACTCGAGATGTAACGGAGCTCGGAAATGTGGAGAACTTTCTGGAAACTAAGAATAAAAACAGCTGTTTGGGAGAAAAGAAAAAACGACCTGTCTGGAAAACGTTTGGTAAATATCCTCAAACCATGTGACCCATGTGACGATAGCTTTATTCTAGTCTTTACGGTAGAAACCACGTTTCAAAACAAACTAGTTTGAGTTTTCTGGATGTTGCTGCTGCCACGGGATGGACAAAAAGAAGAGAAAGGGCTGACTGTGTTATTTTTATTGAAATGTGGCATTGATTTCTTTTTTTTTTTTAAGTGCTGATTTGACGGATGGACGGTTTTAAGTTTGAAGTGAGATGTGTTTAAGTGCTTACAGCCCAAATTAACATAAACCTCTACAAACTTGAATTCTCGGTTTAACAGCAAATATCTGAATCATCTCGACCGCTCTGTTCCTGATAAGGAGGTAGATTCTCAAGCTTCGGTTCATCGGCCCATAAAAATGTTACAAAAAATGAGACAAAAGTCTGTGAAATATTTTTTTTTTCCTGGAAATTTGAAGAATATTTTGGGCTGTTTTGATTTTCAGATGGAGTAAATGAAATAAAACGGAGGAACAAAGTGTAAATAAGAGAATAAGATGTTAAAATTGTAAATAAAGTTCCTAGCGTTAGTTTTTTTTTATCTTTATTCTCGCCTGGAACCATCATACAGAAGCCCATTAGTGCCAGAAAATGAAAAAAAAATTAAAGTAAGAAGTTATTTAAAAAAATTAAAGGATGTGCCAAAATTTGAGGGAAAAAAAAGTATTTTAAAAGATTTTGACACAGAATAAGGTGGAAATCCTGCTTGACCTTTTTTTGAAACAATTAAAATAGTGGCTGAAAAAAGTTTTACTTAACTTTATTCAACGCCCCAATTTTTCTCATTAGTTTCAAACTGTCACAAATTAAAAATTGAAAAATAATTTAGATTTTCTGAATTTGTTTTCAGTCCTGAGTTTAATGTAATTCTCATATTATTAATTTTGATTTGGTTTAAGTTTTAATAAGTTTTCATCTAGTGTATGGATCATAATTTTGAATTTTTGGCGTTTTGTTTTTAAATAAGTAATGAAATATTATTTCAAAACACTCAAATATGATTTGCAGTAAATTAGTTTTACCTTTTATTTTGCCCAAATGAACTGGTTTTGGATTTTTTCACTTTTATATAAAAATTCATAATTATTCCTTATAAAATTTTCTCTGAGTATTTTTACTTATTTCAGTTATTGTTTGTTTTTACATTTTAAATCAAATTATTTCAAATATTTCAGTTTCATGACTTCTGAGGAGTAACTTTTTTTTTTTTTTTTGGAAACCCTGAAATTTCAGTCATAACTGACTGTTTAGATATCCTGAATATTTTTCACATATTTCTGACCTGATTGGTACTTTCTGAATTTCAACACGTTAGCGTTTACAGAAGTTAAAAATTTGAATTCTCAAAAAGCAATTAAAGGAAATGATTTGAAATTTTGAGAGAACCTCCCAGTTATGACTTAAATGTTAGTAATATTTTTCCTTTAGATTTGGGTTATTTTGTCATTCCTAACATTTAATATGTTTTTTCATATTTGGCATCAATGGGCTTCCGTATATTCACATTAACTCATTGTAGGAATCACTTGTGTACAGGTGGTGTAAAAACAAGAATCTGCTAGTGTACAGAAGCGACTCTGTGAGTTTTAAATATCGAAGCATTCGCGACAATTCAGGATGATCGACATGTTGATTAAATAACGAGAAATACTGTGAGGGAGTGATCGAAGTAACGTACCCAATCAGTGACGATGAGGACGAGATGTGACTGTACAAACTGATACTGAAAACCACATATCCATCTTTATCTGTTCACTCTGTACAGAGGTTTAGATATCACGAATCCCCCTCACACCCACACACACAGGCTGTTGTGTTTGACTGTTCGTCAGAATCACCTGCTCCCTGCCCCGTCACTCGCTGTTTGAATCAGTTTTTAATTTTCTCTCCACTTTCATGTATTCATCTTTTCATTTGGCGTCAAACTTCCTCAAAAACCTTTGCCTTTGAACCCTCTGGAGAAAGTGCCTGAAAGTGTGAAATCGAATCAAAACCTTCATAAAGGCATAAAAATGAATTAAAGTCTTATTGTTATTGTAAAACTGTATTTTTCTATTTGAGAACAAATCCCCCAAAAAGCAAAAACCTTAATCGTGTCCAAGTCTGTTGTTTCTAGTTGCTGTAAATCTGAAATGAATAAATAAGACCATGAACATACCAAGTTACAGTATCACTGTTTTATGTCCCCAAACAGCTGAGCGCTGTTTTTTCTGCAAGTGTTAGGAACTATTTTCAGCGGCGGATGAGTACACAGTAGGAGTCATACTGTACATTTTAAAAAGATTTGTTCTTGCACCTAAATGTGGGATTTGTCCACAAGAAGAAAATCAATGACAACACTCTTTAAAGCTCCTGTGAGGAACTTTTAGTTTGTGTCTATTCTGGCGCCCCCTGTGGACAAAAGGGTGCATCTGATTTGTTCTCTGATTTTGTCCTGCACATGTGAAAGTCATATTTTCTCTTTTTTTTTCCCAGATAAAAGTATGTATCAAGTACAGTAGCCCAGAAGGTTATTTTATCAATACAAGAAAAATCAATTGACCACCAAAAATATTTGATAAAAAGTAAAAATTAATTACTGCGTGAAAAAAAATTAGTCAAACATGCTCTGTAGTTGTTTGGAAATCTACCCTGCCACTAATTTTAGACAGTGAAAATAACTTGAACAGTTTCATCTTTCTGCGAATGATCCAATTTGGGTTTACAGCTCATGGAGAGACGTCAGTGTTGATTATAGTTTATTTTCTAATTCGTTAAAAATTCATCACAGGAGCTTTAATTTTAAGTATCATTGAACACTTCGTTAAAATTCACGACACTTGCATGAAATTAGTCTATATGCACCTGGATGTTGATGAAAGTGCGTCTGCCCGTGGACACGCTCAATGTCACCTGTCTTTAACCCTCTGAATCCTTCGACGTACCTCTGTGGTGTCTGTCAGACAATAGTCCGCTGACCTCCTCTGATTTAATGCAAACATCAGTAAACCCTTCAAACTTCACGACCACTGAAAAACCAGCCTGTCCGGAGTCTCATTTCTGTAATTTAAGGTCTGATTTCATTTGTTTATTCTTTCAAACGTGACGTCTGTTCATATCTGAGAAAATCTACCAAATAATTGTTCATTCAAGGTGAAATGTGTTGATTTTTTCTTTTTGATATGGAGATGAATGTTCTGTTAGAACCAATAAAGTGTTTACTAATCATCAGAAATCATCAGAGCCTCTCTTTCATTCACTCTTTCATTTATTCATCCACAGCCAGAGTAGATTTAAAGCAGATTCTCTCCTATTTATGACCCTAATAAAACTCAAAATATTCAGCTTTCCACTTTCTCATGAATTTGGCACAAAGAAAATCTTTTTTTTTTCCAGGCTGACATTTAAACTTACATTTTCACTTCCCCCTCTGATCAGTTTAACAAACAGAAATCCTTCCGCACCTCCAGCAAAATAAAAGAAATCCAATGAGTAGTGCTTCTGAAGATGCTGTAAACAGTCTTTAAATGCAGGTTTAAATTTCTTCTTCATCCTTTGATCACAGCGATCGGTCTGAGTTTGATCGCCTTCTTGCTGATCCCGGCGTCGTGACACGTGTTGACCACGTCTGTCACGTTTTTGTACGACTCAGGAGCCTGAAAAAAACACAAAAACATGAACTTAAAAATCAAAAACACCAAATCATCTACATACAGAGAGACTTCATGAGCTGGTGTGTGGCGAATAAAAGCCTTTTTGCGGCTGATTTTTACCTGTCTGATATTTAATTGTCACTTAAATGCAATACGTCACTTTTACTGATCACCTCAATGGCATGGAGGAAACAGCAGAGGAAATACTGGAGTTGCAGTAAACAATATTTGTTTATTTTCCTCTTGTCTCTTAACCTTGTCTCTAACGGTGAGTTTGCATTTAGCTTAAACCCGCATCAGTTAGTGTGAGCTCCAGCTTTGAGTTCAAGGTTTGGGGTTTTTAAATGATAGCTAAGTAAAGTTTGATAGAAATAAACCTCCGCCCCTCACCTCCTCCATGACCAGTTTGGGTGAGGCGACCCTGATGGCAATCCCCTTATCGGCCAGTTTGTCCAGGACGTCCTGGAAGTCCAGATTCCTGCGAGACTTTGCTCGAGACAGAGCGCGACCCTGAAACACAGGCAGAAAATCATAAAGACTGTTGTATTTAAGACAAATGAGTCTATATGAGCCTAGAAACACTGATGATTTTTATATATTTTAAGGGCTGAAGGGGGAGCTGTGAGACAAGGTGATCAATATCACAGTGAAGAAACAGAGTAGAGTGAGAGAAAGTAGGATAATAATCTTTAAAAAGAGTCTCTGTGTGGCAGAAAATGTCTGATCCAGTGTGAGTGAGGGTTCTTCTTTAGTGAGGTTTTCATCTAAATAAAGCCGATAAAGTCTCGTACCGCTCCGTGACAGGTGGTGCCAAACGTCTCCGTCATGCCCTGTTCGGTCCCTGTGAGGACATAGCTGCAGGTCCCCATCGTCCCCCCGATCAGCACCGGCTGACCTGTCAGCTAGAAAACATCAAGAAAACATCAGGTTTAATCAGCTGATTTTAAAGCTTCTTTAAACGTATGTATGAAACATCATGAGTGGATCAGAACCTGATAGTCCACGGGGATGAGTGGGTGGTGAGGGGGGAACGCTCGAGTGGAGCCTTTACGGTGGACTAACAGCGTCTTCTGCTTCCCATCCACCATGTGCTCCTCTACTTTGGCGATGTTGTGGGAGACGTCATAGATGACGTGCATGTCCAGGTCGTCTGGCGTCGTGTTGAAGACTTTGGAAAACGCCTGGAACAGGAATTAAAAAACAAATAAAATCAGAAACTTATCAGGAGAAACTCAAACTGCCTCAGAACTCAAACAGAGAAAGGTTCATACAAACAGCTTTGGTCATCAGACTGTTAGTCCCGCAGGTGAGCGTACCTGTCTGGTGAGAAAGGTCATGGATGAGCGGTTGACCCAGGCGTAGTTCCCTGCGGCCGCCATCCCCTTCAGGTAGTCCTGACCTTCCTGAGACGTGATGCGAGCGCACGCCAGCTGACGGTCATTCACCGTGATCTTATCCCGCTTCATCGCCTTCTCCATGGCAACCAGAGCATCTGTAAACAGTTTGTAGCGGGTTCATTCAGTCATTTTTAAAGTAATAACGCACATGTTCTAATAAATATGAATGCATCTTAACTATCTTGATTTAAAGAGAGAACTTTTCCTGAAATTTCTTTTAAAAGTTCTTCCCCTTGCCCCCTAAAATTCAGGGACCATTACAGACTAAACAATATAATCCAGGTGTACTCAGCTAGACTTGTACCTGTAGCGACCTGGTGTCCGAGTCCTCTGCTGCCGCTGTGGATCATCACACACACCTGACCTTTGTGGTCGATGCCCATCTTCTTCGCTGCGTAGTCGTTGTAGATCTCATCCACCACCTGGATCTCTGCGTAGTGATTTCCTGCTCCCAGAGTGCCCAGCTGAAACACACGATCATTGTCAAATTATGTAAACACAGTCAGGAGTTTGCTTCCACTCCTGGCTGGCTCGCCACTTATATTGTGGATTTCATAGATGCAAAAGGTGCAAAAATGAACCATCAGAAGACAGAATCAGTTGGCAGCCTCTTGCGGGATTTATTAAAGCATCAACCACAATGTCATGACAATCAGACGGACAGCAGAAGCTGAATAATCCCTCCTAATTCCCTAACTGTATCTCCTCTCTCTTCTGCTCAGAGCTGCACTGTGCACTCTGATCCTGACTGTGTTTACCTCACCTGCTCAAAGTGAGAGTGAAATGCAGAAAAGCAAAAAATAATTCTGGGATTCTGGGATACCTGCGGCAGGCCTCTCTTCTTGGCCTTGGAGGAGACTTTGTTGGGGTCGGCCTGCAACATCCTGCCGTATTCCTCACAGTGCTCCTTATCCTCGGCCCAGGCGTAGCCCTCCCTCAGAGACCAGTCCACCCCCATCTCCAGAGCCTCCTCCAGGTCCCTGAGAACAACACACACAGACGTCAGCAGGTAAACAGGGCCTGTGTGATCGTTTTAACTCCTGCGGGGTCCCTCCTTACTTCGCCCCCATGGGGATGACTCCTTTAGACCCGACTCCAACAGGGATGTGGTCAAACAGAGACTGAGCGAGCTGCTCCTTCACCGGCTGCACGTCGCCCTCATCCAGGTTCGTCCTCAACAGCCGCACGCCACAGTTTATGTCGAAACCGACGCCACCTACAGGAGAAACACAGCACTGGGTGTCTGATCGTTTTAAAAATGGAGCTTATCTATGTTTATGAACAGAAACAAAAACATTCTGAGCGTCCGCAGCAGGTTACAGGAGGCTGTAACGTCTGCATTATAATCCTCAATAGATCAAAGTGAGTCGCTAAAAGTCTTCATTATTCTCGCTGACAGACTCTGAAGTCTGACACTCACCTGGAGACACGACAGCATCCGGGTTATCCATGTCAAAGGCTGCCATGTTTCCGATGGCAAATCCATAACCAGAGTGGACATCAGGGAGGCCGATGGACCTCTGAGGGAGGAATTAAACACAGAGTGATGAGGAGGTGCTGATGGAAACTCCAAACAAGATACTGTCCATCTAAACCTAACTGATTTCTACTCACATGTACGATTCCTGGCAGCGCAGCCACATTCCCAATCTGTTTCATGGCTGGAAGGAATCCACCCACACCTGAGGAGAGGAAATATGAGAGTAAATAAGCAGAAAACTTGTGAGGATGAACTTTGTGTGATAATAATAAGCGAACAGCAGCCGACCTCCTCCTCGACAGGCATTACGAAGCTCCTCAAACATCAACTTCTCCAGAGGGTCGTTCACATAGAAGTTCCCTTCAACCTGCAAGAAACAGGAAAAGAGTGGTGCTCTTCAAAGTGGAAATTCAGTACATCTAAAAGAACTGCCGTGCCCATCTCTAATGTGTGGGTGGGAGGGTCGGGTTTTATTGTTAATTTTTGGTTTGGCTCTTAAAGTCTCATTTAAGAACCTCAGCGTCTGTCTGTTCCTAACACTGATACCAATTCAAAAAGTAGTTAATACAATGTTATTGTAGCTACTTTTACAAACTGAAGATAATAATTACATATATTTAACATGTTTTCATCTTAGTTTGATCCGCCCTTAAATTCGGCTTACATTTGACAGGTAAATATTACATCATTTTGGTGCGTCACCAGGTGAGCACTTTGGACTATGTGGGTTTATTTAGTTGAACTTTTCGACTTGAATAAGTTTCCAGCTCTCATATTTTCAGATTGGAGTCTCTGTCTGGTTTAAATGGACACAAACAGCAAACATGTGCAGACTGGTTGAACAGTATGAGACGACAACTAGCCACGTTACAGCTAACCAGCTTTCCTGCCAGTTAATGTGTGTTAAAATCTCACCTGCATGTTGGGAACGAAGCCCTTTTTTATCCTCCAGCAGTTCCCGCCGAGTTTCTCCAGATACTGCAGCTCATCGTTGTAACTGCGGCTCATTTTTACGGTTTAAATTGGTTCAATAATTCAGGGTCTAATGTTACGTTTCACCGGCTGTCTGCCACACAGCAAGCAGGCAGGCGAGGACGGAAGCCCGTGAGCTCTTACAAAGACATACGCGATTGGTTATTCTGTATGACTCATGATTTTTTCCTTTTATTAAAGTAAAAAAATATTCAAAATTTGACCAAAATATACCTGACTACAGCTACTAAATTCATACTTCAATTTTTTTATATATGTAAGCCTAATATAATTTAACATGAAAGAGTGTAAGTGTACATTTGTAAACTTTTCGCTTGCCGTAATTGTAGTCAAGTAACAGTTTCAAGGAATAAAGACCTTGCGTTTTCAAAATAAAGTCGTATTATCCTGGAATATAGCGATCTGTGGATTTTGGGAAGAGTTTTTTTTTTATTATAATTAATTTTACATCTTTTATGGAGTCATCGCCTAAAACTATGATATTACCTCCTAAAATAACTTTTTTGCCCCCTGTGAAATTTTCTGATCCTAATTTCTGATTACTGAATGCAAACTGCATTTCGTTGCTCTGTACTTGTGACATGTGCAACGACAATAAAGTTGAATTCTATTCTATAATACACGCCATACATGGTGTTTTTCCGTCCATTGAAAGATTTTTTTTTTATTGATGAATAATAACAGCTTGAACTGTTTAAACATGTTTCCTTGGATAATCTTTTGAGCAAAAGAAGAATCAGAAATGGTAAGCTTTATTTTGAAAATCCTCATTGCATTAACAGGAAGTTGTGTGGTAAGCTACGGTAGCTGTGAGCTTCTGTCATGCCTTCGCTGTCTGTGTTTACAGTGCAGCTTTACTGAAAGAGTTAAGACAGGTTACCTTGATTTCATCACTTTAATTCATCACGTAAGTGTGCCTTTTGTTCGGCTTTAAAACAAAGACTAGCTTTATTTCTTAAGTTTGGCTAAACCGCTTCATTAACTTGCTAGAGAGCTCGAAGTTAACTGACAACCTACGTCGTTACGCAGCAACCAAACTGTGAGGTTATCTAATGTTAGAGAAACGAAAATGAAACACGTCTTTTCCAACAAAATAACGAGCTGAATTTTATTTACCGGTGCTGTATTTCTTCTGTCTGCTTAGTATTGACTTTTATACATTTTTTAATGTATTTAGCCGTTTACAAACTGATGCTTCAAACTCTTCCTTTCTTCCTAACTGAAAATTTTAAACAATTTAAAATATTTTGGCCTGATTTAGTCATAGGTAATCCTGTGAAACATCCGGAATATTCTCAGGACACAAAAACATCACCAATGACTCATCACTTTATAAAGAGGAGGTTTTAGATTCCGTTTTGAGCTCCAGCTAAATATCTATCTGTTCAAAATTTATAGATAATTCTTCTATATGTATTTCAGGTTTACAGTTAAGTAGTTAGAAGTCATGAGTATGTGGACACCCCACACTGTGCAAAAGCTACAGTTTACTAGAAAAACAACATGTAGTCAAATTTATTCTGCTTAAACTTTTTTAGTTTGTGTAAAGAAACAAATGATAAAATACAGATACAATAAATAATACATAATTGGGTCTGTTATTTTCCACTTAATATCAATCTCAACACCTTTTGTGTTTTCTGTTTTTCCAGCATGAAGCTGCGAGTTCGTCTTCAGAGTCAGACCAGCAGGGTGGACTTACCAGGAGAAGAACCCAGTTTGACTGAACTCAGAGACCTCATCAAGGAGACTCTTCTGTCCTCTCACGGACTCAGGTCAGACTAACACAGACGTTATCAACTAGTAGTTCATCCATAACTTGTAATTATTGTGTTAAGTGGGATTATTTCTAACATTACTGCTGTTTTACTGTGTCCATTTCACTTAGCTGAGATTAACAGCAGTTCTTTCTTTTCCTAAATAAAGCACATTTAATGTTGTATCGTTCCAAAGTCAGTATAATTGTATTGAGATTAAATATATTTAAATGTAAGGGGTTAAATTAGTGCAGTTTTGACTTAGCTGACTTTATTTTCCAGAATGGTTTTGTAAAATGTAAATATTTAATTTCCCAGGCATTAATTTATTATTTCTCTCTCAGTGCAGACACAGAGTTCACTTTATCTCTGAACGGCTCAGAGCCTCTAACAGACACTGGACAGACTCTGTCGTCCTGCGGCATTGTGTCCGGAGATTTGATCTGCGTCATCCTGCCTGAGTCTGCAGCCGACAATGCCAACAACAACATAAACCACGCCAGTTCCGCCAAATCCGCCCCTGCAAACTTTTCCAGCTCCACCAAAACAACAACCAGCAGCACAGAGAGCCAAAGGTAAGAGCCATTTTTACTGTTAGTATAATTCCTGTGTTGTTGTCTTCACTTTTGTCACTAAATGTTGGAGTTTGATTACTTTTAATAGATCCTGACTTTGACAAATCAGTAGAAATGTCATCTCCTTTATACCACAATATGTCGCATCTATGTGTTTTTAAAATTTTAATATGAGTATTTAGTGAAGCTGAATTTGTTAATAGAATATAAATATGAGGTGAGTCCACAGGTGGTCACTGGAGATGCATTTAGAGATTCATGATAATGCAAAGTGCAGACTTTCAAACCCAAACCTGTCCACTTGTGACCCAATAATCTGTTAATGATGTTAATTCCGGGTCTGAATGTCTCCTGATGGTTTGACAAAAATCTGACAGAAAACCATCTTTTATTTTTTTACAGAGACACCAAACAGACCGCAGCCATGACGTCCAACCAGGTGAGTGGAGACAGTGCAGACATGGCAGAAATATTCAAATTTGGTTTTTAAAAACGTTGGAAAGTGTAAGTAATTGGGAAGCAATTAAAATGTTTTATTGCTTGAGTTGTTTTATGGTTTATTTATTTATTTTGGATTTAGTGATTTTTACCAACTTACAAAACACCCTTAGTGAAAAATGTCAAATGTTCAGCTTTTGTAAAGATGTTATTATTGTTCATGACACCAAATCTCATGTAATTTTTAGCCAGTTTAACAAAAATCTGTGTTAATCACATAAATGTACACAGTTCTGTGCAGCCGCTCGCTCTTAACCTGGCAGAGAATAACCTGTACAGCTCTGCATGTGAATGCAGGAACGATCAGGAACAAAGTGAAAGAGGTTTGTCTACGAGGCGTGAAGGTGAAAACTGTCATGGTAGAAATAAACGAGCTTCATGTTTGACTGAAGCTGTTCGGACTTGTTTTACAGAAACATCCAGCTGGTCTCAGCAGATTTCAGCTTCATCAGCTGATCACCTTCAGCTCAGTTTCTGATAATGGTAATCGTGTTGTTTTGGAGATGACTCTGAACTAGAGATTTAGACCAGAAACTCGTAAAGAAAATGTTAACAGAAGGGTAAGATCAGCTAAGAATCAAGTCCTCTCGTCATTGACTTCTATACAGGTAGACTCATGAAGTTGCTCCCTGCTGGACACTAGAGGGAATGCAGGCTTAAAGCATGTCCACACTGTTTTAATTCTCTGTCTGTGATAATCAGCCCAGCAGCAGCAGCAGCAGCCTCCCTGCAGCATCCTCAGACTCTCAGGGACCTGATGAGGTTTCCTCCTCTGATCCTTCGTCCTCCAGCTGGGAACCGATGCTGTGCAGCGAGGCAGAGGAGGGTCAGGCTCCGCTCTCACTGGAGCTCCTCTACCACTTGGCTCAAACTTCGAGTTCCAGTGACGCCGTCATGGTGGCCGCACATCAGCTGATGTTAGAGACTGGGTTTGTTCCTCAGGTGAGATGACAAAGTCTGTTAGTAAACGATCAATCTTTAAACCAATCAGCTGCCCTCTGACACAGTGTATACCTCTGGGAATGTTGGTTGATTATAAATGACATCTAGACTCTGTAGATTTCCAACCATAAGAGTTGATGGATGTTTTCCTGGTGGATTGTGTTTCACTGACTGTTTTTCCTAATGATACCTGATTGGTCAGTACTACTATGTGTTTGTGTTTGTGTGTGTGTGTGTGTGTGTGTGTGTGTGTGTGTGTGTGTGTGTGTGTGTGTGTGTGTGTGTGTGTGTGTGTGTGTGTGTGTTTCAGGGCTGTGAGCTGCAGTCAGGTGAGATGCCTGCAGGTTGGAGGTCAGCAGGTGGAGTGTACAGACTGCAGTACTCTCACCCTCTGTGTGAGAACAGTCTGGTCTCTGTGGTGGCGCTGTGTATGGGCCCTGTGCTCGCCATCAACGGTGAGTTCAGCTGATTTTATAAAAACGCTCAGTCACATGATCCTCAGTTTATGAAATGATCAGAAAAAGACTTTTCACTTTTTGCTCATTTTAAATCTGAATAATCAGCCTGTTTGTTTTTTCCTGCAGCGACTCTGAAGGTGAACGAATCCGTCGACACGATCCCCAAACTGACCCTGAATCCCCGCAGCTACGTGACCACCCAGTGCCCAGGTACAGCTCTGATTGGTCGGTTTAACCCTGTTTAATTTCAGCCTCAGAGTCTCTACTGTTTAATGAGGTAATAATAAAATAATCTGACGTCTGTTTGTTCAGGAGAAAGTGCAGCTGCTGCTTTTAAAGATCTGAAGAAACTGTCCCGCATCTTTAAAGACCAGCTGGCGTACCCGCTGATCGCTGCGGCCAGAGCAGGTACACACACACACACACACACACACTAACACATGGGTGATAATATTTTGTAATAACATAAGTAGGGCAGTGTCTTTTCTACATTGAGCTGCTCTCGTGTTTTTCCAGCGATGTCTCTGCCCGTGGCGTTCGGTCTGGCGGCTCTTCCTCCTGAGCTCCTCCTCAGAGTCCTCAGGCTGCTGGACGTCGTCTCTGTGGTCAGATTGTCTTCAGTCTGCAGACACTTTCACATCGCCACAGCAGACTCTGCGCTGTGGAGACACCTGTACCAAAGAGACTTCACAGGTGAGTGTGTGTGTGTGTGTGTGTGTGTGTGTGTGTGTGTGTGTGTGTGTGTGTGTGTGTGTGTGTGTGTGTTGTCTTAGAGATGTCAGGGTTTATTTGTGGTCATTTAGATATTTGTTAAATAAACTTGGTATGTTTTGGTTCAGGTTCAAGTCTCAGCAGACCAATAGACACAGACTGGAAAGAGGTGAGCAGAACAAACTGTCCCATACTGTAGAAAAAGTGAAAGTTTAATCTCATGATCTTATTTTTGACTTTATTACTGGTTGAACATCATGAGAGTCTCTGTGTTTCCACCTCCAGGTCTATAAGCGCTACCACAAAAATCGCTCTGAGCTCCTCAGAGGTCGCCGTTTACCCCTCTATCGCTCCTTCCCTCCTCAACCCTGGAACCCTCGGGACATCTTCCAACCCCTCCCCATTCCCATCCACCCTCCTGTACCCGGCATCATCGGTGGGGAGTACGACCAGAGACCAAACCTACCCCGCGGACTCCTTCCCCGGCCTCGCTTCGACCCCATCGGCCCGCCACGAGATCCAGAAAGACGACCTCCGAATTTCAGACCGGCGGGGGGTCGACCTGCAGACGTACGGCGAGGTTTCATCTGATTCTTCTTCAGAAGTAAAACACAGATCTAAACCAGACAAATGTTTGCAGGTGTGTAAGGAGAGTGGAACAAATAAATAAATCACAGAATAAAAAGAATAAAAAGAGAGCTGTTGATCAGACATTCCCTCTGTGTCTTTACTGAGCAGGGAGGCAAGGAATCAGCAAGGACCAATAACAAGAGAGAAGGATCATCTCTCTTAAAGTGCTCACAGAGAGGCTTTCCTTTAAAAACCTGTCTGATATAAACACCGTAACAGTTGACTCATATTTACAGCTGACTGTGGTCAGACTTCATCTAACATGAAATCTTCGTCTGGTTTATGTTCTCAGATTAACTTGAGTTTAATGACTGTTCTCACCACAGCAGACCTGCAGTTCGGTCTCCTGCTGTGTTTAATCCTGTTAGGAGTCATCTGTTTGGAAGCTCATTTTTGTGTTCTAAAAAAATATAAAATAAAAGCTCCAAAAAGCACTAAAGGGCAAATGGTGTTTTTTGTTGGTCCTCTGTTTTGTTTTTTATCAAACAAAATGTTAATTAAATTACATGAAACTTAAAAGAATTTCACATAATGTAAAATTGTGAATAAATTGATAAAGAAGTTGATAAAATTGTGCATATAACTTAAAGAATATAAAATTTAAACTTTGAATTATAGAATTATATGAAATGCAAGTTTTTATATAAAGGTAGAAGTAGTGTACAAATTGTTGAATTTAGCATACAACTCAAGCTATTTTACAAAATATAAAAATGTAACAGTCTATGTATATATACTACTTTATATACTACTCTATATACAGTCTATGTATTTATACTACTCTATATACAGTCTATTTATATATAAACTCTATACTACTCTATGTACAGTCTATGGATAAAACTCAAAAAAAGAAAAAGAAAGTCTCGCGAGTATAATGACGTAATCCCGCGACTTCATCAGGAAACGCGAACATAACAAACAACATCGCGGCTGAGAGACCCCTCAAGCTTTGTCCCGTTTTCTCCTGGAGCTGCGGACTGTTTCTGAGTTTTATTCATCTTTATTCTCATTATCAACATTTTATAACCTCTGCGCTGTTAGCTGAGTGAAGCTAACGGGAGCTAGCTGCCTGCACGGTAGCGTTGGACCAAAATGGATGAGAACAAGGTAACGTGCTAAAGGCTACATGCTAACCCTCATCATGGTGTTTTCACTTAAGAAAGCGTTCATCAGGGACAAAAATAGTCTTTATCCGTTAATAGACTTTCATCTGTATGTATGTTAGATGAGTAAGTAATGCCCTGATAGTAAACATACATTATCAGCATGTAGCCAACTGTAAGTTAACAAAGAGTGACTTCACAGTTTTTCTTTTATATAATGTCCACCCAACTCGGTCCTGATCCAGAACCACAATACTTGGACTTGTTTAGTCTGGACTCTATTCCTCTACAGGGGCTATTGATTGTTTTAAACACAGTTTCAGATTGTGGACCCTCTTTTCCAGTCTTGGTGTTAAATAACCTTTTATGCCTTTTACTGTTTTATCGCTTGCTCATTTCTGTTGCTCTATTTTATCATAACTTTTAACAGTATTACGTGTTAATATTTTGTTATCATTGTTGATATTGCCTTTTATCTTTACTATCCTGTTTCTGCTTTCAGCCCCCCTTTTAATTGCATTTTCTTTTTTCTTGACTATTTTATGTTTTTAGTTCGGTCCTCATGGTCTCATTTTATGTTGCATGGTTCTTTATTGTCTGGGTTCCTTATGACATGGAAATGTCCTTCAATTCCGTTTTAAATGAGCTTTTTGTTTTTAACTGTCTTTTTCTATGTGCTCTATGACTATATGGCAACGTACTTTGTAAACTTCTGTTTTTAAAGTGCTATAGAAATAAAGTTATTATTATAATTATGATTATTGATCCAAACCCGGTTAAACGAGGTTCAGGACAGAAACAGAAAGGACACTGTCATTTTGCATTTTCACAAATAGATGGCTAATTTAATAAATCTGAAATCATGTCTTTGAGAGACTGTAACATCCGTTGACTGGTCTAATCTATATCTGATAAGTCTTAGCCTTGTAGTTCTGGACCTGGTTTAATATCACCAAGACATTTTTCTGCTCTTCACAGAAAAATTCAAGGTCCCACAAGTCACTTTTAAAGATACTGAGATATTCTGGTCCTGGTTTAACTAATTTCTGTGTTATGGTGAAAATGAGGAAGTTGGCTTTGCCCCTGATTTAGTGATGGAGCTGCTTGTGAGATGTGTCCAATAGTGTTGTAGGCAAGACCGCACCAACCGAGACCAAGACATTACCAAGACCAGACAAGACCGAGTGAAAATGCCTTCGATTCTGAGACGACACCAAGACCCTCAAAAAATGGTCTTGAGACCGATCTTGAGTACTATAACACTACTGTATGGTAACCGTTAGCTTACCTGTCTTTATGCTTCCTCTCGAATTGACGGTAAAAGTTTGAAGTCGTACCAGCTGTGAGTTGTGCACTGCAGAATCTGCACACTGCAGAGTGTTTTCACTTGCATGTCGTTTTACAAATAAACTCCTTGTGGTTTAGGAAACCGAACTTAATTATTGCTGAGTTGGCAGACATCTTTCACGACGAGTTCACCGGGTGCCGAGCATGAACACAGCCTCTCCTCCTGTCGTCTCCATCATCTTTCTGTATGGAGGGGGTGTGTCAGTCACTCAGACTGTGTGACACTGGGCAGGTAACTTACCAGCTGCAGGTGGGGGAGAATCATTACTACCAATGATGTGAAGTTATTAGCTCGACCGGTCTCGTTCAAAAACCCAAGTCCGCTCACTCCGGGACCAAGAAAAGACCGAGTGAAAATTCCGAGACGACACCAAGACCCTCAAAACATGGTCTTGAGACCAAGACCGATCTTAAGTTCTAGTGTCCAACCTCCTGATCTGTGTCAGCTCTAAAATACCTCATGAATTATTTCCCTCTGATAATAACGCAGTGTTATCTGTGTGTTCAGATGGTGGCTGGCAAAGTAAAGAAACCGGGCAAACGTGGACGTAAACCTGCAAAGATCGACCTGAAGGCCAAACTGGAGCGAAGCCGTCAGAGCGCGAGAGAGTGTCGGGCCAGGAAGAAGCTGAGGTACCAATACCTGGAAGAACTGGTTTCTAGTAAGGAGAGAGCCATCTGCGCCCTGCGGGAGGAGCTGGAGATGGTAATGGAACCGTTTTTCAGGGAGAGCTAGATAAACCGATCATTTTAATCTAACAGTCGATGCCATGTAATTCCATTTTTTCGGAGAATAATTCAGGTTTGAAGTTTTATGTTTCGAGGGCTGATAAAACAGGTGTTCAGCAGTTTGAGTTTTGGATGTTTGCTTGTTAATTTCATTAGTTTTTGTGTGTTTCTGTCTTGCAGTACAAGCAGTGGTGCTCAGCCATGGATCAGGGGAAGATCCCGTCTGAAATTAAAGCTCTGCTGACCGGAGACGAGCAGAAACTGCCTCCAGGGGGCAGCAGCACAAAGACTACGAAGAACAAGAACAACATCAGCAGTAGCAATGGATGAATGCTTGAAAGTGAGAGAGTGAGTGAGTGAGTTTAAAATGCTGCTGCTTATTCCGTCTATAAACACAAACTAACACATAGCTACAGGCTCCACTTCTGCTCATTTCCTTCATTTCACATCTTTTCAGTCTGTTTCTGCTTCTCACAGCGACACAAACTCTGTGAGGAGCTCAAAAACTATACTTTTTCTTAAATAGTAAATATTTCCTCCTGAGGAGTTGAAAAAAAGTCGTCCCTCCTGCCCCAGAGTTAAAGTTGAGAGGTTGTCAGAGGGGATCAGCGTGTACAGAGATGTTAAAGAGTGCGTTGATAAATGTTGGATATATTTTTGTACTTGTAATTCATATGTAAGCTTAGAGGAAGTGTGTCTTTGTTTGTGAATCTTTTGTTCAGACTGCTCCTGACTTCCTATTTGAGATCATAACTTCATCATTTCTCTATAAATTATTGTTGAGAAACAGACTCAAAGATTCAGTCCACAGCTCCTGTCTGTCCCGTTTCATTCTGCAGCATTATCACAGAAATATCTACATGTTTCTGTTGGAAGTTAAAAAGCTCTCAATTAGTTTTATTTTGTTTAAGGAACTTTGTGCACTTTCCTGTTTTGGCTGAAGCACTTTGGTAGACGGCTGTAGGCTGAAGCTTTGCAACATTTCATGTCTCTGAACTTTTGTTTGGAAAATAAATCATGTGTGACCACTAGAGGGCGTTGTTGATGGACTCTTTATTTAAACAGATGGAAGCATGACTACAAGTACAAAAAAAATATACACAAATTATGTTAACGAGTTTTTCAAAAGTTAAAATCTTTAATAATGCCTTTTAAATAGTATACATGTAGATGATATTATTTAGTTGTACCCATAAATTTGACTGCAGTGGTTGAACCTTCACCAAGTACTGTGGCCTTCAAGGTTTACAAGAGAAAACAAATTACAAATATAAAAATATATGATGAAACATTTCACAAAGCACAAAAAACTCATGAAGTTGAATATTTTAATTCAAAAAATCAAATGCTTTCATGAAAACCTTTCAAAACACAAACAAAGACTTTCCAATAAATGATAAATAAATAAAACATGATAGCAGATCAAATTTTTTTTGCTAAACACAAAAATATCGCCATACCAAAATATCACAGGGAATACAAAATCTCACATTGTGCAAAAACATTTCACTGAACAAACAAAAAATATGCAAAATGCTAATTTATTTCAGGACAGAAAAAAAAACACTAATCAAAAGTGGACTTTTGTTTGCATTTGCACAAAAACATTTTTTGAAGACTATTTATTGTCTTGTGATAAACTTATTTTTGCATTTCATTACAAGTTTTATTACATCTCATTAAATATTTTTGTTTTATGGAAGTGTTTTGTTAGATGTTATTGTTTTTTGTGGGACATAAGTAAATCTTGAGTTTCATTTTTATGACACTCAGGATTCAGGACCACTGTAACAAAGAATGACACTGAGAAAATATCAGCACATAAAGAGAGAAAAATGTTGGGAAAAAAACCTAATTGTTTTGATCATATTTGGGAAAACAGACAGAAAATCCCATCAGTCTGTGTCTGTTCAAGAATTGTTCTGAAGGCTGCAGGAGTTTTTGTTTCATCTCTGTACAAAAAGGCATGTTCATTTAAACAAATCCACCTGCTTTTGTTTCCCTAAAATGTGATCCGTAGATATGTTTTATTGTTCAGATCAATTGAAACTTTTATTTCACCTGAAAGAAAAACAAAAACTTCTGCTTTTTGGACTTCTCCCTTCACCTCTCTGTTCCTCCTCTGCCAAATCAATCACTTCTCTCTGTTCACGTTTATATCAAAACAATAAACTTCTCAGAGAAGAGAACAAATATGACATTAAAACAAAGTGGGTTCAAATGAATTCCTCCAAGGTTAAATATTTTAACAAAGAATTTTTAAAAAATCTAAAATTTTCAAGGATTTGTACATATATGAACACAGACAAAGACATTTTTCACTACGACTTCTACAAACTTTTTCCTCCCAACAAGATGATTGTATTGCAAGCACAAAATTATAACTTGTTCCCACAAAATAGATTTTTGCCTCTTTAAGATAATATGTGTACATGATGAAAACCAGCAGCTTTTGTATCACACAGGGAAGATCAGAGTATTTTCAGAGATTGTCTGGATCCATCCCTGAAAAATAAAGATAATCTGCAGTAATTTATGGATCTAGGTTTTTCTTTAAATAAGTTTTGAAATGGAGGCTTGTCTTAAAATTGTGGTACTCTTATATCCTGGTCATTATGGTACCTTGTTGCCCACAGAAGTGTCATTAGTAAAAATCAAGCCAAATGTCTGGTTTCGTAACACAATTTGTCCGCTGTGTTATCATCAGAGTGTAATTAGTCTCTGGTCAGTGTTAGCATGTTGGCGTCCTCCAGCTCTGCAGCAGCTTTGATGCTTTCCTCCTCATTCATCAGTGACAGTTAGCCATGCGTACTAATCGCTCCAGAATGAGAAACCTTTCAGGGTCCTTTTGCTTTCATCACGTCCTTTGTCCTCTGTCTGCTCACCATCCTGAAGCTGAGAATACAGAGGGACATTAAACGCTGCACAGCCCAATCTGCAGGAGACTGGGCTGATTCACAAACACTCCCATGACTATTTTCACATTGATGTCCATAAAATCAGACAGATTTTATTAATAATAATAATAATAATTATAATAACTCTATTTTTATAGCATTTTTAAAAACTGAAGTTTACAAAGTGCTTTGACAAACAGTTGTAAAGCACTAAAAACAAAAGCTCAGTTAAGAACAATGCCTCTGAATTGAAGGCCAATTTCGAGGCCAAAATTTATTGCACACACGAAAATCATGAAATACATTATTTTATGAAACACCAAAAATATTGATGGAATATTCTGTCATGCACACACACACACACACAAAATCATGAGCAAAATAATTCACTGACCACAAAAATTTTGATGAAATATACGATGGAGTAATAGAGCCACAATAAGGAAAAAAAAATTAGGGCTTTAAGATTAAAGTCATTACTAATGGGCATAAAGTCGGAATAAAATTGAGGGTGAGTAATTACTTTATTACAATTTTATTCTTGCAAGTAATGATTTTATTACGACTTTAATTGTTAAGCACTTAAAGCACCTGAAGTGCTTAACAAATGCAAAAAAAAAAAAAAAAAAAAAAATCAATTGAACACACAAAAAACCACGAAATGCATTATTTTATGAAACACCAAAAATATTGATGGAATTTTCTGTCATGCACACACACTCAAAAAAATCACACTAAAAAATAATTCACTGACCACAAACATATTAATGAAATATAAATATTTCTAATGAAGTATTTGTTTATTTGCCCCTCAGGGCCACCGTACCCAAAGCCACAGCCTTCACTTTTGGTTCAGTCCAAATTTTTTATTCAGTTTCCGGCTGAAGTTATGTTTGAAGTGATTATGTGTCGGTTCACTCTGACTGTCCTGCGCCTTTAAGAAGCCTGTTGAGTTCATTTGACTGGAGCTTCGATGACGACATCCCTTTATTTTTATCGCAGTGACCTCATCTCTTATGGCAGCAGCAGCAGGAGCAGGGCAGTCAAACCTCCGCTGCTTTAGCCCCAACTTTACCGCTTCTACTTTCTCTATTAACCCGCCAACCTCTCCCATTAACCGGGTCTGACTCCATCTTTGACCCGGACCACCGTCTGGACCTCTGACGTCGAGTTTCAAACGGTGAGTTAACCGACAACGTCCGCTTTGAGTGTAACTCAGCAGCTGGTAAAGTTCCGTTAACGGGCCTAAAGTTAAAGTTTAGTCCATGTGTGTCGGAGTGAACACCGTCAGGAACATGGAGCAGGAAAATGTCGCTGTTTTGGGGTGTTTTTAGGAGAAACGGCCGGGTGGTCACTCCGTCTGAAACATCGAAACAGACCAACAAAATGTCAGAGAAGAGCTAGCTAACGTTACAACTGAAAATGTCGCCCTTACTCTCATAATACACGTATTTACACAGTGTATGCTGTTCATAAAGCTTTACATTAAAGTTAAACTTGACAGTCAACTCATTTTAAACAACACCAAACCTCCTTTAGAAATATGAAGACTTAATGAGAGGTGGTTACAGTTATATGTAAGTTTAATGTACTTCTTTTCTGACATTATCTTAGACATTTTGATCAAGTTTGAGTCATTAAGAAGTACCAACTGCCGAAAATGTCTTTCAAACTACATTAAACTCTAATTTATCTTAACATGCCGATTACATAAGCGTATTTTAGCTGACAGGAGCTCCACGGATATCCTCTTGAATAACACCAAACCTCATTTAGAAATTTGGAAACTTTAGTAGAATATTTAAAAACTATCTGTAGAGGTAATGTCTGACATTTTAAGCGTTTTCATCATCATATGAAAGTATTTTAGTAATAACTAATTACTACAGTCATGATTCTAGGTGTCAGCAAGCACCAGGAAATATCAGTAGTATCCGTATCAATATTATTTCACTAGTCAGAAGTGCATTTTCTCCCTGTAGGATTTAAGATCTACTGAGATTGAAGCAAAGTGTCATAGACCTAAGTTGATATGGAGTCACTGCTTGAATCAAACAGATGTCAGAATACATCTTCTCATTATTGATCACAAAGTTAGGTGATAGTTTTAGCTTAACAGACAGAAATTACATTAAAGACAAATTAATCTTAACATGCCGATTACAGAAGCGTATTTTAGCTGATAGGAGCTTCACGGATATCCTCTTGAATAACACCAAACCTCATTCAGAAATTTAGAAACTTTAGTATAGGCTTAACAGTCAAACTTTTGGGACAGATTTTGAGTATGGAGGTTGATCTACCAAAAAAAAACAAAAAAACAAGAAACATTTCTGCTTCACAATCTGAATTTTTATTTCATATTTAACTTAATTCGGCAACCAAATAAAGAACAGAAAAGTGTCAGTGATCAGCAGAGAAGCTGACAGACTGTTTGGAAGTGTCACACAGAGAGCAGGTTTAGGAAATAGTCTTACTCATCAAGTATGTGACCCTGATAAAACTACAAAGCGTCATGGAAATGCGGAAAGGAGAGGCAGATAATTATTTGTGCAGATTAATTGGGTCAGTTTATATAATTATGAAATAATAGGTGGATATCTGCGCCTCTGGGGTGGTTTAAATAAATGAATGAGTTAAATATCAGCAGACAGTGCCGGCAGCCTTGTCACTGATGCTGCTGCCAGGTTGCATTAAAAACTCCTTAAGTGATAAGAGGATTTTTCCATCTTTAATGACAGCTGATCAAATCCAAAATAGCTACTGATGAGTGTTTAATACATACCCTGTGATCATTTGTACTAAAAAGAATTAAACATTGCCCCTTATGTAAATATGTCGTTTCAGAAATCAGTTGCGAGTAATACAAGGTTTGACACAGCTTGTCTCTGTTACTTTTTGCACACCTCTGTGGTAATAAAACGATCTGAAGGTTACATCTTTACAACAGAGATCTGAGTATAGCAGTTAGTGCCCACTAAATTCAGTTTTTAGGTGCATTAGCATAGATTATTTATTTCACCTTTTTTTTTCCATCTCACTTTTTCTGAACAAAATATTCAAACATGATGGTTCCAGCTTTTCAAAAAGAAGATAACACATTCATTTAATTTTTTCAGAGTTATGAAATGAATATTTTGACATTTCAGACAGGGATTTTTAGAGCCCGACTGATTAAATCGGCCAATTTTAGCCCGCTTGAGACTTATTGGTAACCGGCCAAAACTCGCTGATTTTCGCAGATATTTTCAGAAATAAAAGTTGAAAACGCTTTTCTGGTCTGAGTTTGATCAGTCGGTCTATTCCTGTCAGTGGGAAGAGCAGTAGCCTACAGTATATGTACAGTATATAGTATATTGTAGTATAAAGTATACTGTAGATATCTACAGTATATATATTTTTCTAACTTCATAAAAATTTTTAAATCGGTAATCGAATTCCCCCCCTCTAATAATCGGTATCCATATCGGTTGGGCCCTAGTGATTATAACAACAAAAAAAGGTCAGATACTTTAATTCAGTGATTTGACTAAATAAGTTCTCACTTTTATGTTGTTTGCTCCATTCCTGACTTTTTACAGGACCTTGAATGCAGCATTTTAACCCACTCCAGTCACATTTTCTTATCTCAGCTGTTCTCAGTGTCTGGATCACGTCACTTTTTTCAACCTAATCCGAGCCTTTTTCCTGTTGTGTAAGCGATCAGATCTGTATGCTTTATAAAATGATTATTTCCTATGATGTCACTGAGAGGCTAAAGTCCTCTGATTGGCTCTTGGCTATTAACCTTTGATCGGAGTCAGCAGACAGGTTGAACTCTAAACTCACCTGCCGCAGGTCTCTGTCAAAATGCTATCTTATTCTCCTGATTGGAGCTTATTTATACTTTTTATTTTCCATCATTGTGACTCCAGGTTGAATATTTTTAGTGCTGAGTCACTTTTTGAGCTGCAGAGGAAGTAAGAGGGAAGATGAGGTTATTTTTGACCTTTCAGAAACCACAGTTGCTTTATTTATTTTCATTTTAATTCAGACTTTTTCTGCTCTGAACAGAGTCGCTCTTTGTTCACAAGTGTCAGCTGTTTTTACAGTTATTATATAAACTGTCCTGAAATAGAAACAGAGTGATGTGATTTTGATCTCCTCAAGCTGTATCCACGCAAAGATAAGGTTAAAATTTCCATTGAATATCATCATTATGCTTTTCATGTTTTGTATTAAAGTCTGAACAAACAGCACTTTATTTTTTAAAGTCTGGTTTGATAACCTTTTCGTTTTTGAGCGTACAGAAAGCCAACATTGATCATCATTTCCTCCTCGTATGAAGATGTTTTTCTGGGTGAATCCCTGATATGAGATGCTCTTTGTTTAGTGTTTAGGGAAGTGCAGAGACAGAAGCAGAACTTGGACAAAGGTCATTTGGTTTCAGTTTGTTATAAAGCATGTTTTTATTATTCACATCATATTTTTTTTTTGTGGATCGTACAGTCAGACAGCACTGACCTCCTTTTCTGTGACCTCTGAGGATCATTTTTGTAGTGTCTCTGAGGCGTGATCGGGCTGAAGTTATGTGACTCTGATGCCATCTGTTGCAGGATCTCGCAGTCAGTAATTTGTCTGAGATCAGATGTCTGTAGAGGAATGTCTCGACTTGAAGAAACATAATTGAATCTAATTTATTCTGCTTTATAGTGTGAAGATGAACAGAAGTAAAAGACTTTAGCCCCAGGCTGCAGCTGCCGTCTGAAGCTTCACACATTTAAAACTATTTTAAACACATCTGATTTAAAGGTTACTAAAGCTTTTCAGACATCCATAGAGGTCCTGAAAACTTCTTGAAAATTTCCAGGTGAGCTACATGTGTGAACATGAACCGCTGAAATTTTGCCCTTGAATTTTTTATGCAGACCCCCATGATATAATTCCAGGGTGAAGTCAGGGCAAGATCATGTGAGAACACAGCAGGAAACCCTCAGGAAAATTCAGGACATGGTATGATGGCATTTTTCATGCAGTCAGTGTTGTGTTTAGTGTAGCTGCTTGGATGGAAGAGGATTCTCTAACTAGAGGACCAAACTCCATTAAATAAAAGCAAATATTTTGAGAGTTATCTTCTCGTCTCAAAGACAGACCAGAAAAATCCTGAACATCAACTTTTCATAGATTAGCATCCTGATGTAGTCATTTCAGCCTGTTTGTTATCATTAAACCATACTCAGATCTATTGATTTTGGCTCCAAATAGAGATTCCAGCTGATTTTTATGTTACTTTTTCAGGCGTAATGAAACTGAGATTTGGCACAGACAAATTCAGCGAAACAAAATCTGTAAAACTGATGCTCACTCGCGACAGTGAATTTAAGACTTGTTGCAGAGAAAAAGTGAAACTGAGACTAACTGGAAACAGCTACAGTGAAACTGAGACTGTGGAGATTAATTTAGTGAAAAGGCGACTCAGTAAAGACAGATACAATAAAACTGAGACCAAATGAAAACATTGCAGACTCAGCAAAGATACAGAGATACTGAGACTCAGCTAATGCAAAAACAGTACAGCTGGGACTCAGTAGAGACAAAGACAGTGAAAGTGACTCTCAATAGAAGCAGTAACAGTGAAACTGAGACTCAGTGGAGACAGATAGCGGAACTTTAAGACCCAGTAGAGTCTTACACTTTAGTTGAAACAGCTACAGTGAAACTGAGACTTAGTGGAGATAGATAGACAGGCTCTCCAAAGACAGATACAATAAAACTGAGACCAAATGAAAACATTGGAGACTCAGCAAAGATACAGAGAAACTGAGACTCAGCTAATGCAGATGCAGTACAGCTGGGACTCACTAGAAACAGATAATGTAAAGCTGAGACTCACTAGAGACAAATACAGTGAAAGTGACTCTCAATAGAGGCAGTAACAGTGAAACAGAGACTCAGTGGAGACAGATAGTGGAACTTTAAGACTCAGTCGAGACTTATAATTTAGTTGAAACAGATACAGTGAAACTGAGACTTAGTGGAGATAGATAGACAGGCTCTCCAAAGCTGAAATCAAATGGTGGTCGCTGGTGTCCGTCAGAGAAATCCTGGTTCTTGTCCTAGCTAACAGTTTATAAATCCGGACCTGGTCAGCCTAGACCAGAGGGAGGAGGAGGAGGAGGGGACATTAACCAAGCTGATTGATGTTAACACCTGGACATCATAGTATTTGATTTTTCTAATGTATTCCAAACGGTTCAGGTTATGGTTGGAAATATTTTGAACAAAGTTTTTTTGGAAAAGCTGTTACAGTAAAGCACAAAGATTTAATGAACTGAGAGATTTTCATTTCAAGCTTCAGACTGTTTCATTCATTGAGTCAAACTCAGGCTGAGGAGTCAAATTTATGGGGTGAGTTTGCAGAATTAAACCTTTTTATTATGTTTGGATCTCTGTCGGGTTTTGAATTTAATGTGTGTGGGCTGCCGGTGGAGGAGGAGGAGGAGGAGGAGGAACATGTTCGGGGATTTTCTTTCTGTAACTGCAGGTTTTACAACACAAGGGAATTTCCTGCTGCCGAGCTCTGAGTCAGGAAGTTTACTTCAATCAGAAGACGTGTTCACGGTTATTATTAGATGATGTTCACTTTAATTTAAAGCCGTTAATCTACATTCTGGATCTGTTGCATGTCAGTCAAACAGCCTACAGTGAAGTGATGGAATTCAGTCGTTAAACTGATGAAACTTTCTGCTGATCCAGATTATGGTACCTGGAAAAACTCCTGTCATGATTGGTTTGTAGTTTAATTCAAGTTAGATGTTTCTGCTACACGGCGTTTTCTTACAGTAAACTTTAAAACCGTGTCATCATGGAAAGTCAGAGAGTTTCACACGTTAAAAAACTCATAAATATCCAAATTTGATCAGAAAAAGACTTGGACACAATGACCTCAAAGCTAACTTTGATGTTGCTGGAATAAAGCTGGGATCTTGCAGAGACTCATTTTTTCTATTAATGTCTCATGTTTGACTTTTTTTCTCCTCGAAAAAGAAAAAGCTTCACAGTAATGTAAGTTTGTAGATGCAGATCGTGACATAAAAGGGGATGGAAATTATTTGAAGCGAAAGAAGTCAAAGAAGTCTTGTCGTAGAAACTTGTAAGACTGGACGGGTGTCACAGCAAACGTAGAAAGTTCTGACATTTGTTATCAATTATTTACGTGATTGTGTTAATGTGAAACAGCGTGCAACATGAAGCCAAGTCTAACTCGGGTGTTTTTACCCCCACAGTGTGAGACCTCTTCAGGATGAGGACCAGGATGAAGGTGCAGAGTGACGTCATCAGAGCTCAGACCAGGAGAAAAGACGCTTTTTGTTTCACGCCTGCTGTGGTGTGAATGAAACCGACCCCCCCCCCCAAAAAGACTCAAACACACACACAAACACACAAAAACAAGCAGAGACACACACAAAAACACACAGTCTGACACACAGCAGAGTTAGTTAGAGGGGGTCCAGCTTCTTTTTCTCCTTTTAGTGCAGAGTAAGGCCTCTCTCTCTCTCGCTCTCTCTCTCTCTCTCTCTCTCTCTCTCTCTCTCTCTCTCTCTCGCTCTCGTTCTCTCTGTGTCTCTCGTCCCGGGCTTTTTGGACTGCCGAGCGCCATCAGAATGACATCATACCCGACCGACACAATGAAGCTCTTCATCCTCTGAGGTTCCCCGCCAGGCTGCGTCACTGCACTGGACCGCCGGCCCGGGACACCCATCAGAAGGAGAAGGAGGGGGAGGAGGACTACGAGCAGGGAGGGAGGGGGGTGGGGGGTGGGAGGGATAGGGGAGGGGGAATAGTTTGACATGTCGGAGCATCCTGCTGGACCAGGATCATGGTCCAGGTCTGGGTCGGGGGCTCTGAGGCCCAGGGCGGTGCAGGCGATCGGGGCGGAGGCTCTGGTCGCCCTGCTGGAGGGGGGGCTGGACCGGGTGGTGCTGATCGACAGCCGGCCCTTCGTGGACTATAATGCCTCGCACATCCTGGAGGCGGTGAATGTGAACTGCTCCAAACTGATGAAGAGGAGGCTGCAGCAGGACAAAGTCCAGATCGCCGAGCTGCTGCAGCACTCGGCCAAGAAGAAGGTAAACACGCCAGACAGAGAGGACGAGACATTCAGAGCACGCATGAGAACGAACAGGGTTTAAGATTTCTAATGGAGGGAGAGTTTACTGAAGATGCTAACAACGAATTAGAAATGTTAAATGACTCTAATTTTGGAGATGAGATGCACTGATCCATTTTTTTCCAATCCAATCCGATACCGATACCTTGGCTGAGTGTATCGGCCAATATCCGATACCAATTCAATACGACTGTTGAATGAATGAGCTGTATATCTTGCCCTGTGAGTGAAGGCATCAGGCTTGACATTAGCCTTGTTAAAAAGAAAGTAACAGATTAACACAGATATAATTTACTTAATATTATTTGGTAACAAATAAAAAAATTTACATTAGCACACAGAAAAAAAGTAAGACTTCCATGTTTTGCAAGAAAAATTAATTAAAAGAAAAAAAAACAGATTGGAATGTTGGATCGGCATCATTCATCTGATATCCAATCCAGTTAATTTGTCAATATCGGAGCCGATATCCGATCTACATATTGGATCAGTACATCCCTACTTTGGTGGTCCATCAGCATTAAGATTCTCCTGATCTCCTTACAGGTCAGATGTGGTCAGAAAAGGCCCAAAGTATTCAGAAAATAAACATTTAAAGAGGTGTTTTCTCATGTCCTGGCAGGCAGCTCTACGGTGGCCCTGAAGGTCAACGACACAATCGTTTCATGAACTCAAAGAAATTTACAAAAACAGCTACAACCATTCTCTATAACACAAAAATACTTAAATATATATATATATATATTCAAACACAAACATATTTTTTTTAAATTCTTTTTTTTTTTTTATTAAATGCAAAAATATTTCTTAGCATTGAAAAGAATTTACAAGAAGCCAAAACATCTTTGCAAAATCACCAAAATTTTAAGAAACACAAATTATTTTTGCATTTTTGTGAACATATTGTCATGAAATATTTGGCTATTACTGAAATTTTGCATTTATTGATTGTTTTCGGTGCTACATGAAATACTTCAAGTTAGGGCCCGACTGATTTATCGATGAGCCAATTAAATCGTCCAATTTTAGCCTGTTTGAGACCAATCAGTAATCGGCCAAAACTGTAGACATCTACAGTATACATATATTTTTTTATAACGTCATTAAAAAATTTAAAATAATAAGTAATCAGATTTTTCCCCCCTAATAATCAGTATCGGCATCAGCCCCAAAAATTCTGTATCGGTCGGGCCCTACTTCAAGTTTTTGTGACACTTTGGTGCTCTCTTATATTATTGGGTCTCATGAAATGTTTTCCACGTCAGTGAAAAGACCTTCAGGGCCACCATTCATACCTGACAAATCCTGAATTTTACCTGTTTTCAAAACCAGTGTCCTGATGTTATGTCAGCATCGTCTTGAGTGTTTGCTTTCATTCCTTGTGCAGCAGAGTTGGTTTAGCTCTTTCTGCTCCTCTCTAAACATGGTCTTAATCTTGTATCAGTGTTGCATAAGTGGTTGCACCCGTTTTTCTCTGAGTCATCACTCGATCAAACCAGAACAAACAGACTTGTACAGCTAAAATCAGTGCGAGCGGTTAATAAATCAGCTCGATGACAGATAAACATCAGATACTGACGTCGCTACAAGACAGATTCTTTTCTAGTGAACTGATGTGTGACTCCAAGATAGGTATGTTTAGTTAAGAGTTCAGAGGATACATCAGGGCTCTACTACTCATGACAAAAAAATTAATTTAAGGGACAAAATGAGACAAACATTCTGATTATAAACATGGTGGTCTCTGCCTCGGTATGAGAAATCAACGACTTCGAAAGCACAGAGGTTCCTAAACTTGGTGAAACGTCAAACCTGGCTCACTGTAAATAAATACAAATCACTTTTTTACCCTGCTGAAACTGACAAACCCTTTAAAAATGACATTTCAGAGACATGAACTGATCTTTTTAATGTGATTTTATTCATTTAAGTGTTTGATACTTATCAGCTGCACTGATTTCAGCTGTACGAGTCTGTTTGCTCTGGTTTGATCGAGTGGTGACTCACAGAAAACGGGTGCAACCACTTATGCAACTCTGCTAATAGATTGAGAACATGTTTAGAGAGGAAAAAGAGGAATACCAGTTCTGCTGCATGAGAACTGAAAGTGAAAATTTGGACAGATATTTGGATTCAACGACGTTGTACATGTCCTGACCTCTCTTCTCCATGTGTGTCCACATTTCTCCTCATCCTGACGTTCCCTCACTCGCTCTCTCCTCAAACTGAACGTGGGCGTCTGACCTCAGAGCAGTTTATTTTTATTTAACAAAGAGAGTTTGCGAGCTTTAGAGGCCGCTCCTCCCTTTTTGTGGCGCTGTGTTAAACTGGAATAACGTCTTTAAGGAAGCTCGGCCGCTCGCTTTATTACTGAGGCAAATTTTTCCATCCGATTATGAGCTGTAATTAATTCAGTGAACGGCGGAGGAGAGAAAGCAGAGTTTCCTCCAGTGAGTTAAAGCTGAACAGCAGCCAAACCTCAGAGGGTTGTTCTCCGTGTGCAGCTGAGAGGAGGCTGAGTGATCACACAGACCTGATCGAAAATGTTCATCCTGAGAAATCCTGAGAAATTTGAAACAAGAAAACACCAAACAGAAGGAAATATTCTGTAAACGTTGCGTCTTATTCTTGCCTGATGCAGGATTTCAGCCACTCAACAGTTCAGGGTCTCCTTTGTCCTATTTTTGGTGTTATGATGCGCCAGATATTTTCAATGGATGACAAATCAGGACTGCAGGTAGGCCAGTTTCTCAGCAGGACTCTTCTACGACAGAGCTATGCCGTTGTAATCCCTGCAGAATGTGGTTTATGAAAGTATGGGGGTCTTTCCTGAATAAGTCATTGTCTGAATGGCAGCAGATGTTGCTCCTAAACCTGTAGATATTGTTCCGCATTAATGAAGCCATCACAGATGTGGAAGAGACTCATGACATGGACTCTTGATTTTGCTTGATTTGGACTGGGAGTTGATAACTAGCCAAGTGGTCCCTCTCCTCTTTGGAGTGAAGGATGCAGCGTCCAAGACAGTTTTCCTATTCCCCTTAATCCGCCTTAAATGGGATCAGGTCCACAGAAGTCTTCAGTGTTTCTGGATCATGTTTTTTTGTTTTTTTTTCCAGGGTAAAAGACACAGCGTCTATGATTTCAAAGAGAAAAAGTCAAGTTTGGATGTACCAGACATCAGGACAAATTTAAGTTTGTGATGCAGTGATGAATTGTGGTCAAAGACAATAGATTTGAAAGTAATTTTGAGTCCATGCAGTGATTTCCACTACAGAGTCCTGTCTGTTTTAATGCTGTTCTACCTGAGGGCCTGATGACCAGGACCATCCAGTACTGGTTTTGGTCCTTGTCCCTTTTGTACAGAGAGGATATTACGATCTGTAGTTGTGTTATTTCCATTGATGATGACGTTGACGAAATATTTTCATCAACATCATTGTCAACGAAAACAACACTGCAGAATATATGTTTGGCGTTTGACTGACGAAATGCTCATGAATTTTGCAACTCTGTTCGTCGTCCACCACTAACGTTTTCGTCTAGTCTGGTCTGGTCTCGTCTCATCAACGTAAACGCACATTCGTATCATCACATTTTAGTCATCTAAGACTTGTGTTTAGCTCGTCAACGTCACGTCTTCGTCATGGAAAAAAAGGGGAACAACACTGATCTGTAGATGATGAAATCCTCAAATTCAGGAACATTATTCTGAAACTGTGGAACCATAAGCTTACACAGTCTCTCACAGAGTGGTGAACCTCCTCTGAGCCTCTCTGAATGTCCTTTTTATACTCAGTCATGTAACTACCCTGTTAGAAATTAACCTTGTTAGTTGGGAGATGATCCTCCAGAATTCTGTTTTACCATCTTGACTCCTGAAGAAGTGATTTTGTGATAAAACTGTTTTATTGTATCTAAAGACTGTCTGACTTTTCTTGTGTTTCTGTTTTTGTAGTTGGAGTTTGTGGGCGATCAGGAGGTGGTGGTTTACGATCAGAGCTCTTCAGACCCGTCGGCTCTCAGCTCCGAGTCATTCCTCAGCGTCCTGCTGCTTAAACTGGAGAGGAGCTTCCCCTCCGTACACCTGCTCTCAGGTCAGTCTCAAATAAGTCCTCTTCTGAAAAATCCACAAGACTAGAACAAGTCAGCAGATCCAAAGACTGAGGCACTCGCTGTGACTTGCAGGACTGAGACTTTTTCATGTCAAACACCTGTGAGACAGAGACAAGTCAGATCCAGAGACTCACAAGAGTGAGACAAGTCAGTCGTGAAACACTTGTGAGACAGTGACTATTTAGAGTGAAGAGATCCTTTAAAGACAGACAAGCGTCTTTAAGGTCTTTCCAGAAAGACTAGTGAGTTGAAGCCTGGAGTTTCAGAGACCTGTAAAGACTCGTTGTTGCAGCGGAATAAACCTGATAGTCTGAGGAAAGATAAACTCTGGTCTGTGTGACTGAGAGTGTTTTCTCTCTGTGTGTTTGAGTCAGTCGTGATAAATCGGTTTATGAGTCTGATGACAGGCGGCTCGTCTGCAGACCTTCTCCTCTCCGCCGAGTGTCTGGTTATGTAACGGTGATGTCATGCTTCATGGCGGCTCCACCCTCACATATAAAAACACAAAGACTTCTGGTCTTCCTAAAATCACTCGGTCAAAGGTTTCACTGTTACACAACGACAGAAACAGCAGTTTGACTTTGCAGAGGGAAAGAGGAACCTGTTTCTGAGAGTGATGATGATGATGATGAGGAGGAGGAGGGACAGGAGAGGAAGAATTAAAGGGGAGTTTACAGAAAGAGAGAGAGAGAAAGAGAGAGAGAGGGACGATCTTCATCAGCTCTGATTCTAAATATAAGACTCTGACTGTAAAGTCTATTAGTATGGACAGACGTACATTAATTATTCACTGTCTCCAGAAGATCAGAAACGAGTGTCACACTTACCTTACACCTCATGTGTATTCTTCCACCGCTGAAAATAGTCCCCGACATATACATCCACTTATTTGGGAGAGCGACCAGAGATGCAAAAGTACTGGAGGCTCCTGGTTTGATATGTGATTTGGTTCATTTTGATCATGGTTTTGATAGATCTGAGTGTTTTTGGTGTTTCATTCTTCACCATGTCTGGTAAAGTTTACAGACACAGAAAGAAGTGAAGAGGAAAAAAGATGTTTTTTTAGTCTCTATGGTTATGAGAACTGAATAAAAAACTTTGAGAGTCTATAAACGTGTGTGCACCTTTGATTCAACCAGAACGACATGAGTTTACTTAAAGTGTAACGTTCATGGGACCCTCCAGACTTTCTAGCAGACTCATAAGGCTCAAACATTACCAATTTTGGGGTTTTAAAAAACGCTAAACTGTGTATTTGATGGGCGGTTATCATTCCTCATTCCTAAGTTAAGTGCGACCCATATTCAGAGGCTGTGGTCCGTCTCTCAGGGGTGGCTGATTCAGGGGTCAGACAGTTTTTCTCTGCGTTTCCTTCCTGCCTCTCTTCAGCTGTTTTATCAATGAAAGGCAAAAAATGCAGAAAAAAAAAAGAAACGACTCTGAGGCACAAATTCAACCGGGGATGCGACAGTTCTCGGGATTACCTCATATTTCGACAGCCTGGCGTTTAAAACATTCAACTTGCAGTTTGTGCTCTGACGCTGACTGAGCTGGAGAAATATCCAGTCTGAGCTGCAGAGCATCCGTCCAGAGGGTCTGTTGCCAGGCAACAGAGGGGAGGATGAGCATGTGATGCAGCTGAGTAAAACTCTAAACCATATTCAGTTTGAATTGATAAAAAGTTTGAGTATTAGAAAACAAAAACATTTATTAAACAGTTTTAGTCCCACTAAAATACTGTCAGTCTGCTGACTTTAAGACGCATTTTCAAATACACGCCACAAACTGATAACCTCAAAACATGAAGAGTGTATTTTATTGTTTGTCTCATAACCATAAAGACTAAAGATAAAATAAACACCGCTCAGATAAAGTTCTAAATCTTTGTGCTCAGTCTTTTATTACTGATCAATCTTTAAACTACTCAGACGTGAGGTCATTTGGCTGAGCAGGTTAGAAAGAATCCTAAATGTGGATTCAGCAAAACAAAGAGAGGATTGAAGAAGTACTTTCAGACTCTTTAAACATTTATCTTTGTGATTACAAACAGAATATTTAATCCTGCATTAACACGGGGCTGAAATACTCTGAAAAATTTAGTTTATTTTCTTTCAGAATAAAAGCCTGTTAGAACAAGCTGATTAATGTGATTTTTTTTAATCTATCAGGTGGGTTCTCCGAGTTCTCTCACCTGTTCCCCGGTCTCTGCGAGGGGAAGTCCTCCATGGTCCCCTCCTGCATGTCCCAGCCCTGCCTGCCCGTCACCAACGTAGGCCCCACCCGCATCCTGCCTCACCTGTACCTGGGCTGTCAGAGAGACGTCCTCAACAAGGTGACAAACCCTGCCTTTCAGATTAAGAGCTCCGTGTTGTTTAAATCAGACTGTAGAATCTGACTCTCTGTTTCTGTGTCAGGACCTCATGCAGCAGAATGACATTGCCTACGTCCTCAATGCCAGCAACACCTGCCCCAAACCGGACTTCATCCCTGAGTCGCACTTCCTGCGAGTCCCAGTCAACGATTCGTTCTGTGAAAAGATCCTGCCCTGGCTGGACCGATCAGTGGAGTTCATCGGTACCTGATCTTTTCTCTCACCTGTCCCGGTGTTTCCGTTTGGATGAAATGAAACTGAAAAGATGAACACTTTGATTTTTCTTGGCATGTTTCAGAGAAAGCTAAAGCCTCAAACGCCCGAGTCTTGGTCCACTGTCTGGCTGGGATCTCCCGCTCTGCCACCATCGCCATCGCCTACATCATGAAGAGGATGGACATGAACCTGGACGAGGCGTACAGGTGAGGAGCAGAGCTTCAAAACTGGACATTTGTGATGTGATACTATCAAGGTTAAGAAAAAACAAAGACAGTCTGATGATTAAAGTATAAAATACACTTTAAATAAAACATAATTTAATCTTTCCAGTTCAGTTGGTCTTCAGAGGGATACTCCGGCGTAAAATTAAGTTAGGGTCAGACACACCGTAACACTGAGTTAGACAACCCGTCAAGAAATGAATGTTGCCGACCGCTTGCTTCTCTACCAACTTTAATAACGACCGCATGATAGCAATACACAGCGGTCTACGTCTCCACACGCAAATCTCAACCAAAAAGCCACTCTATAGCCACAAATAATGCTCAGAACAGCACCTAACTTCATCAACAGTACATATAGGGTCCCAGCCATAGTACTAGCCACTAAACATTTTTTTAACTTTGCCTAATTTCTTTAGCAAAGAGACTAAACACAACTCACCTACTCTCTTCCAGCTGCCGCTTGTTTGTACGTAGACCTCAGGCAAATCCATTACCGCAGCGGGGTTTCGCAGCTCAAGGAAGAACATTTATGATCATTTCTTCATGGAAATGCAATCAGACTGAGATGCTAAGGCAGAAGAACTAGAAAATGATTAATATGGTGTTTATTACTTAAAGGAAATGATAAAGAAATGATCATAAATGTTCTTCCTTGAGCTGCGAAACCCCGCTAAAAAATTAACTTCTTGAAAACTGCAGCAACTTTTGTTCTGATGTCCCACCCCACATTTTATTATCTCAGACTTTTAATTTGAAAGTCTGAAATATTGATCTAGTTTTACTCCAGAGTCACAGGGTATTTTAAAAGCTATCCTGAAATTGGACAGTTTAAGTCGTGTTCAGTTTCTGGTGGTTGTGGGCGGAGCAAATTCCTCTTACATAGCTGAACAGAGTCAGTCCTAATGAGTCCAGATCCTCATTAACCCTCCAATTAAAGAGTCCTCTGTGTCACTGCCTATTACACTCACGCTGCTGATCCCCTCTAATGACCCACACTCTCCCTGTGTGTGTGTGTGTGTGTGTGTGTGTGTGTGTGTGTGTGTGTGTGTGTGTGTGTGTGTGTGTGTGTGTGTGTGTGTGTGTGTGTGTGTGTGTGTCAGGTTTGTGAAGGAGAAGAGGCCAACCATCTCTCCCAACTTTAACTTCCTGGGTCAGCTGCTGGACTTCGAGAAGAAGATCAAGAGTCCTCCTCACGGTACCGACACTAAACTCAAGATCCTCCATCAACCCGAGTCCAGAGAGGAGGTACCTGCTGCTGCTGCTGAGGACAGGAAGTCTGCAGGATCTCAGGAGGAGGGTCCGGGCCCAGGTCCTGGTCTGGGTCTGTCCCTCCTGGAGCCGCTCACACTACCCTGCGTTTTGGCCGACGCCCCCGAGGAGCGTCTCCTGGCCCAGGCTCTGAGCGGCCTGACGCTCCCTGACGGCTCAGAGGAGAACGCCCGTCTCAAGCGGTCCTTCTCTCTGGACATCAAGTCATACGGCGAGCCAGGCGGCGCTGCTCCTCACCGCGTCTTTGTCCCCCATGGAGGAACAGGAGACGCCGCCGACTTCTACAAACCCTCCACCTTCAAGGAGACGACCAGCAAGCCGTGTCAGTTCTCTCCAGTGGAGGAGGTGTCGGAGCAGTCCACACCGGAGCAGAGCCCTGACAAGGAGGAGGCAGACGGACCGGAGCGAGCAGCACTGCCACCCAGCACGCCACCAGCTTCTTCCTGTTTAACCAAACCTCCTCCTGCTGCTCCAAGCCGCTCACAGCCGCTCCACCGCAGTGGCAGCGTTGAGGAGAACACCACCAGCTTCCTGTTCGGCCTGTCCCGAAGCCAGCAGCACCTCGCCAGACCAGGGCCAGGCGGCGCCCTGAAGGGGTGGCACTCTGACATACTACTCGGCCCCGTAACCGTGTCCACTTCCTCCCTGACTGGGGGCTGGTACCTCTCCTCTGACTCCGCCCGCTTCTACTCCACCTCTGCCATCTTGAGCGGGGGCGGCTTAGCGGCGTACAGCTGCGGTGCCGGGCTGGAGGCAGTACGACGGCGCGGACGTCAGAGGACGGGGGACCGCGGGGACTCGAGGAGGAGCTGGCATGAGGAGAGCACCTTCGAGAAGCAGCTGAAGAGACGCAGCTGTCAGATGGAGTTTGGAGACGGACTGACGGACAGCCGGTCAAGAGAGGACATGGGACAGGTGGGCAGCCAGTCAAGCTTCTCTGGAAGTATGGAGGTCATCCAGGTTTCCTGAGACCTGCCCGGGTATCCTGAACCGACCTTGGTGTGCTCAGACTGATTCAGGGACAGACACAGACTCTGGAATCTGAGGCTCCGGATGGATCAGACTGATGCAGCTTCAGAGCTGAGAACAGAACCGTGTCTCACTCAGACAGGTGAAGCGTTAGAGCTCAGAGGTGAGCTGATACTCAGGTCAAAACAGCTGATGTGAGCACCAGTACAGACAAAGTCCTGCCTTTGACTTTTGTTTGAGTGCATGCATATCAGAGGATGAGAGAGTATTGAATTCTGATTGTTTTCAGCCAAAATGTTGCGAGGTTTCACCGTTTACAGCGAGTCTGATGAAGATTATTGACCCAAAGTTTTAGTTTCATCCTGCAGGCGTTTCTGTGGTTTGTTTGAGACATGAGATCCAGCTGAAGGAGATCCAGACAAAAGGATTCAGGAGCAACAACTGTCGTAATCTTTGAAAACAAACCCAGCTGTTTGTCTTTAAATTAGAGAAACCAGATTCACAGACACTTCAAATCCATCAGCAACAAACACTCAGAAATTAACCTGAACTCACGCTTTTACAAACAAATCTGAAGTACAGCTGTTGGTTTTACATACTAAACATGGTCAGAGTGTCAGACTGTGAAGTAAAGGTTTGTTGGAATAATCAGACCAGAACAGCTCCGATTGGTGAGAATCCTTACGAGGGTAAAAATGTCATCTGGCTCTGTTTTTGTTTTGTTTTTTCCCCGAAACTTTGTGGTTCAGATTGGGGTCCAAACATTGACACATATTTCACTATTTGTAATTTTTTTAAATAGGGAGTTCACTCAACAACTGACGTGGCAACAGTGGAGGAAAGTGCCGAAATGTTGGGTTCTGGAATGCTGAAATCATGAATGTAGAATTCTGGCGTTATTTAAGACTGTTGGATTCCACAACTCTAAGGTTATGTTCACACTGCCGGTCAATTCCGATTTTGACACATATCTGATTTTTTCATCTAAGTGTGAACAGTGCAATTCCGATTTTTTTCAAATCCGACCCTTTTGTATTTGAATATAAATCGGATATGTGTGCGATGTGGCTGCATTGACTGCACCTATACGTCATCAATATGCGACAAACATCACCATTGTTCGACAACACAAACAGGTGCAGAAAGAAATTTGTGCGCATGTGGGTCACTTCACGGACGCATTCCGTTCAAATTAGATGCCGCATTCGTTGTTGTAATGTGAACGACCACACAAAAAGATCGGATTTAACAAAAAATCCGAACTGTGCATCATAACCTGCAGTGTGAACGTAACATAAGTTCTGAAATTGAGAAATTCTGAGTTTCGGAATCCTGAGTTCTAGAATGCTTGGTTCAACGCAGAACTGAGAAATGCTGGGTTCTAGAATTCTGGGTTACAGAATAAAGAGATTTAGAGTTCTGGAATGGTGATTTTAAGAATGTTCGTTTCTGAAATGCTTGATTCTGGAATGAAGGATTGAGCAATTCTGAGTTCTAGAATGATGGGTTCCAATATTCTAACTTCTAAAATGTATGGTTCCAGAAGCCTGTGTTCCAAAACCTATGTTCTGGTTCTATAATGCTGGGTTCCAGAGGGCTTTGAAGTGTCTTAAAGAGACAGTAGCGGAAATGAAGCGTTTTAGACGGAGGCTGAAATGAGGGATTTCAAAGACTCTGATTAGAGATAAGGAGTTTTTGAGTAAATTATGGAGAGAGTCTTCAGAGGGAGGGGAGACCACATGTTTACTGTGATGACAGTTGGATGATATAAATGTAAAAACTTCAAAATCAAACACTCACTTTAAAAAAACATAAAATTATTTTAAAAAGTGAAATTTCAGCTCCACTTGGATTTTAACATGATGACAGTGAATGCATCACAGAGTCTAACACTCTTCAAATCTGCAGAGAATCTCCGGACTGCTCTCTACCTGAAGGTGTGTCAGCTCACCTGTGGAGTGAGAGGAGGAGTCACATGACCTGCTCAGGTGCAGTAAGAGAGAAACTGAGGGGTGTGATGCTGATGAAGATGATAAAGACTAGAAAAAAAAGTTTCTAATCAACTCTTCAGTGACGGACTCTGAGCCTGTGAATGTGTTTGTTGGGGGGGAGGAAGCTGCTCTTCACCAACGCTCAGGCTCCCTGATGATGATGAAGATGATTAAGATCTGGACAGCTCTGGTCTTCTCAGTACCTCACAGGTCCAAACTTTACCTTATTTTTTTTAAGTTGATTGAAGGGTCTCATGGGCAGGTGATCTCTCTGATTTTATTTTATTTTGAAGAACAGGACCTGAACAGACTCACCTGTCAGAGACTGAGTGATGAAGAGGAGGGTGTGATGATGATGATGATGATAGTGTGTGATGTGGATTTAAGAGGCTGGGACTCGGGGTGAACGGGGTTGAATGATACAAACTCAGACGTGTTGATGTTGCACTGTGGTGTGAAAGGATCTGATTAAAGAGTTATGAATCAGAAAATGAAGAAGAAGAATGTTTCTTTGTTTTGTTTCTTTTTTCTTTTGATGAATTAATTTACTCAACATTTAAGAAAACCTCCTGAATGTTGTCTGACTGCAGAGAAAAGCCTCTAAAGTGTTCTGTGGTTGAGTTAAACCCTGCTGTATTTCTCTTCCATCAGAAAATAGTTCTCCAGTAAGAGTTTGTCAGATCCAGTCATCCCCAAAAAACTGCAGAATATCCCTTTATGTATGTTCACAGTCTGAAGTGTGTATTGCAGTATGCACTTGATGAGGAGGTACCAGGTGTTTTTTCAGGGTTTAGGGGTCAAAAACTGAAACTTAAAGTGAAAACTATTTGGGTGGATTGATCCTTTTAAGAGCTGCTGTACAACTACTAATACTACAGCGCCCTCTGGTGGACATGGTGTGTACAAACACTAGTTTGAAGAAGTCAAACACATTTTCAGCGTCAATGAGCAATATTTTCTTTTTCATATGACATATTTATTTTCATTATTCATAACTCTTATATGACTTTAATTACACCAGTTATTAGATAAAGGAGGTTTTAAGTTATTGTTTAGACCATCACATGATACAGTCTGGGACAGTATTGCTGTTCTCTTCCTAAATATCTTTCAATACTTGAGACTCCGATAAAACTAAATAAAAGATTAAATATTTAAAACACTTAGAAAAGTTAGATTAAAGGTATTATTATCAGACAGTTTTCCAATGATGAAAGCTTAATATTAAAGATGCTGATTGACTCACTTTAAGGTTTAGTGTCAGTCAACCTGCAGTAACTCTAAACTGCCACTGTGAGACTTCTTTAACTCATAATTTAACATTTCTAAGCTTTGGTAAAGTTAACCTATAAAGTAAAAGGAAATACTGTATTCTACAAGCACCCTGAGTACAGGTAAATATCTCATTAGTAAATGTACCTGCATGCCAACCAGCAGCAGGGGGCGTCCTCACCTTTACACTGAGTGTTTACACAGGGAGCCACTGTGATTGCTTTCCCCTCAGTTCTGACTGAAAGGCTCTCACCTCCTGAAAACGAGCGTTTTATTGAGCTTTGTGTCACACTATTACAGTCACAGTTACAAGAATCTCGTCTCCTCCACTGAGATGTTTTTATGATTGCAAAAAGAGTGGTGTTCATGACGTAAAACCTACTTCCCTCTTCCTGTTAAAAAAGATTACACTCAGATCTCATTCAGATAAAATAGTGGAGAATAAATGTGATTCTCAGAAGAGGACAGTGGAATCAACTCTAGGTAGAGGAAGTTGTGATAAGGAACTGTTGGGAGGGACCTAATACAGTTTTTTTCTTAACTGAAATATGAAGGTCTTCCCTGAAAAAGTCTTTGTCCGTGTTGCAACATATATTGTTCTCAAACCTGTATGTATTGTTTAGCATTAATGGAGCCTTCACAGATGTGTAATTTACCCATGCCATCAGGAGGCTGGCTTTGAACAGAGAGCTGAAAACAAGCCTCTACTCTTTAAAGAAGAAGATACAGCATCCATGAAATCCAAAAAGAGTACTAAAATTTTGTGTTTCTGGATCATGTTTATATCTGGTTTCCTCTCTGCATAATTCAGTTTCATCCTGTATTTACAGACACAGGGATGAGCTGTGTTCACAGACAATGGTTTCTGAAGTGATTTTAAGCCCATACAGTGACTTCCACTACATAGTCCTGTCTGCTTTTAATGCAGTAGGCTACTATTTGAGAGCCTGAAGATCAAGGCCATCCAGTATTGTTTTTGGTCCTTGTCCCTTTAGTCCAGAGTTTTCTCCAGATTCTCTTAATCTTATAATGATATTATGTTCTCTAGATGATGAAATCCACTAATTCTCTCACATTTTACACTCAAAAACAGTATTCTGGACTTTTTCTAATGCAGTTTTTCACAGAGTGGTAAAAATCCTCTTTTTCATTATTTGATTTGTTGTCTTTGCAATACAATATTGTCATTTCATTTTTTTTTTCCATTTCCTTTTATTAATTTTTTCGAACATGTGTGTGCAACACCAAAAGTAAACTGAAAACAAACAAACATAACCAGCGAGAATATTCAAAACAACAATAACAATAAAGAAAAAAGTAAAAAAATAAATAAATAATAATAATAATAAAAACTAATAATAATAATGATGATGATGATAATGATGCAAACCCAACATGTCTGAAAAGGAGTAGGATGAAGCAATTGAATGTACAGCACAGGCCAAAAGTTTAGACACATCTTCTCATTCAATACATTTTCTATATTCTCATTACTATTTAAATTGTAAATTTTCTCAGTGAAGGCATCAAAACTATGAATGAACACATGTGGAATCATGTGCTTAAGAAAAAAGTGTGAAATAACTGAAAACATGTTTTATATTTTAGATTCCTAGTCAGTCACTAAGTACTTCTGTCATCTAAAGCAAAGGGTGGCTATTTTAAAGAAACTAGAATATAAAACATGTTTTTTTTAATTATTTCATCATCTTAAAAAGCATTCTGGCTCATATAGTAATAGGACTGTATTTGTAAAACTGTTCGTTTACATTGTGATAATATTACCTTAAAGACAGTAAAATACAGAGCACCACAGTCACTTGTGTTGGGCTTCAAACATCCTGTGTTTGGTAAGCGATTAAACTTAGAATAGAAGAAAAATCACATTTTCTGAGTGAAACTTAGCAAGACAAAAAATCAACAACCAATTCAGCAGTTTATGGTTTTAAAGGTAAATCGTTGGAGTCCTGTAAACGTCTACATTTAGTTCCTCTTCAGTTTCTTGGATACCGGATGGGGCGTGCCCACTGCAGACAGCTGTATTGCCTGACAGGCGGCACTGAGGGATTATTGTACCCTGTGCTGTGTGGTCAGGTTAACTGCTGCTGCTGGTTTTCTTTTAATTCAAAGTCAAGTGTAGTTTTTAAACGAGTCACATCTCAGGAGAGCAGAGCCGCTGACCAAAACTTCTGAACCCGAACAAGAGCTCAGATTGTCGGATATACAGACCTCTGGGGAGTCGGTGAAATCCAGCGTGGAGCGGAGACATCAGCGTGTATTTAGTGCCATGTTTTTCTAACGTTACACGGATTAGTGGATGAAGCCCACACCTGCAGGTAAGCTGCTTTTAATGATTCTCAACAGGGCACTTCACATTCCTGCGCCAGCTCCACCCGGAGGCAAACATTTCTCCAGCCTTGGCACGTTTTAAACACATTTTTCTTAATTTTTTTGCTGAAATGCAGATAAAAACAAATTTAATCCACCTGACCCTGTAGTAACGGTCTACCTGAACAGAAAATGTAAATGCAAACCGAGGCAACTTGATCTGCCCTTCTGCTCTGTGGAGAGAAAGGTGGCCCTCCTGTGTGGTAAGCGGAGAGCACCAGCACCAAACTCCTACTATAAATGTTAAAGAATTTACTCTGTACATATTAACAGACTGATACGAGCAAAATAAGAGAGTAGATCCGAGTATCGGAATCACATCTTCAATTCGGCTTCCAATGTAAACACTAAAGTCTGCTGTTTGGACTAAAATTGAACTTTTATTACCTGTCCTCCTGTTATTTCTTGCGGCTTCAGAAAGGGACCGTAGCGGTAGGCAGCAGCATGTTTTTTGAACTGTTACACAAACATTGTTAAAATTTTATTAAAAGTGTGTGTTTAATCATGAACAAAAGGAATGCCGTAACAACAAATACAACTCTGAGAAGCTTATTAAGAGTTATTTAATAATTCAGCAAACATCTGTAGATATCTTTGCTCGTGTTTATCAAAAAGTGGCAGGATTTTAAACGGGGTTTGGTCAATGTTTATGTGAGTGAGACAAATGAAGGTGAAGGGCAGCTCCACGTTTCGCATAGTGACCCCCCCATGATGTAACTGAAAGAAAATCCCCTGAATTTATCCTGAAAGATTGAAAACCCAGACTCGATCTCATGGTTAACTGTGTTGCCCAGGTGGGTGTGAGGCAGCACGGGCAACAGGCGGTCTGTCCCGGGCTGTGTGTCCGCGGCTGCCCGGTGCGTCGGAGCCTTTTGTTTGGCTTGGCCTGATAGGAGCTCGGTTGCCAGGGATGATAGAGATATCACAGCTCGGTATTGTTCCAGCAGGGTTACCGGAAGGTCTCCACGGCAGCGTTTTATCTCCTTTTGTCTTTGTCAAACAAACGGATCCTGTTGCCTTTGACTTCAGCTGTCAGGTTGATTGAAAACCTGAAGATAGTCTGGTTTATTCCTCTGGATCCAGCCTAACATTAATGAATATTTCACATTATATACAGTAAAGGTGGTCTTTGTGATCCTGAGAGGCAGGTGTGAATGGTTAACAGATGTTAATGTGCTGCAGCAGCTCATTATGGGCCCCCCTGTGACCTGAGCAGGTAATTGGTGCTGAGAGGGGAGCAGGTCTCTGCTGAGATAACCGGGTCAGGCGGTACATTAGCTCTATACTGAGCAGCACCTCAGTTTGGGCCTAATGGGAGGTATTCAAGTCACAGAAATAGTCTATTATTGGTTTTGAATAGTTGATTTTAGTGCTTAGAGAAAACCCCACTGGTTAAAGAGATCAAACCTCTTAAAACTTACAGTTATAAAAGTTTTTACCGCCTCTAAATGTGTTCCAATCTTGACCCAAACAAAGACGGCAGCCAGAAATCAAGAGCGCTTTATTGTAAAGTAGCTTGTGCTACTGCAGGGTTTCAGCAAATATTTACTTTAAGATGGTAACATATGAGGATATCAAAGTAAATGTGAAGATATTACGATATTTTCTGTGTTTTTGACAACCTCACCGTCATTGTTTGGGTAAAAAAATGAACACAAGTCTTTCTGCTGAAGTTCTGTTGATGTTGTCTGAAGTGTTTGTTATAAATATCCTGGACTTGATTGGGTGTGCATTTCGTTCCTTTTTACCACCTTGTTGGTGTTTTGCTCTAGAGGTCAAAGGTCGTCGGGCTCATGCGCTGATGTTGAACACTTGTAGACCTTTGAGCTGCGTGTTGTGTAATCGGAGCTGTTTTTTTTTAAGCTTTCAGTCGGTTTAAAGCTTCTCGTCAGATAATGAAGATTAAAGTCCAGCTGCTCTTCGATCTGTGGGAAACATCCTCCAGCTGCTGATCTCCTGGGGGACTCTGAGGGGACTATTTCTGGATGTTTCCCAGGACTCCAGGTCTCTGATGGGTCTGTTTTAGATGTGAAAGTATCTGGAGGGGAAATGTTAAATCACTGTTTTCATTTTAAGAAGAAAACAACCGTCAATATTAGTTGTTAAAACGTCTCTTTTTCATACCACTACTCTCTGTGTTTACTATAATACTGCCACTAGTCACACTATTCTTCATAATCTTCATCATTTATTTCTATTTTAGATGTTTTTAAAGTTAAATTTTTCATTCAACAACAAAAATACTGTCCGTCACAGGTTGTTGTCGATGTCTGATGGTTGTCAGGTGTCTCCTGGGAGCCCGTCTTGTCTATTCGAGTGTCTGTGTATGTGTGCCATCGGTTGCCACAACGACGGGGTGAGGTAACCATACCTGCCAGGTGCTCTTTGATGTGTCTTAGTAGCCGTGGAGGATTCTGGGAATGAAACTGGAGCCGATCATCAGCTGTATTGTTTTCTTTTAGGGAGATGGACGAATCGAGTTTCAGGACACGGTGTGGTTTGATGATGCGTTACCAGGTGAACTCACACCTGGTCAGTTGGAGACATTGTTACAGACAGACCTGCGTACACCTGAGCAGTTAGGAGAGCCGTGATTGGTTGGCTTTTCTCGAGTTTTCCGGCTGTATATAGAAACCTGTTTGTTGACTGTGATTTAAAGCTGTTTATCGTGTCGTACAGAGATGATGTTAACAGAGAATTACCGTTATTATTTGCTGTTACCATTTCTAAATAGTTATTTGCTCTGAATGTTGGAGAAAACAAGACATAGTTCAGTGGACAAACCTTGACTCTGCTCAAACAGGAGATGATGGGGTCAGTGTTTGATGACCGTCTGTGGTCGCCTCTCTCTCTCTCTCTCTCTGGTTTGGCGTGCGGTCGAGCAGACTGATAATCCCCTGTGTTGTTTTATTCAGGAGGTCGGGCTGACTGTTATCTCTCTCTTTCTGCTGTTTCTAATCTTTACTCTGACTTTGGAATTTCCTGCTGCTCTTTAGGAAACCAACCAAACAACCAAACATTGGAGCATGGACAGATTCAGTTTACAAACACGTGTTTCCATAAAAAAACAGCATTTACCAGAATCAGCATAGTCAGAATTTGTCTTTTTTTTACTGTAACTACCAGCCATGGTGCTGTCAGACTAATTCACCCTCGTATAAATGGGTCTGAAACGGCTCAATTCGATGCATTTTTCTACCGGTCGAATACATAGGTTCAAACCAATCAGATTAACATGATGTGATGGAGCGCCAAGCAACAGTATTGTAAACAGACAGAGGCGTGCCAAAGAGAGAAACACCTTTTCTCACCAATGGCACAGGCAGTGGAGGAGAATATGTGTAGGTAATACTGAGCGTCCTCACGTCTTGGTTACAGCCTGTGAGTGGGACATATGAAGCTCCAATATGCATCAGTATTGTAAAGGTGTATAAATTGGCAATATATCTCCTATGATTATGGCATATTCAGCTCAAACTGTTGTTGGTTGTCGTTTTGCTCTGCTGTTTTCATCTATCGATATCAAATTTCCCTCCAGGGATAAATAAAGATCTTCTTATCTTATCTGTCAATAAAGCTCCTCACTTCTTATTTACATAAAATACCTAGAGTGAACAGTCTGTTCCAAAGGGAGTTCCCCCTGAGCTCAGAGTTTATCTCACTTCCTGCAGATCACCTGAAGTTCACCTGTACCACACCTGAACCCACCCTGCTGACTCTGAGTTTGCATCCTGAGCTGCAGACCGAAGGTTGTTATAAACGTTTTTACCTCCTGACAAGAAGACAAGAGAAAAAAAGTTCAACCTGAGCTGAGAAGACAGTCCCAGATCTATGTCCAACAGGCTCAGATCCATGCCTGACAGTCTCAAATCTGGGTTTAATGATCTCAGATCTGACTGTTTAAGATCTATGTCCGACCTTTCAGGACGGTTCCGTGCAGGTTGTTCTGAACTCTGTCGTATAAAGCCGCTTTAACCCCCCCGTCAGCGCCTCTCTAAGCCCCGCCTCCTGCCCCTCCCCCACCTGTCAGTAATGACTCATTAATTAGAGGCTTAAACTCCTCAACAACAAGCTGCTGCAACAAATCTGTAGACCTGCAGAGTCCAGGATCCTCAGTAATCCCCCACACATGAGGCGCAGAGAGTTTACCTGAGAGTCGGTCTGAGCGAGATTCACCGACAACACTGCTCACCTGTGGACAACCTGGACAGGTAGGAGCTTTGGTCTGTGCAGCTGAATGTGACTGGAGGGCTACTTATTGAAAATGCAGGAATTTCTAGTTGAAAAATATCAAATAAGCATGCAAGGTCATGTATTTTGACTAGATGAGACCATTTTCTGTGGTTTTAAAGCGACAGAGACTGTCAAAAACATCAGAGTTAAATCCTACATCATCTTTTGCGGTAACGACATATCAAATCAGAAGAGAATCTGTGGATTTTGTGACAATAAATGCATATGATTGTAGACGTTTGTCAGAAATAAGATCGAAATGTCCAAAAAATGAGGTGACAAAAGTAAGAAGAATCTAACTTTGGGAAAGGACCTGAGGAAGAAAGTTTCAGCTGCCAGAAATCTCAGCTTGCAGAGGCTCTCTCAGGTGAGCTCAGGTGTGTGTGTTGTAGAAGTGGGTCAGGATGTTTCAGCAGATCCCGAATCAGGCGGTCAAGCCCCCCCTACAGGGAGCGAGTCCAGATATAGAGGCTTTTAGGAGGCGTGCTGCGGAGTGTTTCATCTGAACTGTTTCTATAAATGTACCTGCTGCTGTTTGCTTTAATGGAGTGTTTTTTTAGAGAGGAGTGGAGAGGAGCGTATTAAAAAAATACAGGTCGACTCATCATTCGGGCTTTTCGGTCTGTTATTAATAGAAGCAGAAGTGCATCTTCAGCCCCAGAGTAAAGGCGACTTGAATCAAGAAAGGCACAAGAGAGACTTTGGTATGAGAGTGGGTTAGGTCTGTAGTCTGAGTGTTTTTGACCAATCAGGAGGAACACAGTCCAAAAAGGAGTTTAAGAGCTGGTCTCCTCTCCTCTTGAGGACAGACCTGACAAAGCTCGACTTTTTACTGCATCATGATGTTATTTCAGCAAACTGAACATCAGTTTCGGGTTCAAACTGCTGAAATAAACCAGACTACTCCATAACTTACTATTTACAGTGAAACTGAGACTCACTAAGTTTTTTGTTACTTCTAACTTTTCAGTGGAAAATACTGACCGGTTAGCCGTCGTTCCCTTTGTTCCCCAAAGACCCTCAGATCTCTAAATAATATATTCTTTCCAGCTTATTTTTATTTGACCGAGCAACTTTTCAAATATAGACTGTCTTGTAAAATGAAGATATTGAGCTGTGATTATTATTTCCCAGTCTCATAGAGCTGATCACATGTAGATGACTTTGTCCTACTTTGTGAGAATCCTGCTCCACACGTGTCCTATTTTCCAATAATAAAAAAGATGCCGGGTTTTCTCTGAGTAGGTGTTTCACACAGAGCTGAGGATCATCCTCCGGACAGAGTTCACATCCACCTCTCTGTGACGTCTCGGCTCGCTCTGAACCTCTCCGAGTTATTTTTAGTTTTACGGTTCTCACTCTGGATGTGAATCAGTCGGTTGTAAACTCTCTGATCTGAAGTTTGGCTCCTCGCCCGCTCTCGTACTGACTCATGAACTGTGTCGATCAATGATGTGCAGATTTACTCTCTTTATTCGTCTGCTCTTCTTCCATCTGAGGCAACATACAACCATCACTGCACAACTCAACAAGTACAGGACAGCCCAGGTACATAGAAATATCAGATACATAAATTTATTTTTAAGTTAAAGGACAGGAGAATAAAGGGTGTGGAGAAAGCATTATTTAGACATGTATTGAGGCTTTTATTTCAATGATGTTTGTCTTACTAGTACTACACATTTGTTATGTTCCGGCATTGGACAATGAATCATGTAGGGTCTCCCTGAGGAAAATAAGAAATTATACAGAAGAATCACAGGAAATTAAAAATGTATTTGCAAAAGTTACCCAAGAAGAATTCATTTGATATGGTCTCTTGGTTTTTTTATATCCATTAATGCATACAAGACTTGGCACTAGTGTTATTCCAAATTAAAATTTGCACATTGGTTATTGCGTGGGAATGTGTTTTCAGGGTTTCTACGCAAGTATAAAAAGTATGAAAAGTATGGAGGTAATTTGATCAATTCCCAGGTCTTAAAAAGTTTTGAAAATGAAAAATAAAATATGGAAAAATATTTATGTTTCAAGACTATTACTACAGTAAAAAAAAAAAAAGTCTTCTAAAATAGAAAAGTAAGTATTTCCAAAAATAATTTTAAAAAGTAGGGTATGGAAAAGTATGAAAACTCCAAATGTGTAGGAACCCTGTTAAAAATGTAATTGCAAAAGTTACCCAAGATTTCTTTTTTAACTTTTTTACACTGTTTACAAAAATATTAAGTTATTTAAATCATAAAACATGCATTATGGTCTTTTAGATTTTCTTTCACTCATAAAACCTGGCATAAGTATCATTTTACATGAAAGTTCTACACTTTTTATTGCACATGAAACTACACATGTGAGCATTTTTGTATTTGGGTGCACATGAGAATTGCGTATGTAATTGTGCATAAAAGTTATGTACACGTGTCATTGTGCATGGGATTTTCGCTTGTTTAGATGAAAATTTTGCACCTTTTAATGCGCATGAAAACTATTTGCAGCTTTAATTGCATATAACAATTTTGCACAGAAACATATTTAACTTTTTTTATTCCTGTTTTAGTGCACAGGAAAGCTGCACATGCTGTTGCATATCAAAGTTATGCGAATTTGTCTCATACAAATGACTATTTTGCACATTTCTTACTGCATGTGCATATTCATCATTGAACATGAAATTGTGTACATTATTGACACACTTTTGTCTGTTATTTGTGCACGTCCTGAATCAGTTCTTCTGTAAAATTCCTCGGATTGTCATGGTAGTTAAGAGGTCCAGAGACCCTGAGCAGTAATGAAGCCATCAGCAGGTCCAGGATTATTCTGGATTATCATTAACCTGCTTACACGCGCAGTGAGAGTCCCTCTGAGACCCCCTCTGTCTTTACAGGCAGACTGGAGGATCATGGGAAATATGGCTGACTCTGTAGTTTCGGTGCGAGATGAGATGAGGAACTTTGCACGGGTGAATCTGGAGTCACAGTTGAAGGATTAGAGTCGATCTCAGAGTCAGTGATGGATTAAACGCAGCAGAGGTGACAAATCTGTAAACTCTCTAATCTGAAGAAATCAAAGTTTAACAGCTGAAACCGACCTCATGACGGATTAAAGTGAGTACAACACTTCTGATGCAGAACAGGGTAAAAGCAGTCACACTTTGAATCAGTGTGTTTTTCCAGTATAACCTCCTGTCCTCTGTCACAGCTAAGTTTCCTCTCTGCGTATTGGTTCAGCGTACTGTCCTCTCTCTGTATCTGTGTCTGTCTGCTGTGCAGGATGTAGGTTACAGTGAGATAAATGAGTCTGTGCTCCCTGCAGAGCTCTGTGGCCTCGATCCTGACGGTGAATCAGAGGACGATTAATCAATGGTCACAGTGAAGCTGCTCTCATTATCAGGCCGGATCACATGATTTATACGATCATTACATCAGATCAGATCAGAGGTCTGCTGCAGGAAATAAAGCGGCTCACCCTGAAAACTGACCCGTTTCTGCTTTCAGTGAAGATTTCTGCTCCGTCATAACTTCAGAGGGAATGTGTTGAAATGCAGGTGAGGGAAAATGTGAATGGAGTAGGTGTGCTCTGCTCCTCATGGAAGGGCACAGAGTCATACCATCAAATATCACTTACTGTATGAAAATATTGATGATCTTAAAATGAAGAGGTCCTGACTAAACTTTGATTTAAAGGAAAACATCAAATGGAGTTAAAAAAATCTGAGTTTTGGCAGTATCAAATGGAGTTGATTTTTGGTTCTAATTCAGACAAACATTGACTTCTTTAAATCAGAGAAAAAAATGGATTTTTGCTTTTTAAATGTAAAATTCTGACATTTATTTCAGGGAATAAACTTTTAATAATGATGTTAGAATCAGGTGAACATGGATAAAATAAAAATGTAAACAAACACTCGTCTGTGTTTGTTGTGGATTTATTTCAGGATCCTTTATTCAGAGGAAGGCAGGGATTAGGTTTGTCCTGTGTGTGTGTGTGCGCATGTGTATGTGTGTGTCTGTGTGTGTATGTGTGTGTAGTCCACATGGATGTAAATCTTCTTACCAATCCTCTTTACTTTCCTCTGTTGGACTCTCTCAGACTGTGTCTTTGTTTCTGGTCGTCTGATGACGCTTTAAACTCCCTTCACATTCACTTCTTTCATATGTGTGTAAAATTCCTGTAAACTTCTAAGTTACCTGAATATTAACCACGAGCGTCCTGCTGTAGTTTCAGGTGAAGAATTGAGTGAATTTAGCAGGAAATTGTCTCAAAAATTCACGCTGAGTGAGCGGTGCACGTTTCATCCCAGCGTGTTATTAGCAGCGCTGCATTATGGAGGTGTAAGAGGCACAACGCTTGTAAATGGAAATCTGGTTCTAACTTGTTGGAGCCATCGGCAGCTACCTTTCTGTTTAATGGTACTTTTATCAGTGCTCTAACTTCCACATGCATTACATGAGATATTCAGGCATGTAGGAAGTTGAGGAAGTAGTCATGGTAGAAGACAGGGGTCGTCCACTTGCAATAAAATCCACTCGCTTCGTGAGACCATCACCTTTCTGACTGTAAACTTTGAGTGTTTGTGTGACATCCAGGATTTCTTCAAAACAGCAGAGAAGATCAGAGTATTTGCAATCCAGTCACTCTCAAAGTAGAGTTGTTTGTTGTTAACTGACTAGGGTGGATGGAGGCTGCCATCTTTGTTTTTGCTGGTTAACCAATTAGAGGCTGTATTTGGTGGCAGAAGAAGTAGCTGATGAAGGCTCACTTTGCTTTGGACTGTTGTCAGAGGAGGAACAACTTCTGTTCTGTGTCATATAATGCAAATGACGTATATGAGGGGTGTAAATCTCACACCTTTGAATAGCCGTATGTCAGAGTCACCTGAAGAAACAGGAAGTTAAACATCGAGGTGTGTTTGACTGATCAGTTTCCATCAGCCTTAATTTGTACCCTTTATTTTTCTGCAATCTTGAGAACTTTTCCAAATTCTCCTGAAGTTGTTTTACTCCACTTCAAGTGTATTTGAGAAATTCAAACGGGCAAATTTTAGAGGTAAAGTTGGTAAACATGAGGCAGCACTTCCTGCTCAGTGACTCATTGAAAGCGTGTGTAAACTGGAGTTATTCTTTAACTGGTAAGAGCTGTTTGATTAAACCTCACCTGAGATCTGAGGTCGACTGCATGAGAAGAAACAATGGAGTCGATACTGAGCTCAGGTTGGTTTTATGAGGACTGGCCTGAAGTTTGATGGTTTGTCATCAACGAAATTTAATAAAGAAAAAGATTAACCAACCAGGAAATCACCTTTGAATGATGAATAACCTTTTAAAGGTTAGATTAAATACCTTGAAATACTTGACTGCTTTTAATCGACCTTATTCAGAAGATACCAAAGAGCCTGAATTGGCTTTAGCTGAGGAAATAAAGGTGTCGCAGAATTCGACTTTAACTTATTCTTCATTGAAAACATTCAGGAGACTCTTTGCTGAAACTTTTCCACTTTTTCAGTGAAAAAGTGATTTTCACATCTGTTATACCTTCCTGAAACCTCCGAGCTAAATTTATCTGCTAACGTGTTTAATGGTCCGCAGAAAATTCAACAAGTGCATCCAAAGTGAAAGTTCATGTGAAGTTTAAAACAGCTAAAAGAAATAATGACGTGGTGTCTAGCAGGAGGATAAAGGCCACAATGAAGGAGGAAATAAAGGTTTTAGAGCTTTGGTTGTCAATTTACAAGAATATTAAGAGATTAAAGTCTGGATATAATGAATATAAAGCGATGAGATTAGGAGATTATTGTCGTTATATAATAAAAATAAAGTGGCAGCATTAAAAGATTAGTCAGATTTCAATTAACTGTAAAAATGGAATTTAAGGAAAATCGAATTAAGAGATTAAAGATGTAAGAAAACAAAAGTGTAAAGTTGTAATATGACAAGTTTGTTTTATAACCAGTTTATCAAATATGTTTCTCTCCTGTGTGTTTCGGTCATCATGCTGTGTTGGTCCAGAGTGAACCTGAGTTTGATCTTGTTTAGAGTTTGCATGTTGTCCTTGCAGCCATATTTGGAGGACAGGGTTTAGACTCCTTGGATTGTTTTTCCAGGTTTTCAAGGTCTTGACATGTCAGTTTCAGGTATCCTCCTGGTCTGCGTGTCTCTACATGGACCATAATTTCTCAAACTTCTATATAATCAGGCTGATTTAAACCCCCTGCTGGACAGTGAAGAAAGTGCAGTTTTATGATACGAGGAAGCTGAGTCCCTTTTTATTGATATTAAGGTTGGCACAGGTGTGGTTTCAGGTGCCGTGACATCACATCATGGTCAATCTGTTGTGTAAGAGTCGGCGGTTTGTTTACCGAGTGACATCACAAGTCACATGACCACACCTGTGTGTTATCAGTCGGTTATTAAACAGCAGAGATCGGTTTGTTTAATCACTCTGCTCTCACTACTCGCTGCAGATGGATGGAGGAGGTCCGGGTTACCACGGTAACCACTCACAGCCTGATTTGGTGTGTATCCGAGGATGTCAAACTAACTCGCACAAACACAAACACAGAGTAAGCAATATGTGTTGAAATATGAGCTTCTCATTATTCAGTCTTTAAAAAAATCATATTTTAAATCTCGTTTTATGAAATTGAGTATTTTATTGTGGAAACATTATTGATTTTTTTTCTACATATGGAACAGTAAAAGAGAGCCATTCAGTGCTAAAAATAAACCCGATCAAACCAAACATTAAACAGTATGACTGAATTACACACGCCTCACTTTTCCTTCATTTTCCTGTATTTCCTCCCCGCTGTGTCTGTTGAGGAAAAATTCCTGTATTGTGAGAGCGTGTTGGCAGTAAACCAGGCTCAGATTACCCGACTCAAAGGTCGAGTGAAGTTTGCACACTGATTAGAGCAGAAACAAAAACCCCATCCACCGCGTAATGATCACAAATATTTCCAATAATCTCCTTATCCAGGAGGAGTTTTCCTCAAACCGAGCAGAAAAGCTGATAATCAGCCACTGAGCTGTGGAGGTTATGTGTTTTTTAAGTGTTTTATGCCTCATTTAACTAAATATGTTTGGGGTTTTTTTTAATACTGATCAGTCATACAGGGCGTGAAAAGAAATCACTTTGGACAGTGGAGGTATCTCCCTTTTGCTTTTTAACTTTTTCAGGGCCCGACAGATATGGATTTTTTGGGGCTGATGTTAATACCGATTATTAGGTGGGGAAAAAAATCTGATTACTGATTAATTGGCTGATTTTTTACAATTTTGTTATGGCTGCTTTTGAGCCTTTCAAACACTCCTTAAAAGAACTAAAGGCAGAAAACTCATTTCAAATTCTTTAAATTGCTAAAACAACTGAAAAAGAATGAGGTATTTTGTGTAAATAAAAACAAAGCTAACTCACTTACATCATAAAAAATGAGGAACACTCGATATACTGTAGGCTACTGCTCTTCACACCGACAGGAGGACTGACTGATCATCTCAGTAATATTGTATATATATATTGTATCGGTGACTCCGCGTCTTAACTCTGGTCTGGTCTCATCTGGAGACATGCAGCTGCCTCAGAAAGAGAAGTAACTCGATCACGTCATGTGTACTGTTGTTTATTCTACCGTTACTGGCAAAACATTTTTGAAGTGAAACTGAATCTTTTTCTCAGCATTTTATTTCTGAAAATATCGGCGAGTTTTTGCCGATTACTGATTAGTCTCTAACAGGCTAAAATTGGCCCTAGACTTTTTTAAGACCTTTGTTCCCCAAACAGTTTAAAACCGTTATCTATTTAAAGCTCCAGTGAGGAACTTTCGGTTTGTGTCAATTTTGAGAATATTGAGAATATGGCGTCCGGGATTTCCAAAAAGAGCGTCAAATTTTGTTGAGTTTGAGAGTTCAGCAAGAAACTGTGTCCATGGACAACGGTTTCAGTGCTGCCTAAGGGTCTGAAGGGTCTGTATTATCTGTCCATTCAATTATTCCATTCAGTCTAGTAAACAAAAAAAGAGTCAATATTTTGTTTTTGTTTTTTTTTTCTGTATAACCAAAAAATAAAACATTTGTGTTTGTTTTCATATTTTCAGCTCAAAACAGAACATATAATAGAGACGTGCGAACAGTAGAAAGGCACAGTCGGAAATGGGGACATCAATAACCCGAAAATGAAAAGTAGATTTATTATTTTGTTTTCTTTTCATTCTCTATTATATATTCTGTTTTGAACAACTTTGACCTGCTCAGTTGTTCCTATTAAAAACTTTAAAAATCAGATATATTTCTCATAAAGTAACCTTTTATCATCTTGTCCTGTTTGGTTGGATTTACTGTTGAGATCAATTTTCTGCAGTTCCACAGGAACAGGAAGCGAGTCCAGTTCACTGAGACTCCTCCCAGAGCAAACAGCGATAAAGAGCTGATCTTTACTTTAACAGGAACATCAGCCTGTACCTGGGACCTTTGACCCCTGCAGTCTGCAGTCCATTATCTGGATGTTTCAGCATCTTTACATTCAGATTGTGAAAGTTGTGAATCTTGAGTTTAAAGACAGTGACATAATCAGAGAGGGGGCGTGGCTTCGTGATTGTCAGCATGTTTTAATAGACGTGATTGGAGGACAAAAGGCAGCTGATTGACACAGAGAGATAGAGTACAGTCAGCAGCTGTGTGAGGCTGATAACCCTCAGAGCGGCGTTTTATTTTGAAAGGTCATCTCCAGGAAAACAACAAACAATCACTTATTTGTTCTCAGTCAGACTCGGTAAACATAAACATGATAAGGTTAGTTTCTGTGGGATCATTTTCATCAGGCCTGAGCTCGTTTCTCCCTCAGCGCCGCCTCACAGGTTTACAGTCCTCCTGCTTGTTGTCGTCATGGTTACAGAGTCCAAAATGGAGTCTGTGTCCCAGCTGAATAAAACATGGAGTCCTGGGAAAAGTAATCACACGTGTTCGCACTGTACATACAGGACACACACACACACACTTAGATACACACTGAGCATGCTCATAAATCACCCCGGGGACTCTTTGTGTCTGCAGCTCTTTTAATTTCAGCCTGATGTGACATTTTGCTGCAGGAAGGTTTTAATGAAGTGTTAATGAGATGGGAGCTGAATGCTTGTGTGTGTGTGTGTGTGTGTGTGTGTGTGTGTGTGTGTGTGTGTGTGTGTGTGTGTGTGTGTGTGTGTGTGTGTGTGTGTGTGTGACCTTCGTCCGTGTTTCAGACACACTCGGTCGTCCTGATGAGATCTTTTATAAGAAGCAGCTGATGTTTGCAGACTCAGAGTCTAAAGTGTCTCTGTGACGACTTTAAAACTGCTGTCAGGTGTGAAAATAATCTTTAGGTGATTTTTTTTACTTCCTGTGTTAAAAAGAAACTTTAGATTAATGTAAACCAGGAAAACTGAAACACTCTGTGAAAAAAATCAACTTCATTGCTGTGATCTTTGTTCTGCAGCAGCTACAGGTTCTATTTTGAAGATGCACCGAGTTCATGTTGATGTTAAACAACTTATGTCTATATTTATCTCAGTTTTTCATGTTTTTTGATCTAGAATTGTTGTTATGAAAGAGAAAATTAATTAAAAAACCACTTTATTGTCCCTGTATAGAGCATTTAAAGGCCTCAGAACATCAGTGTAAGTTATTAAGTTATTCAATAAATGTATTGAGCTGTGGATTAAGGTGGACACTGATCAAACTAAAGAGAACAAACAAACAAAAGTTACACTGTGTGGATGCTGGCTGGTATTATGAAAAAAATAAAGTGATAATAGTGTATAAAAGCAGAGATAAATAAAGTGATCAGAGTCCATATAAAACACTGATACAGTTAATAGATCTGTAACCTGCAGACTATCTACTGAGAAGCAATTTGATAAAAAAAAGAAAAAAATTAAAATTGATAATTAATTAGAAAAAGTGTTTAACTTATGATTGTTTTGCCAGGTTTTTAGTTACAGGTGTTTGGTCTGTATATGCCCAAATGATAAAAATGTTTAGAAACATGACATCAATAATGTCTTTTTCATCATTTTTTCTTCCAGGTGATAATAATTTAAATTTATGATATTGATCGTATATATTTCATATGTTTTCTTCCAGGTGACTGTCCGCTGTGAGTCAGGATGAACGGATATGAACCTCCAGCTCTCGCCTCGGGCATCTTCGGCTCCTACAACTCACAGATCAAGTCAGTGTTGAACTTTTATTTGTACCTGTGAACCGTGTCGGCATGACTGTAGAGATCACAGAAGTGCTTTAATATTTATTCCTGAAAATTGTTCAAATTTTAATGTCTACAAATCTCTGTGAGTCTAATCTGAACCCGTGTTCATAAAAGATGAACCCCAGCTCAGGAGAGACATGATGAAGTGTGTATGTGTGACTGTGTGTGTAGAGTAGACAGTGTAACCTGAGCTCCGCCCCCTCTCAGGTTCATTGATCCTCTTATTTAATCAGCCGTGCTAATTTCTCAAAGCTAACATGGCTGCAGGCTGCAAACAACTGGGTTAGTGAACCAGAACAGGATCTAGGACCTGATCCAAGACCTGATCAAGGACTCGCACTCAGAAATATCTCTAAATTCTCTCTCTCTCTGTGACTGAAACCACCCTTGTTTTAGATTAGTTTAGTTAGAGGAGATCTATATTGCTGATTGGTAAAACAGATCTCCTTTATAAACAAAGATCGAGACTGTAGAGCTGTGTAAAAAGTAACACCCACAAGCTTTAAGTATCATCACCAGGCTGTGTCGATTTTTTATATCAGTGTTTAAAGCAGCTGGAACCAAGCGTTCCGGTTCAACAGACCCAGTTTAAGATAAATTAATAGTTTTTAGAGCTGCTAATCATGCTAAGATATGTTCGAGGTGTCCTAGACTGACACAGTGAAAGGTAGAAATATATATCACAGATCTCCTCTACAGTACCATGTGTTATAAAATGCAGTGTCAGCCCAACGATGCAGTTGTGCTGTTTGAATAAACTTGAATTAAAAAAAGAAGAGGCTCGTTGTTTATGTAGAGTATTTTACAGTGTGAGTAAAGAAAACATTCAGAATAACCAACACTGAGTTTCTGCAGAGCTTTAGATTCAGATTTGGCCTGTTAAGCTGGTTGTATTTACAGTCACATGTCGGCCGTACTCGTCCTGCTGTTCGCTCTGTCGTCAGCGCGAATCGCTCCTGTTAATTATTGATCCTTCAGAATAAAGTGTGAATGTGTGAAAAAATATCCAGTTTCAGAGTGACACTCGATCACACAGCAGACGGCGAGTTCAGACGCCTGCTGTCACCTCACACTCGCACAGAGTCTTCATGTATTCTCACGCTGACGCAGATCTGAGGTCAGGGTGTACCTGAGGGCTGAGACAATAACGGAGACATTTATGAAAACTGGATTAAAAACAGGATCAACCAACATCATAAACAGAAAAAGACACATAGAAAACACTTGATTAACTTTGTTTTTACTCATTTATTAAATAACAAAAGAAAACTTAGGATATGATGCAGTCAGGGTTGTGTGAACTCCTGGAGGTACCCGTTCTTTTCACAGCATCACCGTCTTCTCTCTGAGGGTTGACTCCTCTCAGTTTAAACCCCTTGGTGTAAAACATCACTATTGTTGCCATGGTTACATAGAGTCTAGCAGAATGGAGGTGTGTGGGCTGTCAGCCAATCAGAAAGCAGGGCTGAGATTGTGCTTTTTTTTCAGGGTGAAGTTGATTTAAAACAGACATAAGATCAGTTTATTCATGATATACTGACTCTCTTTCTCTTTCGTTCTCTCATTTTCTTTGTCTCTCTCAGTGGCCATGGCTCTCAGTCTCCTGAGCCCTCCCAACACAAAGCCAAGTCCAGTGCCAAAGCTCTCTACGGTGAGTCCTTGTATTGTTCTGCTTTCTCGCTCTCTGTGCACACCAAACTCCATTCACAAAAATCAGCGATTAAGACATATTTTGTTGTTGTCTTGGAAAAATCTTAAAATCAGACTTCCTGTAAATCTGTTTCCTGATACAGTTAGTTCAGCCTCATTTCAGCCTGTTTAGTTTCACTAAATCACAGACAGGACTGTTATTTTGGCTTCCTGGCTTTGCAGTCAGACAGATTTCAGCTGACGTACTGAATTTCCTCCCTCCCAAATGTGTCCTGTTGTAGTTTTGTTGTCGATCAATCAGCAGCTCCGATTTGTGTTACTGTGTCATGAGCCTCTAACAGGATTCACACTCAGCTCAGCCAGCTCCTTACACCTGGTTGGCTGTTCTGCCACCCCTCCGGACCAATCGGAGAGTAGACAGCCAGAGCATTGTGACTGTGTTCCTGTTAGTGGATGCAGGAAGATGTCAGGACATCCATCTGTTAGGGGAACACTAGGCCGTGTTTGTGGTTGTTTTTATCGTATCTCATTTATTTTTCCATCCACATGACCAGGATCAGATGAAATCTATTTCCTGCGCTCGTCTTCCAAACATAAAAAGAAAAGTAAAAGTAAGACGGGTGAACTCTGAGTGCAGTGTGTGTTTACAGCTTCTTTCTTTCACTTCTTTAAAGCAGAAACATGATCTTTAAACAACAAACTGGATTTTGTTTATTCTTTTACAGCTTGATTCTGTTTTTTTCTATTTTGGTTTGGCACTTTGAACACCCTGAACAGCCTGTTCTCATGTTTAAAATGTAAAAAAATGCATCCTGTCAAATGTGCAGTTCCTCCAGTGTCCACTAGAGGTATTTTCCAAGAGTGAGTCAGTCCCCATAGAGCCCCATGTTAAAATGTCAAATTTTTGCAGAAATAAACATGTTTACATCCTGGTGCAAAAACGAGTTTTAAAATGTAGATCATTAGTTAATTCTTACACTCCGTTTGAGGAAAAAAAAACATTTTATAACATTCACGTTGCCTTATAGATTAGCTTAGCATGATTAGCATCTCAAAATTTCCTTATTAATCTCATACTGGTGTCTGTTGAAACCATGATTTCAGGCTTCATTTCTGCGGCTTTTACCCTGATACAAAGTTCGACACTGCTTTTCGTTTTATTTACCCTCTTAAGTTCCTCGACTTCTCTCTGTGTGAAAGTCACATGATTGTTTTTCAGTTCTTTCAGGAAGTTTGTGCAGCATTTCCTTGAGATGGGAACAGGTTTCAGGAAATGTTTGAGAAATGTCAAAAATGAGGAATTTCCGTCTTGCACAATGATTTTTAAAAAGTGAATAAGACTTCCTGATTGGACAAGTGTGTGATGATGATTGGACTTTGGTTTTGTATAAAAATTTAATGTCAGATTTTTTTGTTTCCCTCAGAACAAAGAAAAAATTTCACCAAAACCAGCATCAACAGCCTGACAGACACATCGCAATATCATGTGGAGGTGAGAAACCAACAAGCCCACAATGAGGGCGGGGATCAAAAACTGGTTCCAGATCAGAACCAGCTATATGATGCACCAACCAACTGTAAAATCCACTCGCTCTGTGAGACTGTCAGCTTTCTGGCTACTTGGGTTTCTGACATTCTGGAGCCTTTCTGATTTGCAGAGACTGTCAAGTTACAATACTTTAAAATCAAAGATAATCTGCAAGGATTAATTTTAGAGAAATAATGTGATTTCTACTGTCGTCTTTGTTATAGTCTGCTGTCCAATCAGAGGTTGTATCTGTAATCAGCTGACCTTTAAAGTACCAGTCAGGAGCCAAACTCCTCCTATCTCGTCTCAGCAAATTTAGTATCATCATTCAGTGGTGTTTTAATGTTGTACCTGGGATGTCTCCTGTCTGATGTTTAGCACCTGACCACCTTCGTGTTAGACCGTAAAGATGGGATGATCACGGTGGACGATGGAATCCGTCGTCTCCGTCTGCTGGATGCTAAAGGGAAAGTTTGGACTCAGGAGATGCTGCTGCAGGTGGAGGAGAAGACGGTCAGCCTCATCGACCAGGAGACAAAGGTCAGAGTCATCTTCATTTGACCATTTGTAGTTTATCTTCGTGAAATCATTGAAGCTAAATCCTTATCTCAACAAAAACATACATATCGTTGAGTGTGTAAACCCTGAGTTTTGTCTTAAGGTTTCTTTTACGTTATCTTTTTTTAGAATGAGTTGGAGAACTTCCCAGTTGGGACAATCCAGCACTGTCAGGCCGTGATGAACGCCTGCAGCTACGACTCCATCCTGGCTCTGGTGTGTAAAGACTCGGGGCAGACCAAACCGGACCTCCACCTCTTCCAGTGTGATGACATCAGGGTGAGCTGATTCTGATTGGTCCTTACAGTCCTGAAGGTCACAAAAAAATTATATAATCGTAAATCTTATCTAAAGGCTAATTGTGATTAGAAACATTAAAAAAAAAAAGATTTATTGTAAATTCTCAAGGACCGAGGATAGAGCCCTGAGGTACACCTTTACTTATTAAACACAGCGATTTTAACCCTGAAGATTTACTGAACAGACACTAAATATAATAAAGATATTAAAGTTTAAAGTTGTAGGCTAGTTATGATTAGAAATATTGAAAAAAAATTAGATCTATCATAAATTCTCAAAGATCGAGGATAGAGCCCTGAGGTACACCTTTACTTATTTAACACAGTGATTTTAACCCTGAAGATTTACTGAACAGACACTAAATATAATAAAGATATTAAAGTTTAAAGTTGTAGGCTAGTTATGATTAGAAATATTGAAAAAAAATTAGATTTATCATAAATTCTCAAAGATCGAGGATAGAGCCCTGAGGTACACCTTTACTTATTTAACACAGTGATTTTAACCCTGAAGATTTACTGAACAGACACTAAATATAATAAAGATTAAAGTTTGAAGTTTTAACTATATTTTTCTATGTTTCGATACAAAAATATATTTATTCGATGTTTTCTTTCAGGCCAACCTGATCCACGCCGACATAGAAAGTGCCATGATCGATGCCAAAGGAGGCAAAGTGAAGAAACGACCAGAAGCGCTAAAGTAAGAGCCAGTCATCAATCACACCTGATGGTTCAATTACCATGCTGAAAGCTGATTGGCTGGCCCTTCTCTCTGTTTACAGGATGATACTAAAGAGCGACGGGATCATCCCTCCTCCTCCCGCTGCTCCCGCCCCTGAACCACCAATGTCGTCCAATCAGATGGACGTAAAGAGTCGAGCAGCCGCCTGGTCAGCCTGGACCAATGAGCAGCAAGACTGTGAGTGATGTCACATTACGGAGGAACGCACAAAAGTTAAAACATTTTAGGTTTTTTAAATCATTGATTATTGATTGGTTTTCTGTCTGCAGATGAGAAGCAGAGGCAGCTGTCTTTAGAGGACGGGCCCGTGGAGATGACGGCGGCCCGAGTGGACCGAGACGTGGTGAGTTTAAACAGATCTGAGAGCAGCTGGTGGAGGTCGCTTGAGTTTACAGGACAATAGAAAGGAGATTTAAGCTGATTGAAGAATGCAGGTTTTATTTGGATGTAATCAGAGTCTCCCAGCTTTGAGGAAAAATCCCCTTACATAAGGAAAAAGTTCAGATATGAGCGCCGTGGAAAAACTGACCTCTGATCTGTTTGTTCAGGTTTAATCATTAAAGTCAGGGAATAATTTTAAACCGCACTCAGACAATAAAACCTTTTAAATACACACTCAAAAAAGGCTTTTACTTTTTTGTTTTTTTTAACAGCAAATCCTCAACCACATCCTAGACGACATCGAGTTCTTCGTCACCAAACTGCAGAAAGCAGCCGAGGCGTTCACGGAGCTGAGCAAGAGGAAGAAGAACAAGAAGGGGAAGAAGAAGGGGCCGGGAGGTGAGCCATGACACCCGAACTAGACCTGAACTAGACCCGAACTAGACCTAAACTAGACCTGGACTAGACCTGGACTAGAAAAGATCAGTGCGATGGTTCAAAGTGAGTTAGAAATGACAAATCAGAAGTTGATACAGATGAACTCGGGTCACCAAGAGAAGTGGGGTTTAGTCTGTCTGAGGAGGCTGTGTTCTGGTTTTTGTCCACCAGAGGGCGTCCTGACTCTGCGCTCCAAACCCCCTGGTGAGGAAGAGTTTGTGGACTGTCTGCAGAAATTCAAACACGCCTTTAACCAGCTGGTACGAGAAACTCCATCACCTTTACCTTTAAATAATGTATTTTATTCTATTTTTATTTTATTTTATTGATAAATCCTCCCTTTTGAACTCTGACCTGCAGGGGAAACTGAGGGATCACATCCAGAACCCAAGTGCCGTGGATCTGCTTCACTTCCTCTTCACTCCTCTTAAGATGGTGATCCAGGCATCAGGCAGCGTGGATCTGGCCCGCAGCATCGTGGTTCCTCTGCTGACCAGAGAGGCCATTGACTTCCTGCACGGCGCAGGGACAGCAGAGGAGAGGCACCTGTGGGTCGCCCTGGGAGACGGATGGACCAAATGCAGGTGAGACAACACTTTGAAGGTTGAACAGCGGTTTCCTCGTCCACTCAGGCTGCAGAATCTGAGTATCATCATGTTTCTCTGCAGGTTGGAGTGGCCCAAAGATCACTACTTCCCTCCCTGTGTGCTTAAGTTTCGGGACGGCTGGGAGCCTCCGCTGCTCCCGGCGCCGGCGCCATCCAGAGAGGAGCTGAACCAGCTCGCCGAGAGTCTCGCCAACGCAGAGATCCAGAGACACGAAGAACTAAGGGCCCGACTGAACCAGGAGGTCTGGACCTGAACTCTTTTCTGTTATCGTCATGTTTCAAACCACCAGCTCCTCTCTAACGTTTGACGCTCTGTTTGTTTGCGCAGCCGACGGTGGTGCAGACGGTTCCTCCTGCAGACGGGTACGCCTTCAACCCCTCCTACAAACGCTTACACCTCCTGGATCAGGACACCGCCGTGGCTGCTTTTAAACACGCCATCAGCCGCCGTGTTGACCGGTAACCCTGAGGTCACATGACGCCCTGGAGAACTGATCCCAACGCTCTGAGATTCACTAAAAAACGAACCTGCAGAGGAGGAAACATGACTTACTGATCAAAACATCAAAACATAAATAAATATAGAAAATAATTTTTTTTAAGTTGTAACTGGCTACAAACAAAAATGGAGAAAAATGCTGAAAAGTTTTTATGTTTATTGTATTTATTCATGTTTTGATGATTTAATGTGTGAATAAGTCGTTTTTCTGACTCCATGTTACCCCTCTCTGATCTGGTTTCACTTCTTTTCCTGATTATTTCTGGAAATCTCTTTTTTTATTCTGGGTGATTCAATAATCTGCAGTTTAACATAAACATCTGACAGAACTAATCTGAACTAAACAAACTTATTTCTGATATTTCCGTCTTACTCTGTTTTGATTTCTCCTTTCATTTGGTCTCTTTTTTTTCCTCTAAATCTAAAATTCTCAGTGTGAAATCTTTCTGACTTTAACTTGAACAGAGTTGGGACGCTTCTCCTCGGCTTTGACGTCAAATTGAGTCAATGTTTCATGGCCCCAAACCCTCATTATTCATTATCCTGGTCCTGTTATCAAATAAGTAAACATTTTTTCACCGTGTGTGTTTGTGCTGTGAAAACCACCACCACTATCCACAGAGACATTTCAGATCCACTGTTTGTACGACGCGTTTCCCTGAGATTAGTCGTTATTTATCCATCATTTCTGATGTTGCGATCGGTGGATTTTATTGCAGGAGTTTTGACGCTGACAGCAGAAGCCAACAGACTCTGTTTGCCAAATCTAAATACGACTTTGTGGCGAGAAACAACACGGAGCTGTCCGTGCTCAAAGATGAAGTCGTCGAGGTAAAACTTTATTCCACACACCTAACCTGAACATGGAGAATATTCCAAAATCTGCAAAATGATAATGTGATGTTTAACCCCTGACTCTCGTCTGTAAGGTTCTGGACGACAGGAAGCAGTGGTGGAAGGTCCGTAACGGCGGTGGAGCGTCGGGCTACGTGCCAAACAACATCCTGGAGATCACCAAAGCCGTGGACATGACGGGGAGAGGAGAGCCGATTTACAGCCACACCATCCAGGTAACTCACCTGAGGGGCGGGATTACCTGAAGGTCTGATTTTAAAACAGTCTGTTAGTTTAATTTCCTCTGTCTCATCTTCATCCGTGTTTTTTATCTCTAACTTTAAAAGCTTATGATGCCAAAGAAAGAGTTTGAGTTGTTTAAGGTATGGCCAGACGAGACGAGTGTTTCCAGAAGTTTCCTCTGTAGTTTTTTATTTCTACAGACTCCTGAGTGTTTGCTGTGATTTTTTTTAAAAGGAACAGTCTCACATTTAGGATTTTTATAAACCCAGAGATTAAAAAACAGGTCAAAAAGATAAAATAAGAGGTGAAAAATTACAGTGAATCCTAGAAAAAAAGCAAAGTTTAAAAAAAGAAACCGAATCTCAGGGGGGCTTAGAAACAACAAAAAGTCAAGAGGGGTTCAATTCAGGGGCGGCACAGTGGTGTAGTGGTCCTGGGTTTGAATCTTGGTCAGGGAGTTTCTGTGTGGAGTTTGCATGTTCTCCCTGTGTCTGCGTGGGTTTACTCCAGTTTCCTCCCACATCCCAAAAACATGCAGAATTGGGGTTAGGTTAATTGGTCTCTCTCAAATTGCCCATAGGTGTGAATCTGAGCGTGGATGGTTGTTCGTCTCTATATGTCAGCCCTGCAGTGAACTGGGAATGGGAACAAGTGGTAGAAAATGGATGGATGGGGTTCAGTTCCCTGGCTCCAAAGTCCCAACAAAAAGCCTTAAAACAGCTTTGAACTGAGACAAAATGAAAGCTCAAAACCGAGACAGAACAAAGTCCAAAAGAAGCTGACAAATAAGTGAGGAATGAAAACTTAAATAAAGCTGTAAAAGGTCAAAACTATTTCTAAAAGAGATTCAAGGAAAGTCGACAAAAAATTAGAGAAGAAGTCAAAATAGAAGCTAATCTAAATGAGATCTAAAAGTTTACTCAGAGGCTCAAAAATCAAGTGAGAAAAGAGTTTCCAAAAATCTTGGCGGACTTTTTTTCCGGTCAGACCTAGCACAGTTTTTTAGTGCTCGACTTTCAGCACCTTTCTACGCTCATCTGTTTCTCTTCTTGACCCAAAAGAGGCTTAAAAACCATCAATTAGCAGTCCGTAAGAGAGGCATACAAGCATGTTTTGACCTGATGTCAGACTGTTCCTTTAAATGATTTCCCTGAACTCACCTCACTTTTATTACAGTACTGTACCCTCAGTAGGTCTTTTAGATGTTCCTGCAGTGAGTTTGTGGTGCTGTTACACACATTGTTTGTTTATTTCCATCTTCACCTTCATGTCCTATGTTTCATTTCATGATTTCAGCAATTACTGGGAGAGTTAAACGAGGTAAAAACATTCAGAAAACACAGATTACAGTGTGGAGAGTGTAGAGTTTAGGATTATGATTTATTTTCTGTCCATAAACTTGAGAAGTACCAAAATAAAAAGTCTCTTCTCTGTTTTAGAAGCAGACATCCAGGTCTGACCTCATCTCCGGTAAACCTGCAGCCACTCCCATGCCTCCAGCCCCCACGCCGCCACCTCCAGCTCAAAACAGGCTCCCCACGCCTCCGCTGCCCCCTCCTGCAGAGCCTCCTAAAATGGCCGCCAGCAGCAGCACCGTCAGCCGGCAGAACAGCAGCACTTCCAGCGACAACGGCAGCATCGCTATGAGAGAGCACAACAACCAGAGAGCTGCAAACGCCAACCGTAAGTCCAGAGTTCTGCAACATCTGAGTCTGCAATTTTATTTATGATAATATGACACAACGATCATGACCACGTGGCGCCCCCTGCAGGCAGGAAGTCCAACATGGAGGAGGTTCAGGACGAGCTGATGCACAGGCTGACTCTGGGTCGCAGCGCTCAGAAGAAGTTTCAGGTTCCTTCTCGCTGCAACAGCATGCCGTCCGTCAGCATCACCTACGACTCGTCACCTGACCACGTGAGGGCGTGGTTAGAGGCCAAAGGCTTCAGCCCAGTGTGAGTCGAGGTCTTTGTTGATGAATGTGTTGAATTAATATAATAAAGACCTGAACTAAAAGGCCTGATTCTCTGTTCTCGATGCAGCACCATCACCAGTCTGGGCGTCCTGACCGGAGCTCAGCTGTTTTCTCTCAACAAAGAGGAGCTGAAGACCGTCTGTCCCGACGACGGCGCTCGAGTCTTCAGCCAGGTCACCGTGCAGAAGGCCGCGCTGGAGGTGGGTCAAAGGTCAAACACGATGTCACAGATAATAAATGAGATTTTTTATCATGACGTCAGGTCTGAAATGGGACAGTTTTAGAGGGGAACCAGAACATTCTGAGAAAAATATTAGATCATATTTGTCGACAGCTCAGTAACTAAATTAAAGGACTTATTCCTCCACAAATACTGAGTTAAAGGAAAGTTTTTATGAGTTTAAGAGCCGAAGAATCAATGTGTTAACAGTTAATGATTATTGTCAGTTATAAGTTAACTTGACTGACTGTACACAGTTAAACTTGAGTTCACATATTTGAGTCCAGACAGACACGAATTTGGTTTTATTTTATCCAATTTAGTGTATGAGACACACTTTAAAAACCTTTCTTTTAATGCAGAGAGGAATTTTGTTGAGATGTTACCCTGTGATGTAAAGTTTACCCTCAGGGGTCCTTAAAAAAGTTACGTTTAGGTCCTTAGATGGACAAAAATGTCCATCTCCTAAAAGTACTATAAAAATATTATACATTCATATTTTTTTCCACTTTTTTTGCTTAAATCTTTTAATCAACTTTATTACTGATCATATCTATCAAATATGTATTTATTTTCAGAATTTTAACCCTTTAAATCCCAGTGTGATTACATGATGTCACTGTTATTTTTAATGGGAAATAAAGGAATTTGGAGTTATTTTCCATATACTAGTTGCTGAGCAGGATTTTTTTTTTTTTTTTTTATCAAGGTCTAAAATGTGTCCTTATATGTGATAGTAAACAAGAAATTCCTGCTCAGCATCTAATATATGGAAAAAAACTCCAAATTCCTTTATTTCCCATTAAAAATAACAGTGATATCATGTAATCACACTGGGATTTAAAGGGTTAAAATCTTGAAAATGAATAAATATTTGATAGATGCGATCAGGAATGAAGTTGATTAAAAGATTTAAGAAAAAAAGTGGAAAAAATATGAATGTATAATCCTTTATAGTACTTTAAGGAGATGGACATTTTTGTCCACTAAGGACCTAAACGTTAAGTGTTTTTGTCACACAGTGAACAATGACCTGATATAATAATAGGTGGTCAAGTTTTAAAATTTGGAAAGAAGAAAAAAAAAACCTGAAAAAAATCATCCCATTTACATGAACACAGCCAAAATGATCAACAAATGAAAGGTAAAAAGTCACCAAAAATGGACAAAAATGTCAGAAGAGGGTCAAACGGTAATCAGTGCGTTCACAAACTCTTACAGTAACCTGAGCTCTAAAGGCAGGAGGTTAAAGGCTTGAGCTGCTGTGTCAATAGTAGCACCCCTGCCTGCTGGTGAAGCAGCTCTCGAAGGGAATGACACTCTCTCTCACCTAAAACACTCCTTTGAATCATCAGCTTCTTCTCACCTGCGCTTCACTTAGTGCTGAGATCGTGCACCGCTTAACTAGCAAAAGGCGGTCCAACATGCCCTGATGTACTCTGCACCACGCTCTTTAGTTCATTGGTCAGAGATTTCTTAGACAGGGCCCTTTGTGCATCTCCAGGACTTAGTCTAGACCTCAGAGTCCAGGTCTGGTTGATCTGGTTAGTCTTTTCTGTCTTTAAGCTTTTTATCTCCAAACTCTGGCAAGGTCTGGTGTGTGGTGTCTATCTCCACCTGCAGGTTTTCTTCTGACGCTTCTTGATCTTCTGAATCTGAGTCATTCTTTAAGGTATTGTGTACACAGACGGATAAGCTCCCGTTCAGCTTCGCTCTGTCGGCCAGAATTGATCCGAAGATTTCGCCCACAAAGCCCCGACATTAAAATCTCTGTATCACCTTTTCCCCCATGAATCAAAATCACAAACTCTGGCCGTCAGAACGAAGCTCTGGACGTTTCATGTGTAGCAACATTTTAAGGTAGCGCCAGTATTTGTCATCCTGCTGTGGCTGAACTGTCAGTCCTCCTTAAACCCCTGAATGAGCCCGCCCCTCAGCCTCACCTGTTACCCTCTGACTCCGCCCCCAACCTGTAGAGACCAGGAAGTCAACCTATTGTTGTGTGGAAACAGATCTGAGGAGACAAACTTGTGTCCTGTGTGCTAGCTTGGCATTTGTTAGCGTCCAGATAATGATCCTGACGTGGCCGAGACTCTAAAAACATCTAAAACAAAAAAGTTAGTGAAATGGAGAAACTTTTTTTTACAACCTGGTATTTGTTTTTGTAGTTTTTTTTCTTATCATTACAAAGAGTTTTACCCGAAACTATTGACTGTTTGTTCAAATCTATCTCAAAAGAAGTTAAACAGTCAAACGTTAAACAGGTGATTTAACTGTAAACTGAAAATAGTTCCTACAGCTACAAAAAAAAAAAAAAACAAGTCCAGCTTGTAGAAAAAAAGTTCCTTCATTTTGTCTCCGGTAAGTATTTGATATCTAAAAGTTTTTTTCCTGCTCTGTTGTGACGGTTTAAAGAAAAACGTGAAAAAGAGAAAAGCGAATGCTAATCACTTCAGTGTTTTTAAAAAGTGATGAAATCTTTGACGTGCTCATTTGCATATTTAATTTTTTTTTAAGTCGGGTGTTTCGTTTTTGTTAATTTTATTCAACCTTCACTAAATTATAATGTATCACTGGTAAGTAAAAATCTGAGATTTGTCCGGATGACAGTCAGGTGGAGATCTCTGATTTACCTGAAGAGGAAGATGATGAACTTTTCACCTTTAACTGGTCGCACAAAGACTTAGAACCAGGAACATTTACACTAATAAATGAAATTTCTCTAATAAGGAGAAGGAGTTATTTTTTATTATTAATAAAACATGAATGAGAAACTGAGAAATAGATACAAAATATACAGAAATGAAAATTAAAATGAACTCATAAATTAAAGTAAATGTTTCGTCGTCCTTCTAGAAAGACCTAAAGGTCAAACAGAAAAACGTTTGATTCATTTTTGGCTTTTCAACATTTGTATGAATTCGGGTCAGGTTCTTATAATTCTGACCTGAAGTCTGGACTTGAAAAGAAACGTCAGAATTCTGCCTTTTTCCTTCTTAATGTGGACTTTTATTTCGAATTATGTTTGTTTGTTTTTTGTTAAAATTGTGAGTATGATCTGGAATTCTGACCTTTTTCCTTTTGAAATTTGGCTCAAATTGTAAATCCTGCTTTTAATTTCATAATTTTCACTTTGATTTCACCAGGTTTATCAATCTAGAATTCTCATTCTACCCCAGTCTGAGAAAATTACTCTGAATTCTAATTTTTCTGTGTTGAATTCCTACATTCAAAGGCAGAATTCAGGATTACTCTGTTCTAGTTTAAGTCTATTTTTTGTTTATTATTTATTGAAATATTTGTTTTGGGTTCTTTGTTTCTGATTTGTTCTCTTTACTGATTCTGTCTCTACCTCAGTTTAATCAAATTCAGTCTTTGTGCGACCAGTTTTCAAAAGCTTTTAAAGAACTCAGTTTCCCAGCATGCCCCCTGACTCTACCTGCTGACTCATACTGTAGGTGTTTAACGCTCATGCTCTTTGCAGTTCGCAGCAGCTCTCTCTAAAGGCTTCCTGAGTGTTTTTGGACAAACTCAGCAGAGAAGCTCTGTAGATTTTTGCTTCAGATGCACAGTCGCTGTAAAAGCAGAGAAGTTGTGATTTCCATTTTCTGTTGGTGTTGTTGGTCTAATTTGTTGTCGTTTCTGCCTCTCTGCTCTTCCTTTCTTTCTTTCATTGGGTCACCAGAGGAGTTCAGGCTCTGAGCTCCAGGAGATCATGAGGAGGCGGCAGGAGAAACTGGCAGCCAGCACCTGTGATTCAGGGGTGGAGTCTTTCGATGAGGGCAGCGCCCACTGAGCTTCCTCCCTCCCTCATTCCCTCACTCCCTTCCTTCCTTTCCTCCTCCCCTTTTTTACATTTAACTTTTCAAACTGCAGCTTGCCGTTTTCTCGCCATCTTCATCCTCAGGCGGCGGCCACCTACGCCGAGTTTGTAAAGATCATGCGGCGCAGGCAGGAACTCCTCAGCTCGTCTCCATAGGACAATGAAACGACCACAAACCTTCTGACTGTTGAACACAGGTTGATCACTCTGCCATGTTTGCCTGAAGCTCACATGAACACTTTTGGGAGTCTTGGAGGTGTTTTCTTCTTCTTCTTCTTTGGAGGAGTTTGGTTGGCGTCGGTGAAAGTGAAGAAGCTGCTCAGAGGCTCATCTTCCAAATCAAACCTCTCAGTATTAAATGTGTCAGCAGAAGAACCGACTGGAAGTTCGCTTCAGTTTGTGCCTCAGATGTTTTATTACAACAGAGACGAGAAACTTTCGAAAGTTTTTCTGACCTACGACACTAAAAACACTTTCTGTTCTAAACTTGAACAGATTAGAATAAAATATGCTGTTCAGAAAGTAGTTTGTCAGCGCAAGATAACTTTTATAAAATCATGCCAACAGTCGAAACTATCAAATTTCTACAAAGTGCCCTGAAGTCTAAAGCTAGTATGGAAGTTATCTTGCACCCTAAGGTTTGGATAATATTGTACATACAACGGGTAATATCTTGTTTATTGCAGAGTACTTTCAAAAACAAGATTATCTATTCAATATGTAAAAAATACTCTATTGTATCTTGTTTCCACTACAAAATGGTTTAAAGGAAAACATTATTGATGAAATTACTGCTAAGTCCAAAATACTGGTAAAGCACTATCTTGTCAGAAAAGGTTATTATGGATATTATCTTGCGCAGAGTACTTAAACATTATTTGTCATATAGCGAAAAGGTGATACTGCCCCTTTAAACAAAGTTTCTTTGAAGATCTTGCACCCTTAACATACAAGAGATCTTGTTTTATCAAAAAAGAAATTACTACTTTGTTCCAACAAGATAGTATTTTCAAAAACAAGATTATCTGTTCATTATGTAAAAAATACTCTATTGTATCTTGTTTCTACTACAAAATGGTTTGAAAGTAAAGCATTCTTGATTAAATTACTGATAAATTTAAAATACTGGTAAAGTTTTATCTTGTCAGGAAAAGTTATTATGGACATTATCTTGCGCAGAGTACTTAAACAACATTATTTGTCATATAGCGAAGAGTTAAAACTGTCCCTTCCAACAAAGTTTCTTGAAGTGCAACGTTTCTTTGAAGATCTTGCACCCTTAACATACAAGAGATCTTGTTTTATCAAAATAAAAATTACTAAAAATTACTGTCCCAACAAGATTGTATTCTCAAAAACAAGATTATCTATTCAGTATGTAAAAACTACTCTGTAGTATCCTGTTTCTACTACAAAATAGTTTGAAATTAAAGCATTACCAATAAAGCTAAATTCAAAATATATCATGCAGTTATGCATTATCTTGTCAGGAAGAGTTAATATGGACATTATCTTGCGCAGAATACTTGAACAACATGATTTGTCATAGAGTGAAGACTATTCTTTCCGACAAAGTTTCTTGAAGTGCAAAGTTTCTTTGAAGTGTATCTTGCACGAGTAAACTTACTACCCTGTTCGAGCAAGATAGTGTTTTCAAAAACAAGATATTACCTTTTGTGTTCATGGTAGGTTTAAGACAATCCTGTGTGATTTTTTTTTTTTTAACAAGTAGTAAGTCATGACATCTTGCAAGATCAAGATTTTAGCATGACAAGGTATCCTTTTAAGTCCACAAGATATAGTATCGGCTATCTTACTCCCACAAGATATTTGATATATTCTCTTTACAGAATACTTGTGCAAATCAAGATACCTTTGTGTAAGAGTGACAACAACAAGACAAGATTTAGGGTGCATATCCTTAAGGGATTCAATCTTGCTCTTGGAAGATCAAAATTCGCTTTCACAAGAGAGAGAATTTGGAGCGCACTGATCTGACTTAGTGAGACATTATTTCACTAAACAATCCAGGCTATCTTATGAGAACAAGATACTTTATGTGTACAATAATGTTGGCTAATAACTGAAGGGAGAGTTCAGGGGTTAAATATTCCAGAAAAACTCTGATCGGCTCGTAATGGAAATAAAGAGGCACAAACTGCAGCTGTTAGCCGACTGTTTAAAGTATGTAAAATAAAAGAAAGTAAATGTTGAACGTTATTATTGTTGAAGGAAATACACTGGGACTGATTTAACTGTTATACAGACTGTTGGCCAAGAGAATCGCAGGACTTATAATAAATCATCTTTTTTACTCTAGAGTTACATGAAAGTTTAAATGACATTATTCATAGAGCTGATCGACTTAAAAGTAAAATATGTGAAAATCTTTTTCTTGAAATGCACAGTAACTTATAACAACATCTAATTTATGTACTTAATGTGATTTAGAGTTAGTCACAGAGTAACAAACAGATTTATTAGATCTGCTAATCAGCTTTTTTTGCACAATAAATGATGAAAATATGAATGTTTCTCTGCTGGATGCAGAACGAGAATCAAACTTTAGAATTAATCAGAGTTTATTTGTTGGCTGATGAATTATCTTAAAACGGCTGATTGTACGACTTAGTAAGAAGTCAAATGTCCAAACACTGAAGTGAAGGTAGACTTGAATTAAACACGATGAATGTCTTTAATTTAGGCTCCGCCCACAACGACAGGAAGCCTTGTGTGTTTGATTACAAATATGTCTGAATGGTCCAACTTTCATCAACACCGAACGGGATTTTTCTTCCATTTATTCATATATTTATGTTTGCCATTACTTTGAAAAGTCGACTGCAAAATTATTCAAGGGCTGAACCAGGTACAAAGATAATTTTCAGATCCAACCCTCAGAGATGTAATTACCAGGAAAAGATGTATGTGCATTTGCTTTATGAATTACTGCAGCCAGTGAATATGTTGAATAGTAACAGGGTATGACATGACTCTTTTTTTCATTGTACTCTGAATTATATTTGATTTAACTCTTTATAACACCAGAAACTTTACCTCTCTTAGTCTAATATTTCACTTTTTGTTTTTCACATGACCTTTATTTGTCCGTGCTGGTCACGAACTGCCTATTACCATAACTTCAAATATCTGCTTTATTTCAGGATTTACTGCAAACTCTTCATCTGTTAAACTTGCACCGTCAAAAACAAACATCAGCAAGCAAAAAAAAATGTCTACAGGAGCACAAACTGATCGCACTACAGCTGTTTCCGTTTCAATCAGCCTGAAAGCACCAAACTGGAGAAATGTCCAATAAAACACAGAAACATGTTTGTACATAGATGCTTATAAGAATAGAGGATGTACAAAAATCAGTCGGTACATTATTTACTCACTGTGGCATTGATTGTATTGATTATGTTTCCTCTGATGCACTTAAATGTTTCTCTTTGAGTGTAAAAGGAATAAAGAAAGAGGTCGTAGCGAAACACTGTATTTACACTAATGATTTAAGCTGAAGTAGTTCGCTGTTAAAGAGAAAAATTACATGTATTTAGTGAACTGTTCATGTATTCAAACGGTTCAAGAGCCAATCAGAGAAGTGTTAGCGAGAAGTCACTACAGAAAAGCATTTGTACGTGTATAGTTTTCATGGTGCCTTTTCCATTAAAAATTTGCCCATTCTGCAATAAAAAATTTACAGAAATTAAACCAGTTATTTTTGTGTTTTATTGATGAACTCTGAAGTCTGCGGAAAGTTTTCATGACCAGAATCTTGGTTTAAAACTCTGAACATTAACAATATCATCCTTCACATGTGACCATCAGCCCTACGGAGGAACATGTAAGTTTTCATGAAGCTCTGGTAGCAGGTAAGGTCGGTTATCTGAACTGGTGAATTCTGATTTTTAAAAAGTTCTCAAAGTTCTGAGAAACTTTTGAATGTTGAATAGATCCTGAGTTATCATCACAGTAATTTAAAAATAGTCAAAGTTGCTGTTTTGATCTTGGACCACCTGCTGCAAGAGAAAGAGTCGCCCACAAAGACTGGATATAGAATGGACGCCGTCTGCCTCCTCGCTGGGTGAAGCCACCCCAAGAACAGCGCCCTCTGGTGACAGGCTGCAGTATAGGTCATAAATCCTGCCTCCTCCAGCAATCCTTATGGAGCTGTGGACAAACTTTAAAAAGTCTCCTTATCCTCTGAGCTACATGAACACACAGGAAGTTTCTGGATTTTTCCTTTTTCACTGTTCTTTGTAAACACTAGACTTTAAAATTCACAAAAAAATTTGACTGAAAAGTTATTGGCCAAAAAACACTAAGAAATCTTATCTAAAGCGGACTGTGGAGACTTAGAGAAAAGTCAGGACAAATAGAGAAAGAATAAATAATTAAAACAATGTTTTAGTTAAGTTGGCGATTGTACAGTTCATTAAAAATACAACTAATATAGGTTCAGTTTACTACAAACTACTTTTATGGTGTTTATTGGCAGCTTTTATTTCAACAAAGTTATACATAAACAAAAATAACCACATTTTAACCATTATTACCCTAACTGCAGTTTAGATTTTCTAGAGGATAATTTGAGATTTTTTTTTTCTTTTTGTAATTTAATCGTTTGTTTCTGCATTTCAGCGTATTTCTGTTTTTGTTTCATCTGCACTTTGTGGTTTTTACATTAAAAAGTAAAAAGGACGAATTTAACTGCAACATTTTATTTGTTCCAACACACACACACGCACACACACATTAAAACTCTGTGACAATGATCCGAGTTTGAGATCATCCCTCAAATTTAAGTGACACAATGCACAAAATGGCACCAATGACGTACAAGTTTGACTGGACACACACGAAGCAAGAGAAAGAATTGTAGAAGAGTGTACAGTGCTGAGTTTTCCCGCGCCGTCTGCAGGTTTTCTGTCAGTTTTTACTCTGTAAATCTTTTTTTTTTTTTTTTTTTTGACAGTTGTACCAAAGTGCGTCCCTCCGGCCACAGACGAGTTCTCCAAGTCCACGAGACATCCTCCAGACAGCCGAGTCCTCAAACGTCTCAGTGAAGAGAGAACCTCTGGCTCAAGTAACGATGATTCACATATACAACAACTTTTAAAAAACAAACCTCTAAAGCAACATTTCCACAAGAATTACTTAGTAATGACGAGTAGAAACAGAATACTTAAGCAGTAGTAGTATGTACAGTACATTTGATTTTTTAATCGTGAAATGGAAACTATTTCAGATAGAGCGGCGACCAGCCGAAAGGTAAAGACTTCAGGTGTTTGCACCACAAGGCCACGATGACGAATCAGGTTTTAAATTAACACTTAAGTATCCACCGGCCTTTAAAACACATTCAATGATTTGTTTTTCTTTTTTTTTTTACAAGTTTTATTTCAGGTGCAGTCGAAATATGACAAACAGCAGTTAGAGGAGGCTTTTAAATGTGCTTAGATTTTTAAGAGGCTTCATCACAACATGTAAAAATTGATGAAGCTCCTTAAACACTTTTGTCTAAAAGTTAAGAACCAGTTCTGCAACATATGGACTGATCATGCAGCTATTTAATTTAGAAATACGCCAAAAAAAAAAACTATTTTGCTAATTTAAGTGGCGAATTGGCTCTTACATTTAAAAAAGACGTTTTGAGCAATCAAGTTTCATTAAATTCTGCTATTTTATTGGCTTTTAACAGATTTTTCTTGTCTTGTTTGACTTTTCTAGCACTTTAAAAAGATTAAAACCACTTAAGTTCCTTAGGACCTTTTAACCAGCATCTACTCTTTTCATTTCTGCAAAACAATTTGTTCTTTCACTCAGTTGTTTGAGGATGTGGCCAAAAAGCATGAGAATCTGGTTTTAATGCAACTTATTTATTGTTTTGATCACACTTAGTTTGTACGACTAATTTAAAACTTTTCTTGTATATGAAAATGTTTGTTAAAACTGATGGAGTTGAGTAATTCCATGGAGCTACACCTTGCATACATTTTTTCAATTTTCACACATTTACATTTTAAACTTACAGCAATTTTGTACAAATTAATTTTCACCCTTTTTTTTCTTCAAATAGTTATTACTGTAAAAGTGAAATAGGCCAGATCTTAATTTTCATGACTTCTTATGTTTTCATCCTTAGAATTTCAGTTTTAAAAGTTGTGTTAACGTCTTAAAGGTGGTTACAGAAAAAAAATTTAAAAGCCTCTTAACTCTGTGCTCTTATTTTGACGACACCTTGTGCTTCCTGAATTACAAAGAAAAGTTTGAACGAGGTCGCCCGCTCTCATCTGTTCAGAAACATTCTCTACAGTCAAATAAAAAGTGAGGAATATGGAGTTTTCTTTTGCCCTTCAAGTAAATGTTCAGTAGAAAGATGTAAAATGAACTAACTAAATTAAGTTGAGCTGAAAACTAGCTGACGCTGATGCTTCAGAAAATGGCTTTAACTATTTCCTGTACAGCAGTCGAGAGTTTGAGTGAAAGAGATGAAGTCAGCCCGAGCCAAAATATTTCATTCTTAAATTATATTTTATTACTCGCTGATTTGGTTATAATGCCCAAAATATATATAACTATATGTATATAAAATTATGTATTAACTAATTTGGATTTTAAGAGTTCTTCAGATTTACTTCAATAAACTGCATCATATCAAGTTAAAAAAAATTCAAATAAAATAAACTAAATACTGTTGATATACGGCTGTTACATCAACTTTTTAAAATATAAAATTCAAACAAAACCATGTTTGCGATTGTTGTATTTTTTGGCCATTGTTTTAAATTTTTGCACTTACATAAAAATTTTTGATAAAATAAGAAACTTGACTGATCTCATTGATCTGACTGTAAATTACAGTCTGTTTTCTTCCTCAGAGGAGTCGTGATTTGGTCCCCAGACCTCTACCAGTGAGCTGACCGACGACGCCAAAACTACATCACAGGAGTCCTCCGGGGGAGGGAACAAAAGCTGTTTAACTCTAAATCTGGATTTCTGGCTTTAAAGGTGGGGTAGGCAGAATTCTGTTAAAGAAGCATCAAAAAAGCTTTTAATATCTGTAAATAGATATTAGTTATTGATCACATTTGGTAATATAACAATATCGCTGTGCTTTGTTATGTCTGTGTAGTCAACATTTAAAATTTTTTGAGCGGCCCGCTCTTTCTGACTGTAAACAAAGCCGTTCTCTACCTCCCCAACCTGATTGGTCGTGACGCAGATGCTGGTCCCTCGAATCATTCATGAGCCCAAACAACGTTAGCGTGCTACAATATCAGACAGTAGAAACCAACCAACAAGTACGGGAACTTGTCTGAATCCTCCTTTGGGCACGACCACCAACACAAGTTAGAAAACAAAGTAAATACAGGAGACTCTGGTGGAATAACAGACGCTTAAAGAAGCCGGGTCAACATCAGCATAACTGATGGGGGATGCTTCAGGATCTTGGTGACCCTGTAACCTCTCTGCTGGACAGGTAAACCGCTTTAACAAAGTAAGCCAAGTGTCTGTAACAGAAGTGTTTCTTGTCAAACGGACCTGCTGCATGTCGTAGCGCCGCTAAACTGTTGACCTCGGGTCCTGGACTATGTCACTTTATCCTAGTTTGGAAGTCCTGCAAACATTGTGTTTACTGGTAGTCTGTTAGCATCTACAGTAGCACCAATGCTGTTTACTTTAACGTTGATATGAGCGAGCAGGAGCGTCTGTTTGTGGGCGGGGCTTTCTGGAGCAAAGAGGGAGGGGAGAGGAGGAGCTGAGGGGAAAACTGGTTGGGCGGCATCATGGCACTTCCTCAGATCCTGCCTACCCCACCTTTGAGTCTGGATGAGCTTCTGAACACAAAAATATCAACTCTAATATAAATATTTGTTTGGGCACTGTAACAAAAGCAGTTGATGTAAGGAGAAGAAAAACCTTTTTGGCATGATTAGAAATTTCTAGAATAAGATTCGCTGTCATGATTTAGAGCAGATCTTTGCAAACAGACTCGGGCCGACTCTTGAGATATGCCGAGCAGATATGTTTCATCCTTCCCTAATTCAGCAACGTAAACTTTGTCAGATTTGATATATAATTTCTTGGAGGTTTTGGCAGTTTATCGTCTGTCCTCAGATACTCTCCGATACGTGATCTACGTTGTCTTCACAGGATTGTTGTAGCCGATGAGATCACAAACGTCTCTCTGCTCTAAAAATCTTCAGATCCTCGTTGAGAAAGAGCCCACAGCGCTCAGGACGGACGGACGAACAGCAAGCGAAACGTCTGTACAGTCAGTCCTCCACGGTCAGAAGCAGCAGAAACTCGTCCCTTCTCCCCCCGTCAGCAGGTCAGTTAGCTCCCAGGCCTCAGTGCAAATACAAACTACAGCTCTACCACAGTCTCTAACAGCGTCTAAACTGGCCTCGAAAACGTCCATCAGCGTCCCAACAGCGGCATGAGGCACTCGTGTTTTCCACAGAAAGGCGTCTTGTCTGTTTCCTTCGGCTGTCTTTGTCTTTGTGCCCTTAACACCCAGCAAACATTCAGGTGCTGAATTGTTGATTCGACGTACAAATGAAAGGTTTCAGTCCGGTAATACTTCCTGATCGAACTTTGTGAGGCTGAAATCTAAAAACGCTCCAAATGCAGCAAAAACGACTGAATCCTCGACAAGGCGACAAACTCGTGAACACATTTCTCTAAAGTGAGTCCGACAGTAAAGGCTTCTTCTACCAGCACACTGTCATTACATTCAGAAACTGCTCAATTTAGTGTTTGATACGAAAGAAAAATCGGTTTCAGCATCCAAAAGTTGTAAAATTTTGTGCTAATTTTTGTTTGCTTGCTGGGTTTCTCAGTGAATATAACCTGTGCAGCAGTCCTGGCAGTTAGCTGGCGTGTTAGCTGCGGGTGTTTTTAAGGTTTGGCAGTGTAATGTTACGATTTACCGCCTTACAGTTCCGATGTCTTTACCGCCAGGACAGCTGCTCAATTCAAACAACGCTGAACCCAAAGTAAGGGATGACTGATGGCGTTCGAAGTGGAGGAAGAGGCCAGTGTGCTTGCTGGTTTTTTCAGCTACTCCTGAGTTTAAAAGAAAAAAAAAAAAAAAAACCTAAATGAAAAAACTGCTGACTCGGCTCCACCGACTCGTCGCCTCACATCGTCTGAACGAAGGACGGACACAGTTTAGACATCCAATCACAGGACGGAGCTCGTTATCGCTCCCCTGACTCCTCCCGCCTCACGTTGGATCAGTCCGGTTCAGAAGGTTCAGGGTGTTTTTTGTTCATGTTTGTCAGTTCAGCTCCTTAAGGCAGATCTCCATCCCATGCTTTAACACCAATTCAAACTAAATACTGTTTTCTTTTTTTTTTATCCTCTTGTGTCGTCGAGATGTCGTCTGTTTTGTTTTTGATACTGATGATGAAGCGGATCTTCTTCTGCAGAGAATGGATGCCTGAAGCACAGGAGGCCGGTGTGTTTGCAGCCTGCAAGACAAGGAGCAGGGATTACGTCACGACTGGTTTATAAATACCTTTAAAAAATATATTCATTTTCAGCAACAACAACCCTTCAGTTCTAGTGCTACTTGACTCGAGTGCTGCCTTTGACACTCTTGACCACCAGATTCTTTCACATAGATTAAATGAACATGTGGGCCTCACAGGAAATGTTTTTAAATTGTTTTCTTCGTACCTTTGTGACAGAAAATTCTTTGTTTCAATCGATAACCGCTCTCCCACACACCACGAGGTTACCAGTGGGGTGCCACAAGGATCAATTTTAGGACCGTTACTTTTTAATTTGTACATGTTACCTCTGGGCGGTGTCATCAGGAGACACGGCATCTCTTTTCACAGTTATGCAGATGACACTCAGCTCTATGTGTCCGTGTCTCCTGATGACAACGGCCAGTTGGAGTCACTTTTAAATTGCCTTTTAGATGTTAACAGCCTGGATGTCACAGAATTTTCTGCAGCTCAACCAGGACAAAACTGAGGCTCAGAGAGAGAAACTGACCCCCCAAACTCCACAAAATAGGACTTAACCTCAGCCAGGAAGCACAAAATCTCATGGTGGTGTTTGGTGCTGATTTTAACTTTAAAACTCATGCTAGGGGGGGCACTAAAACAGCCTTTTACCATCTTAAAAACATGCTAAAGTACGACCGTTTCTCTGACAGAGAGACTAATGCGCACTTTTATAACCAGCAGGCTTGACTACTGCAATACTCTTCTCTAGGGTCAACCCAGAAGCACCAAAAACACAATAAACCAGCTACAGCTAATCCAAGTCTTTGCACTGTTTGTTAGTTTTCGCATTGATTTTTAAATTCTTTTACTAGTTTATAAAGCTCTACATGGCCTGGCACCAGAACACCTTACAAAGATGATTTTAATTTATGAACCAGAGCGGCCTCTTAGAGCCTCTCAGTCTCTTTTAGTCGTTCCACAGAGCGGAACAAAATGATTTGGTGATGCGTCTTTTAGCTGCTACGCTCCAAAACTGTGGAACAAACTTTGAGAGGGTCTGAGACAAGCTGCTAATATAGAAATCTTTAAATGTAACCTAAAAACTCATCTATTTAGCCAGGCTTTTAAATAAAGCTTCATTATCTTAATTACAGTTATAATTTATTTATTTATTAGTATCACTTTTGACCTTATTTTATTAACAAATTCAAGTTTATATTTTATAGTCTGTTTTAGTCTATTTTAATAACTTTTATTTTTCTTGTCCTGATGTAAAGCACTTAGATAGCTTCATAAGACAAAAATTGTCTTTCCGTTTCATGTGTAATATGTTTCCTTCGCACCATTTTCCATCAAGTACATTCTTCTAGATGATTTACAAACCCTGAGCCTCCCAACACTTCTAGATGACGCCTTGAGTTTGTGACTCACGTGTGTTGGAGCCTCGGTCATTATGTCTTGCTGGCGTTCTCGTAAATAACGTCAGAGGTGATGGACTGCTGCTTCTTCTTCTGCCACATGAGCAGGACGCACTGATGGATGAACACGTACTGCTCCTGTACGGGAAGAGAAAGAGGATGTTTGGTTAAATTGTTGAAGGTTTTTTTTTATTTCCTCTCTGTGGACAGCGTCTCTGCGCCCTCACCTCGGTCTGGACCATAGACAGACGGTGTGATCTCATCTCAGACACCATGCCCAGGATGTCCACAAACTCGTGCTCTCTGATGTGCTGCATCAGACGATCCAGAGCGATGAAGGTCCCCGTCCGGCCGACTCCAGCGCTGAAACACACACACACAGACGCAGACACACAGATATATCAGAACCACAGGGTGATACCAGCCACAATCAGAGGAAATGGACGCTTTAATGGACATTACATCATCTGCCTAATAGCATTTTAATGGTTTGAGCTGTCAGGATGTGACTCAGAGTCTCAGATCAGGTTATTAAAGTTTCTTACAGTCAAATGAAACGAAGATGAGACAAGTTTGAGAAGTCATTAGACATGAATCTGACAAATCCGACTTCTAGAGACTGATCGGTTTACTGCTTCATGAGAGAAAAAGTGGAAATTAGGTCTTATTTTAAAACCTGGGCTGGTTGGGTATTTCGCACAGCCTCAGTGTACTGTAGGTCTAATTATACTGTATAAATATTGATATTTGTCACTAATAGTATGTATCACATCGCTAAATGTATCATGTTACTGCATTATCATGATAGTAAATTCATCAGTGTACTATAAGTATCATGATACCTATCGCCGTAGAATGTGTTTCACAATAGAATTGCACCAATAATGTGTCACAGTACTATAGTTATCACAGTATGATGTGTGTCACAATATGATTTGTGTCTGGTTACAATGTGTCACAATACTATGTGTATCATAATACTATGTGTATCACAATTCTATAGGTATTTCAGTTCCATAGATATCATGATACAATGCGTGTCACAATATGATGTGTATCGTGATACTATAAGCATCATAATATTGTAAGTATCACAATACGACAATACAATGTGTGTCTCAAAATACTTTGTGTATCATGATACTATATGTATCTTGATTCTATGGGTATCACAATACTCCATCTGTCACGATACTATATGTATCTTGATTCTATAGGTATCACAATACTCCATCTATCACGATACTATATGTATCTTGATTCTATAGGTATCACAATTCTATATCTGTCACAATACTATGTGTATTATGATACTATGTACTAGTACTGAAGTACCACAGCACTATGTGTATCACTACATATCACACAATGATGCATATCATAATTCTATATAAATCACAATAATAATTATGTCACGATAGGATACATATCATGATTCTATAACAATCAGTAAATCAATCTGTAAATATAAACCTGGACTGTCTCCTTTAAAATCTGAGTTTCTGACTTAAAAGTGGGCGTGGCTCTGACCTGCAGTGGACAATGATTGGGTCTTTGGTCCTGTTGGCCTGCTGACGGACGATGTGGACAAACTGAAGGATGCTCTCAATAGCATTAACCGTGGGGACGCCATGATCGGGCCAGGAGGTGTAGTTCAGGTGGAGGACGTCGAGAGACTCATCGGCCTGCAGGGGGAGACAAAGAGTGTGAATGAGGAGGTAAATATTTTCACATAGAGAATGTTTGAAGAGGGGGAAGTGGTTCTCACATATCCTAGTCTGATCTTCCTGATGGTCCACTCTGGAGACTCTGTCTCAGAGAGCATCTCTGCACTGATCTCTCCGTACATCACCGGCTCGTCTGTGAACGGCCAGTAGTGATCGCACTTTACCTGGAAATCACAAACATAACATCACATCAGCTGATACAGTCGAGTCTATTGTCTATCATTTAATGAGCATTATTGTCTGTCTGAGCTCGTTTGGACTGAGTTCATGTCAGAGGCGAGACCGACCCTGCGCCGTTCGTTGCACTGGGTGAGCATGACGATGATCGGAGATTTCTGCTGCAGAACCATCTTCCAGAAATCGTTACGAGTTTCAGGGAGAGGACCCTGGGTGGCGATGTACTCTTTAGAGTGTTTGTAGCCCTGAAGATCACACAGAGAAAACACATTTTTTCAACAAAACAGAAACATTTAAATGAAGGTAAACGCACAGTGAAGAGATAACCATTAAATACAAGAACAAGATGGAATTTTTTTAACTGGAAAAAAAATTCAAGTGTAAGACAAGGTATGCAGTAATATAGAGGTATCCACAGCTTTAAGTATAGCATCTTAGTAAAATACTTTATTTCAGCTCTGAGGAAGAAAATAAAAGAGTAATGACTCACAGGTATGTAGTTGGCATTGATGTAGTCTGAACCTTCATCGTTGTGCATCGAGATCAGCTTCACTCGGCTGAAGTCGTCTGAGTTTGAGATAAAAGTTAAAATTAGAAGAGCTCAAAATGATTAAATGTCCTAGCAGCAGCAGTATTCAATAAAGCTTATTAAATAAACACGTCTCTGATTTTTAAGAGAGCAACTGTGTTCTATTATTGTCCTATCTGTGTCCTCTCTCCCATGATGTTTTGCAGTGCGAGACTCACAGGGCAGGATGTTGGTGTATCTGTTCTTGGGCCTGTTAACAGGAAGGTCTGCTGCATCATGGGAAAGATCCAAACCGACGCTCTTCAGCTCCTGAAAAAAACACCCACACACAAACGTGAATGTGCACAGAAACTGTATCATATTACCAAGTCTGTATGTATCAATGTTTGTGTGCAGTAAAAAAAAATATTGGAATAGTATGCTGAATGTATAAATGTATGTTTTATGAATAGTTTATATGTTTGAGCAGAAATGTGCTTGTATGTATAAATTATGTCTAAATGCAAAAAAAAATATAAAACCATAAAAAAAAGAAATGTATGTATAAATATATCAAGTTCGAATGAAAGAATGTATGTGATCTTGCATGTCTGTATGTGTATGTATTTATACATACATATACATTAACTCTCTATATAAACTGTGTGTGTGTGTATATATATATATATATATATATACTGTATATACATATTAATATACAAGTAGAAGTTATTATCCACATATGAATATGTTGTGTAGTTATAGTTTATTTAGGTGTGCATGAACGTAGTGGTATGTACTAATAAAGGTACATGTATACGTACATGTGTACGAAAAAGTACAAAGTACAAAAAAAAGTATGAAAAAATAAGAATGTGTAAAACACAGATGTATAAGTTATGTATTCGAAAATTCGAAAGTGTATCTTTGTGTAAATAAAACAAAGACATACAGTTTTTACTCATGTTTGGCCCTATTTTTGAATATGTATTTACGCATACACTTATGTTTGTATGTATTTGAAAGCACACTTAAGTATGAGTCATTTCCAATGAATATATTACGTTAGTGTGACTTGAGTGTGAATGTGCTTGTTTAAATATAGTGATGTTTTACATGTATGACTCATACAGTACATAACATTTATTCATAGCTGAAATACACACATCTGTCAGCTCTTCCGTTCTCTTGGCACTCTCATACAGACTTACTGTGGGTTAAATCTCACCTCAAACTGCAGGGAGAACTTGTACGCCGAGTCTTTGCTCATTTCTTTAAAGAAAGCGTCAAAATCATCCAGCTGGACGGGGCTGCAACAACACACCAATGTGTCAGAAAATATGAAAAATGAATTCTTTGAAATTTAACTTTATAAATCATAACACACCACCAACAAGTTCAAAAAACATCTAACAGTGCCACCTGAAAGCATCAAAATACAGGGATTGTCAGTTTTCCATGAAATAATGATTGAAAAGTTCAGATTTGTGAGCTTTCTTCTCCTCCCCTGAACAGCCTCTCCGTGTCTTACTTTGTCATCTATGTGTCTGTTTGGATCAGAGGCTCATCCTGCCTCAGAGGAAAAACTGGGCCTCTGGTTCAGATTCACTGTAATCTGATGGATTTAACAGTTTGGATGTTCTCTGTTTCTGGCTGAAGGCTGTTATTAGTGCGATGGCAGCACACATACACACACATAGACAGATACACACATTAATACACAAAAATAAAAATAAAAAAGCACAGACTGAGGCCACATGTTGTTGTTTAGTCTTGTTACCTTGTAAGCTTCCGTTTCTTTAGAGCTGTCTTGCTCCTATGAGATACAAACATGTAGAGTTCCTCATAATGATTACTGTCACTGCAGTCAGACTAAAGCACATTTACATTACCAAGAGTTTATTCTAATTTTAATATGTTCACACTCTGGATCTGCACATTAGGGTTTGACTAAGGTAGGGTTTTCACATCTTCAACGTCTTTGTTAAAGTTTGCTATTTACAATCTCAAAAACTTTAGTGCTGTTATTTAAAATGATTAAATATTGAAGTTTTGTTGACTTTAATATACAGAAGTCTAAGGCTGACAATATTCAAAATAAATGTTTTAATTAAAGTAAAAATTCAGATATTTATGTGCACATTTTTCATGATATTCAATCGAAGATTACAAAAAAAACATTAAATTTACATAAAAATAAACTGAGTTTTGCATGTGAATCTGTTAAAATGTCATTTAAAACATTTAAAGGTCTTAAAAAACAGATAAACAGGGTAAAAAGAAAACAATTCTGAAAAAAAAGGCTGAGCAGAGAAGTTTAATAAATAAAGAAAATAATTTAAAAAATCAATTCTAGTTTAAAAATAAAGGCTTTTAACAGAAATTTTATCCAATAAACTTATATTCATTTATCATTATTATGAATTAAATGAACCTGTTAATAAACTGAGTTAGTTTTGGACTAAAATTTATTTTAGATTAAATTTTTTTTACTAAACTGGACTAAAATAACCATCCATGCGAGTTTAATCTTCTCATTTAGTTAGAAAAAAACAAACATTTTAAGGTTGTATAAACAAATGTCAATAACCCAATAGAGGTGGATAATTATGGCAGAATTATTCAAGTATACATATAAAACATAATCTTAAATTGAAACATCTGCTGAAATCAGAAAATTCATTTTTTTAATGATCAAAAAGAAAAAAAGATGTTAATGACTCCTGAGTGAGTTTTTGGATTTATTTTGCAGAAACTGCCTTTTTTTTGTTTTAAATCGACAACTGAGAATTTAACCAAGACTTTACTTTTTATCATAGTGTTTTTGTAAAAAATTTGTCTACTGATTATTGGCAGCTCTGGACCTCCAGAGCAGTCGGGTATGAAACCCCACCAATTGGTCAAACTCTAAATAGCAGATCTTTACATTAAATTTAACCCTTTCTTGTCAGAGTAACAACATCATGCTGAGTGATCTGTAAAGCTCAAACAATCTGTTACCTGTCTAAAGCACACACCTGATCATCAAACATGCAGATTCTTTACAGGATGCAGTAATTTCATATTTCATGCTTTCGTATTTGCATTCCTGATCCAGATCCATTTATTTCAAGATTCTCCCAAAAACCTAAAATACGTCCCCTCAGCTCAAAGCTGATTGGATAATTTAGATTTTCGGGTTTCAGGTGTTTAACCAGCTTCATGCACTGAAACATCTACAACTAACAAACTAACAGGAAGCAGCTACACTACCAGCAGCACACAGAGAGTCTACATCTGAAGAAAACACAAAGAGGAAGACAGACGTCATGCAAACATGGAGCAAAGCTGTAATTAGCATCGACAGTTAGCATCATGCTACATTCAACACATCAGTTAAGAACACACTCAGTGTGACCGAGTTAAACCACAGACACAGAATTGCAAGACAAAGTTCTACATGTCAGAAAAGTCTTCTGTTGACTTCCTGTTTCCCCATCAATCAAACTTTAATCGATTCTATAATAGATTTTAGATTTCAGCTTTTTTAACCGTCAACAATCCCATGTGCAGATTCAAACCAACAAATAAAGTAAAGGATAGCGTATTCTTTTTTAATGTTTTTAATTTACTGAAGTAATGTTACAAATTAAGGAATTTACTGAGCTGCTTTTTCATTCTGGTGTTCCACAAGGATCAATATTAGGGCCTTTGTTGATTAACGTCACTGACTTTGAGAGGACCTGAATTTGATCTATGATAGGTGGCCAAAGAACAAATAAAGACAGGGACTTACTACTACATCCAACAGATTTAAACTAAGAATCGCAGCTAACTGTACCATCTTATTCTGACAGAAAAACAGAATAAGAAAACAAAGAACCCTGAAACATCAGCTCAAGATACAGCGCTGTGCAGCAACCACAGAGTTCTTTGTTATGTTAAGTCAAAGTCCATGAGAAATTGACTGGAATGAGCTTTTCATGTTTTCCATGAACAGTCATCATTGATCATTACCGAATAACTACAATGTTTCCTGATTGTTACCTCTTAGTTTCTTAATCCCAGCCCTATAAACCCAAGAAAGCAGCTGCTGTCCTCTTGAGGTTCAACCAAACCCACCAGTGGGAGGATTGTGATCTTGAAAACAAAACTTTTTTTTGGATGGTCTTGATCAAACAAAGCTCAGAATTATATTTTCCAAGCACTTCTGGTACATTTTGAACGATTTAACATTTGTGAACCAACTACAAAAGCTTTTCTGCTCTATATGAATGAAATTAGCTGCTCATTTCCACCTGAATAGTATCATCAGTGGAGTTGATAGAAAGATAAAATAACATATCATCTGCAAAGAGAGAGAAACCCATTTAACATCCACCAATTTCTTAATCAATGTAGACATAGAAGAACAGATGACCAAGGATCAAGCCTTGAGGTTAAATGTTTATTTAATTTCATTTTATTTTATTATTTCTTAAATTTCATTCTATGTTTGTTTGTTTTTAGATTTTAACCTAAACCTCCAGAGTTAAAGGGAGATTACTCTACCATTATTACGTAAGGTGAATGTTTGACTGGGAATCATTTGCGGAAACAGAGAACCTGTAGCTACAAAAAGAGAAAAGAGTCGAGGACCAAGTATTGAGCCTTGAGGTACACCACACCATTAAGTAATGACTGGTTTGCGCTTTCCATGGGATTTGTTGACAACAAGGAAAAAAATCTGGTGGCTTCATTCATTAAAAAAAGGAAGTAAAACAATGTCTGGGGTCAATACTGTGGGCTGTGGCTCTGATATGACATGCCCCTGAAGTGCATTATTTTTGCCTGCAAGTGCTTACTTACCAAGGATTAATATAAAAAGCCAAAAGATAGTCAGTCCAAAGGCAGGATGGCAGTAGGGTAAGGAAGGCAAAGAGGCTTCTTCGCCTGAAGGGGGTTCAAATAAAAAATCAAATAAAAACACACACAATAAAAATAAAGAAAAAACAGACACCAGGGGGCGATAGGTTGGGGACAGAACATGGTGCTCCATTAGTAAAGAGGCACAGAGCGTCGAGAGCTTCACATTAGTGCTGAACACAGAGTTAATGCATCATGCAGCCCTTCAGAAAGTGTCCCGTTGTCTCTCTGGAGGACAACAGGAGTCTGTCTGCTGCCGGACGTCAATGGTCGCTCTGTTTCATTAAACAACCTCCAGCCCGAGTGTGTGACATCACTGCGTCCTCCCGGCCCGTCCCACAATGCAACACTCAGCCTCATTATATAGAAACAGCCCATATTTTGTCACTCCACGGTGACGTCATACCGTGTGACGGCCGCCTCTCTGTAACGACGTGTTGTTGAGGTCGTGACCCCGCTGATGCAGATACATACAAGACCTCTTCACGTGGTACTGTTTGTCGTTTTTTTAACCCTTAAGAGGTTCTAATCATGGGATTTTTCTGAATTAATATATTTTATGTTTTTCAAAACATTAAAAGAAAGCTCGCGTTTGTTGATTTTATTCGAATTAAGGCACTGAAATAATTAGGTAAATAACACAGGTGTGGTAACAGCGTTCATTTTTCAAGACAAAGATAAAAATATGATGAAATTAGAAAACTTGAACATTTACCTTCTCTTAAATCTCGCTCAATTTACTGATCAGTGTCTTTCCTTTCGACGTGTGTGTGCAACAAACTGTCTCCTTGTGACAATTTCCATAATGTTTAACAAAGTCCAAATGGTTTTATTTTAATTAAAACCAAGAAATTCAGGGTGTACATCTTCAATTTAAGATGTTTCTTCCATATTTTTGTTATTTGAACAAGACTTAACACACCTGCTGATTAATTTGAAGCATGTAATAAAATAAGGGGACCCAGTAAAGAGCCCAGGGGTACACCACAGCTGTAAACCTACTTTTATATTTCTACCTTTTGATGAAGTTTGCTATAATGGTTCATATGTTAGCCTACATAAATGGATTCCAGACTTATGTTTAAGAAAGAGAAACTGGCACAAGCAGTGATATTTAACTGCCTGACAACTTTTAGCGTCAGCAATGTCCGGACCACAAAACTTACCATTTTCGTATCCAATAAATATATCTGTTTTTTTGCCATTTATTCGTACTTTTGTGCAGCTGAACTGATTTAAGAGGAGCTCTAAAAACTATATAAATAATAATAGACACTTTTGTCTGCATTAGCGGGGACGCCTCCTCTTCATTATATCAAAACGCTCAGGTGTGCTAACATGCACAGTCAAAGCAGAAACACTACTCCACCGCCACATCAGAAACACACTCGGATGAACATGTGCTTTTAGTGATGGAAGGTAAATACAACAGCAGATGGAAGCCAGGGTTCTGCCTTAACTGACCGTCTTTCAGCTGTTATATTAATCTCTAATCTCCAAATCAATAAACACGTGTCAGACTGAATGTGATCCATCAGCCAGGACATGAGAGACACTTAAGCCTCTGTCTTTAAGAAACTCAATTTTTAAGAGCTGTGAAATGTCATGACTTGTTTTTTTAGATTTTAACTTGACTCCAAAACCAACATTTTGTAGTTTTAATCTGAGATTAAGGGAAATCCTGAGCTTTCATCATCCAAAAACACCCTGATTCAGCTGGTCCAAACAAGGCAGGCATGGGGCTGCGCTCATCACCATCATCTTCATCGCCTCACGCTGCTAAGACAAGCTAAAATCTGTAGCTACAAGCTCAAATCCCTAATCTGCCGCTTCAATCCCCTGCCCGGCTGATAATCTGCCTCTGATTGGGTCTTTGAGGGTGTTAGCAGCGAGAGGCTTTGACATCCAAACTGAGGACGTGTGATCACTCTCCAAATCTGCTCAAACATCCCCTCAGGTCTCAGACTGCAAAGTGCTTTTGTCATTTTAAAGAGATTTCCAGATGTCCTTTCAGCATTTTACTGTGATTAAGAGATTACAAAACACAAAAGAAAATGATCGTACCAGTTATAAGGGAGCTTCCCGTCTCTTTCAAACGAAGCAAAGTTGACAAAAGTCTCTGCGCCGCACTCCCTGAAACAAGAAAAAAGGATTAAAAACAGGTGTGGAAAATGTGATGAGCAGATCTGAGAGCAGTTTGAGGAAGTCAGACAGTTTTGATGACTAATCAGTAAAAAGAGGAAGTGAGCGGGAATGTGCGAGAGTAAAAATAAAGCACAAGCTGAAAACTAAACGTGATCTTAATCTGTTAGACTTCACTCTGAGAGTCTTTTCTATGTCTGAGGCCTCGGTACCTGATGGAGTATGAACCCTAAATCATCATATCAGAAGTTCCCTTTTTCATGTCACAGGTGTGCTTGAGGTTTTCTTACCTGGTCATCTGCAGGTGTTTCTTACGGAGGACGAGCAGAAACAGAACGAGGAGGCTGATGAGCAGGATGCTGAGGACGGCCAGAGCCGAGATCGCCGCGATGCTCGGGTTCATCTCTTTAGCTGTAAACACACCCAGACAAAGAGGCATATGCAAAGAATTAAATATGTAATACTTCGAAATAGTCTATTTCCATACATCCATCTCCTTGAATTTCAAAATTCTGCTCTCCACACACAAATTTTCACAATAAAAGCCCTCCAACATCTCAAATGACAGAATACCTCCATCTTTATTCAGACTTTTAAAGATGGGGTAGGCAGGATTCTGTTGAAGAAGTATCTATTTTTGTGGTGTATTTACAAAAAAGCTTTTAATATCAGCCAATAGCTAATAGTTATTGATGACATTTGGTAATATAACGATATTGCTGTGTTTTGTTATGTCTGTGTAGTCAACATTTTAAATTTTTTGAGTGGCCCGCTCTTTCTGACTGTAAACAAAGCCGTTCTCTGCACTTCCTCAGATCCTGCCTACCCCACCTTTATATGAAAAATCTGTGAGGACTGTTGAGTTTAATGACCCAAAAAGTAGAGAAAAATACACTGAAGCTAAGAAACATTAGATTCTGAATTTTATTTTTTGTCCATGATAATAATGATGTAAAAAAAGTTGGTGTCAGTGTGAGAAACAGCGCCACCTACCAATGGTGCTGATGGTGATTTGTGCGGGCTTGCTGGCCGTGCTGTAGCTGAAGCTGGTGACGGTGCAGTTGTAGGTCGACGAGGGAATCAAACCCGACACCGTCAGCACATGAGAGTTGGATGTTTGAGGCTCCCGGGCCTGAGAGACGTAAATAAGAAAAAAAATATATATCAAAGATGAGGAGGAGGAGGAATACTCCAGAAATCTGCTGAAAGTTCACGCAGATTTCTTAAAATATTCTAAAAACCAGCTGAACGATGAACTGATACTCTGAAAACCCTGAAAACACACAAGTATTCAGACATCCTTCTTCTTTGACAGTCTGAAAACTCTCACAAACTCTAATAACTCACTGATTCCCTCCAAAAAAACTGGTAACACTCTTTCAAAACCAAGTAGTCCTCAACAAACCTTGGAGATCGACCAAAAACTAGATACCTAAACAACCTACCTAAGACCAAAGTATGTGCCCAAAAATCTCACCAATATGCCAAAAAATCTCCATCTTGATTGAAGTTTTGCTGCTACATCAAAATCTGCCTTTTCTCCAGACATCCTAAACCTGCTCATGTGCCAAGAGCTGCATTTTCTCCTAAATCTGCTCTTATTCAAAACCTGTTCATATCCTTAAATGTTCTTATCAGGAAACTTTCCATCTGGACAAAGTTCATTAAAGTCTACAGGGCAGTCGGCTTCAGCAGGATTTTAACAGCGACATTTTCTGTTTGTTACAGTGGAAATAAGCTTAAATTTTCCATTCAAACCTCACCCTGATTAACCCTTTCTGACGCCCGATAAATATAAACTGATAATGAAACTAGAACATAAACAAAGAACTAAAAGTTTTCATATTTTACTGCATGATTATAAATGTTAGTGGGACTGAAGACGGTAAGAAAAAAACAAGTCTGATGTTGTGTTTGGATCTTCATGCCGTCATTGCTCTTAAAAAAGATAATTTCCTCTCTGTGTTCAGCTGTAAAAGAAAGAAGTGAGAATAAAATAAAACTTCTCCAGCGTAAGAGACTGAAAGACGACCAACAATTAGAAAATAAGTCACAGAAACTCTTCCTCTTATGATTTTTCACTCTGAAGTTTATTATCAACACTCAGCAGTTTAGGGATCTTTGCCAAACCGGCGGTCACGGCGTGAACCGCCTCAGTGAGACCTGAAGACTCCTTCACGTTTCTAAACTTCTGAATTAAACACTGAAGATGTCCGTTTGTTTTAAAGTTCATTCTTGATGGTTTTATTAGAAAGAAAACAGACTGTCATTTTTTACTAAAGTGTAAAAAGTGCTTCCCAAACTCAAACTCTTACCTTGAGCTCCTTGCTGGGTTTGTTGGGTCTGCACAGGACCTGGTAGTAGTCCACCACCCCCTCCTCGGTCCACAACAGAGTCACGGACGAGTGTGTGGCGTTCACGGCGAACAGAGAGCGAGGAGGCGCCGGCTCTGTGATAAACACATACCAGCACGGCCGAAATTAAACCCAAAATTGTTCGTTTTTATGAAAGTCAGTTTAGGTCTTAAGAAAAAAAGGGAGTGGAGCAGCAAGCGGCGTGACAGAGAGGAGAGAAAATGTTTGAGCTCTGAGAGAAGGGGAAGTAAAAACACGCAGTTTCACTTTCAGGCAGAAACTCAGCAGAGGGAGGATCGGGGTTCTTTAAGGAGACAAACTTCCATCTTCACATGAACTCACCTGCAGGGTCACAGTGAGGCAACAATCTTCTTCATAAAAATACCTCAGCTTCTTATTCAGTGATTCTGTTTTTCAGCTCCGTACTCTGACATTTGTAAAGATGCTGCAGCTCCTATTTCAGACATAGATGCGGGTTTTCTTCTGCTGCAGAGAACAACAGGCTTGTTGCTGCTACATTTCTGCTCCTGATCGCCTCAGGTGATGTTTCAGAAATATTTGCACCCTCCGTAACTTGAGGATTATTTTGTACATTTTCAGCATGTTCAGTTCTGCAGACGTCACCAGAGCTTTTAAATGATTCCTCTGACCCGAATCTCTGCAGCTGTTTGGCAGATGTTTGGTGGCTGAATTCCCCCATTGACTCGTCTCTGAGTGTGTGTGTGCATGTATATGTGTGTGTGTGTGTGTGCTGACCCAGTTTGATGATGTTGGGCATGGAGGTGTTCCTGCTGCGCTCTGTGCAGGCCGTCACCGTCAGGTTGTAGATATCGCCCGGGGGCAGCGGGAGACTCGCTCGCATCACGTTGCGAGTCACCTGGAGAGGCAAACACAAACACAAACATTTACCTTCTGATCTAAAAAGACTGAATATCCAGGATTAAAACACGAGCAGAGCTGTAGAGGGTCCAGCAGTAAAAAGCTGAGCTGGTTTTATTGCTTTAATATCGCCTCATTTCCAAGTGTGTACTGTAAAAATCTAATTTCCCACAGGACCAATTAAATTCATCTTAATTTACTGTTTTAATTTCACCCCCCACTACTTTTATAGTTACTTTATTGCAGTCATATTCCTACCACACACAGACTCACAGTCTAACAAACAAAAAGATGTAGTTCAGCAGTTTTAGCCTGATATTAAACTGCATTTATGAAGTTATAATGTGGTGGTATGGCTTTCCTTCCCTCTCTTGTGTGTAAACTTATAAAATCATGAGAGTTAAATCAAAATCAACTGAAACAAGATGATTGATAATGAGAAAAGAACCATCTCCAACCTGCAGAATATGCAGGAGAGAGGTTTTTATGCCTCACCTTCAATTTAGGGTTAGATTTCTGCTTGATGTCTCAGCCCTTTATTGCTTTTTTTTGCTCTTAATGTTGTAAATGTTTAAGTCTTAGGTGGGTAGAGCACACCTGCTTTCTGGTAGAAGTGCTCAGATGAAAAGCCAAACAAGGGGAGAAGCAGCAAAGCCCCTAGGCTTTGGCAAGAAAGCCCTCATCCTTTTGACACTTGAACGTGGGATGGCAAATTCTGAGGCGGGTAGAGCACATGCCTTCTCTGCCTTATGTGCTGAATGAAAAGCCAAGGCAGGGAGAGCACCAGCAAAGACCCTAGGTTCTATTTAGAGAGCTCTCAACCCTTTTTCATTCAATATGGAGTGGCAAAGCTTAAGACAGGAAGAGTACACCTTCCCTCTCTTTAATGTTTCATACATGGAAAGCCAAGGTGGGAAGAGCAGCAGCAAAGACCTACAGTCTCTGTTTAAAGGGCTCCCTGCTCTTCCACATGAGTATGTTGACTGCCAAAGTCTGGACTGGGTAGAGCAGACCTCCCTCAGTTTCCTATGTGAAAAACCAAAGCAGGGAGAGCACCAGCAAAGACCCAAGGTTCTATTTAGCAAGCTCTAAACCCTTTTTCATTTTAAATGTGGAGTGGCAAAGCTTGAAACAGGAGGAGTACGCTTTCCCACAGTTTAATGTTTCTTACATGGAAAGCCAAGGGGGGGAGAGCACCAGCAAAGACCTACAGTCTCTGTTTTTGGAGCTCCCTGCTCTTCCACATGAGTATATGGGATGACAAAGTCAAAAGTGGGTAGAACAGACCTCCCTCAGTTTCCTATGTGAAAAGCCAAAGCAGGGAGAGCATCAGCAAAGACCCTGGGCTCTACTTAGAGAGCTCTTATCCTTTTTACATTTCAAATGTGGAGTGATAAAGCTTGAGACAGGAAGAGTTCACCTTCCCTCAGTTTCATGTTTCATACATGGATAGCCCAGGCAGGGAGAGCATCAGCAAAGACCCCCCAGGGTACAGAACAGAGAAGGAGTGCCTTAATAACTTTCTATCAGTGACACAGCACAAATATGAGTTTCTTTATAGCCACTTTAAAAACAAATCTAAAAAAAACACCAGCACCTCCCTTCAGAAATCACCACTTTCTGTCACAATCAAAACACCATCTGGCGTCCACACAGTGGCACCATCACCAAAACAGTCAAATGTAAAACAGGTTTTCTTTCCTACATAAATTGACAAATAGAGACATGTTTTTAAAAAGGATGATGAGTCAAAAGCTGGACTTTTAGGTTATAATGAGAACAAGTGTTTGATTTTGTCACGTTTCTGCTGCTGTGTTTTACACATTCGTCCAGCTCAGTGGATGCTGTTTCTGTGTCAGAGTTTTCTTTCTCTCTCTCTTTCTCTCTATCATTCAAGCCAATTAAACCTGAAACATCCCCTCCCCTGGCTCTCTAACGGTTTATTATGTGAGTCAGTCTGACTCTGCTGGGATGGTAATCAGCTTCATAGAGGAGAAGGTGAGCTGCAGACGGGGCGGCAGAGACAGCAGCTCGTCTCTCTACTCATAATTGGACCATGGAAAGGACCCAGAGGAGAAAATCAACAGCAGATCATCCCAACCCTGAAATAACAAGCTGCTGCTGCACAATCCGAGCCGATAAAATGCTCCAAACGGCCACAGACAAGCTCCAAGGTTTAACAGGGCAAACAATCAGACAAATTTTTAACTTTCTGTCACTATCAGGCCGGTTTAAACAACTCTGTGTCCTTTTAATGAGGCACAGAGGTCACAGAGCGCAAAACAGCAGCAGTGTAAGAAATACCCTGAGCTTCAATAATGCAATAATATCACCACGTGTAATTGAAGTTAAACCAAAAGGCCTCTGAAAATGTCTAATTTGGAACATCATCGGATACTAATAACACTTAAAGGGATATTTTAGTATTTTAAAGTGAGGCGAGTGCGCTGCGTAATTTAGCTAATTTAGAGACTCTGACCCAAACACTGATCTTAGTTTAAGTGAACCCTACACTGAGATATTTATCTGCACTTTGCTTCGTTTTTTAGAAAGACTCCATCCGTCTTATTTTGGAGGAGGAGCTGAGACTCACGTCGACAGAGTAGCTCCTCTCCGGTCCTTTCTTCCCCACGGCGACGACCTGCCAGTGCAGCATCCTGGAGTGAGAGAGGTCGATGAAGAGCTCGCCATACGTCCAACGAACGTAGAGCATGCCATGAGAGTAATCCACTGAGGAGATGTGAGGAGCCTCAGGAGCTGCAGATGTGAAGACAGACAGAAAGGACACAATTAGGTAACATCTAAAACTTCTTTGCTGCTGCTCTCCCTGCCTTGGCTTTTACTGTCAGCACTTTAAAAACAGAGGGGAGGTGTGCTCTCCCTGTTCCACTGTCCTGTCCTTTCACAATAAAAGCAAAAAGACCCAAAATAAACCTTTCAAATCAGAGCAGAAACAGCTCTCAGATTAAAGTCAGGAGTGTCTTTACCGGTGACGAAGCTGACTGTGGAGCTGTCACAGCAGCTGAGCGGCGGGTCGCCCCACGTCACCATGGAAACACGGAAATTATAATACCAGGCTGGCAGCAGGTCGGTCACCCTCTGAGGAGAGAGAAAGAGAAGAAAAAAAAGGTGAGTCATACGACATAGAGGGATTGAAATCACGTGGAAGAGTCCAGAAACTACAAAAAAAAAACTTCAATTTCTCATAACTGAAATTTTCTGTATCAGAGTATGTCTGCTCAGTGTTTCTATCAGCCAATCATTGATCATTGTGTCTTTATTGATCAGTGTATCTGTGTCTGTTCGTACCACAGAGGCGATGACGGAGGCAGTGGCGGCGATCTCATAGTAGGTGGTCCACTCCGAGGCGAGGGTGACGGGGTTGAAGAAGAATGTTTGGAGGACGTACTTCCTGAACGCGACATGGTAGGGACGCTGCCAACTGAGGATGACCGCCGTCGGGCTGAGAGGGTACACGGTCAGCTCACGCACACCTGTCGGCTCTGACGCAGGTGTAAACACAAACACACCAATCAAACGATGTCCCACAGGGCTCCACACGGGGCCCATTTATATTCAACATGTTCAGTCGTTATCCTACACTATCTGTCCTCAGACTGATGAATCATTACTGTATCAATCCTCCATATTATCACTCTTGAACTTTAAAAAATGAGCCTTTCTGCTAACTCAGGTACCTTTCCGTTTATCTGGTTGTCGATTCATGTACATCGGCCCATCACTGACAAACAAACAAACAAACAATGGATGAATGTTGCCATGTCTCATACCGATATCAATGATGACGGGCTCGGACGGTGGACTGATCAGCGGCCCGTTGGTATGATAGACGACCACCCTGTACTGAGCGCCGGGTGTCAGGTTCGTGATGATGTCACTTGTAGAGTTTTCCTGTAATTAAAAAAACCAAAAACATTAATATATTATTATTAATATATATTAGTATTAATATTTAAACTGCTGACAAAGAGCTCCTCAACTAGACATTTTACCTCAAACTTTAAAATAATCTAGTTTCAGTCTACTGATGTGTCCTGATGATGAGAGTAAAGGTGAAAACTCAAAATAAGAGTACAAAAAGGAAGCGAAAATTGTAGAGAATCACTTGAAATTCATGGAAATATTAATTTGTGTTTAATAGGATTCAAACTTTACAGGGTAAATCTAATTTAGAAAATCATTTTTTACTATTAAATTGTAAAACACAAAAGATAACGTACAGCTACACTTACAGAAACTTATTTAAACCCAATATTTTGTTCAGTTTTGAGCTTTAAACAGTACAAAAGAGGACTAGAGCCACTTACACAATATCAGGTCAGATCTTTTGTTTTGTTTTTAACTGTTCAAATCACAATTTTGAAAAAAAAAACAATCAGAATTAGAAAAAAATAATTGACAAAAACTCCCAACCTTGTTTTTTTTTAAATCTTCTTATTTAAAGTCATGATAAAAGCTAATATTTAAAAAAGTCATGTAAGATACTGATCCTTAGTTATGTGGGACTAACCTGATTAAATTAAGGTTGAATAAATAGTTATATAAAGTATAGTTAAAAGATACAGTAAATATTTTAAATCAAGTTCAAATATTTGAAGAAATCTTATTTCAAGAAAAAAACATTTTTAATGGAGAGTTCTAAGTTTAATATATGCAGAAAAAAATTATATTGTACAGGGAACAAACTGTAAAAGTTTTGTCTGCATTTATACATTGGGAATAACAGTGTGGTATTGTAAGAAAATACTTTTACAACAGTAAATTGAAGAAGGTATGTTAACAGTCTTTTAAGATTTAAGAGGTAAATGTAGATGTAATGTTAATATTTTGTGTTGATTTTAATGCCCCCTGATGGTAAAGATGAGCTTCTGATTTTGTTGATCATGTGGTGAACTTGGCAAGGAAGTATTTCCAAACAAAAAGATCTTATTCATTTTAGGGTCTGAATGTTTATCTTTTTTTATTTGTGCTGTTGGTTCAAAAAGTCATTTTAGTTTATAATGTTGTCTATCGTCTGGTCTGATACTGACCCCTCTCTGCAGTTTTGGGCCTTAAAAGTCTCAAAATAAAAACTGTCAGTGTCATAGCTGATGGTTTGTTTGCATTTGTTGGTCACAGTGCATCAGTGTAAATGTTCCACCTGTGTTTTTAAATATACCTCTTGTTATTGTGACTCTTGAAACAGCATATCCTGACTCACGTTTGGTTGTACACCCTGCCTGGCTCTGGTTTGACGGTGTGAATTTTTACAGCGAATCAGCGGATCTGATCTGAATAAATTACTCTGTTCGGTGAATGAAAACAGTCACGGGCTGAGTGTTTCTTATCACGTTTGTGTTTTCACAGCTCAGAGTGAAAATTGAGTCAGATCACACCTCAGAGCTCCAATAATATCCAGAGTTCAGCTCCGTTCATTCAGACTCATTCAGGAAAAAAAAAACAACATAGAAGGACCTGTTTGGTTTCTGAATCACAGAGAGGAGCAGCTGAAAAATGAACAGACTCTACATTTATGGGCCCTGTTTGGAAATAAAGATATTCACCTCACTGCAGTAGGTGTTCTCCATCCTCTGGCTCAGACTCGGCCTCAGACATGTCGTTGAGATCACCGACACCACACTGCCGTTGTGGTTCTCCGAGGACGGCGCCCAGGAGACGGCGGCGGTGCTGGAGTCCAGCAGTCTTACGGTGACGGCCTGAGGACGCTCACAGAGCTCCTCCAGCAGCTCACCACTCGGACCTGAGAGAGACGGAACGAGCCGTGACCAGAAAACACAAAGTTATGACATCCTTTTTTACACATTTTTAGGTTCACATGACAGCCGTGATAAATAACAGAGGAAATTTTAGAAAGACAAACAGTTTATTCTTTATCTCAAAACTCATTATTTTCAAATAAAACTGATATGGCAACACAAAAACACAACTTTTGTAGATATATTTGTTCAGGTGTACGCACTCAGGTAGAAGGTGAAGCCCGTGTCGGTGGCGCTCTCTCTTGCTTCACACTCTCCAGACGAGCTCAGCGTGGTGACCTGGACTCGGTACGTCCCCGGTTCTGTTAACTCGGTAAAAAACTCGTGGGTGTTTTCGTCCACAGTGGCAGTTTCAGTGGAGTTGCCTGGAGAACACAGGAGGACAGGGGAGTTAGTATTATCTCCTTTAGTATTATTATTAATCTTAGATAACTCCTCCCCCTGTGTCCCTGTGTTACCGTCTCTGTAGATGTAGACGTTGAAACCGTCGTAGCTAGTTGGCGGCCGGGGCGGCAGCCAGCGGAGCTCCAGCAGGATAGGGGGCAGTTTGGTGGGCAGGACGGCAGTCTCTACGGGGAGCCCCATGGCGGACCCTGGCTCATTGGAGTCCTCATACTCGGGCACGACGGCATTCACAAATTCGTCGTCTCGGTCAGAGGGGGACGGGTCGGGCCAGTAGCTCTGAGTTTCCGTTTCCACAGTCAGGTTATTTCCTGTCAGGTTTTGGGTGATGTCAAAGGGCACCTGAGTGGTCACCATCACCGCTGCTGTCACCACCGCAGACGTGGTCTCCTCTTGCTCCACCTCCTGCTCCTCCTCCAGCAAAGGAACCTCACGGGCTTGGCGGGACGCTCGCCAACTTTCCCTCTCCTCAGGAACGACAACGCTGGACGTCTCACCTGGCCCCGCCCTCTGGTTAAGGTGGACAATCTTACGGGTGATGTTGAGGGGGGGGTAGGGCACTGAGAGGGAAGTTAAAAAAAACATGAAGCTCTCACATTACTGCAGTTTTTATTCACTAATAGATAAATGAGGTCCGAAAATGACCTAAGACATAGAACCAATCATTCTAGAACTGAGCATTCTAGAACCCAGCACTTTTGAACCCAGCACTCCATAACTCAACATTCCGGAACCCAGCATACTAGAACCCAGCATTCTAGAACCCAACATTCTACAACCCAGTGCTCTAAAACCCAGCAATCTAGAACCAAACATTCCAGAACCAGGCACTTTAGAAACCAGAATTCCAGAACACAGCATCCCATAACCCAGCATCCCATAACCCAACATTTTAGAACCCAGTGTTCTAAAACACAGAATTCTAGAACCAAACATTCTACAACCCAGAATTTAAGAACCCCACATTTTAGAACCCAGCATTCCAGGAACCCACTTTAGAACCCAGGGTTCTAGAACCCAGTGCTATGGAATCAAGCATTCCAGAACCCAATATTCCAGAACCAAGCACTTTAGAACTGAGCATTCTAGAACAGTGCTCTAAAACCCAGCATTTTAGAACCAAACATTCTAGAACCAAGCACTTTAGAACCCAGTATTCTATAACCCAGTATTCCAGAACCCAGAACTTAAAAACCCAGCATACTAGAACCCAGCACTTTAGAACCCAGCATTCTAGAATCCATTGTTCTAAAAACCAGCAGTCTAGAACCAATCATTCTAGAACCCAGCATTGTAGCACCCTGCATTCTAGAGCTGCTTCAAAGTTAATCAATATTAAAGAGGCTCAGAGGGGTAGACTAACGCCGTAATGGTGTGATATACAGTGTAGTAAACATGTCTCACCTGTCCTGTGGTGCACAGGTGTGTGTGTGATGTCACTGTGGGTGATGAGGGCGCTCTGGTATATGGTGACCTCAGAGATCAGCTGGAAGGTGACGTTTCTGTAACAAACTCCAGGTAACCAGTGTTTGAACACCGTCTTCCCCCGGTAGAAATCTAAACACACAAACAAACAAAAAGAAATATTCATAAAACAAACTGTGACTTCTCTAATAATCAGTGAATAATCATTTAAAATCACCTTCAAAAGTCAAAAACTATAACTATTCAATAAAATCTGTATAAGCATTAAAACTGAAGTATTTTGTACCTTTATAAAGCATATATCGTCGGTCATGTCCCTCTGTGAAGCTGATGTTGACTCTGCTGAAGACGTTTCCGGGAGGCGAATCAATCTGAAACACCACCCCGGTTTCTGGAGACTCCCTAAAGTCCGCTATGTGAGCGCTGCGGACAGGAAGTGGCTCTGAGGACAAAAAAAACAAGGACACCAATCTCAGCAACACAACCAACATGGACAAGGTCAGAGTTATCATATTTGAATCAGATCGTAAAATTCATAACTTTATTTTGATTGATGTGTCTTACTTGTGAGCACAGGTACGGTCTTCACGGGTCTTGACCAGGTCTGTCCCTGTCTAACCAGCAGCCCCACCGTGTAGCAAAGACCGTGAAGGGAGGCGTTGAACAGAACCGGCTCGCTCGTGTTCACAAACTGGATCAGAATGGGTCGAGGCTCTCCGGTGAACTGAGCTCCGTACACCGTCACGTTCTCCTGAAAGTCCGAACGCTCGAGGGTCGCCACGATCAGACCATCCTCGTTCAACGACGCCTGGAACGCCAAAACACCCTGAAATGAAAGGAAGATAAAAAGGAGATAGAGAGAGGTCAACTGTGGGGGCTTTAAACTTTGACCAAACTGTTCTTAATTATTGATTTATTGGACAAGAGTTTTCTCATTGTCTCATTATGATTTTGACCTCTGATGTTTTAGGAAGGACGATGAGTGAGGCGTCTTCAAATTCAGAAAAACGAAAAAGTTAAAAGACACAAAAGTTACTTCAGACAGGACCACTGAAGGCAAAGAGGATTACTATTTCTTTTCGATGTTATATTTGGTGGTATGGCTCTTTTCTGAGAGCTCCCTGCCCTTCCGCAGAGCACCCAACACACCCTCCTTCAGTTTGATGTGCATACATGTAAAGTGAAGGAACAGAGAGCAGCATAATCGTAATCTTTAAATCAGCTGTTTACAACAGTTAACCTGGAGTCTTTCAGCAGCTCAGACGAAGGAAAAGTGTGGAAACATTAATTAGTATTCCAGCCGTTAATCTCCTGCTGCTCTGATGATGATGTTAACTGTGCTGTAATATTTCTGTCATTTATTCCCCTGCAGTTTCACTCATGAATCATTCAGATCCTTTAAATAGACCGCACCGCTTCAAAGGTCACATCCATCAATCCTGATTAATCCTCGGATATAAAATCTCACTCCTCCTTGTCTTCCTCCTCCTCTTACTCCAACTATCGGCTCTGTGTATTTGCTGGGATATAAAGATAGTTTTCCTATACTGTGTTCTACAATCGGCTCAGTATATTTACAAAAAAATAGTCATCAAACTCCACATTATTAACTTTCCTCTATCTCTGTGTATTTCATGAAAAATACTCTGTGTTCTCTGTCATTCTGATCTAATTAAGGGTTCAGGGTATTTGCTGAAAACAAACATTATATTCCAGGAACAGTTCTGGCTCTGGCTATTCACTGAAAAGAGAATCTTTTCTCAACGTACTTTGCTTTTTATTCACCAAATGTATTTAATTAAATCGTTAGGTTACATAACTCCAGCAAACATCTATCAGCTCTGTCTAAGTGCTGGATTTCTTCCCTTGAGAGTTGATCTAATGAATGAAATCAAACATGATCTCTACAGTCTGGTTTCATATTTTCTGAACTAAAGCTGGTCTCTGCTAATAAACCAAAGTCCAGTTATTAAAGTTTCTCTCTGCTGCTCTGGGATCAGCTGATGTGAGCATGTCAGAGCTGATTTCCTGTCGCTCAGGTGAGAGATGGTATCAGGTGTTGTTTCATTAAACCCGTCAGCGGGAGAGTCGACTCCTCGCCGAGCGTCACCGCTCTGACAGGCCGGAAGGTGACAACATGAAATCTGGATCCTGACTGGAGGAGAGATAGAGACGAGTGTTTGTCTCTGAGCGAAAAGACACGAAGTGAATCATGAGAAGATGAAAACATACTAAAACACGCTTCTGTCGAGCATTATTTCAGAGATCGGGGGTTTATTCCGCTCGAGAGGAGCAGCAGCAGACTCAGCAAGGATCTATCTGAGTGGATTAAAGTGTTTCTGATATCAATAACACAAACAGAGTTCATACAACCTCTCTGTAGCTCAGCAGATAATCCAGCAGATTCTGACCCACTTCTCTAATCTGACAGCCTCAAAGTGAAACACAGTCCCCAAACATGAGCTGTACAGAGGCATGCTGGGAGATTTCACAGCCAAGTCACCATGAGGATGTTCAGATTAAAGTAAAAACCTGTTGGATAAAAACTGTCAGGACTCAGAGTGGTTTACAGAGTCAGAGGAAAGCTGGCCGGCAGCAGAGAGAAGGTTTTATCGTAAACAGACTGCTATCTCGGAACGTAGAAATATGTCTGATTTTTTTGACAAAAGAAACTCCTTAAATTCAAAATTTGAGAAGTTATGAAAATTTAACTGCTCTCATAAACCTTCAGGAGGCATGGGTCCCTCTCACCAACATGGGGGCTGTTATTATGTTTGTTTCAATGTATTCAAAAACATTTAAAATCCCTAAAATAATTATTCAAGTAGTGATATTTGTAGATATCAAGATGTAAGTGTTGATTTAATTTTGCAGAAACAAACAACAGCAGTTTAAAATATGAATCACACCACAGATGACAAGTTCCACGCCCACTTCCACTTCCAAAATCTATTAACTCTAAGTATGACTAAACGTGGTAACACTTTTAAAAGGATTGCAACAAAAAACCTTGACTTTCTTTAGAAAATATTTTATGAATTTGTACGTTTTACCCTGGGGAGTCTATTTGAAAGAGACCAAAGTGGCAAATACAGGATTTTTAACTTTGCTGTTGTTACCACGGTAACAGGTTTATCCTGATAGGCCAAGACTGACATGATATTCTGTTCTACAATGTCCAGCTAACTGTACCTAGCAACAGTAACTAAGAGGTCTGATAGACTGAGTTTGGTTCTAATGATCTCCTATGGATTTCTGTTCGTTCTGAACCGCAAAGCTCTGCCTGTTTTAACCACACGCCTCCATCTTTGATGTTTTCACTCCAGGTCTGCAGAGGAAAAACCCTCTCTGCCTGTGAGATGGACTATAAAACCCTCTCTCTCTCTGTCTGTAAATGTGACTCATCCTCATAAAACTCTCTCGCTGTCTTTCTCTCGCTCTCCTCTGCTGGCCTTTAAAAATGTCGAGCCCTCTCTCTGGTTTAATATCTGAGCACTGAGCAATATTTGGAGAGGGTACAGATCCAGAGACGTGAAGTGAGACGAGGGGAGGAGGTGACTGTCATAAAAAATACCTCTGACAGTACTGTACAGGTAAAGGTGACTTTATTACTGGTATTACTGGATTGAACTCAGCTCTAAAATTTCTCCTATCATAACCTGGCTGTGTTAAATAGTTGATCCTGATTGGTCAAAACTCCATAGCAACAGTGACGTCGTATAAAACCGTCACATAATGACGTCAAACACATTTTCCCTGTGCCTGTCTATACTGAAGTTAAAGCATTAGCAGAACATCATCTTGTCCTGCAATCCGTGCACCTGCAGCAGAGCTGATGACAAGCTGCTGGTCTCTACATAGTAGGGTTGCAAAATTCTGGGAATTTTCAAAGTTGGAAACTTTCCATGGGAATTAACGGGAATATATGGGAATTAACCATTCAATAATTTATACATACATTGTCAAATATTTTGAAGACCATTTCAGTTGTTGAGCCAACCATACTTCTGTTAATGCCATTTTTCATTGCCAATAACTGTTTTATTTTGCATGGATGTCGGCTTCTGAAAAAAACAAAAATATTTACATTTATGTTTAGATATGATACGGACACTCCCGGTTAATTCCCATAAATTCCCATGAAAAGTATCCAATTTGGAATATTTCCAAAATTCCCAAGCTGAACTTCCCATGGAAAGTTTCTGGAAATTTATCGGAAATTTACTGGAAAATTTCCACCCCTTTGCAACCCTACTACAAAGTAACCATTACTGTGCGATAGCGATAGTGATAACAGCAACAATGTCATAAGTAGGAGGGTGCCTCTTAGCAGTTCAATTGTATGCACCATGTACCAAGAATACCGAAGTCAAAAAGTGAGATAAAGTAATTAAGAGTTTCTGATTTGGTGTACCTCAGGGCTCGATTCTGGGTCCTATCATTTTGTTCAATTCAATCAGTTAAATTTAGTTTATAAGGCCCTAAACCACAAAGAAAATGTATCTGTGCAGAAAGTCAACATTAGTGCACCAAGAGACAGAAAAACTTCTTTAAAGGCTTGCATTGGCCGTGCACATCCTCGGAAATGTCCCCCAAAGTGCAGTATGCAGTAGATGTAGAGTAGAGGCAAAGAAGATGTAACAGAAGCAGGTAAACAATGAGAGAGAGTTTTAAGACAAGCTTTCAGACCTCATTTGGATGTCACTGCCACTGCATGGATATCTTAAATATTTATAATCACTACATCGGTTGAGCATTTTAGCATCCAGATGTTGCGTGGTATGCATTGAATGCAAAGTACAACTGAGGCTGATGGGAGATAACTGAACATAATTAAATGTACTGGTCTATTTTTAGCAGTTTACTAATTCATACTGTGTATTTATGGCAACACGATGATGTAAGGCAGCTCCATCACCATAAAGACGACAATAAAATAAGTGTTCCTGAGTCAGAGAGGGTCGGAGGTGAAGGACAGACATCATATAAAATTTAAAGGCTCTCAGTGAAGCTGCATCACGCCGTTCGTCATCTTTTCAATAGGAACTCTCAGACATCCCTCCGTCCTGAGGGGGTCGGCTTAGGGAGAGGAGAGGAAGAAGAAAAAAAAAACCATACCAATTCATTCAATTCACTGCAGCTCGGTCGTCACCATGGCAACAGAGATGAAAGGAGAGGATGCTCATTATGTCTGTCTGACTCTGGGATTACCATGGCCACTGCTGCAGGGCCTGTATGCTAATGCTAATGCTAATGCTCTCCTCCTCCTCTCAGCCGGTTGTGGCCTGTTTGTTCTCAGGTGAGGCATCATTACCAGGTGAAGATACACAGACTCATGTTAGTGCAATTCTACCAACATCTTATCGTTCTTTCTCCTGAAAGATCCACAATTAAAAGTTTCTGATTGACTTTTTATTCTTCTACTACTGTTTTTATCTGAAAATACATCTCTTATTTATAACTCGGTTTTGTTTTCATACATGTTTTACCATCTTGGATCTGTTTTAGTCTACACTGTTGATTTTAGGATGAGTGTTATTTCTATCATTGTCATTATTTAAAGAGGGTTACTCAATTTATTTGTGCTGTTTAATGGTAACGAACTATAAATAATAGGGAATATACAATAGTTTTACAACTCTAAAAAGCTTGAACATTGTACAAATATAGGATTTGATTGTTTGTATTCACTTAAAAGAGATTATGTGGCAACCTCCACTACAGAGTCGTGTCTGTTTTGTTGATTGACACAAGATTTGATAGTCAACAAATCATTTACAAGTGATTTTGAATCCATTAATTGATTTTCACTGCAGAGTTTTAGTGCAGTGCAGCCTGATGACCATCAAGTATTGGTTTATATTAAAATATATATTTATTTAACAATAACACTTCTCATTTCAACATTTGATGCATTCTGTTTGCTCCATCTTCAGTTCAGATTAGGTTGTAAACAATAAACAAATCACTAAACTACAGTGTCTTAACTTTAATTGAAGTGGGGTTTTAACGACAGTGCAACAAATGCCATTTCCTGATTTTTTTTTCCACTTTGAATCAAGTTACATGTTGTTTTTAAATGAGTATTTTTGCTATTTATACTGGAGTTAGTGAACTGAGTATTTGCTCCATTATTGCCATCTCCCATAGCAACAGATGATTGACAGCAAGGGCCAACGCTGCCAGGAGACGGGCTGTAAAACTGTGGTGACCACTGGAGAATGTCAAACTATAAATCCTGCAAACATTTATAAGTTTTATCAGTCTGTGAGAGAAACCTTCAGTGCTCTGTGACAATAACAGAGGTTTACTGAGTAAAGGGTAGACAATATTAGCATTTAAAAAACGTGAAATGCCAGCAATGATAGTCATGGTTCTAAAAAGTAAATGAGGATTTTAAACTTGTGCATAATGGATAAAAACTTAGATCTGGTTTTAAGTTTATTGGTCCTCATATTGAACAATGACCCGAGGAAAATCCCTGCAGAGCTTTTGGGAGTCTTGTCTGCAAAAGTTCTCCATGAGTTAATCGTGTGTGTGTGTGTGCGTGTGTGTGTGTGCATGTGTGTGTGTGTTTCTAAGCGAAAACAAAAAAGAAATCACAGCTGATTCATAAATAATGCTGAGATAAGCAGAACAAACTGGATAAACTTCAGGAAAGTTTCTGCTTCACCAACTTTGTCCCCTGATCGACCAAAAGTACAAAAACCAACATCATCCTCCTGAGAACACACTCCTTATAGACACACACACCCACACACACACACTCACACAGTGAAGCCGCAGAGCTGTGAATGAATGAATGGAGGATCTGACCCTGTGAATGAGAGCCGATCGGGGGGGTCAGGAGGCGTCACCCCCAGGCAGCTGCCAACATTATCATGCAAACCTGCAGGGTTTTGTTTCCCCCCTGAGGAGGGGGCCGGGGGGTCCAGGGGGGCCGGGGGAGAAGGACGAACCTTTGACAGCTCCAACATGGAGAGGACGGGGACGCCTGGAGTCCATTAGACTATGAATGAGAGCGACAAGGTCCACACTGACGGGGTTTTAAAGACACACAGGGCTGCACCTAAAATAGCACGTTTTCTCAATGAGGTTTGGTCTGAGTTCATTAGACTTTACAACATGACTGACAGCTGACAGAATGAATGCACATGCAACTATAAAAACACTAATCTGATGCTATTAGTTTTAGCTTAAACCTCTATCAATGTCATGTTAAACAAAATTCATTAAAATAATGCTTTTTGGTTGAACTGAAGGATTAAAAACTCGAGAAAGAATTTAGGAAAGAATCGTAAACTATTATTTTCATAATACTGAAAAATGTAACCCTCAAAACTAAGGAAATAGATTAATTCACTAACTATGGAATATCTATATCTGTTTTTTCTTGACAATTAAAAAAACACAACATATTGTTGATGATTTTGTATGAAAATTGAGCAAAGTGTTAGTTCAGGCAGGCCACAAAGTCAAAGCACATCAGCTGATCCTCACATTAGCCTTTAGGTGACAGAAAACTGCTTTGCAGCCTGCCTCCATCGCAGCTCCTTCTTTCAATACTGCGCCTGATTTCACCAGGGTCATGTGATTGATAGCACTGCTGCTCTGCTCTGTACCCTAATGTCTTTGCTGCTGCTCTCCCTGCCTTGGCTTTTCATGTGTGCAAATAAAACTGAAAAAAACTGAGAGTACTTGACAAAAATGGCACATCATTAAAAATGTCAGCACACAGTTGCCACCAGGACCGAGAAACATATCAATCTCTCCTTCTTTTTGTGAGATTTTTAGGAGTTTCCAGTTGAAAATGGACCAGAATTACCTGTAGACTTCCTTTCTTTGTTCTTGGAGAAAAGAATAAACAAATAACATCACTTTAAAAACTGTGTTTTTTGTCTTTTGTTCCACTGAGTGAACCCAAACAATAAAAATCTGTAATGTAAAGGCACTAATATCCTCCTTAATCCCTCACTAAGCCTCTTAACACCACTGTTCTCTGTAATTCTGCAGCTTTATGGTACAAAAGTACAAAATCTGTCTGACTAAAAGCTTTTCTCTTTCTGTGGAGAGTTGAAAACGTCCGGACGAGCTGATTAAACAGCACACTGTAGTGTAACCTATCTGATACCTCCGAGAGGTAAACAACAGTTTAGATGCTGTTTGGATCATGACTGTCAGGGTTAATCCCACATGTGAAAGTGCTCTAATAATCTGAGGAGATAATCAATGAGGTCTGCTGAGTTAACAGGCGGAGGAGACGGTCCCAGAGAGCCTCCGATTAGATCCAACGCTCGCATGAGAGCCAGAGTTTAATCAGAGTGAATTAGACACGCAGAGGAAAACACTGAGGTTATTCTTCCTGATTCAAACTGCTGCCTGGAGACTCACACACACTCACAAAAACACACACTGCAACACACACTGAAAACAAACAGAAACACACACGGAGACGATGACAGCCAAACTCACTGATTCATTCAGAGATGAGCTGAATAACAAAGAAGAGTTACACAACCTAAACTGTCTTAACAAAAGAAATCAGCGGAGTACGTGTTTAGCCTAGCTTAGCGTTAACACGACAGGAGAAAGACCACACAACTTTTGAATTACACTGCCAGTCTCCGCTGGTTTGATAATATGGAGGTGTTACCAATCATTTGCTTCTGGTGTTGAAAAATGAAACTGCAGTTCCCTTTGTGTCCTCCAGAGGCTGTGTCCTGCAGCTACTCAATCCCCATAGAGCCCCATGTTAAAATGTCCAAACATGTTGACAGCCTGCTACAAAAAGGCTGCAAGTTGGATATTTTAGTCAGCCAATAAGCTCTGCACCAAACCTGATCAAATTATTTATTGATTTACTTTTCAACTGAGCTTAAGCTGTTTGAAGGTTGAAGGTTTTATCAACTTCACTGCTCTGCCAACACAGGGAAGCCTGGCGTTTCATTGAACATGTCAGCTGATTGCAGATACAGCCTCTGATTGGTTGACAGCCCATGAGAAAGATGGCAGCCTCTGTCTCTTAACTGTATCTGGACTAGGGCCCGACCGATGTATCGGCGAGCCGAGTAAATCTGCCAATTTTAGCCCGTTTGAGACTAATTGGTAATCAGCCAAAACTCGCTGATTGTCGCAGATATTTTCAGAAATAAAATGCAGAGAATAAGATTCGGTTTCACTTCGAAAATGTTCCACCATTTGTAAAGTTCCCAGACTTATCCTGTAGATGGCGCAGCGACCTCATGACAATCTTCATCCACTAACTACCTCACAGCACAGCAGAGTGACGGATCTGAAACAGGCAGCAGCAGGGACGCACAGAGGAGAGTGGTCTGCCTCAACGGTAAATAAACCAGTTTGTGAAATACACAATAAGTCAACAAGTTTAAGTTCAACCCACTTGCAAGCTAAAGATAAAGTTAGCCACCTGCTATTAGCCTTGCTAAACTGTTAGCCGTGCCAGTCACGGTAGACTAAACAACAGTACACATTACGTGATCGAGCTACTTCTCTTACTGAGGCAGCTGCATGTCTCCAGATGAGACCGGATCGGAAACAAGTAACATGAGTTAAGACGCGGAGGCACCAATTGGCGCACTTTTCTGGTGTGAGTTTGATTCATGATGAATATCTGGAATATTACTGAGAAGTGTTTGAAAGGCTTAAAAGCAGCCATTTGTTTAAAAAGTAAATATGTAGATATATTACTTAAACTAACAAAATTTTAAAACTTCATAAAAGAAATTTAAAAATCGTCCGATTAATTGTTAATCTAATTGTTTTCCCCCCTTATAATCGGTATCGGCATCTGCCCCAAAAAATCCATATCGGTTGGGCCCTAATCTGGACAGTCTCTTAAAACACTCAGATCTTCATGTGGATGATGCAGAAAAACACTGACGTAAATCTGACGGTCTCACAGAGTGAGTGGATTTTACTGTAAGTCCGTATGTTGTAGTGTTCTGTTTTTAGACCAGATATTTTAAAGACGACAATATTTAGGTGTTTTTTACAACATTTTGTACCGCTTCTGTCATCTGCCCACCATGATTACAGCCTTGGTTGTTGTTCATGCTGACTGCTTTTGCAATCATTGTTTTGCATGGCACAGAGCTCAGTGCAATTCATCGATAAGGGAATTATTAAGCATTAGGACAAATGATGCTGATGACTCAAACCAGTTGGATGTGGTTCTTGATTCCCATCCCTGAGCTTCACTGTATCTCCAAAAACAGAAAACAAAAATGCTGATGTTGTACTTCATAATCTCTCCAGACAAACACTCCTCCTCAGGACACACACAGATCTAATTAATGAAAACAGGAGGATGATTTCGGAAAAGAGGCTGCGATGAGCCTCCATCGTCCCTCCTCCGTCCTTTAATCAGAGAAAACGTGGAGGAGTGAGTAGCTCGGCACTCAGTGTTGACAGCAGCTCCCTCCTTTCAAACACTAAACAAAAGTCCCCACTGAGGAGCCCACCCGCCTGCACAGACTCAATGAGACCAACAACAAAAGCTGCCTCTCCAACCCCCTTTAACCAGAACCTGAGGACCAGCAGAGAGGAGAGAGGAGACAGGCCTTTAAATGCTGTTAAAACGTCTTCCACAGGAAACCACAAGATAATCAATAACTTCTAAAGCAGCCTGATCCACGTCCAGACAGTTTTATAGATGCTATGATAAGAGCCAGGACCCAGTGTCAAGTGCTGATAAGAGCAGAATTTAATGGAAATCGTCTAAAACTTATATTCAGTTTAAAATGAGAGTTCATAAAAATTTGCGTAATGCTTAAAAGGAGCAAAAGTGGAAATCACTGCATGGACTCAAAATCCCTTTTAAATGATGCGCAAACTATCAAGTCCTTTAGTTACACAAACAAACATGGCTCTGAAGTGGTTGTCACCCCATGGATGCAGTATCACACTTTAGTGATTTCTAAACAATTACATCTTGTTATATTCACAAAACAGACATGGCTCTATAGTGGAAATCACTGCATGGACTCAAAACCACTTGGGAATGATTTGTAAGCTATCAAATCTAGTTTTTAGCAATAAAATGGACATTGCTCTTAAGTGGATGTCACCACATGAGGTGATAATCACTTCCAAAAACCATTGCCAGTTTGTCACTGGATCTACAATTGCAGGTAAAAACTGTACAATGCAGAAAAAGAAACTTTATATGAACACTGTAAGGACGGGAACCGTGAGTAATTGATAGTGGGACACCCAATGCTCGGCCCACAATGCAACAAGATAATGTTACAGTGATTCTCTGACTACTGATTAATTTCATAGCAATATATTTGAACCAAAATACCAATATTTGGCACCAGAAATATGATAATACTGCCACACAAGTCAAGATAAATGATAATATTTCATATTGCGTTTTATCAGAGACCCTCAGAGTGCTTTACAGTCACACCCTGGTGGTGGTAAACTACCTTAGTAGTCACAGCTGCCCTGGGGCAGACTGACGGAAATGTGATTGCCAGTTTTCACCTACGGCCTCTCCAACCACCACCACACAACACTCACATTCATACACCAGTGAAGGACACACACTGGGAGCAAGGTGGGTTAAGTGTCTTGCCCAAGGACACAACGGACAGGCTAGGGAAAGGGGGGAACTGAACCGCCAACCTTTCGGTTATTGGACGACCGCTCTACCTCCTGAGCTACTGCCGCTCCTAATGATATTGATATTCTGATATCTGGTCCTTGATATCTTTAAACAACACCAACATCTGGTCTTTGGGTTGCAGAGGAAAACAGACGAACCTGACTTTAAAAACCCAGTTTTCATAAGAATCCTCCCCGTGTGGATTTTAGACGCAGTGAAAACACTTAAAAACAGTTTCTGGGTCAGTTACTGAATATTTGAAGGTTTGGATAAATCCTCTTCAGCTCATCAGTCGGCTTGTTTTAGCATCATGTGGGTATGAAGTTCTGCTCTAAATGTGTTATGACAGCTCGGGTGTAAAGCCTGTTATCTCACAGCTTCAGGTTCTGGCAGCTTTTTGGTGTAAACTGTTTTTTTTTCCTGAGCTCTGGGTTCAGAAACAGGAAGCAGCTCTGAGCTGAGGATCCTGATCTGCTTTCACACACGGATTTGCTCCTTTTTGTCCTCCCCTCTCTTGTCCAGCGGTACATAAAGTGTTTGGTCACTGATGCATTTGTGCTTAATGACCTGCTTGGGCTCATTATCCCGCCTGGCAAACATAGAAAGGACTGAAGGTCTCCAACATGGCAGAACACCAGAGCTGGCAGCTGCTTGTCCTCCGTTAGCATCGTTAGCCGGGAGGCTCTCTGGCTGCGGATAAAACGAGGGACTCGGTACAGGCTGAAATCCTATTTCTAAGGTTTATGAAAATTTTAATCTCTATCAAAACATTATCATTTATTTTTGTTTTGTTTTTTAAACACAAGCTAGATCTTCTTTCACTGGCAGCTATCTTTAATAATAAAAATGATTAATTTAACATGAAATTCAACTTTTGAAAACTTTCACATTCAAATTTGTACAAAGTGGGAGCAAAACCGACTAAAATATTGAGGTCATGAGTACTGAGAGTCCTTTTTAGTTTTATGCAGCATCATTTTTAAAGTTTAAACTTGAAAACTAAAAACTCTTTTCAGTCTGACCCGGCTAAAGACTGACGTTGACATGTGACGCGCTGCGGTCGTGATGCTCTGAAGTGGCTGCAGAACAACAATAAACAGATTGTGATCCCGGATGCTGCTGGTTGTCATGGTGATTAGCCTGATAATGATCTTAAAGCCACATGTGAGCTCATTTAAGCGTTCATCATGCTGCTCGAGGGTTAAACTCGCCTCCGCATGGAAAACTAAAATATCTCATTAAACATTGTCTAACGCCCCGGGGATCAAACACCAGGTAGTGTCTGATAATGAGATCATTACTGTTAAATATCCAAACACTGTTAATGTGACCTGGAGGATTCACAAACGCTCGGTTATTCAGAACATTTAAGGGTTTTTTATTATTATTATTGCTGTTTGAGATCATTTTTGTGATTTTTTTTTATTCCAGTTAAAAAGCTGGGTCATCTCATGTCCACTACATGAGTCTGCTGATAAATCACATTTATATTTCAAGTTTCAAAAAATCTAAAAAGGAAGAAAAATGATTAAATTTGACTCTTTTTTGTTCCTTCCTAAAAATAGACACTGTACTTGAAGGAAAACATTACATAAATTACATTTATTTAATCTAATTGTAGAGATTTTATGCCTGAGTTGGGAAAATATATATTTTAGGAGAGGATTAATAAATCTTTCGTGTGATTGTTTGACTAAAAAAAATGTCTCCTCTTGGAAAAGTTTGGAAAGAACCTACTAACCCCCTTTGCTTCACTAAAACAACATAGTTTGTGTTGCTGTTATGTTGAAAACTACTTTACTGACCACTATTAAATGACAAAAGAAAGCATCAGAGCTATGTAGTGGTAAACAGGTGTTACAAAACGATACCATACGACATGACATGACATGATATAATATGATACAAAACCATACGATACGATATGACAGAAGATGATAGATGCAATGCGATACGAAACGATATGATACGATATGATATGATACGATACGATATGATGATACGATATGATACAATACAATATGATACGATACGATATGACATGACAAAACACGATACGATGCAATGCGATACAATACGATACGATACGATATATGATACGATACCATATGGTACAATACGATATGATTTGATACGATAAGATACGATACAATATGACACGACACAACACAACACGATGCAATATGATACGACACGATACCATATGATACAATATGATACGATACGATATGATACAATACGATATGGTACAATACGATGCATTGCGGTACAATACCATATAATAGGATACGATTTGTTAAATGACTACAATACTGATTGTTTCGAGCACCTTTCTTTTTGCTAAATATATGCATCATATTATAACAAAGCCTGTTTTTAACATAAAGACTAGACCTCAACATAAACAGGCTTTGCGTTCATTAGAATATGAAAACATTGTTACGACACAGTGAACCAGAAGCCTAAACCTTCAGACCGGGAGGCAATTTTCTTCCAGGGTTTGTGTTCAACGACGGAGGCGAAGGCGGCGGAATAATAGTCTGATATGAATCATCAGTGTGTTGATATAAAAAAAGGAGGAAATTGGAAGCTGAAAGCATCAGATAAACTGAACACAGTACGGTGTCACAGTCTGTGAGTGTGCAGTGAATGACGGACGCTCGCAGATAGAAAGAGAAAAATGACACTGCTTATTGTAAATGTTTGCTCAGTGACTGTCAAACATTAAAAGAGAATCTGAAAACGCCATCCAGCTGTCTCTGTGTCTGATTTCTCGGGGTGTAATGTTTGATGGTGAAATGATAATAACGCTGTTTTGGGTTGATTTTAACCCTTTTCTCACTGTTACCTGTAGGGATTGGAATTGATAAGTTTTTATCGATAACAATGGCATCATTGATTCTGCTTATCGATTCAATTCTTTAACGATTCCCTTATCAGAGAGAGTCTAAAAATAATCAAACAGAAATGCTACTTTAACAGCATTTACTTCGGTCTGTATCAAGCCAAATTAAAGTGACCATATTCTGGATCCCCAAAAAGAGGACACTACTACTATTTTAAGGGTTTTTTGGGTCGGGCCGAGTGTTTTTTACGTGCTTCCAACTCAGTTGGTCCATGCATTGAGTTCCTCAAAGTCTCTGATTCCCAGGAGACCGTTTTAAAAGGCACCCGGAAAGAGAGGAATCGTCAAGGGAATCGTTAAGATAAAACATAAACGATGTCGATGGATTGAACCATTTGGAACCGGTTCTCGATTCCCATCCCTAGTTACCTGACTTTATAGGAACTTGTTGTAATAGCTAATACAATAAACACTGAATTCAATCCGCAGATTTGTTCAGAGCTCAATGATTCCAGTGTTGGAAAGGCTTTATGTGGGATCAACTTTTGGCGAATTCGCCTCTTTCTGCACCAACTCCACTCATTGGTCAGGCTAAGAAACTCATTTGTGATTCTGTTATTTCTTCTTCTTATTGTTTCTACATATAGTAATCCAGTGCAGCGTCTAAACCCCCACATTGGAAGTACAGAGCTTTTTTCTTCCTCATATTTTATAGACACTTATCAGATTGGAGGGAAATAGCTGAGTTTACTGTCACATTTTGGCCACAAATACCATTAAATTAAAGAATTTTCCACAGTCATACGATCTTATTAAAGCAGAACTGTTGAAAGAATAGCTTTCTGTCTTTCAGAAAATGTCTAACAGAAATAGAAACAGTGTGGTGCAGCAGGGCTCACAAGCAGGGTTCATGTGGTTCCTTCACACCTGTGCAGGTAAACTGAATCCTGAGCAGCAGCTGAGGATGAAGAAGAACCCAGTTGTTCTCCAGACAGACAGAGGAGGCTTCTGCTCAGTGTGTGTATCAGTGTGTGTTGGAGTGTGTGTGATCCTCAGTGATGCTGACAGACATGCAGGGACTCTCTCAGGCTGCAGCCGACTGACCCACTTTCCACGGGGCCGCACGAGCTGCTGGCTGCCGCACAAACCGACCTGCGGTGCCACAACGCGTCCATCTCCAGGTCCAACAACCTCTCTGCCCCCGGCGCACACTCTCACATCCATAAATCAGCACATAAACTACTCCAACATGAAGCTTTATCCGTGTTTTCTGCTGTTTCTCTGAACAAAGCCTCCGTGCTGCTTCACCGCATCCAGACAGGCAGCAGCAGCAGCAGCAGCAGCAGCGGCTCAAACGCTCAGCATTTAGCCGAATAAAGGCTTCCTTACCTGGGTGAAGCAGAGCAGACACACGGTGGGGATCAGCGGGGAAAGCATGGTGCGTGTCTGTCAAACAGTCTTGGTACAGTCCGGGTTCCTCCTCTCAGTCTGCTCAGCATCCAAACAATGGCGATTTTTCTGCTGCATCGGAGCGCGATGCTCCGCTCCGCGCAGGGATTCAATCTGCGGTTCGTTTCCGCTCCGCAGCTCTAACTGCTCGCCACCATCATCATCATCATCTTCATCAGCAATGTCGGTTTTATCATGCTGTTCAGTACGGTGCGCCGCTCGAACCGGACCCGCGGTGTTTGAGGAGTATCAGGCCGGGCTCCGGCGTCCATGCCGCGGCCTGGAGACGAGCAGGAGGTCGGTGTCGGTCAGCGGGATGAAGCTGCTGCTGCGCGGCGTCGCCCCGCCCTGCGCTCCGGAGGCTGCATGGAGACACACAGGTCCTCCCCCTCCTCCTCCTCCTCCTCCTCTTACCCTCCCCCTCTTCTTCACCCACATCGCCCCCTTCTCGTCTTGAAATGACAACACGCTCTGATGGAAAGCAGCATGTCATTAAACCTCATTATAACGCAGTTTTGTCTCATTTTTTAACCATCAGCTGTCAGCAACTGCAGAAACTCAGACTTTTTATATCCTTATACACTCTACTAAACCTCTGGATCTCTTAAACCACTCTTTACTGTCCTACACAGTATTATACTATCATATTAAATCATATTAGCTTGTATATTATTATTATTTAACTGCTACCAACTATCCTCCCTCTGCATATGAACAAAGATATTCATATTATACCTCATAAACTGTGATTTACAATAACACTGTATCTCATAAACTGCCTCTACTGCACTGATATACTACATTGTTTTGATATTATCAACTAAAGACAAGGCAAAGTGTGTTTATTCATATAATACATTGCGGCATGGTCTTAAAAGTTTGTCATTTCCCTGCTCACATTGTCTTGTCTTGTGTTGCTGCAACAACTGAATTTCCTTCTGGGGATCAATAAAGTTTTATTGCATCATAACCAGATTCAATCCTATTGTTTTGTGTCTTTGTGTATCACATTTCATTGCACTGTATCATCCAATATTGTGTCTAACTCTAGTGTCCTTAGAAAATCATACTAAATTGTCTCATATCATGTTATATCAAATCATATCATAGTGTATTATATTTCATCTTATCATATTGAATCATATAATATAATTCTGTGTTGAGTATTTCAGTATTATGTTGAACTGTATCTGAATAATTCCAGTACAAACCAGTTTAATCCAGGACAGCTGAAACAAACTGTGGAGTAATCACTCAGACTGACAGAAAAATGTTTAGTTGTTTGTTTGTTTTGATTGTCTTTTTTTCATTATTAAAGCTATTAATCACTGTTTTTGATGGAAACCCTCCTCACATTGATCTGGGATGACAGTAAGCAGTTATTAGATACAGTTGAGAAAGCAGTGAAATCCTGTTATGAGGAATAAAAACCTGATGATAGAAAATTAAATAAGTCAGTGAATAATCTGAAGTCTAAATTTAACTCTACAGTCATCTATGAACACTGATTAAATGGATGAATGTTTGTTTTTTATCTGTATTTGTCTCTAAGATCTGATATCATGTGATTGCTCAGGTCTTATCTGACATCAGTCTGCCCCCTGCTGGTGGAAAAACACATAACAACCTCTACTCTCAATGTTTTATACATTCCTAATAATGTCTTTCTGTTTGTTTAGTTTTATTTGAAGCAGGAAATCTGAATTTTTTAAACATTTTAGAAATCTCCTGGAGTCTAAATAAAGATTTGACTTGTCTCAGATATTTTCACTATATTGTCCAGTGATTAGACAGGTCCATCCTTTTACCTGGAACTTAGCGGCTTAACCTGCAGTACACCCACCCACCTGATCAGTTCATCTCCATGTAAGGATCTTCCTGTTGTCTGCTGCTGACATCATGCTCCTGCCCACCTGATCAGACATTGGGACCTATAAAGAAACATAAATGTATTTACTCCAGTCATGTGATCCTGATCTGACACACTCACACACACACATACACACTCGGACACATGCTCAGTGTAGTCTTATAAAAGTATCCAGCTTGTGGTGGAGACCAAACATGGAGGTAAATTCAGCAGCCATGTTACCCTTAATTTTTTAACCTCATAAAGCTGCAGTCATAATTCCACTTTAAGACAAATCTGGATATTTTAAGGTGGTATGAAGGTGTAAACTGGGATGAAATCAGACTTTTGTTGTGTTTTTCTCATCCTTCCTGCAAGCGACAAATCAGGGCTAATAACACACACACACTCTCTTTCTCTCACACACAAACACACAAACAGAGCAGTGTAACACTGCTGCTGCAGAAATTTTACCAAGAAGTCAGTGGCATTCTGGGAAGTGAGGCTCAGATGGGATCAGAAAAACAACCTGCAGAAGAAAAAACTGATAATGAGTTTATTGGACCCCAGAGAGGAGAAACACACCAAACTGAGGCTGTTTAAGAACCTGAACCTTGAAGAAAACTATGAGCTGCACAGATTTACAGTAAATTCTTCTGATAATACACCTTTCGTGATGAGAAGGAAGTACCACAGAGTGTGAGAGCCAAAAAGCATTCATAGTTTAAGATTAAAGTTATAACATTGCGAGGATTAAGTTAAATTAAAGCCATAATATTCGAGTACAGCTGTAGTTAAGTCATAGTTTTGGTTAACAGCTGATCTATTTTGGAAGGGAGGAGATGCCAAGTCTAACAATACTCCATCTTCCTAAATGAAATCAATTATATTATCATTATTATAATCCTCAATTTTTCAAGAGGAGAATGTCTACCTTTCCTGTATCCCTCTTTACAACACCATAATCTGCGTAAACTGAAGATTTTTACTTGTCATATGAGTTTAAACTTAAAATATATATCAACTTTATTCTCATAGTATAAGGTACCGGGCTGCTGTAAAGTTGGACTTTTGAACATGGGGCTCTTCGGGGACTGGTTCACTCTAGGAGAGAGCCTCTAGTGGACACTGGAGGAACTGCAGTCTTTTGGGACAGACTATGATTTCATTTCTTTGACAAGGAGGTTACCTCTTTTACTGCTTAAACCCAGAGGCTGTAGATTTAGTACCACATTCCTGGGACCATGTCTGTGAGACCTTTGTAGTTTGCAACACCCTGCATGAACAATCAAGTATTTAAAGTGACGATTTTTGTCACTAGTGTCTAACAAACATTTTCCTCAGGTCCAGTGTTTGATTCCTTAATCCTAATATTAAAAAAAAACATTCCATATTTTTCTTGTCACAAATCCTTGTAAGTGCAAACTTGTAAATGAAACTGATTCTTCAACTTCAAAGCTGCTGTGCTGTTTTGACAGGATGTTTCAGCACTGCTGTTTGACCAGCAGGTGGAGACACAGTGAGAGGAGCTCATCAGTTTGTAGGACAAGATGTTCATTACTGATCTGATGCAAGAGCACATGGTTAGTATTTGAGCCCTAGGACACAGATTTATTATGAAAACTAACAATATGATTATTTCTCTATAGCTCTACAGATATTCTGTTTATATGGCACGTTTTGACAAGATCCCACCCAATATTAATCAATATGTCATGGTGTTTTTTTCAAGATTAAAATACTCTGACGTCTAGAGAGAGCTCAGGGTGGGGATGCTACTGTTTTGGTTTTTAAGGAGTCGATTCATGTTGTATGCGCCTCCCTTTCCAGGAGTTCTAGATGAGTCCCACTGGGCAGAGACCCCAGGGTAGACCCAAACCTCACCTGACCTGGGAATACTTTGTGATCCATCAGAAGCAGCTGGAAAAAATTGCTCCATGACCCGACCCAGGATGAGCGGAAAAAATGGACAGAGCGATGGGAAGGATATTGAAGTTGGAAGCACATTAACCATTAGATCGTAAACCTTGTTAAGATCTCCACTCACTTCATGTCGTCCCTCTCTGCAGCAGGTAAAAAGTCTAAATGGAGACACCATGACCCTGTTAGTCTCACAGTAAACAGTAAACACATTTTTTTTAGTTGTTTTTTTATTGTTTACGACAAGGCTACATCACCAACGATGTACTGAAGTCAGTCCCTCCGTCTCCTCGCTCAGAGTTCACTCACTCACTTTGAGGAAAACAACTAAAATTCAACCAAAGTTAAAAGGTCAAAGGTGACGCCAAATCCTCCTGCATTCAGCCTGCACGGGCAGTCGCACAGCCAAGAGCATCATGGGAAATCTTTTGGCTCTTTGTATGGCACGGACAAAATTCATCTCGACCATAGTCCAAAAATAAATCTCTTAAAAAGTTGACCAGGCACGTCCTCCAGAGAGCGCTGATGAAGACCCAACAGCACTCATCCTCTCCTTTAACTCCGCCCACCTGCAGGACCTGACCCCGCCCACTTCACACCTGCTGCAGGTGAGGTCAGGGGTCAGGGTGAGGACTCAATTCATCCAAGTATTCTGTCCTTTAGAGTGACACTTCTTGTTTCACATTCACAGTCTTTCCATCTGCCTCTTCATCGTCTCAGACTCGTCCCTTTGGGTCCAGCTGTGCAGTCGCTGCTTTTTGCCGTCACCTCTGAAAGTTGGTCAACAAAAGATTCAACCTGAAAATGAACGGAAAAAACAACAGCTTGTGAATGAAGCTGCTGAGATACACATTTACATTTCACACAAACTCCATCATGTGTGTTTAACTGTATAAGGGCGCGTTCACACCACCCTCGTTTAGTCCCGTTGAACCGAACCTTGGAGCGTTTACCCCCTTGGTGCGGTTCGTTTGGGTCGGTGTGAACGCTGATCTCGAACTCAACTATTGAGAGCAGCTCTGCTAAAGATAGGGTGCATGTCTATTTTTGCTGCTCTACGCTTCCAACACGTGTCAATCCACACAGAGAAGATCGTTCTAGACAGGAAGTCAAGCACAAAAACCGTGCATGTCATCCGGTATTTAAAAATAAAACACTGTATGTGAACTCCTGATGGTGTATCAGTTCGTATAGATGAGAAATACTTCCTGGTTATGGATTTATTAGTAACACAGAACAATCCGATGGTCAATCCCTGTGAATTCCAACAGGACTTTTAACTGCTAACTCTGTCTGAAGGTAACAGCACAACATAAAGGCATAAAGGAACATAGTTTACTTTATTAAACATGAGTAAACCTGCAAAAACAGAAACTGTAAAATCATGTTGCTATTTCACATATAGTAGAGGCTCAACGGTCACTGAATTATATCCAAATTAGCAGGAAATAGACCACAGAAAGGCAAAACAACCTGTTGTGAGTATTTTATTTCCTCTATACTGAGCCCAGCTGACTGAGGCTGCACTACGCTGCTGCCACGCTCCAAATACGCATCTTATATGCCATACCCAATGCTGCTCTATGGGGCAAATACAGAACACGCTCAATACTGATCCTGTACGTTTTCGGCCTCAGTGTAGTTACCTGTGTTGTTTGTAGTTTGCAGCTATCGAAACAGTCGTGTGAACTCTCTGATGGCCCAGCACACCTGTTTACACTCCTCAGCACTAAACAAGGGAAGAAAAGAAAAAAACAACACTTCTGTTACCATGGTTACTATCAGCCAGCGTTACATTCAACATGTGCCGTTGTTGCTCTCTGGTCATTAATTTCTCAAACTGTGACGTCTCTGATCTTCAGATAGAAACTGTAGAAATAGTAAAAGCGAACATAGCTCTGCTCAGTCTCACTATAACATCTCAACTAAAATATACAGGAGTCTTCGGTCCCTAAATGCCTCCCCCCTGTTCCAAATGTCCTCGAACGCCTCTCTGTCAGCTCTGATGGTTGTTGTACATATTCTGTTGCTCATGTTGCATGATTTATGCCGCCTTTAATACTTCAGGTGCTCATGTTGCAACATGTTGGTACATGCTGTGTATCTGTTGCTCATTTTGCATCCATTATGTAAGCTCCGTAGTGCTTTTGTTGCACATTAACAGAAGTATGTCTGCAGTGTCTCTATTGCTTTTACTGCATGTATTTACTGTATATTGCCTGGATTTTGTCACTTTTGGTGTCTCTAATGCGCATATCTTATCTTTTATGTTACTTGAAATATATTGCCTAAAAAGTTTATCTTCTGCTCCTATGGACTGAAAGTGACATATGCTTTTAGTTCCTCTGTTGCACATGTTGCCTGTGTTATCATCTCACCTGGTGACCTGTTTGTGGAAGTCTGTCAGCTGTTTGTGCGTGACAGTCACGGCTCCTCCACTCGTTTCTTTCGGTAAACCTTTCAGAGCGTTCTCCAACCAGCGACAGAACGTCTAGGACAAACAAACCGACAGAGGGAACATCAGAACCTGAGAGCCACAGGTGACACACCTGAACAGGTGACACTGCCCATACTTACAGGTCTGTCAAACACCATGATCTCCCACAGCACCTCAGCGACGTCAGGTAGCGTGTACGGTGGCAAACAGAAACAGCATGAGTGCATCAGCTGAGTGACGAGCTGCTGCCCGTGCTGCTCCATAGCCTGACCAATCAGCTGCTTCCTCAGCTCGAAGTCTTCCTCGTGCTGAATAGAGATCATGTTCATTACCTTATGCCAGTTTCCACTTTTCTCTGACTTGACTCTTTCTGAACAGTCTGACTTACATCGTTGGCGACCCCCGTGTGGATCAGGTCTCTAACAAACTTCATGACGCTGCAGTTGGCATCTCGATGGTCCAATGAGGCGGCAGCGATGGCACACTGGATGATGTGAACGATGACACTGCTACTGAGGAGAGTGACTGGACTCCTCTGAACAAACCTGATGGAGAGGTGAACAGACAGGTGGTGGTGTCAGGTAGATATGTAAAGGTAGAATAATTAACAGAAAGACAAACATGTGAACCTGCAGACTCACCTGGTGGCCAGCCTGAACAGATCATCCACCGTGTCCGGATGATTCCTCAGACCATTCTGCTGCTCCAACAACTGGAAGGTCGGCATACACAGAGCCTGAGGAAGAGCAAGACAGTACTTTCAGCATTATCATCTTACAGTCATAACCATTCTATCAATTACAATCATCATCACCAGTTTAATAATAATAACTTTATGTACCATCATCAAAATCATGAGTTCCATCATTTTGACTATTGTTATCATTATCATCATCCTGACAAGAATCAATTCCTGCATTATCTCCATTATGACCTTCATCATTATCATCAACTCTGTCATCCTGGACTTCTATATCATTAGGTCCACTCTTGCTATCAGCAGCATAAACTCCACCGCTATCACCATCATTATCACCACCATGATAATCATCATGGTAATCATAATTATTATCATCAATTTCTCACTATTATCAACAGCACCATTTCTACCATTATTACCATCAAATCCACCTTTATAACCATAATTATTATAATCAACATCATTAATCCCACCGTTATCACTGTTATAGTCATTATCATTAACTCCACCATTGTACTTATAATGACCATTCTCATCGTTGTTTCCCCACTATCATTATCATCACTTTAACCCTCATGATCATTAGTAAACAATATCACCATGGTTACCATTATAATCATTAATTTCAGTAATTATCATCAGCGGCACTATTATCAATGCCAACATTATTACTATGATATCATTATCACCATTCACATCACAATCATCACTTTCAGCATTATTACCATCAGTTTTATAACTATTTTTATCATCAGAATCAATTCCAACATAATCTCCACCATGATGAACAATTCCATAACTATTATCACTATTTCAATCATTTTTTACAACTTAATCATTCTCACCATTATCATTTTCATTAATTGTACCATTTTTATCATTGTTTTGTTAATCAGTCCCATTATCAATTCAACCTTAATCACCATCTTCATTATCAGTCATTCTACCATTACAACTATCCTAACAGTATCATATATTAGTTTCAATATTTCCAATATTATCCCCATTATCACTACCCAATATAATAACTTCAAACATGATCTTCATTTTTATCAATTTCAACATTACCATGTGTTTGTTTACCTAGTGGACAGGTGTGTGGGTGCTTACCTGCAACATGTCAAGCAGACCTTGCCTGCATCCCTCCTCCATGCCATATTCATCTACCAAGATGCTGCCCAGGTACAGGAAGCAGGAGTGTGGATACACCTGATACACACTCACCATCTGATAACAACAGGAAGTACATGAACAGGTGTGTTCAAAGCTAATAGTCAACAGGTAAATGCAGTGCTGTCTGATGTTGAACAAAAAGGGCCATGACCGAACTAGTAAATAACGATGTCCATCTCAGTGATAATTTAACAGTCACTGCTAACCGGTTTGTGTATCTTACCTGAGTGACAAGTGGCTGCAGGAGGGAGGCGGAGCCTTTTCCAACACACCGTACAGCAAACCTTAAACAACGACAGCATCGCTCCACGATCCGATTGTCAGCCTGATGAGTGTTCAAAGTCTCAGAGAGCACGGGCCAAATCTATTGGTGGGTCACATGACACAGGTAAGGCTTAGATTTACAGGTGAGTCACATGACACAGGTAAGATAAAGACAGGTAAGGAAAATCATATGATCCGATCTACAGTAGTTATTCATATTGTACCAAAAAACCTCTTTCAGGTAAACTCAGGTGAGTTTGGGCATCTTACCTCCTGTATTACTTTCTGACAGGGGTGGGTCTGTCCGTTCTCCACGATGGGGTTTGTGTGTCTGTAGGAAAAAAAACAAACAGTATGAGTGTCTGTTGACTGTCTCGTTATTCAAATAAAGTTTGAATAACCTTTGCATACAGGTAGAAGTCCAGGTGAACTCACCTGAAGATAACAGCCAATCTGTCGAGCCACACTGTAGGATCAGCTGATTTCCCGTTTGTTGATCCCTCAGTCAAAAGCTGAAACGAAATCAGTTTTTATTTCTGTCCGTTTTCAGATGATGCGTTCAGGTGCGATTAAAATGAACTCACCTTTTTCAGAGCCAACACCTGAACAGCGCACAGGTCACTGAGACACTCTGCGATCTTCTCCAGAGGAAGACGAGCCAGGACCAGAGCTGTACCTGCACAGGCACACAAACAATCTGAGTCAAACCTGCACAGATAGACAAATAAAAAAGAGCCTCTCTGCACAGGTAGACAAACAATTCACGTTGTATCTGGCTTACACACTTTTTAGTGTACTGATGGCAGATACAGAAAGGGTGTAGTAAAGTTTGACTTCATGTGTTCTACAGGTGTGGTGACAAATATTTACATAGTGACAAGTGACAGTGCAGTGACTCGACACCTGTATATGGCTGTAGTACTGGTGTTTTACAGGTAGAGTATAGGGACAGTTTATGTGTGCTGAAGGTGTTGCACAGAAATATGACAGGTGTCCAGGTGCGACACAGGTAGAAATATGGATGTAGAGTTACTGAAGAGGGAAAAGGAGTCATTGCATGGGTGTACAGGCGATTAGAGGTGTATTACGGGTGTAACACGGGTGTATTGGGATACCTTTGAGCAGCCCCACAGCAGCCTCGGTGGACAGGGCGAAGGAGTCGAGGGAGCGGGCGATGTCGAGCAGACCCTGGAAGTGTTGAGTCATGTGATCTCTGCACACTGAACAGATGTTATGAATCGCCTTCGCCGCAGCAGACGCCAACGGCTTCTCTCTGAGCCCTTTCATCAGGAAATTCAGCACCGGGTCTAAAAGGAAGAACACACACACACAGACTGTCAGGATTTTCAAAATAAAATCTGAGGAAAGCGATAAGGATGTTTTTTATTTTTATTCTGAAACTCTCACCGAGGAACCGAGGGTTTCTATCCACCACCTCACTCATCTCTCCAACCAGCTCAATGCTCGTATAGCGGACCGCCATGTGGACACTCTCAGGTAGTAGAACCACCTGCTGAAGAACCTCTGACAGCGTGGGGTTGTTCTCCCTGCAGGAAAAGAGAAAACAGGAGTCCATTTACACTCCTGTTCTACCCCGACAGCGACATGGTCCTTTAACAAGCTCCTCTGTGTATTCAGTGGCTCCCTCTGTGTTCCTCATTAAGCTCTGCGGTTACTTACAAGTTTCTTTAGATTACTTCTCTTCTTCCAGAGACAAAAATAATCATAATAGAGAGACAGCTTTGGATACTCACGGGTCGACACTCTTTGCAATCGCAGCCATGATGAACAGAACTGCCTCTGTCACTTCCCAAGACGGGCTCCCTTCTTTTAACGTAGAATACAACTGAAAACAAAAAACACACAGAGCTTTAAACATCTGGGAACACACATCTGAACATTTAACAAATTCATGAACAAATAAAGTTATTTGACAGATTTATGTCACCTCACTGGTTTGAGTTACTTTATAGACTGAATTAATGACAGTTCAAAATCACCCGAGGGATTCAAGTTACCTGAGAGAAACACTCCATGGATCCAACGAGAAAAATGACGTCTTTAACGAGGTCTGAAACTCTCATCCTGAACTCTCCAAAGTCGTCCGTGTCTTCTGGGATTCCCTCCTGAAGAGTAGAAACATTGAAAGAGCTCGTGAATTGAGAAAGGGTTTGTTAGTGTCTTTAGAAAACCAGACAGATAAAAATGTTTAAGAAATCAATCATAGAGACAAATCTGATAAACGTGTTCAACGGGAAAACTTATATATGGAGCTTTTCTGTTTGAGTCTCGGACACTTAAGGAGCCAGCTTTAAATCAGGATTGGATTTGGTTTGTATCAGGTTTACATCAGGTTCAAACCGGCTTTGAATAAGGTTTTTAAGAAGCATGAACCATATCTATATTCTACTTTTTATGAGATTTACGCTCAGATTTGAAACTTGTTTACATTAGGCTCATACTGGGGCAAAACCAGGATTATATCTGATTCAAACCATGTTTAAATCAGGGTAATTTAAGGGTGAAACCAGGCTTAAAGCAAGTTTATTCCCAGTTTAAAGCAGGTTTATATCAGGTTTAAACCAGCCTTGAATAAGGTTTGCAGGAAAGGCAGATCAGATTTATATTTAGGTGTAAACCTACATTTCAGTATGATTTGGACCAAGTTTAAACTAATCTTAAATTGCCTCTAAACCAGGTTTATAAAAGGGTAAAACCAGCTTTAAATCAGGTTCATATTGGGATCAACCCCAGATTTTCTATTGTGTTTAAATAAAGGTAAGATAAGTTTGATTTCAGACCAGGCTGAACCACGTCAGAATAAATCTTAATCTGATTTAATCCTAGATTTGGAAAGTTCTTAATTTTAGATAAAGTGTAGACCAGGCCTGTAATCGGTTTAATTTTTTATTCTTTAGGTCGAGTATAGATCTAAACAGGAAGTTCTTGATAGACCGGACCGGGTGACTCACATGGTCTGGATCGAGCTGACAGTGTCGGGCCAAACAGTGTAGAAGTCTCTGGATGTAAGGTCTGAAGATGGTGTGAAGAGCTGCGTCATTTATCTTATAAAGATGTTCTCCAAGACGGTACCAGAAGTTAAAGGAGATCTCCACCACCTGGATCAAAACAAGACCAGATCCCAGACCCACCAGGATCAACATCAGACATTGAAAGGGTTTATGATGGTGCCTAAAACTACATTTAGAGGTTTTATTGTAGCTTCTGCTGAGTTAGGTGTTGTGGTTCTTTTCGTACCTCGTATTGCGGATGTCCTGCACAGATCAGCAGCAGCTCTAGGGTCCTCAGGTCTCCCATGCCCTGCCCAGGACTCCTGACCGTGGTCTCCAAGAAGGTCTCACACAGCTCAGTGAAGATCCGGCAATAGTTCAGGACTCTGGAGACAGAAATTTGATGAAACATTAAGAACATCAAATAAAGACCCAACAACAAAGAAGAAAAATCGTTCCTGGGTCCTCACTTGTCCAGGTCTTCTCGGGCCACAGCCATGTGATAGGCCGTCTCCAGGGTCAGCACGCCTTGGAACAGCTGTAGAGCTAACGCCATGTGCGTGTCCACATTCTCGATGGCGTATAGGGCGGAGCAGACACAGTCTGACGCCGCCTCGTGGAGGTTTGTGGATGTTTCATCCCTTTGCTGTTAAAACATCACAAAATAAAACAGGTTTTTTTTAGATAGATAATGACTGTGTTTATGTACATCTAAAGCATGTATTCATTCTTTCATGCTGTTTCTATACATTCAAACCATGTAAACAGTATTTTATTAATATACAGTATTTATAAATGTGTTTTTATACATTTTAACTATGTTTTCAAACATTTAAACTATATTATTGTACGTTTAGCCTTGTGATGCTACACAACTGTACTGTATTTTTGCAGTCTCTCTGTATCTATACTGTGTTTTTACATTTTAAGAGTTTCTAACTGCATTCACACTTTCTTTTCACACAACAACTTGTTTCCATACAGTCACAGTGAAGTTTCTCATGTCGTGACTTTTACTGAGCTACATATTCTGTAAACCAGTCTGACCAGTTTAAACAGGTATATGCCTGAAGCCTGGAGCTCACCAGCACTTGGAAGAGGACTATGAGCAGCTGGTTACTGGCCATGAAGTTACTGTCGAGGACGCCCAGGTTAAACCAGCTGCCCAGACATCGAAACACCTTGATAAGCATTTTCTCATCGTTCCCCGTCTTCTCCACACACGTCGTCTGATAGGAGAGATGAGGAAAAAAAATCATGATTCAATTCATATATTATTTTAACTTTTAAAAACTATGTATGTATTTATTTATAAACGTCATTATAAACAGTGGCAGAGTTGTTTTATATGTGTATTTATAAATCTAAAGCTGTTGACAGAGAGGCTTCTGACCAGCAGAGTGACCACGGTGCTGGAATAATACGCCAGATCCTCTATGATTTCTGTCCTCCGATTGGCACCAATCCGCAGAGATCTACTGTGAACTTCCTCTGGCAGCACAGTGAGGATCTCTATGAGGAAGGGCATGGAGCTGATGTCATTGTTGTACCTAAGAAGGGAGCGGAGCCACAAAAATGTGAGCCATTGAACAGACCGGAGAGTTAAAATCACGTTCATTCAGAGTCAGGATGTCTGAGTGAACTCTTACTTCTCTATGAGCGTGTGAACACATCCTTTCCATGAGGCCATCTGAAGAGCCAGATCAGCGATGGCCAGAGCCAGCTGAGAGAGAGAACAGAGAGACCGAGTGAAGAAAGAGACTAGGGTTCAATAGACAGAGTAATGAAACAAAGCCCGTCATGTTTGTTCATGAGATTCAAGTCTGAGTTCATCAAAAATCACAAACAGGCGGCTGGAAATCAAACCTCATTAACAAACAGGATCAAAGTTATCTTGATTAAAGCGAGAGACGGTTTGTTTCACAGCCAACAGACTCTCAGCAGATAGTGAAGATGCTCTCTGTCGTGTCTGATTATTCCAGCGAGCTAAGCGTGCTAATTTGAGCGTGCTATTTTGATATAATCTGGACGACTATTAACGCGATTATTTAGCCTGATGATAGCAGCTGCTTAAAATGATTGAGATAAAAAAGAAGGATTATCAGGCTGATGACAGCAATTTTCACAAGACCTGAATGATGAAAAAACAGGATTATTTAACCTGATTAAAGCGGGTATTGTACTAATCTAAATGAAAATAAAAAGATCAGGCTGATATACAGGTTATTTTAAATAACCTGCATTAAAATACCAAACCTGATAACAACAGGGGTCTGACTATAATCTAGATTAAATAAACAAGTTAACATAAGGTTTTTCAATATAATCTGGATTAAATAAAGGAGTGCTGACACAAATAACAGCAGGTTAGAGTATTACCTGAGTGATAGTTATCGGGATATCTAAGTAAATAACAGCAAGAATATGTAGATAATCCAAAAAAGAATAAAAAAGGTTATAGCCTGACGACTCCATGTATTTAAATTTAATCTGGATAAAAAAAGGGGACCATTAAACCTGATTAATGCAAGAATATCAATAATGTCTAGATGAAAATGAACAGGATTATTTAAGGTTTAAAACAGGTAGGTGTTTTGGTAAAATCTGGATTAGAATAATATCAATATTGCACCTGATTAAACCAGGAATTATTATCTAATCAGGGTGAGAATAAAAAGAATAATTAAATCTGATTCAAGCAGGGATACGGATAAGAATGAACAGGATTATTACACTCAGAACAACAGAAATACAAATAAAATCCAGATTAAGATTACAGTTTTTATTTAAAATGAACACAGTGGTTGTTTAAATATAATCTAGATTAGAAAACAGGATCACAGAGCCAGATGAAACAAAGTATTTCAATAACATCTGTGCTGTAAAATAAAGATTTTTAAACCTGATAGCCAGATGTGATTAAAACTAGTCTGGGTTAAAATCAACAGGATAAGTGGAGTAACAGTAATCTGGATTACTCAAAGAGAAAATAGCTCTTATATTATTACAATTTCGAATTTTTAAATTTGATTTCACCAGGTATTTTAAATTAATCTGGATCAGAATAAACTGGATTACTTTAGCCTTATAACAGCAGTTTCACCCTCAAGATGGTTTAAAGAACAGGAACCTGGATTTTGAAACAGGAACTTGTAACAGATTACAGGAAGTCATTTCCTCACAGCAGAGGAACCTCGGAGGAAGCCTGAACTGGGTTTTCTCTGAGGCTCTGGGTCTGAGCTTCTCAGTCAGAGAGTCTTACCTGTGTGACAATGATAGGGGACAGGTCTTTGAGGTTCTGGATGTGGGTCAGCAGTGAGTCTCGCAGTGCATTGTGGGTCTCGGGAGGAAGCTCGAAGAAGGACGTTTGGATCTTCATCTTCATTGTCTGAGCGGCGAAATAACACGACTCCACATCCTGTTTGAGCTGCAGCAGCTGGTCCGAGATCTCCCACGCATACATCTGAAGGACAAGAAGTGATTTCATTACACCTGAGCACACCTGAGCAGCTCATAGCAGAGTTACCCTTCATGTCACGGTTCAAATTAATGACCCAACTATATGACCTTTACAGCTTCCTTACAGATGAACCTAGACTATCCTCAACTTTATAATCAAGTTTGACAGTTTCAATTATCATCTAATACTATCTGTGTCAATTATAAAATTTCTTTACTTATATATATATATTTGTTTGACTCCAAATGTGCATTATTATTCACACTACATGACAAAAACAGTCCCCAGGCTGGAACAGGACTTACATAAGGTGAAACCATTGAGACTGTGGAGTGATTTATGATCCTGAACCTGTTCTGCTTTATTTAGAACTGCAACAGTTCCTGACACTTTGGAATGTAGAGCTTTTAAATGTGATTCCAGCTAAAGATTCAGAGTTTAAGAGTCTAAAGATCAGGACTCATAAGATCCAAAGTCTCCAGACTCTCAGAGTTTAAATATCACAACTAATGAGTCCAAGAGAAGACAAATCCAGACTTTCAAACTCCAGAGTAAAGATCCATAGTTTTAAGTTTAAGTCTAAAGATCAAGACTCTTAGGGTCCAAAGTCTCCAGAGTTTAAAGACAACAAATGAGTTCCAGAGACAACAGATCCAGACTTTAAAGATCCTTTAGTTTCAGAGTCTTAAAGGGATATTCCAGCATAAAATGAATTTAGGGTCAAACACACCGAAACACCCCCTCGAGAGATGAATGTTGCTGACAACTTGCTTCTCTAGTTATACCAACTTTAGTAACGACCACAGATAGCAATACACAGTGGTCTGAGGAGCCATACACAAACCTCAACCAAAACACCACTCTATAGCCACAAATAATGCTCAGAACAGCGCCTAACTTCATCAACAGTACATATAGGGTCCTAGCCATAGCACTAGACATCTTTTTAACTTTTGTAACTTTAGCAAAGAGACTAAACACAACTCACTTACTCTCTACCAACAGCCGCTTGTTTGTAGCGAGACCTCGGGAAAAGCCATTAGGGACTGCTGCGGGGTGACGCAGCTCAAGGAAAAACATTTATGATCATTTCTTTATCATTTCAGTAGTTCTTCTGCCTTAGCATCTCGGTCTGATTTCATTTCCAGGAAGAAATGATCATAAATGTTCTTCCTTGAGCTGCGTCAACTCGCTGCAGTCCCTAATGGACTGGCCTGAGGTCTCACTACAAACAGGCGGCTGGTGGAAGAGAGTAAGTCAGTTGTGTTTAGTCTCTTTGCTAAAGAAATTAGGCAAAGTTAAAAAGATGTTTAGTGCTATGGCTAGGACCCCATATGTACTGTTGGTGAAGTTAGGTGCTGTTCAGAGCATTATTTGTGGCTATAGAGCGGTGTTTTGGTTGACTGGCTCTCTGTTTTGCTATCGTTGCGGTCGTTACAAAAGTTGGTATAACTAGAGAAGCAAGTGGTCGACAACATTCATCTCTCGAGGGGGCGTCTAACTTGGTGTTATGGTGTGTTTGACCCCAAATTGAATTAATTTTACGCTGAAATATCCCTTTAATACCCATACTGTAATGATTCATAGTCTATAAATCTGGATGTTACCCATTAGAAGTTCATAGATCCTGATTCTCAACTCAAAGCCTCTAGTTATCCAGTGTGCAGACATCCTGACTCTCAAAATCAAGACTGTTATGATTCTTCCTAACTCTGTAGCAGCAGATTCACCTGAACTCAGTCCTGGTCTGGGTCTGGTGCCACACCCTAATGTGAACATGCCCAGCTCGGTCTGGAAAAAGCGCCTCTGTTACTGACTTAAGTGAATCACCTGAACCTTCACATGTGCCTGCGCGGGGATCACAGGTAATCCAGACTTGTTCTGATTCAGTTCAGGTCTATCTATAGAGTTTACGCCATGTCACACCTGTAGGTAAAGACGTCACAGATCTGCAGGTAGAAGACGAGTCACACCTGAGAGCTAAAGTGAGAACAGCAGGTCAAGTTTGAGGGGGTTTTAGTTTGGGTTTTTTTCCTGCCTGTTTACCTACAACAGATAAAACCAGTCAGGAACTCTCTTGAGACCGGACTGTGCTGAAGCAGGTACACATGCTAACATGCTAACAGAGCTGACTCGGTACAGTCCAGGATCTTCTTAACAGAGCTCTAAATCCGCCAGGAGGTTTATTTTATTAGATTTAAAGGTTAAACGTCAGCAAACACCTGGAGTTAGCCTGACACTGGGACGTTAAGTGAGCTCCACACCGAGCTAAGAGGTTTTGTTTTGGTCCATTCATTTCTCTAGCCTAGCTTTAGCCTAGCTCTGCCGCTGCTAACGGCTGCTCGTTCTGAGTCTGCGCACTTTAGCTCGGCCGATCCTTGCAGACCCGGTTTCGGGATCTAACCTGGCCCGTTTTCAGCCCCTCCAGACCCCCGCCCCACCCTCAGGCGCTCTCCTGGCCTCTCCCGGCCTCCTCTCACCGATCTCTGGAGCTCCCCCAGCCACACCGACGCTCGCTCCTTCCCGGACGGGTCCGGGTCGTGGTACAGGGCCTGGACCGCCTGGTAGACCAGGGTCAGGTTGGGTTTTCCGGCCTCCATGGCTGGTCCGGATCAGAGACGGGTTTAAGGCAGAGGGTTCGGGGTTTTGGGATCAGACACGGCGGAGCTTCACGGTCCTACACGGTCTGACTGCCGACCGCCATCTCGCACAGACTTCCCGCGTGCAACCACGATCTGCTACCGGAGGAAACATCGATTAGAATATGGTTCCGCTCTGCACCGATGGGAGGAAGTCACGCAGAACTTTTTTTTACAACAGGGGCATGAGAAAATAAAGAAATCCCACTTTTAGAAGACCATTCTTTTAATAAGACGAATTTTATAAATTTGTTTAACTTTATGGAAAGTTTAAAGTTGAACATACTGTGATTGTTGACTATCTATTTTTTTATTGAATTAAAAACAAACAAAAAACACTTATTTATCATAAAAGAAAATGATAGAATATTTGCCTTAGATTGAACATGAATAACATCAAGAGAAAAAAAAACACAATTTTATTTCTAGTAAAGAAAATAGGTGTAGGGCTTTCTTGTCTGTAACAAGTTTTACGGATTTACAAAACGTAAAGTAGGCATGGTCTTGCTTTAAAATATCGACATTTGTGAATGAAGAACTTCCCCAAAAGCAACAATGCATTTAGAACAAAATCCAATTTCCTATCCTCATTAAAAACACCAAACAAAATAGTTTCTGCTGACAAAGGGAAGTCAATGTTTTTGGACTGTAACCAGCTCCACATGTTACTCCAGAAGGGATGTACCGCACTACAGTGAAAAAAAACATGGCTCAGGTTTTCAACGTCCACATCACAAAACACACAATTATTTGCTCCAAAGTTAAACCTTAATCTTAAAAATTCATTTGTTGGATAGAATTCGTTCACGATTTTGAAATGGACTTCTTTTGCCTTGGGAGGTAATGGCAAGGAGATATAATTATTTCTTATCTTTTTAATCTTATCCAAATCAAAATGCTTCAAAATATACATCCTTTCAATTGGGCTAGGGTAATATTCGCTTACCAACATACTTCTGAGAGCTTTATTGTTACATTTGCGATCACAAAAGTCTAACTCCCCAATGTAGAGTTGTCTCAATCTTTGGGAGACTGTGGAATATCGAACATCTTCTCTCACCATCGCCCTCAGAGAGATCGGTATTGCATTCGTCATTTTTGTATATTGATTGTTGACTATCCACTGACTATCCTCTCCTCAACCCTCACCCACAGCATAACCTCATGTCTGCAGAGAGTGCCCTCTTATTTTATTTTTTTCATTTTTCATACTTTATTTCATTCAGTTAATATTTAAAAAATTCAGTACAAACAAGGAAGAATCTCAAACATGTGAATGAAAATGAGCAGAAAGAAGAAAACTCTGATAAAGTCTGCCCCTCTTTCATGATATGTTAATCAACTAAACAAATAATAAAAATAAACAAGAGCTACAGGCCAACATGCCTTTTTACAGTTCAATATTTCTTATTTTCAAAATCAACCCACAAAACTAACAGAAAAGACCACGTTTATTTACATTTTTTCACAAAACAAACATACCAAGACTTAGATTAACACATTTTTCCTGTATTTACTCAACATACTGGCTTTGACACTTTTTTGAAGATCAAATTTGATTTCGCTTCTTTAGTTTCTTTGTTCAGATTGTTCCACAAACTAATTCCTCTCACTGAAACACAGCGCTCTGTCAGTTCAGTTCTGAATCTTGGCTTTTTAAGTATTTCAAATCCTTTTAAATTATAACAACTTTCTTTTTTCAAATTGGCTCTGGATGTTGACTAGTAACACTTTCCTGTGAGCTTTATACATAATCCACAACATACTGAAATCTACTAACTTGTTGAATTTCAACAACTGCAATTTAACAAATAATGGGTTTGAAGGATCTCTGTATTGACATCTACTTAGATGTGTTTGTGATAAATAAATCTGGTGTCCTGCAGTGAAAATCACCTAAATAATGCTGCAAGGGATGTCCTTTAAGAGAATTAAATGTACAAAAGTGTCTTTTGGTTGTCTTTCTTTTTTTTTTTAGTTTATCAAATGTAAACAGATATCATGTGTGAAGGCTTTAAGTTATAGGACTTTATATGATGATATATCTGTATGACTGACTGCTGGTGCTGAGATGAATAAATAAGGAAACTCCCCCACACTTCAGACTCTGACAGAGTCTGTTTAAATATGAACTCATATGAAGCTGGAACAGTCATGAGCTCAATACTGAGCTCTACAATGTGAAAAAGATGAATCAAAAGTGAAGAAAAAGATGAACTCTAAAATGTGAAATAAATGTGGAATAAAAATCAAGTTTTAATCAATCAAACTTTATTTATACAGACGAATATAAACGAATGAAGTTCTATTCAAAGTGTTTTTCAAAGAAATCCAAAGAAAGCTGACAGGACATGTGACATTTCTTTAAAACAAGAGGGTATAGATTTAAAGACAGAGACTAAAGCTGAGCGACAGCAATGGAATATAAATATGTTGCTTTAACGACAGGTAAATAAAAAGATGAAACAGAAAGTTTACAGTCTAATCTTCGCTCTTTACCCTAACCCTTAAATCTGAACCAGATTAAGGTTTTGTGAGTCCGTCTGGAGGATCAGATCTGTTTCTGAGAAAGAGGAGATGCTTCAGATGTTGGTTCCTTGATTTTCCTCGATTGATGGATCTCACACCAGGCGTCAAGATATAAAAACTTTCCTATTTCCTCCCATTGAGAGCAAACAAGTCTGACTGGAGCCTGATCAGATCTGACCCTGACTGAAACAATAACAATGTCTGTTCTAGGTCACCTAAGACTCACATTTACTGTCAATACAACAATTAAAGTGAGGATGATTAACATTTCCGTAGAGGCTAAAAAAAATCAACACCACACTCCCATCCAGCCTGACTGTCATCTTTTAAATACAGTCACCGATACGTTTAAAGACTTTTATTTTGAAAGGTAGAACCATGAAGAAGGTGAGTTTCTCTGCAGGTGTTCACCTCCAAAGTGAGGTCGTATCATACCCATGCTTCATGAATCTCACAGTCTGGTTATGATACAGCCCCGGCTCTGAAGATCAATCACATCTATTGATTTTAAATCCAAACTGACACAGAGTCTTCTCCTCTACAGGGACAAACAAACAAGAACACAGTTTGATTTCACAGGAGACACAAAGAAAACATCATCTCTATCAGAATAGATTAATTTTTCTGTAAATTTAGAGTTATTGTGGCAAAATTAAAGATAATAATTTCATATTAAAGATTATATTTCACTTAATGTTGACTGAATAACAAAGGAGTAAAAAAGTAAAAGACTCACCTTCAGGGTTTTTCTACAGCTTCAATCCAGTGAGACAAAAACTGACTTTTTCATCAGAGAGGAAATAAAGTGATGAAGGAATGGAGTGATGGAGTGATGGAGTTCTGAGCAGACGGGGGCATGGAGCTTTTTAAAACCAGCTCTTGTTTACGTCATGACCTCCCTCAGATTAACCCTTCGCCGTGGTCGTCGTGGTCGTCTCTGGAGGTTTTAGAGACTCAGCTCCGGCTTTTTGGTGTCTAATCGGATTTACTGACAATGTTTTAAGGATTTAAAGGATTGACGACGTTGACCTGGGCAGGTAAATCGGAAACATCCGGATTAGAAGCTGATCTTACACGGAGTGAAAACTTAAAGGTTTATTGGATTAACCGGCTGCTCTCTACTCCTCTGCTCCTCCCACCTACAGAAAAACCTCAATTCCTTTCCCATATGCACACACACACCGATACATACACTGATACACACACTCAGTACCTTTACATGTTGTTCAAAAGATCAATTTATTGTGTTAGCCTGATGGAAACTAGGCCTGAAAATTTGTCTTAACATGTTAGTCTGACTGACCTCACACTAAATTGAACTTTTCAAAGTCAGGCTAACATCCTGAGATCACACAAAATTTCTCTTCCATGTAAACGCTCCATCTGCAACAGGTTGAACTGTTCTGAGCATACTCCAGAGTTTGCACGTTGGGCTTTGACCCTGAAGTTGAAGGGCATAAACGAGTTGTATGAAATTAAACAAAACCCCAGGGGAAGAAAGGATGAGATAAAAGAAGGAGCTGTCACAGCCAATCAACTTCCCGCTAATGTGTTTGTCGATTGTTTTGGTATATGAAGCAGTAGGTCAACCAGGAGAGGGCCCAGCTGGTACAAGCTGAGTAAGGGAGCATGTCAGCACACACTGAAGCAAGGGCAGGCACACTTCAGCCAATAAATCTATTCTCTCTGGATGTTTATAGACTGACACTAAAATATAAGGGCATTTAAACAGCCTATTCAAACTGTAACCCTAACTGTGCATGCAAACACACTAAATAAAAAACACACTGTTTTGAAATGTACACAAAGTGCCCTCTTGTTGCTTTTCACATGAATAAGATGAGAAAAAAAAGTGCAGCCAGCGTGACTTTTTAAAGGATGCCATGCCAACAAAGAGGCCTTTTATTACTATTTCCGTGCAAAGTATAAGAACCACATATATGTATATGTATATACCACAGCACTTGCATACACACAACTGTGCAACAACTGCATATATGTGGGTATAAACAAAGCAATAAAAGTCAGTAAATTTGTAAGGAACATGCATTTGTGGGATGTAAAGCAGAGGTTGAGTATGCGGGTTGCACCCTTGGAAATTTCCCCAAATCTTTACAAATGCTAAAATTGCAAAAATGTGTTAAAAGTTGACTTTCATAAAGTAAAAATAGGAATGTAAAGAAATGTACTAAAATACACAGTAAAGTCTAATAAATGATAGGTAGTGTTTTGCAGATAATTCTATAAATAGATTTTCAACCGTAAAATATCTGTGATTTTATTTTGAAGGCCTGTAAAAAGAAGGTGAGATAAATGAGCGATAAAATGATTAAAGATGATCTGCTGATTAGTGAAGGTTAAAACTCTTTAAACAGGTAAACTCCAAATCCTGTGTTTCTAGAAAAACTCTCAGTGTGCCAGTTGATGCTTAAAGAGATGATTGTTTAATGAGTAATGGTTTAATGAGGTTATGTTTGACAGGCTCTGAGTTTACCAGGTAATTATTTAAACAGGTTAATAGATTAACAGGTTAAGAGTTAAATGGGTTAGGAGTGTAACTCTGTGGTGATGTCGGTCATTTCTCTGTAAAATAAAGATAAATCACTTCAGCAGTGTAAAGTCATAACGTTACGAGATTATAGTAATGTTGTAGAAATAAAACAGTCATGTTGCAAGAACAAAATTATGTAATGAGAATAGAGTCTCGTGGGAATGAAATTAAGCTACAAGCTAGAACTTACATCACATTATTGTTATGCCAAAAGAGTGAATCGTAATGACACTCAAATGAAGTCACTAGGTTAGAAGAATAACAACATTAGGTTTGTAAGTTAAAACATAAAGTTGAGTTCATGGGGATAAAGTTTTAATGTTATGAGAATTGTGTCATTATGTGAAGAGTGGTGAGTTGACATATCCAGAGGATAATGTTGTAATATTAACATTATGGACACCTTGACATCTCATGACACCAAACACGACAGCTCCACCATGACGTCTCCTTTTAGGATACTTCTTAAATTTCCATTTTGTTGACATGATCAGAAAAGTGGACAAAATATAAGGAAATATAATTCAAATATAAACTCACAGCTGTGGGAAAAAGTTGCATGAGATCGTCCAGGTGTTCCTAATGTTATGTCCAGTCAGTATATTAATGTTCAAATTCTGTGTGTATGTGTGGTTGAGATTTTCAAAAACATGATTAAGTGGCACACTGAGGATGTCCGGCTGCTCTGACTGAGCTCTGTAAGCAGATTACGGTGCCGTGCAGAGACCTTCTGTGGAGGGGAGAGCGGGGTTAGACGGATCACAGGTGAAGATCCTAATCCCAAAATGTGACTTTAGAAAAAGCAAAGCAGCTCATCGGGGTAAATCTTTGGAGTAAGTGGTTTATATGGGTATATAAAGAGGCTGAAGTCCACAGGTGAGCTAAAAAGCTCACCATGGGGAAGCATTTCCACTTGTATGAGAACATTTCCAAAATCAGCCCCTTTGAGGGGCCCCAGTATTACCTGGCCCCTACCTGGGTGTTTCACCTACAGACTGCCTTCATGGGCTTCGTCCTGTTTGCTGGAACACCTTTAAATTGTGTCGTTCTTCTCGTAGCGGCCAAGTACAAGAAGATCCGAGTCCCTCTGAACTACATCTTGATCAACATCTCACTGGCAGGATTCATCTTCGTCACCTTCTCCGTCAGCCAGGTGTTCATCTCCACCATGAGGGGCTACTATTTCCTGGGCCACACAATGTGTGCTATGGAGTCTGCAATGGGATCTATAGCAGGTATCGAACCTCAAACACAGATAGACTAGAACTGCAGGTTTAAAACATTATCTGTGGGTAGATGGTAACCGGAGAAAGATAATAATGAGGGGCATAAAACCTCAGCTGGTAGATCAGCGACAGATCGATCATATCAGCTTCAGCAGTCCACATGTGTCATGTGGCCTGTATCTTGTCTCTTCTATCTTGTTGAGTCTTTACTGTCCCAAGAATCCCGTTGAATTAGTTTTGCCTCATATGAATCATATCTGTATTGTACTCTCAGGACTGGTTACAGGTTACCGGTTATTTATCTTGTCTCCCAAATCTCCCATATCTTGTCCTCTGGTCTGGTCACAGCTCAATTTTCTTGTCTCATATATTTTGTCTCTTGTATCTTGCCCACAGTTCTGGTGACAGTCTTGTTTCTGGTCTTTTGTATCTTATCACTAGTATCTTATTTTAGGTCAGGTTACATTCTAGTCTCTTGCCTTCTGCATCCTGTCTGGGGTCAAATCAGGTCCTTTGCCAAATGTATCTTGAAGCCTGTATCTTGTCTCATCCCCTGTATGTTGTCTTTAGGTCTGGTGAAGGCCTGTTTTTCTTGTATCTTGTTATTAGATCAGGACCTGACTTAAGGATCTGATCTTTTGCATGTTGTCATAAGGTCCTTTGTTGGTCCTGTCGCTTTGCTCATGTATCTTGTTATTTGTATTTTGTCTTAGGTTTGGTGACAGCCTGGTCTCTGGCAGTCTTGTCCTTTGAGCGGTACCTGGTCATCTGTAAACCGTTTGGAGCCTTTAAGTTCACCAGTGGCCATTCCCTCGCTGCGGTGGGCTTCACTTGGTTCATGGGTATTGGCTGTGCAATCCCACCTTTCTTTGGCTGGAGCAGGTAAGCACACACTTTTAGGAGGCCACTTTAACATGATCCTGTGACCCCACGTCCCAAGACCCAGTCCCTTTCTCTAGGAATCAGCATGCCAAAGCCTGCTGCCTTGGCTTCCACCAAGATGGATCAGCAATAGTGCCAGCAGTACTATTGCTTTACCATCATGGTAAAGCATGATGGTAAAGCCGGGCCAATCTTTGTTCCAACCTTTTAGCATGGCCATGAGTTCTGGGTTGTGACCAGGAAGGAGCTCAGAATAAAGCTGCTCCTTATAGCATTGAAAAAGAGTCAGTGGAGGTGGATTAGGTATTTGAGAGGGATCTATCCTGGATTCCCCCCTTAGGAGATGTTCCAGGCACATTCAACCGGAAAGAGACCTTGGGGAAGGTCCAGAGCTCAGTTTTTGGGGTTCCATGTCCCACCTAACATTGAAGTACCGTGGGATACCAGATAATGAGCTGGGAAGTGTAACTGGGGGGGGCATTTGGGTCAACTTGCTTAGGCTTCTGCCCCTACAACCCTACCCTAATGGATGTGTCCCCACCATGTCTTTGTCTCAGGTACATCCCGGAAGGTCTGGGCTGCTCCTGTGGACCCGACTGGTACACGCACAACGAGGAATACCACACTGATTCCTACACCCAATTCCTGATGGTGACGTGCTTTTTCGCACCACTCAGCATCATCATCTTTTCCTACTCACAGCTGCTGGGTGCACTAAGGGCTGTAAGTGACACCTGATTCATTCATTTCATTTCGTACGGTTTATAGAAAGAGGATGATGGCTCCCTGAGTTCATCGCAAATTCTCTTCATCTTTTTCTTCTTCGTCTTCCTCTACTTCTTTTTGGGTTTTGTCATCAGGTAGCCGCTCAGCAGGCGGAGTCGGCCTCCACCCAGAAGGCTGAGAAGGAAGTGTCGAGGATGATCATTGTGATGGTCGGATCCTACGTCACCTGCTACGGCCCGTATATGATAGCTGCCCTCTACTTTGCCTACTCGCCTGATGAAAACAAAGACTACCGACTGGTCACCATCCCAGCACTGTTCTCCAAGAGCTCCTGTGTGTACAACCCACTGATCTATGCCTTCATGAACAAACAGGTGAGCCCGCTCAGGTGACACACATGTATTCTGTCTCCGGTCATAAGGGTCAACAGGAAGCTTTCCCTTTTGGACTTCCTGTTAGGTTGCTGCTGTCATATGAAAAGACTTGTAGAAATTTTTTTTAGTTCAAACATCAAAATAAATACCTGATCCATGCTCTGTGTTTGTGTGTGTATATGTGTGTGTAGTTTAACGCTGCCATCATGGAGACGGTGTTTGGAAAGAAAATGGAGGATGCATCTGAAGTGTCCTCAAAGACAGAAACGTCCTCAGTGTCTACAGCGTCTTAATGTTTGGACTGAGGACAGAGGGACTCTTCGGCTGTTTGAACGGACTTTTAAAGTTTCCTCTTTAGGAGAAAATTTAAACTGCAAAATATATTTGAATGTATGATATCTTTGTTTAGTTCACAGGCAAGAAGAAAAAAGAATAAAAAAATGGAAGTTGTTTTTAACAGTTTGTGTTGTTTTTCTCTGAGTGAGCATGTTCAAAATAATCCAAACAGCATATTTTAACTTTATATTTTTATTAAACAACAATAGAAGTCCAAAATACAATCACTCTGTGTAAAAGTATAACAGATAATCTCATTATCTTCAAGTTGATATAAAAACATTACAGTATCTCAGAGGTCTGTTTAGAAACCAGGTTTAGTTTGAACTCTCAGTCTGGTTTACTGAAATGAGGGGAACTCTGAGTTTTGCTCATTTGCCAATCTTAGTGCACAGAGAACAAACCTGACTGCATGCAAATTTGCACACTGAACATAAAATCCATGCACACAGTTTGCAGCATGGCTCACAAATATGTACCACGGTCAGAAACAGCACACAGATTGTCTTTTTTTGGCACCAAGGGGGCGCCAAATTTGATCAAGGATGCTATAAATGAAAAATATTACTCCGCAAGGACTTTTCTTTACTCTGAGTTGTAACACTAACAAACTATCTGAACATCACTCAGGATGGACCTGCTCTTACATTCAAGCAGATTCTCTCTCTGTTTGTGCACGAGAGTTGCTTATCGTGGTGGGATTAACAAAAGGCTGCTGTATGTTGGCTGTTGTCAAAGAAAATAATAATATTGGTGCTCCACTGTCGATGCTTATTTTGTTGCAACTGAAATCAGCTGATCTGAAATTTAAAATCCAGTTTCTTTTCTAGGGGTAAACTGACGCAGACTTTTAGACTCAGAAACCCAACCCTGACCATTTGTTATTATCCTGTAAAGTTTTTTTTTTTTTTTTAACTGAAACAACCAGGTGGCAGGACGCATGCATTAAAATACATTAAAAAAAAAACAGATAAAAACTGTGAGGCACCAATCAGAGTCTTTGACCAGGAAGACACACACACACACACAAAAAAAAATAATAATACAATTTTAAAAATATGAAAACTAGAGCAGTGAACAGATAAAAAAAAATAGGTAAAACATGTATCTTAAGTGTTTTATACAAAAGTAACAAAACTCCTCCTTTGTCAGGCTTCATTTAAACCTGAATAAATAACTTGAAATATTCTATTTCTTCTTCATGTCTCTCCTCTAAAACTCATCGTGTCGTAGTAACGCCTCCCCGAAGTCTGTTACCTGACTGCCGACGAACACCTCAAACTTATCCAGGATCTCTTTTTTCGAGAGTTTACCATCCTGAAAACGACACAAACACAAGTGTTACAGAGCTGTTACACCTGTAATACACGGGTGCTTTAGAGATAGGTGCCATACAAATATTGTGAGGGAGGAGGAGGTCCTGGATGGGACAACTAAAAGCCAGGTAAGTATGATCAGTATGAAGCAGCAGGTGTTCTACAGTTAAACAAGTTATTAAGAGTTCATCAGCCTACTAACCTGGTTGGCGTCAGACTCGTGCAGCAGGTGTTTGGCCTCAGCCTCAGCGTGGTCGTAGTCCGCCGGGAGGATCCAGTCCAGAGTTTCCTCTTTGTCCATTTTTCCATCTTTGTTTTTGTCTCTAAACTCAGCGAACTGCTGACGCTCTGACTCCACCCACTCTGGCTCCGCCGCCTGATCCCTCGCCTGGTCCTCCGCTGTGTACATATCACCTGCAGACGAGGACAGAGCACAGGGTACAGATCAGGATCACAGATTTCAGTCCAGACCAGGAAACTGAAGAAACCAGAATAACCAGACCAGAAAAAAACGATCACCAAGAGGAGACAATCATCAAAATATCAACCCTGAGACAACAACCTCCTTACCTATGTACTCGTTCAGGTCGATGAACCCGTCTCCATTCCTGTCAATGTCCTCAATAGTTTCCTGTAGCAGAGAGCAAACATGTGGTTCACATGACCTGAGTCACATGATCTGATTAACACCAGGCAGTGACATCACGCTCACCTGAACCACCACATCTTTCATGTGCTCGTGCTCCTCAGGATGGAGGAAAGCCGTGAACTCGAGTTTGTCAGCGATCAGATCTCTGTTGGTGTCCGCCGCTCTGAATCGTCTCTCGTCCCTCACCATCATGGCCGTGTAGTTATACTCCAGGTTGGCCTGAGGGTCATCTATGGTAAGCAATCAGAGGTAACCAATGACAGGCAGAAGATAAACCAATCAGAGACAAATCAAACAGGTAGTTTTTGTGGGACCACTCACCCAGGTAGGTTCCGTAGGTGATGTTCTTGTACTCTTCCCAGCTGATTAGTCCATCGTCATTCATGTCGAAGTCCTTCCACTGGCGCTCCACGCTCTCATACACGTGTTTCCTCTGAACGCTTTTTATCCACAACTTCAGCTCCTCCTCCGACACAAAGCCGTCAGAATCACTGTCCATCTGATCCACTATGACACTACACACACACACACAAACGCAGAGTGGTTTTTATATAGTAAGTTTCAGTGCTGTAAAAACTTTTACAGTAACAACATAGATCCACATTCATAGATCAGGACTGTGTCAGGAAGGTCTGAATAGTTCCAGGTGTGTTCAGGAGTGTCTCAGCTGCTCCTGGCACATCACTGGTTTGTCTTAGGTAAGTTTTGAGTGTGTCTCTGATTTAATTAAGTGGTTTCAAGTGTGTCTTGGGCTTGTCTCATCTGTTCCAGGTGTGTCTCAGGTGTTACAGCTGCGTCTTAAATGCGCCTTAGCTGTTCCAGGTGTGGCTGGGGTATTTCTTAGTTCTGCCGAGAGAGTCTTAAGATGATCCAGGTAGGTCTTTGGTGTTCTTGATTTGTTGAAAATGTTTCTGAGGTGTCTCCTTAGTGTGCCAGGTGTGCCTCAGGTGTTAAGGTGTGTCACTAATGTGTCTGAGGTGAGCCTGATGTGAGTATTCTGGTGCTCTTGGTTTGTTTAATTTGTGTCTGAGTTGTATCAGTGGTGTTTACAAGGTGTCTCAGGTATGTCTTAGGTGTTTCTCAGATGTGTTTTGTGTATTCTTGGTTCCTCTCAAATGTGTCTGAGGTATATCTTAGGTGTTTCAGGTGTGCATTTCTGTTAAATCTTTCAGTAAATGTAAATAAACTTGGAAAACAAACTCACCCGAGTCTGCGCTTGCTCTCCTCCTGAGGGAGCTGGTCAAATGTCTGCGCCTGGTCATGACCCAAAAATGCCTCGTGGTCATAGTCGAAGTTTTTGTTGTCGTCGTGTTCGAGGCGACTCAGAGGCTCTTCTTCGTGAACTCGACTCTTCTTCTCTGTCGGTTTGCTGCTGCCCACGACCACGCACAGAGCGAGACACACCCACAATGAACGCATCATCCTGAGAGACACAGAAAATGATTCAGACAAATCAGTCTGCCTAATGTACAAGCTCATAAATCCACATTTACAGACGCAGACTCAAAAGCTGCAGTTCCATCAAGCAGTTAAGTCCAGTCCAGTCTAGTCCAGTTAAGTCCAGTCCAGATAAGTCAAGTCCAGTCCAGTCCAGTCCAGTCCAGTTAAGTCAAGTCCAGTCCAGTCCAGTCCAGTCAAGTCCAGACAAGTTCACTCCAGTCAAGTCTAGTTAAGTCCAGTCAAGTCCAGTCCAGTCCAGTTAAGTCCATTCCAGTCAAGTCCAGTCCAGTCAAGTCCAGTTAGGTTCAGTTAAGTCAAGTCCAGTTAGGTTCTGTTCAGTCAAGTCCAGTCCAGTCCAGACAAGTTCAGTCCAGTCAAGTCCAGTCCAGTCCAGTTAAGTCCATTCCAGTCAAGTCCAGTCCAGTCAAGTTCAGTCCAGTCAAGTCCAGTTAAGTTCAGTCGAGTTAGGTTCAGATAAGTCCAGTCCAGTCCAGTGAAGTCCAGTTAGGTTCAGTTAAGTCCAGTTAAGTCCAGTTAAGTCCAGCGAGGTTCAGTTCAGTCAACATCTGCTTTCATAGAGTCAGACTGCTTGCAGATACAGACAGGTGAGAAACAGGTGAGAGGTGTGTTTCAGTTTGGTTTTGTAAAGTAAAAAAAGAAAGAAAAAAAAACAACTTTAAATTGAGATAATTGATTTAACAGAAATATTTAAATACTGTAGGCTATTTGTTTGTTTTTTCCTCTCTCAGATGATTTCTGTTGGAACTTTTTGACTATTTGTTTTAGAAACCAGATAAATACAACTTTAGGAGCAACAACCACTAATTACAACAGCTGGAGTTAACGCCCAGTCCGTTATGAGTTAAATCTCGCGATAACTCGCCCTGCTACATGACTATAAACAAACTGATCCGTTACATTAGAGCTCTATCGTCCCACCTCAGACCCTCGGTTTTGCTTACCTGTGTTTCTTGTCTCTTGCCTCTAAAATCTTCACAATCCCTGTTCTTCCCGGTTCGCCTATTTTCTCTCTCCAGCCCCGCACTTAAATTTCCGCCTTACCGCGGCCAATCGGGAGTCTCCGGACCACTTTCCCCGTTCTGATTGGTCCACTTAATTATTCCCAGAGGTTTGGCCAAGGATGTCAAAAGAACGTATTATTTTAGTCGATGCTCATTGGTTGTTGGCTGTATGTAGGCCAATGGCAGCAGAGCGATGACTCAGCGATGAGAAAAGTAACAGGCGGTCTTGCCACGTCCTCAGACCTCAAACCAGAAACACGGAGCGATCCCAAACATGTTCCATGTGCTGTCGACATGTTTCCCTGACATCTGTGATACTCATAAAAATACAAAAAGAGCTATTATCTAATAGTAGTTATTACAACTTAATTCACATGAATGTATTATAACTTACAAACAACTAATAAACAGTTAAGACCGGCACAACAAAAGGGAGTTAATGATTATTTGGCTATATTTTTACAGCTCGATTATAAAATATGTTGTGTAAATTGTAGTATCTTGAAAATATCTCAACTCAACTTTAATTATAGAGCACTTTAATGTAACCAAAGCTGACACAACGTGTTGTACATAATAAAGAAAAATAAAAAATAACAATAAATAGTTGTGTTAAAATGTAATAAAAAGCAATAAAACAAATGCTGTCTCACACTGGGTCAAAAGCCAAGGAATAAAAGTCGGTTTTTGGATGGGTTTTAAAATTGGACAGTGAGGGAGCTTGTATAATGTGGAGAGGTAGACCCTAAAGTCATGAAAAAGGGTTAGATTAGACCTAAAAGTCATGAATTAGATCCAGAATTCATTCCACAGTCCTGAACTAGAGCCAGATCAGACACTTAAGTCCTTGGACCTAGAAGTTGTTATCCAGATCAGGAACTCACCCTGAAGTCCTGCACTAGATTTAGATTAAACCCCAAAAGACTAGACCTCAAAGTCTTCAACCAGATCAGACCATATAGCCTGTGAGCAGATCTATAATAGAGAAGACCCAAAGATCCACATTAGACCCTCAAATCAGACCCTGAAGTTCAGAGTGGATCTGGATCAGACCCCGGGGCCCTGAGTAACTTCTAGGTTGGGGCCATGACGTCCTAAACTAGATCCAGATTTCTAGTTGTGACTAAATGTTTAACTTTGTGTGTTGATTGAGACAGAGCAAAGAACGAGGACAGAGTCAATGAGAAGAGCTAAACATGCAGGGATTGTCCTGAAGAGGGCATCACAGGTCAGAGCAGGTGATCCAGTCACTGAATGAACAGTTTATAGAGAAATATGGAAACAGAGAGATGATCGTCTGAGGTTCATTATTCAGACAATAAAATGATTCATAGAGACACATTTAAAAAGTTTCTGTTTATTAAAAAAATATGAAAATATTCAACCCTGAACCCAGTGTGTTTAATGTGTGTGTGCGTTTGAATACTATAGGATTCATCCAGTGATTGATGACACAGTGGTTGCAAACAGCAGAGTCTTTTCAAGGTCTGATTTTAACAATCAGGGTCAGCAAGTTAAGGGGATATTCCGGCGTAAAATTAATTTAGGGTCAAACACAACGTAACACGAGTTAGACACCCCCTTGAGAGATGAATGTTGCCGACCACTTGCTTCTCTAGTTATACCAACTTTAGTAACAACCGTACGATAACAATACACAGCGGTCTGAGAAGCCATGAACTAAACTCAACCAAAACGCCACTCTATAGCCACAAATAATGCTCAGAACAGCACCTAACTTCATCAACAGTACAGGGTCCCAGCCATAGCACTAGCCACCAAACATCTTTTTAACTTTGACTAATTTCTTCAGCAAAGAGACTAAACACAACTCACCCTCTCTCTTCCAGCAGCCGCTTGTTTGTAGCAAGAACTCAGGCCAGTCCATTACAGAAAACAAACAAGCGGCTGCTGAAAGAGAGAGGGTGAGCTGTGTTTAGTCTCTTTGCTGAAGAAATTAGTCAAAGTTAAAAAGATGTTTGGTGGCTAGTACTATGGCTGGGACCCTATATGTACTGTTGATGAAGTTAGGTGCTGTTCTGAGCATTATTCATGGCTACAGAGTGATGTTTTGGTTGAGGTTAGTTCATGGCTTCTCAGACCGCTGTGTATTGCTATCGTGCGGTTGATACTAAAGTTGGTATAACTAGAGAAGCAAGCAGTCAGCAACATTTATCTCTCGAGGAGTTGTCTAACTCGGTCTTACGACCCTAAATTAATTTTACGCCAGAATATCCCTTTAAATTAATTATAACTGGCTCATGAGTTTCATGAGATTCTGGTCTCTGTACTCCTGTGGGCCAGGTCTCAATAAAACCAGTCTTTGTTAAGCTTTTTATTTCCAGTTAAAACTAGAAGACTAAATACTGAGCGGTGTTTGTTGAAATCTTTGAACACACTCAGAGAAGAGAGTTTTTTGGAATGATCTGAAACATGTTCCATCAGGAGCGTGAACCTGCAGACCGAGGTCAGGGTGAAAAGCCTCCTGGATCAATACAGGACAGCAAGCCCGTGTTTTCAGGGCCCGGCGGGGGTCCAGCGTCCCTGGATGTGCTGGCTCTGCAGGAGCCTCTGCAGCTCCTTGAACTGCTCCACCGTCTGGTCCTTGACGTCTGGGTTTGAGATCTGCAGGCGGATGCTGTCATTGGACCAGCTTAGCTCTCCGGAGAACATCTCCGTCAGGATCCGAGCCACCACAGGGACCACCTGAGAACAACCAGAACCAGGTCCAAACCAGACCGTCAGAACAATCCAGCTCTCACAGCTCACTGGTTCACTCACTTATTTTCAAGATCATCATTTCACATTTTAGAGCAACCAAAAGTGAAGGGTAGGGGTTCCATACTGGTCACATGACCTCACCTGGACCATGATGAGTTTCTTCTCCCTGGGTTTCTTGTCAGGCCAGTCCTCCCCGAAACAGAAATGGATCTCAAAGGGGGGTGGGTTTGGAGCCTCTCCCTTCTGAAACTGGATCAGCCCTGTGGACAGAGGTTTTTTACACATTTAGTTCCTGGTTGATGTTCACCGGGTGTTTATCTGTGCTCTGACTGGTCACCTTGTAGGAACTCATTGAGGCTGAACACCTTGATCTTCTTCTCCCTCTCCATAGGGTTTGGTGGACCCTGATCCGGCATGCCAGGTCCAGACCAGAACACCTTACACTGACACAGGCGGATAGCGTAGATGTCCTGCTCCCAGATCTCCAGGATCAGACCACGGTCCATCACATCCAGCAGAGCCTCCGTGTAGAACTTCTGCTTCTGGTTCTGGATTTCAGATGTACCTGGGAACCGGACCTGCTGCAGAGTGACGGGTCCAAAAATTTCCACCTGCTCTGGGGTCGGCTCCAGGTGTCCAAAGTACAACCTGCAGCCCTGAGGGTTACTGACAGTCAGGGAGCCTGCTGTGCGACCTCGGTACTGGAACTTCAGATCTAGATCTGTTACTATGGCAACACATAAAATGTAGTTATAGCTTCTGTTACAATGGCAACACAGAAAGTTCAGTTCTAATATTTGTTAATATGGTAACTCAAAGAGTTAGTAAGTCCAGGTTTTACTTTTGCAACACAGAGTTCACTCGGTACATTTGCAACCATGGTAACACATAGGGTTTCGGATATACATGCTGTATGTTATTGTGGCACCACACAGGGTTCAGTTATTACATGTTACTGTGGCAACACGGAGGGTTTAGTTATTCTATCAATTTCTGTAGAAACACAGAGGTTATAGTTGTAAAATCTGTTACTATGGCAATAATTATGGGATTCCTTGTGGGATTAATAAAGGAGAATCTTAGTACATCCATAACTGTGGAACACAGGCTCATTTAGTTCACTGGTTACCTTGGCAGAACAAAGGGTTTAATTATTATATCAGTTACTGTGGCAACATCTAAGGTTTAATTATCTTATTTTTTAGAAAGGCAGCACAGAGGAATCCGCATGAACATCTGTTGCTATGACATAGGACTGGGCGATTACATGATAGGGATTAATGATCGTGATCAATTTCAGTTCGATCACGGTGATCAGCTGTGAGCTTATTTACTCGATCAAACATGGCGAAAATGTGCATCGCAACAGCCAATCAGAGTCAAGCTTTTCCTGCTCACTTCTGTAAGTTACTGGACAAGTAAACAGAGTAACCGAACGTGGAGCTGAGGGCAGTAAAATAGATGTCAGCCGTGACTTTGAGTCATCCTCCGAAGATGTTATTGTTGAGAAGAAAAGTTATTGAACGTCTTATTTAGTATTTGTATATTTATTTTTTTAGTTTTAAGTGGAGATGATGTAAAACTGGCAGTTTTAAAAAAATCTGGATAATAATCGAGATCGGACAATATGACAAAGTATATCGTGATCATCTTTTTGGCCAAATCGCCCAGGCCTACTATGACACTAAAGAGGGTTTGGTTAGCCTATCAGTTACTTATGGATGGGAATTGATAAGGTTTTATCGATATCGATGCCATTATTGATTCTGCTTATCCATTCAATTCTTTAATGATTCCCTTATCGATGCCTTCCTTTGATTTAATAAAAAACAGGGTAAACTACAGGTTTTCATCATTAACTCAAAATTTTATTGAGTCTCTGATAACAGGAAAAAATGTATGTATTTGATACCCTGCCCCGTTGTAAAATGTTTCAGCATGTTGCTGGTGTTTCCACCTTTGTATTTTATCACAGCTCGACAAACATTTCACGTCACGCTGTTGTCGTCTCTCTTAGTAAAATTAAGCCACGCATTAGATCGTTACTTTTCATACAGTTCGCCATGCTTTTTTCTCTGTCTCTGTTTTCGTTCGCGTAAACTGGCACTCGCGAAACTGTTTTCCAAGGCACCCGGAAGAAAGGAATTGTTAAGGGAATCGTTAAGATAAAATGTAAATGATGTCGATGGATTGAACCATTTGGAACCGGTTCTCAACGAGAACTTGTTCTCGATTTCCATCCCTACAGTTTCTACAGCAACAAATGGGGTTAGGTCACTACATCTGTAACTATGGAAACACAGAGGGTTCAGGCACTATATCATTATATTTGAGGGGGTCAGTGACAACATGCTTTCTGTGGATGCTAAACTAGGCTAAACCTGCCTTCACCAGGACAGAGTCCTCTTCAATCTTTCTGAATCAGATCCTGTTTCCCTCCTTCCTTCTTTGGATCCACAGAGGTCCTACAGAGATCAACAGAACATGGTCAGAGGTCAGAGGTCATACTCACGTGGGATGCTGCTCAACAGGTCGTACTTGTCAGGCTGGTTCTGAGGGTCTCCCTGATTCTGGATTCCCCCAACAGTGCTGGTCTCCATGGAGGCCAGTCCAGACGGGGTGGAGGCAGCTGGAGTGGGCATAATGTTTAGGTCCTGGAGTCCTGGAGTATGAACAAAGGACCCCGGATCCACCAACTGCCTTGGAAGGTCAGAGGTCATGGGGATGTCTGTGGTCATTGGGTGGTCAGGAGTCATGGTGAGGACAGATGGAGGTCCAAATGTCCCACTGGAGGACAAAGCGAATGGAGACACCTCTGAAGCAGCCGTGAAGGTAAAGGGGGCGGGGTTAGTGATCCCAGGGTCTGAGGAGACATGACATCATCACTTGACATCGTCTGAGCGACCATCAGCTGTTTCTAGAAGGAATTTAAGGAACTATCTGAGGCTGCACAATATTGGAAAAAACTAACCTTGCGATTTTTTTAAACCCTGCGATATATATTGCACAATGAAGAAACACAGGAATTTTCACCAGATGATCTGAATAGCACTTCATGCTATGCTGCACTGCTGAAATCTTGTGGACAGTTAATCTGCACTGATCTTACCTCTTTTTGTGAATGTTAGTAGAGTGGTGTCTGTCTGTCTTAGAGATATTTTTAGTTTGCTTTTATTGTGCTGGGACGTTATTGTGCCAACAGATGAACACAGAACACATACTTTGGTCGACATCATCCTTCTTGTAACTGAAATAATTCCAGATGACTGACTTTCCTTTTCTTTTTGGCAACAAGTCTTCATTTTCAGTGGTTTTCTCTTGTTTGTTGCTCATTTTACAATCGTTGTTGTTGTTACCGATGCTGTGCCGAGAAACGCATGAGTAACGATGCTTAAATGATATATTGTGCAGCCCTAGAAGTATCTGTGGTTCCTGGTTTGGTCTTTTTAGGGTTTGGAGTCTGGCTTCAACCTGATTAGTTGATCACTATGTGAGGTGTGTAACAAAAGACTGAATGTTTGGTATTTTACTTTCTTCTACATGCACTTTTACTGACATTACCAGAAACTGTAACTTTTTGGAACTGTATTTTGAAAGGACTCATCCTCTTGTTTTACTTTCTTACCTAGTCTGTACAGGTTTTATAATTTATTCAATTAAACAGATGTTTTTTTTAAACAATTTCAAACTGATATTTAAACTTAAGTGTTGTTTCTCTTTAGGCTGAAGTTTCACTCACTGATCGTCAGCTCCATCAGGTTCGGCATCTGAAATGAAACAGGTCTGTGTTTGTTTCTGTTTGTTTTTGGATCAGTCTTCTGCTAAAATGTGAAAAAAAATTTGTTTTCTTTAAACACTATTTCTCCCTTACCTCCTCTTCATCTTCATCACCTCCATCTGAAACACAAACAGGTCAGACATGAGAGGATGATACAGTCTGGGATTACATATGACAACAAAAACACACAGAGACACAGTTCACTTTTTACCACAAAAGATTCATTCTGAAAATAGTACAGAGAGTACAATCTAAACTCTCTCACTGAATGTCCTTTTTATACTCAGTCATGTTACTTTTAGGCCCACTTTCAGGTGTGTTCTTACCTGCGCTCCCTGGATGCTCACAGACCTCGTAGATCTTGTAAGGTTGTACGGGTGTTTCTTTGGTTCCGTCATACTTTAGCTGAAACTCGCGGCTTTTGTTCAGAGCGCAGCGAAGGTTGGCTTTCCACTTGGCGGGGTCGGGTTCATCCACGCCGTCCTGATACTTACCCGTCTCCAGAGCCCATGCCTGAAAGACAGCAGGTGAGGTCAACAGCATGTTTATGAGGTCAGGATGGAGCCGGCGGAGAGACTCTGACCTTGAAGATGGTGTTTTCCTCATCCGACGTCGGTGTGTGCCGTGTAGCGTGTTTCCAGGGGATCTGGAAGAGTCGGTGGTCTGGACTGAGCCACTGCAGACCAGGATACCTGCCGCTGTTCACCTGAGCCAACAACCAGGGCTTCAGCCGGATCCTGCGGGGCTGGACGCTCATCATGCCGGCGAGGGTCTGGGGGATTACTGGGATCAGGTCTGAGAAAGACTGGAGGCTGTAAGAGAGCAGAAGATCACCTACTTCGAAGATCACAACTTTGGGGTGCTCCACTGACCACCTGTTGCTGCACAGACACACAGAGCGCTCTGAAATATATGTTGCACAAGTATCTGAATCACACATACACAAACACACACACACACACACACACACACACACACACACCTTTCTTGTACATGTTTTTGTTCCTTAAAAGTTTTGGGAAGTTATTGAGAGACAGTCATGGGATCAGCGACCCACAAGGGCGACTGTGGTCGTCTGTAACGTAACTTTTGACGACGATTTCAAAGACTTGTATCCAAGTGAGTGAGTGAGAGAGAGAAGTGGCAGCAGACATAGAGAGAGAGAGAGAGAGTGAGTGGGTGAGTGTGTGTGTGTGTGTGTGTGTGTGTGTGCAGTGATTTCACTCACGAACTCACCTGGTCCCGCCGGTGCTTCTCGAGCCGTTTCACAGCCGCGAGTTACGTTTCGTGGCGTCCCAGTGACGTCATCAAACGTATAAACGTATAACCAGAAAAACAAAAACAAACAAACAAACAAACAGACGCCCCAAGTCGAAGCTCTGTACGCAATCCTGTCGCTCAAACTTTGACGGAACTAAGATCAGATCCGCGTCAAAACACGGAATCCAACAGTAGAGGGTACTTCCGGTGGGATAGACAAAATAAAAGCCCCGCTTCTGTAATTAAAAAAAAAAAAGTTTGAATTTTTCAAAATATATTTGAGCGTAGACAGATAAATTTTTGACAAAATAAATCCTTGAATTAATGGTTTTAAATTAAACTACTTGAGTCCGAATAAACAGATGCTAAAGACCTCATTGGATCAGGAACTAACGGTGTTAAAGAAATAAATAAATTATGAGCGACTTAAACTTTTAATATAACATTTATATGTAGATTTAATACCTAAAAAACTCATATAAACTTTGGGTTAGGGTTAGTTAGCTAAATCCACAGGTCAATAGTACCGTTTGTTTAGATAGATAGATAGATAGATAGATAGATAGATAGATAGATAGATAGATAGATAGATAGATGGAAAAATTGAAGTAGTTCTATTTACTCTGTCATCAACCAAAATATTTCAATAAAGCGTCACTCTTTTGAAACACTTTTATTGTGAAAAACTGTTTCACACTTTTCATAATGGTCTGAAACAGGAAGTCAAACAGGAAGTCTCCCTCCCTCACACACACACACACACACACATACACACATACATTGACATAAAGTTGAGATGCGTGTCCTTCACTATAGCCATTTTTTTCAACTCTGTGTTTCAGTTTCAGGGGCAGGGTTCCCGGGTAAAGGGGTTGTAGTAGCAGCCATGGAAACCTTACAAGTGTCACCACAGTAACAATATTGCACTTGCATATATTGCATACATACATACATACTGAAATTGAGAAACATGCACCATCTATATCAAACTCAGAGTGTTTTATCATTTCGGATTTTACCCTGTGAAGGCCACGAGTTTGATTTAATGTCCCTGGTTTTAAATAGCTGAAAATAGTTGTAGATAATCTTTAACTTCATTTTTATTTACTCCATGTTGGACAACTTCTAAAATAATAATATTGGAGGAATTTAAAGTCAAAATTTTTTACTTTGATTTCAAGTCTCTGACGTTAACACAGGAACATTAATATAAAGTAATACCGTATAAATATATTTGAAAAAAATTGATACATCATTGTCACGTTAACAGACTTTATCATTACAAACTTCAACACCAACATTCAGTTTGCTCTGAAAAAATTAAAATCAAATATTATTTTGAAATTCCAACATTTAAAAAAATCAATAGATAAATTTAATTATTTTAAACTTTTTCAAAAACATTTAGAAAGCCAAAACTTAACACAAGGTTCACATATTTTATGCCTCTGGGCTGAGATTTCGACAGTTTTTTACATTAAAAAAATTAATTAACAATAAATCACACCATGCAAACAAACTGATACACTTAAACCTCAAAAAAAGAGCTAGGTAGAGTGTTTCAAATTAAATGTCAGGTTTAGTTTAATGCCCGACAGCAGAGCAGTTTGTGAAACACGTTCCTGAACTCAATGTTAAAGGCTGTATAGATTATTGGGTTTACGGCGCTGTTGACATAGCCAAGCCATGTTACCACGGAGATGAGGGTGGGCCCGATGTCACATGACCGACACAACACCTTAGTGACATGGACGATGAAGAAAGGTGTCCAGCAGGCCAGAAACACACCTGGACACAGAAACAGTTGCAGAGGATGAGAGAGAAATCTGAAGTGGGACAATGTAATTTAAAAATATATATCATGATTTAAATGATTTTCATCAAAAATAGTATAAATGCAATAAAATATCAAATCATTATGTATAGAATATAACACAAAATCATAAATACAAACATTTATCATCTGCATACAGACTTATTTTGATGATCTTGCAACAGGAACTATATCATGTCTGTAAATATGGTTAAATGGATTTAAAAACTGAGATCAGATTAACATTGTGTTCCAGGAGTTAGACCTATACCAGAGGTTTAATCACATGAATATGGCATCTGAGTAATTCATGATTTTCCTTATTTAACAGAACAAAATGTAACAAAAAAGAGTGTGTTTGTTGAGTTTGAGTTTGTTTCTATACATTTCAGATCAACATATTCCTAAAACATAATTATCAAAATGTGTTTATTGAATTCATGAACATTGAGTTGTTTAAAGAGCCTGTTTAAAAACATTTCCTGACAGCTAAACCTTCATCCACTCATCATCATCATCACTGTGATCAATCAGAAGAGGGTATACTTTCTGCTCTGTGTTTTTACCTCTTCATACCTGTTCACCTGCAAAAACACTCCAGGATGTCTATGATCAGAACCACTTTGGAGTTCATTTAACATCATGTTTGAGCTGCTTCTCCTCTGCAGCAGGTTCACCTTCAAAATCTAAACTGTTCTTTCTCACAATAAAACTATAAAACAAACAACACAGACTTAATTAGCAAATTAGAGCGAATGCAAGAGTGAGAGAAAGAGAGAGAGAGTGTGTGCGCGCGTGTGTGTGTAAATCTGCTACGGAGACAAGAAAGTGGTTTCCAGGGAGATTAGATAGATTCAGTTTCTATTTTTACTAATGACCACAGCTTTTGTGTTAAACATGAAACATGAAGAGCGTGAGGAGGAAACCAAGTCCACCGTTCAGAGGCACCTCAACAGACCTCACCTGCTAATGGGCTCTCTGTTTTTAGTACAACTTAACACGGTATATCCTTAAAATATGACAATTATAATAATAATCACCAGAACTACTGATACATCAAAGTAATCTGATGATCTAATCTAATCTTATTAAAATTAAATAAGAGTAATACTATGACCTGAACTGAACCGGAGTACCCCAGGGTATAGTTTCTGGTCCTCTGCTTTTATTCTAAATGCCTATTTGTTTACTTTACACATAAAACTATATGATTTTGTTCCATGTGTTTTACTCACTATGTTGAATGTATCCAACCTAATCACATTTACCTTCAAACCTTGAGTTCTCCAAATTTAATCTGAAAATAATATGGTGATAATCTGAGATTAATTAGACTTTCATCTGGTGATATTTTTTAGACAGTCATTTCAAAGATAACCTGATGAAACCCTTTTGTTTGAATCATCTGAAGGATGTCAAACACTCACCAACAACAACAGGAAGTACCCTCATCGCCTTCCTTTCCCGCCCGCTGACCCGGCTACTCTTGCTGGCTCTTCTTCCTCTTTTTGCGGCGTTCTTCCTCATTAGGCTGTCCCTCTTCCTGCTGCCTTCTGTAACCTCAGTGATCTCTACGTCTGACATGATTTCTACATGTGTGGTCATAGGGTCGCTTTCCACCGCTACTGCCACCTGATCCCACTGCCTGTCTGCCACTGGGGTCGCAGACTGTGTTGTCATGGAGATGGAAGATGGAGAAATGAGACTTTGGCCTGTTTGGGTAGTTTGCAGAACTTTATCTTGACTTTCTGTAGCTGTGGATTTAGCTTGCTTCAGAACCGAGCCCAGATGCAGAGATAAAGCTGGACGAGCAGCCTGAACCCCCTGAGTACGGCTCCGCCCACTCCAACGCTGCAGACCCCGAAACATCAAGTAGTACAGGAAGAGCATAACGGGGCATGGTACAAAGAATGAGCACACTGATGAGTACACCACAAACTGCTCGTCCTCCAGTCTGCACACACTTGGATCCCGACCCGGAACCTGGTTCAGACCAAAGATCACCGGACTGGCCACGCCTAGAGACAGCAGCCAGGTGGCGGTGATAAGTGACAGCTGGCGGACACTGAAGTGGTTCCTGTTGTACTCCAGGGGGACCACAACAGCAATGTACCTAAACGCAACACAAATAGACCACACAGACCACATAAGTTCATATCAGACCACAACAGACAACATCCAACCAGAAGAGACCTCAACAGACCACAACAGATCAGCATAACCAGACAAAACCACGTCACATCAGACCACTTCAAACCACAGCACAGAGGGTCACGCTCAGGTACACTCACCTGTCCACGCTGATAGCACACAGGTTGAGGATAGAGGCTGTACACAGCATCACATCCATGGTCATCAGAGCGTCACAGGTAAAGGTGCTCAGAGTCCAGACACCTCCCAGGAACTACAGACACAGAAAGACACACTGATGATCTCACAAACACAAGCCTGCAGTGAACCAACATGCACCTGAAATCAAAGGTGTGAGTCCTCCAGGTGTGCAGTCACCTGGTGACGGTGAACTCTGACCTCTGAGTAGACGAAGAGCGGCAGCACGAGCACAGCGAGCAGCAGGTCCGCGACCGCCAAGCTGATGATGAAGTAGTTGGTGGCGGTCTGCAGTGAGCGCTCAGTGAGCACGCTCAGACACACCAGGACGTTTCCCATAATGATGAGCAGGATCAGTGGGACGCCAACGACTAACGCCAGGTAGTTGTAGTTGTTCAGGTGCATCTCACCTGGAGGGATGACAGGTGTGACACTGAACATGATAAACAAGGAGCTTCAGTCAGAACCTGGTTGGATAATTCTGGTCCTGGTCTGGATGATTGTAGTAAAATAGTTCTGGTTCTGGTTTTTGTGGTTCAAGTTTCATAGTCTTCTTCTTGGTTTTTTAAGTTCTGGTTCAAGATTGTTCTGGTTTCTGTATGATGGTTCTCATTTTTATACGCTGGTCCTTATTTTGATGGTTCTGGTTTAACAGTTGTAGTCCTGGTTCTGGTTTTGATGGTTGTGGTAGGATAGTTGGGGTCCTAGATAAATGGTCCTGGTTAAGTGGATTTTGTAGGGCCTAATTCAGATGATTTGGGTTTGAAAATTAAAGGTCCTGGTCCTGGTTTTGATGGTTCTTGTCAAAAAGCACTGGTCCTGGTTTTGGCAGTTGTGATATTGTAGTTTTAATGTTTTTAGTCCTGGTTCCTGTTGGTTCTGGTTAAAAGTACTGGTCTTTGTTCTGATGGTTCCTCATAGTTGTTGATAGGTCTGGTGTTACCTGGTCCTGGTTTTGATGGTTTTTATTCAAACAACACTGGTTTTATTTTTGATGGTGCTTGTTTGATGGGTCTAGTCTTGGTTCTTGATGGTTATTTCTCAATAGCTTTGGTCCTGGTCTTGATGGTTCTGGTTTAATACCTTTTATCCAGGATTTGATGATTCAGGATCAAGATTCTGGTCTTTGTTTGGCTGGTTAACTTGGTATGGTCCTAGTAGTAATGGATCCAAGGTGGTTGTTGTGGTCCTGGTGTTGATGGTTCTTTTCAAAAAGCGCTGGTCCTGGTTTTGGTAGTTGTGATACTGCAGTTTTGATGGTTCTAGTCCTGGTTCCTGTTGGTTCTGGTTAAAAGTACTGGTCTTTGTTACATCTATGGTTCTTGATAGTTGTTGATAGGTCCTGGTTTTGATGGTGCTTGTTTAATGGGTCTAGTCTTGGTCCTTGGTGATTCTTGTTCAAAAGCTGTGGTCCTGGTCTTGATGGTTCTGGTTTGATATCTCTTATCCTGGTTTTGATGATCTGGGATCAATATTCTGGTCTTTGTTTGGCTGGTTAACTTGGTAAGGTCCTTGTTGTAATAGATCCAGAGTGGTTGTTGTGGTCCCAGTGTTGATGGTTCTGGTTGGATAGTCTTGTTCCTGTTTTTGGTGGTTAAGGTTTAATACAGACCTGGTTTTGGTTGCCCTGGTTTTATAGTCCCGGTCTATTCTTGATGGTTCTTGTGAAAAAGTTCCTGTTTCTCCCGGTTCTTGTTTGATTAATCAGGTCCTGGTTCTTTTGCCTCTGGTTTGATTTTCTGTTCCTGGTTTCGCTGGTTAAATAGTTGAGGTCCTCATTATAATGGTCCTGAAGGCTCTGGTTCTGGTTCTGGTCCAGAGATGTTTGTATCAGCTGATGTTTGATGTGATCCTCATATTTCCCACTGTAAACAGATTCTCTTTGTCTTCTCCTCTTCTTTATCTTTTCTTCTCCTGCTCCTATGAGATGAAGAGACAAACTTTTCTCCATATGTCTATAAAAAGATTTATCACACTATCGCCTCTCTCTCTCTCTCTCTCTCTCTCTCTCTCTCTCTCTCTCTCTCTCTCTCTCTCTCACTGTCAACAGTGATTAACCAACAGTGATTAACCCCCCACCCTTTGTTCGAGTGTTCTTGCTCTGTGGTGTTTCTGTATGCGGTATCTCTCTCTATTCAGACAGTTTCATTTCAAAGACAAAAATTCAGCATTAAATATTATTATGATGACTTTATGATACTATTAATCATTAATCATTAATCATCATAAGTGAAAATAAACATCTCAACTTGACTGAACTCGGCTTTATTTAAAACGGCTTTCATTCACAACAGAATGCAGCTCAATTGCTTCACAACTCAAGAGTAATATCAGTTCAATATAAAAATAAAAGATAATATCTCATCAATCTTTCCATTGATTTATTCCAGTGCATTGTTTACCTGTCAACACTAAGTAACCATAGCAACAGGGATGCAGTTAAAGCACCTTAGAGTGAATTTACACGCAGAGAAAAGAGAGAAGCTTCACACAACATAATCATGCAGTACCTATCAGCCCCACAGGATGGCGCTGCAGGAATACACTTCCTCCAGTTACCACAGGATCTAATCAAGACTTAAACTTTACCTATATAATTTAAGTTTATAACAGGCTTTGTATTTATACACTTTATCATATTATAGCATTATGTTGTGATATTTTACACTATAATATTTGTATTATATTCCTTAAGGTTTAACAAGTCTACATTTTTAAACAGCAGATGTCATAGTAGACTTTATAACACCATAGCACATTAAACAGCTGTTTTTGTATTATATTATTGTTGATTGATCGATACTAGATTAGATAATTTGATGTTTCTTTATATTAGTACATAAAATCACAGTATGGTATATCATGTATCTTTATTGTTACATCACATTTAATCACTTTATGTTATATCACAGTGTAATGGTTCATATTAAAGTTTATTATGGTCTACAAGCTGGTGTTAAAATCATCTGTGTTGTTCTTTTTTTGGCTCACTCTTTCTCTTTCCGTGTCTCATAATGAACTAACCCTCCACATTTTAATGATCTGTGTGTGTGTGTGTGTGTGTGTGTGTGTGTGTGTGTGTGTGTGTGTGTGTGTGTGTGTGTGATTAGCATCTGTAAGAGCAGGCAGCAGACCTTTCTGTGTGATGTATGTTTTATAAATTATTCATGAACTCTTGGACTGAGGACCCTGAGGATATAAAACACTGAAAAATCTGTTAATTTGAATAAACCTGCGCTTCTGTTTTTGTGCTTTTTTAATGTTATTAAAATGATTTATAGAAATAATGGGCTCTATAATTAAACACACATTTTATTTGATTTTAATTCTTTAGTAAGAGACAGTTTAAACACAGCACTTCAAGAAAAATAGACACAAACCTGAAGAAGAATTGTCAGATGAAATCGAACACAACTTTACTTCACTGAACTTTCAGTCACATGACCAGTTCCCAGCGTGTGTTTACTGACACTAGAATATTAAAAACTTTGTAAGTGTTGATTTCAGGGGTTACATCTGCAGCTTATTTCACTTTTTATAGTGTTAGCAGTGAATACCAAACAGCATGAGCTTCATTTACTCTTACAGGAACGTTTAGATTTAAACCAAACAAAGTTTCAAAGGTTATTCTTTAACTTTATGCTTTTATTCTCAAGAGACCAGAACAGAAAACAGAGCAAAAAACTGAGAGATAATATGAAGAATGACATGCAGTAAAAGGTCGGACTGCCCACTCTAACCTGTGTACATGGGGTGCACCACAGAACCACCAGGTTGAACCAGGAGCCTCAAACCTGACACTTCAATGTGAGTGATGCTGGAAATAGTTTGGAGAACTTTGAAGTGCTGATCACGGGATATGTATCATTGAGTATTAATCAGAGTGTGTTTATATTGGTGCAGAGATCCCTGCATATTCATACAGGAGTAGTAATTTTAGAGTGCTGATACACACAGGTGTTGCTTCAGGTGCAATGATAATGTTCTCAATGAAAAGCTGCTTCCTGTTATTTCTTTCCAGGGCCCACAGGGTTTTTGGTTAAATCACCTGCCTTCTCATCACCACCCTGCATGCCACAGGCCAAGTTCACAGTCAGACAGGTAGGCAGGGGGCAGCCACATCTACTGAGACTAGAGGTGAGAGAACAGTAAGGACAACAACTGAGAAGACTTCAAGTGAGACGTGTCTGTATGTAAAGGAGGCAGGATTTCACTGGTAACTGTGTTTACAAGTGAGCATGTTTACAGGTGAGTATGTTTAGAGGTAAATGTGCCGATGTCTCAGTATGATCATAGGTAAGTATTTCACAGGTGAGCATGTCTACAAGTTAATATATGCACAGATTATTATATGGAATGATATCTGATCATCTTGCTGGTGGTTTTCTTGGTGAAAAAAAAACATGCAAAATAGACAAGCTTTATTTGCAGCTGGCTGAATACTTTCAGAATAAAAGCACTTACGTCAGAGAATGTTGAATTCCAAAAGAGGTGTTCCCGGAACTTGAAAAAACACAATTATGAAAGTTTTTTTTACATCAAGATTATGTACATCAAGTATTTTAAAAGAACTACACTTTTATTTATTTATTTTTTAAAGTCAAGCATATGTTTCATGTTTTTGTTTGTCTTATGAAAATTCAAACTGACCTCTGAAACTCAAACTCTGTAGAGTTCACCTGTTGACCAAACTCAGATCTGTAAAGAAGCACACAAACACATATAAACACATACAAACACACATGAACATGCACACAGACAGTAGAGTACATAAAAAAGAAAACTGATTGAGTTGTTTCCCTACCTGGTGTAGTTTTCCTGAGGGTACCTGTGCAGGTAAGGACTCTCTGTGATCTCTCCATCCTGACTGCCGACAGAAAAAAAAAAAATTAATTGAAACTGATTTTTCACAGATTTTGGTTTCAAATAAGTTCAAATTGATTCTAATGCTTTTGCCTCACCTGGAGTTGAATGATGGAGGAAAAGGAGCCGCAGACACAGAGACCACCACCATCATCACCATCATCATCCTTATCTTCATCATCATCTTCCTGGGGAGATAGAGAGGGAGTGCATTGCTCACCCTCTACGCTGTTTTTATACTCTTTCACTGTGATGGTCACATGATCAGCTGAAACCTGTTTGAAGGTCAGTGCGTGTGCTTCAGTATTGACTCTTAATTTATCAGCTGTGACATTATCAGGTCCATGAGAACTCAGTGACCTCTGACCCCGTCTGCTTTGTTAATGTGAGAACAGAAAGACTCTCAAACCATCACTCTCTTTTTTTTCCAGCAGGGGGCCACTCCTTTGTCTGGATGAATTTGTTTGTGTGCAGGTGGTAATGTATAGTGAGCAGGTGTGAAACTCTGTAAAGAGTGGGAGATAATATAAAATAAGTCGACAACAATGTAAAGTAAATATAATGTATAATAAAGGGATTATTATGATATTGTTAAGTAAGTAACAGCTAAATAATACATGCACTATTCGTATGGTGACTGACAAACTATTAATGGTAAAAACATGAAGAATGTACACTGAAACAGGATAATGTATAGGGACAAGCAATAATGAATTGCAAAAATATGATAATGTATGCAGAAGACCAAATGTTTACCACAACAACAAGATAATGTATCGTGAAACAAAATATAGAGCAAAAGAGTGACAATGTATGTTTAGTAAAAGATAATATATATAGGGACTTGGCAATGAATGGATGTGACACCGGGATAATGAATGATTAAGGGGCAATTATCTACAGTCAAGTAGGGGTAATGTGTAGCAAAACCAGGATACAGTGAAGAGAGAGTGACAATGTATATTGAATTCAGGATAAAGAGAGAGAACTAAGCTATTATCAGTAATGAATACAGCATAAGGTTTGGTGAGTGGGCAATAAATTGCAGTAAAGTCAGAATAATATATAGTGAGGGATTGATAATATATAGTGAATGTGTTGTTTAAGAGGAGAAACTTCTGAGAGTGAGATAAAGAAACACTGTAATAAGTGGATTGACCCTCCGGAGTCTTCCTCTGCTGATGTTTCTTCATGTTTCTGTGTCTTAAGATTTTCAGCATTTTCGCACATTGCAGAAAAAAAGTCAGAAAATCAGACCATAGAAATATTTTATTTCTATTAACACGATAAACGTTCAATAACTTAACACAAACAAACAAAACAAATCTGTTTCCTGTTCCAGTCAGTCTCAGCTGACAAGACACACACATTAATCAGAACACCTCAATGACTCACTTCCCGGTTCTGGACATCAAATGGAATGTTTCTCTCATACACACACACACACACACACACACACACACACACACACACACACACACACACACACACACACACACACACACACACACACACACACACACACAAATAAAAAAACTCTTATTCAGAGGGAGAACAAGAAAAATCAACACACTGAGTTAATAATCAGCTGATCGAACAACAAATACAGTCAGGGACAATCACATCAAACATGGACTTGTACATGTGTGTGTGTTTGTGTGTGTGTGTGTGTGTGTGTGTGTGTGTGTGTGTGTGTGTGTGTGTGAGAGAGAGAGAAAGAGAGAGAAAATGTGAGTAACAGGTTGTACATGTGTGTGTATGACAGGTAGTGTGTGTGTTTAGCGGAAGTCTTCAGCAGAGAACATGCCCTTGGCGCGGCGCAGGATGGAGTCCTTGGATGCGTCGTATGGATGCTCTTTGGACGGGATCTCCAGCACGGCGGGAATGGACTGCATGTGGGCATCAATGGCGTGACGGATCATCTCGGCGATGAACTGGTTGATGAGGATGATGCCAATGTCGTTACGTGCCAAGAAGCTCCTGCAGAGAAGAAGAAGAGTTAATCCTGTAAAAACCAAAATTTCTACAAATCAAACACTTACCATGGCAAGATAAAAGTGTGATATCTAACATTAAACAATAACGTAAAAGTAGAACTTCAACAGGTTAATTAAGGAGTCCCACAAGGCTCAATTTGTGGGCCTCAACTCTTCATACTCTTTATCAATAAAATCTCTAATGTGTCAAATGCTTAACGTTTAAAGGTCTAAACTAACATTAAACAGCTGTTTCACTCAGGTTTATCTGATCTCTGTGTGCTTTAACAGCATGATTTTATCAATAATAAATTTAGGTATTTATTCTGATAATCATCTACTGGCTAAAATATCACAGAAAACAGAGTTAAGATTAAAAAAAACAGTTAAACTGATTGTTGGATGAGGTTTGGTGATTAAGCACAGGCACGTTTGATCACCTTGTTATCGCTTCACTGTGTCACATGACAAAGAGACGCCTCCGTACAAAACTCCGTTGAAAAAACAGTGAATTTAACTCGGTTATTAATTTCAGGAACAGATCATTTGCATTTTTATAAAATTACACACTCCATTTAAGTCTTCTGCCATCGGGAATGAACACATACGGGAATCACGTTTAAATTAATAGAGGTTGAATATTATCAGCTGTTAGGCTCGTTATTTCATCTCACAGCAAGCGGTAAAATCAGTGGTTTTTAAACAGAGGTTTGGTGTAGATCTGTGAGGGTAAAATATGTGTTTTCTTAGCAGAGGTTTGGTCCAGAGCTGCATACAGGCCGTGTTTTTTCCAGACTCACTTAAAGGTCTCCTCGATCTCCGTGATGCTCGTGTCCTTCTCCACCACCAGGAAATTCGGTTTTCGGTTTTTGTTGAGCTCACCGATCCCGCCGAGCAGGAAGCCCGTGCAGGTGTCTTCATCACCGATCACGGCGATCAGTTTCCCGCGGCCGGCCATCCCGGAGCTCCGAGAGATGTAGACGAAGAAAAACCCAAACAGGAGAGGAGAGATTCTCAGTGACAGACGGTGCAGGTCATGTGATCAGATCTGCTGACCCCGACTTCCGCCTTCCTCCTGCTGCTGACAGGAAATACGTCACGAGTGGGGCAAGAATGAAAAATACCTGCTTGTTACGTCAGCAACAGACCGTTCTTTGTTGCCTTCAGGTTACCCCGTAAAGAAATAAGTTTAAAAAAATGTTTGGTGGCTAGTACTATGGCTGTTGATATAGTTAGGTGCTGTTCTGAGCATTATCTGTGGCCATAGAGTGGCGTTTTGGTTGAGGGTTGCGCATGGAGACACAGACCGCTGTATATTGCTTTCCTGCGGTCGTTACTAAAGTTGGTAAAACTACAGAAGCAAGCAGTCGGCAAAATTCATCTCTCTAGGGGTTATCTAACTCGGTGTTACGCTGTGTTTGACCCTAACTTAATTTAACGCCGGAATATTCCTTTAATATCATTATCACAAGATGTTGGTCATGAAAATTCCCACTGCGCATGAAAGCCTCTCTGCTGTCACGTGACGATCACACAGGAAAACCAGAAGTACGGCACAGCAGAGCAGCTGACTACACCAGAGAAAGAAGGAAAATGGTGAGTTTAGCTGTTTTTATGTTGTAATTTTCAAAGTTTTATGTTTGATTCTTCTTTTGTGCGTTCATGAAACACGGATATTTCAGTTTATCAGTCAGTAACTACTTTGTTCAGCTGTTAGCAGTCAGTCTGATAGCATGTTAGCTAACTGTGTGTGTTTGTTTCAGACAACAGCAGCCCTGACTGCGGGTCTGGAGCGGATCCCGGATCAGCTCGGGTATCTGGTGATCAGCGAGGACGGGGTGCTGGCTGTAAGTGTCTGTCACCTCTTATCAATAAAGTTTATTTACTTAAAATCCTGCTGTGCTAATCCTGTTAAAATAACCTGATGTGCTCTGACCCCTGACCTCCTCTCAGTCTGCAGGTGAGCTGGAGAATGATGAACACACGGCAGGTGTGATGATGCAGATGGTCCGAACAGCCAGTCGATTCAGGTTATCTGGAGCAGCTGATCCCCCTTTCAAACGCATGTCAGGTAACACACACACACACACACACACACACACACACACACACACACACACACACACACACACTCTGACAGGTGAGCTCTAGCTGACCCCCTCACCTGTTCTTACCTGTTCTCTTGTGTTTCAGTGATCCTGGAGGACTTTGTTTACACGGTGACGGTTTCTGGTCAGAAGGTGTTTGTTGTCAAACGTCAGAACAACCAGCATGAGCCAATCAGCGTTTAGAAGCCGGGAGCCGAAAGTGAGGTGGCGTTCAGCTGATCCTGGGAGGTCAGAGGTCAACATTTGGAGGATGAGAGTGATCTGCAGGAGGATGTTAGATGTGTGAATAACTATGTGTGACTGTTTAAATAAAATTTTGTATATTTGAATGTGTGTTTAACATGAAAATAAAAATATTTAAAACAAATTTCCTGTTTGTACAAATTCTCAGGGGGAGTGGCTTTTATCCCATTGTTTATCCACCTGTTTGTAGTTTACTTAAAGGGATATTCGACCGCACACTGTTGATCATTAATGTTCTTCCTTGAGCTGTGTCACCTCACTGTAGTCCATAATGAACTGGCCTGAGGTCTTGCTACAAACAAGCAGCTGCTGGAAGAGAGAAGGTGAGTTGAGTTTAGTATCTTTCTTAAAGAAATTAGGCAAAGTTAAAAGATGTTTGGTGGCTAGTGCTATGGCTAGGACCCTGTATGTACTGTTGATGAAGTTAGGTGCTGTTCTGAGCATCATTTGCGGCTATAGAGTGGCTTTTTGGTTGGGCGCGTGGCTCTCTGTATTGCTATCCTGCAGTCGTCACTAAAGTTGTTATAACTGGAGAAGCAACATTCATCTCTCGATGGGGTGTCTAACTTGGTGTTATAGTGTGTTGGACCCTAACTTAAATCTACACCTGAATATCCCTTTACGTATATCCAGAGGGCACTTTTCCCACATTTTTACACTAAAAGGGTTACAGACAGGGCACCTTCATACATTTGTATTTTTTTTAGTTCTCCTCCACCGAGTCATGTAAGGTCTTCCAAAGGGACACATTTCCTACTTTAAAACACTGGAATGGCATCAGAAAGCGCTTGAACGTCTATCTTTATATACTGGGAAATCAGGAACAGAATACTTCATCTCCAGGAGGGGGGAAAGCAGTCATTGGAGCATTACACTTGCTCTTGAAACACAAATATAGAGAACAGAAATAGGAGTAAGAACAAATATGCACATAAATTGAGGTATACCATGATTTCTCTAGTAGAAGGGCATCCAGATTACCTTTATCCACATATATAAAAAAATGGTGCTCAATCTGTTGGTATTTTTTCAAGATTTTGTTTAGTGAAAAGTCAGAGATGGAACTTTTTAACCTTTTATAGTTTAGGTAGAGCATCCAGAGGAAATCTCCCTCAAACATTTAATCCTGGAAGGTCATCCAGACAGGAAGTCTCCCACTGTTGATATACTGGAAAGGCGCCTTCCAGTATTTTAGTTACTTTGCCTCATTTCAGGGTGAACTAACTCAAACTTGCAGGAAACAGACCTCTGATTGGTTAAAAAAAAAAAAACAGGACACAGATGAGAAGAAAAAAAAACTTTATTGCATCATTGTCGTTTCTGATTCTTCTTCATCGTTAAGGAATGACGAGGCCTTCAGGTACGGAATGAGCATCACATCTACAGGTAACTGTCACCTGTCTGGTACCCCTCCCCCTTCCCACAGGTACACTCTCACCTGTCTGGTACCCTTCCCCCTTCCCACAGGTACACTCTCACCTGTCTGGTACCCCTCTCCCTTTCCACAGGTACACTCTCACCTGTCTGTAACCCCTCCCCTTTCCCCACAGGTACAGGTTCACTGTCACCTGTTGTAAGCCCCACCCCTCCTCCTGGTTACCTTCCCTGTCACATGGTTCAGGTTAAAACATGCGGCGTAAAAGAAAAAAAACAAACATCTGCAGGAACAAGAGTAGAAGAAGAAGAAGAGGATGATGGGAAATCAAGGTGAGCTCAGAGTCCATGACATCACTTCCTCTTACAGACAGGTTTATAATTTAAAAAAAAAGAAAAAAAAAAGAAAAAGAAAAATCAGTCCGTTAAAACAACTCCTCCTCCTCCTTGTCTTCATCTGGTGAATTCAGTCGATGACATCACTTAGCTGCTTCCTATGTCCTGTCAGGTGACCTAACGTTTGGACAGCTCATTCGACAACCAATCCAGACCCTCGTACAGACCTGTCCCCTGGGTGGCACAGGTGGCCTGGACGAACCACTGAGAGACAGATAGGTGAGAGGTTAGAACCGGGCGACTGATCACCAGACTTCATATTCAACATGACCTATAACACCAAACCTAATCATGTGATCAATAACAGCGGTTTATATGAACAGGTGAAAATATACACATGATGAATTGGCTCCTACAACAAGGTTACATGATGGTGTGTTCAAGATCCAGTCAGTAAAATAACAATTAGGTGAAATAAATATATAAATATACTGATGTGTTCAAATGTTGCATCAAAACAAGAGTTGAGTTTAGGTCCATCTCTGACAGGTGATCGTGTATCAATGACATGAGGTCCATGATTATTAGTAACCGGTATGATAAATATTTATAATGGTAATATTGATCTTACGGTTCTGCTGCGCAGGCTGTGCAGGCCCAGTTTGTCCGTGAGTTCACTGACCGCCATCGCGTTTGGAAGATCCTGTTTGTTAGCAAACACCAGAATAACGGCGTCCTTCAGCTCGTCCTCCTGGATCTGCAGACAGACGGGTCATGAGACGGATGACATCATGAAGCAACAGGGTCATCTGACTGATGACATCATGGCTGTAGCGTTAACGCTGCGTTTGAGTTACCTCCGAAGTCAGATGTCGGAGCTGAAAATGACGTCACACCCGAGTTCCCAGCGTTTCAGTTACCAAGTCGGAAAAAAAGCTAAATCGGAGGCCTGAAACAAGATGGTTACATCTACGAAAGTTATTTTAGCGCTTGCTTTAGGCAAGGCAAGCGTTAAACTAACTTTCGTAGATGTAACCATCTTGCTTTTGTCTGACTTGATAACTGAAACGCTGGTAACTCGGGTGTGACGTCATTTTCTGCTCAGACTTCTGACTTCCGGGGAAACTCGAACATAGCATATGTGTTTTGTTTCTCACCATCTTGGCGAGCTCCTCAGCCGACTCCGTGACTCTCTCTCTGTCATTACTGTCCACCACGAAGATCAGACCCTGAATGCACCACACACAGAAACACACATCAACATACAGAGTAAGGCTGCTTACTTCATCCGTTTGCACGACACTTAAGTGTGCTTGCGTGTGTTGTGGCCTGTCCCTGTGTTTTATGATTGTGTACCGATGTGTGTGCTTTTTGTTGTGTACCTGTGTGTTCTGGAAATAGTGTCTCCACAGAGGTCTGATCTTGTCCTGACCGCCCACATCCCAGACTGTGAAACAGATGTTCTTATACTCCACCGTCTCCACGTTAAACCCTGGAAAAAACAAAACAGACATCATAAAGAAACTCATCCAGGTGCTCTGATCTGTTACAGGTGTCAAACATCTCAAACAGTAACCATGGAGACAGTTTGAGTTACACTCAAAGTCTTATCTAAAGACGATATGCAAACATGGATGCTGTGCCTCCTTTTCTGCCACTGAAGCTGAGGTGGACACTGTCAGGTGGGTCCAGTCTACAGCAGGACAGGTTCTTGAAGGAGACACTCGTGGCTATCAAATGTTCAGAGACTCTTGTGTTCGTGTTTGTTACATTTCCTCTCATAAGTCTTCACTCTGATAATCCTGAGCACCCTGCGCTGCTACCAACAACCATGTGGCTCTAACATGAGACCGCTGATGGTCAATATGTTTCCTCCTATATTATTGTTGTAATCCGTCATGCAGTAACTTCCAGTTTACAGATCTGGCAGTCAGATCTTTCCTCTGCAGTGTTGCGTCAAATACTCCTAAACTTTTGAAATTTTACAATGCAATGATGTTGCATCAGTCACTGCCATGTCGCAGCTCATTGTCCTGCAAGTGCTGCACTCAGCAGATAGTGTGGAGAAGAGATATCTCACTCTGTAGTTGCGCTCAGAGCTGAAGTGAGCGCCTGCTTAGGGCCCCCGCGGCCAATAGGGGGCCCCCAAGAGCAATCCAAAAGGTAAATATGTATGATTGATGCTTTCTGTACGATCAAATATGTATTATCGTAAAAATAAAATAAAGTAAAAACGTTTCAGTGCCGCTGCTGATGTAGGCCTATGATTCTTACTGCTGCTGTGAAATGTGCTCTGAGCATCCAAAGCACAGGTAGTTTTTGGGGCAAAACAATGTCGCAAAAAAGGACATATCCATCAGGAGCAGAGAAAGGAAAGAGGAAGAAGAGAAAAAACGCAAAGATAAAGGTATGTTTGCATGTCAGGGAATATTAATCAAAGAGATTGAGACACTGAGGCTTTTTTATTTCACTTTCTGTTTTATTTGTCATATTGACACTCCTCTGGTAGGGCTGAAATGATTACTTTGGTAAATCAAGTCTCTTGATTGTTTAAAGGATTTATAGTTGATTCAAAGATGATACGTCAGTGCCAATCTGTTTGTATAATCATTAACCAGTGTTTACAGCGCTGTGCAGCTGTCTAAACATCTCACTGTCTGTTTGATTTGTCATAATGATACTCCTGCCGTACCACAAATACTCTGTAAATCAGTGAAATTATTATGTTTTCATCATTTCTTTCCATCTATGTCAGCACAAGCAGCTCACTATTTATTGTCCCTCCTGACAGGAGGGGAGTCACCTTTTTAACATCTCTCAAGTTGACAGATAAGTTTTCTCTAGTTCTGATTGAATTAGCTGAAACATGTTCTCCTGCATGTTCTGTTAAGCAAACTTTGCAGCCTGACATCATTCAGATTTGGACAAATTCAATACCGTATTTTTTGGACTATAAGACACACTTAAAATCCTTAAATTTTCTCAAAAATTGACAGTGAGCCTTATAATCCAGTGCGCCTTATGTGTGATTACTTGTTGCACTGACTGATTTTATGTGGCACAATGCGCTCAAAGCGTATTTTCCCGTACTGGCATTTATTGTTACAACTGAGTTAAATAAAATTTGATTTCCTGGACTGTGTTGTTTTGCTCAATGTGCCTTACAATCTGGCGCCCCTCATTGCCCCAAAAATACGGTACATCAAAAACTCCCCACAAAGAGAGGGGAAGCTATTATTTTACACTTTGACCCACTTCCCATTAGTTGAATGAGGCAGGTTACCGCTGATGGCCAACAGGGGGAGCTCTAAATATTCTGACTTCACCTTTAGAGAAGAATTGTACTATCCATGTTTATAGTTTAGCCTGAATTCTAACAAAGTTCCTGTTTTAGTGAAGACACTCCTCTCTGGGAAGTTTTGGTATTGGTCAATCAGAACAAGACCTCCTCTTTCCTGTCACTGTTTTCTTGGTTAAGAGTGAGACCTCCTTCTCTGCTGTGAGTGGTCGTTGTTTTTTTAACTAGAGTGAGACCTCTTACTCTGTCGTCCTTGTAATGGCTGTGATATAGAGGATCTACAGCTGCTGAAACAAACAAACTTAACTTTCCCCTTAAACTCATGGATAATTATTATATTGATTAGTCTTGCTGTTGGTTATTAAAACGCATTGATTGTTACCGATAGTGGGGATTGTGGTGACGATCTCTCCGAGCTTCAGTTTGTAGAGGATTGTAGTTTTTCCAGCTGCGTCCAAACCGACTGAAACAAGACAAAAAAAAGAGGTTTAAAAACCAAACAGAGTCAGACATTATCTTCAGATTACCTTACTTAAATATTAAATATGTAACGGTTTTAATAAGACAAACAGAGATCAGACTGTTATTGTAGTGAAGCTAACAGCCTCTCATCTATCTGCGGCAGTTTCCGTTAGCTCTGATCGGCTAAACATGTTAGCGACTTTTTTGTTTTCCACTCTTAAATTATTATAAAACAAAGTGTGATTCCGACACTAGGGGGCTTCGTGATTTTAATTTGTGACCCATCCGTTTGTTTGAACATTAAAATCTGAGTTGGGAGAGTTTTCCGCCTCCCTCCCGCCGGTCGGTCGGTCCCTCCCCGGTTTTAGCCTCCGTTAGCTTGTTAGCTCACCCATCAGGATTCTCATCTGCTTCTTCCCGAACAGTTTGGAGAACATGGAGGAGATCGTCAGCCCCATCTTTGATCCTCTCTCTCTCTTTCTCTCTCTTTTTTAAAATCTATAATCTGTTTTCGAAGCGTCCCGGTTCGGCAGCGGGACGGTGAAAAGACCTGGCGCGGGTGAAGCCGCTGCTCGGAGCCGCAAAGGGAAGGAGACAACGGTCGGAGTGAGTTAGCGGAGATCGGGCGGAGAGGGCGCAGCTCCTCCTCGGTGCCACGTCCAGGCCAACGCGGAATAAATGACGTCAGAGCTCGAAAAAAAACGGAGAAAACTTTATTGAGTTTGGACCGTTAAAGAGGCGTTCAGGTCCAGTGTAAAAGTGGGAAGATTCAAATATCGTGATGTATCTTCAGAAATGGAAGCCGATTTAAGTTATCTGAGTTATTTTAAAGGGAGGTATAAAACAACTGCATGACACCGACTGAACACATTATGGCCTTTATAAGTGTCTATTGTAATTGGAAATGTAATGTCATCATAATTCTAGTTTTAGTTATGTTTTTAACATTTTGTATAACTTTCCTGTTTGGATTTTTATCATTTTAATCTTTACGAATGTTTACTGTCTTCTTGCGGACCCCAGGAAGAGTAGCTGCTTCTTAGATAGTAGCTAATGGGGGTCCAAATAACAAAGTAAGTAAGTAAGTAAATAAATAAATGGATATACATTACATGACTGCTGAACATATTTTGATTTTCATGTTTGTTGCTTGATTTTGTTGCTTGTATTTTATTTGAGTTTCTAAACTTGTTGTTGACTCTGTTAATAGTTTCCCTGCAAGAGAACGGGCAAGTTTTAAACCATAACAAATACCAAATCAAACTGAAAACCTAGTTTAGACTTAAATAGAGGAGGCTCTTGTTGCGCGTTCCCTTGGTCTTTCTCTTTTCCTGGTTCCCGTGAATGCAGCATTAGATTCCCGCCTCCTCTTCCTTCTCCAGTTCCGGCTTGGACCAATATGGCGGTTGTATGTTGGCAGGATAAACTCGGTGTTTATTTCCATATTTTCGGTTTAATGATGGATTAAATCCTCTTTTTTGTAACGTTTAGGGTTTAAGTTTAGTAAGATCAAGCCCGCGGTTTGTTTGGTTATCCTTTGGTGGCGGTTTACCAGGTAAGATGCAGGTGTTTGTTGATAAAAGTCAAACAGTAAAACTATTATTCTTCAAAAAGAGACTTTATATTGATTATTTTAACCTTAATGAGTTCTGTCAGTGTGACTAGATTAAAACTACATGAATGTGTATCATTGAACTATATCTATGAGATACATGAGAATTTTTAAAAAAGCTAATCAAAAAGTGTGATTATTAATCTTTTTTAGCTAATGATATGTTTAGAGTTACTTATAATAGACTGTAAATCCATGACATGTCACTCTATATGTGTTATAATCTTTGTGTCTTCTTCAACAAACCCTCAAACCCAGCCTGAGCCCCAGTCTCATTATGAACAGCACCACATGATCTAGACACAGCTGGACCCAGGCAGACCCTGAAGGACCATCAGAACCATGGAGAAGTTCGGTATGAGTTTTGGCGGTGGTCCCAGTAGGAAGGAGCTGCTGGACACCGTGGAGACTCAGAAGAAGCAGCTGGTCCAGTACCAGACCCGCTTCAAAGATGTAGTCCGGGCCTATAAGAGTCTCTTGAAAGAAAAGGAGGCTCTGGAGGCAAGTCTGAAGGTCCTGACCGTGACCCAGGAGGTGGACCTGCACCAGCAAGTCCGAGATACCGCCTTCTCAGACGTGCCAGAGGATGGGTGCTCGATGCACAGCGAGGACAGTCTGGACACGGCTGCATCTGTGGACACGCCCAGTGAGACCGCCAGAGGGGATCAGAGTGAAGAAGACCAAGGAGACCCAGTGGGGAAGTCCAGCTCAGCGGTACGTTTGAAGAGGTTCAGAAACAAAGCAGGATCCTCATTACACAGAATTATACTGTCAAAACTATGAATGTAACACCTTAACAGTGATGAAACCTCCCGAATACTAACTATAACACCCAAGGTTAGACTGTAACTTTAACTGTAGAGTTAAAGGGATATTTCGGTGTAAAATTTATTTAGGGTCAAACACACCATAACACTGAGTTAGACACCCCCTCGAGAGATGAATGTTGCCGACCGCTTGCTTCTTTAGTTATACCAACTTTAGTAACCACCGCACGATAGCGATACACAGCGGTCTGAGGAGCCATAAACAAACCTCAAACTAAAACGCCACTCTATAGCCACAAATAATGCTCAGAACAACTTCATCAACAGGACATATAGGGTCCCAGCCATAGTACTAGACACCAAACATCTTTTTAACTTTGCCTGATTTCTTTAGTAAAGAGACTAAACACAACTCACCTACTCTCTTCTTGTTTGTAGTGAGACCTCAGGCCAGTCCATTATGGACTACAGTGGGGTGAAGCAGCTCAAGGAAGAACATTTGTGATAATTACTTCATGGAAATACAATCAGACCGAGACACTAAGGCAGAAGAATTACCGGGTCTGCAGTGCAAAATGATTGATATGATGATTATTACTTCAAGGAAATGATAAAGGAATGATCATAAATGTTCTTCCTTGAGCTGCTTCACCCCGCTGTAGTCAGTAATGGACTGGCCTGAGGTCTCACTACAAACAAGAAGAGAGTAGGTGAGTTGTGTTTAGTCTCTTTACTAAAGAAATCAGGCAAAGTTAAAAAGATGTTTGGTGTCTAGTACTGTGGCTGGGACCCTATATGTACTGTTGATGAAGTTCGGTGCTGTTCTGAGCATTATTTTTGGCTATAGAGTGGCGCTTTGGTGGAGGTTTGTTTATGGCTCCTCAGATCGCTGTGTATTGCTATCGTGCGGTTGTTACTAAAGTTGGTATAACTAGAGAAGCAAGCAGTCGGCAACATTCATCTCTCGAGGGGATTTCTAACTCTGTGTTACGGTGTGTTTGACCCTAAATTAATTTTACGCCAGAATATCCCGTTAACTGTACCTTTTAGCTGTACCTTTAATTCATAAGCACACCTGTAACACCTGAGCTCAGACTATGATCTCTGAACACATATGTAATCATTTCCCTGATAGTAAAGGTCACTTTTATTGCATCTGTTTCCTCCCGCAGTCTCTGAGGTCAGATCCTGATGCTGGCAGCTCAGATAGCAGCGTAGGGGCGGAGCTTCAGCAGGCCACACCTCCTCTAAGCATGGAGACAGACCGCCGAGTTGTCCAGCTTAAAAGCCAACTGAGCACGCTCACTGGCGCCCTGGCCACCGTGACACAGGAGAAGTCGCGAATGGAGGCAAGTTTTCAAGCCGACAAGCGTCAGCTGAAGCTGGAGATGGAGGAGCTGCAGGATCGACTGGCTGCCATGACATTACAGCAGGAGGTGGAGCTGAAGACCTTTCAGCAGCAGCTGGCGGAGAGTCGCGCTCGCGTCATCACGCAACAGCATGAGAGGGAGCAGGAGCAGGGAGACCACGCCCAGCAGCTCAGAGAGCTGCAGAGGATCCTGCAGCAGGAGAGAGACCTGCGGCAGGACGCCGAGCTCCGACTACAGGACGCCAACACATCACTCCTGCTCACATCACAGGCCATTGACCGGGAGGCGGAGTCTGAGGCTCACCTGAGTCAGGTGAGGACGGAGAGAGATGAGCTGAAGAGGAAGCTGCAGGTGGCTGAGGAGGACCAGAAGAAGCCTGATCCTAGAGTGGAGGAGCTGCAGAGAGAGCTGAGGGAGCTGAAGGACCACTTCCAGCAGCAGATTCAGATTGAGACCCGAAAGGTATAAACCCACACCAGAAACAACAGAGGTTGGGTCTGAACTAAGGCCAGAACCTTCTGAGACCAGGTTTACACTAAAACCAGAACCCAACGAGAAGCCAAGGGACTAGGTCCACTGAGACAGGTCTTCATTTAGAGCTGAGCTTGTTGAGATCAGGTCTTGACTAAAATCCTTCTGAAACCAGATTTATGTTAGGACCACAACCCACTGAGACCAGGTGTAAATTAAGACCAGAGTCCACTGAAGGTAGGTTAGGTTGAGACCAAAAACCTGCTAAAGCCAGGTTTAAACAGAAAACAGTTGCCACTTAAACCAAGTGGAAGTCGTCACTGAAATATAAACCTGCTATTACCAGAACTAAACTGAGACTAGAAAGATCTGGACCACGAACATGTGTTAACGAGTCCGGCTCTTTAACAGTCACAAAAGTGAAGCCATAGACTGTATATAGAACGGACACTGTCTGCCTCCTTGCTGGGTGAAGCCACTCCGAGAACAGCACCCTCTGCAGTATCGGTCATAACTCCTGCCTCTGCGAGCAAAGCTTACGGGGCTATGGACAAACTTTAAAAATTATTACACAGAATATAAAATTTTCTCCCCCCTGCTTGTGATGTTGACATGTAGTTACTGTCAGACTGGTTTGTGCTCAAGTCCTCTGTTTTCTGTGCAGCTCCGTTTGTAAAAGTTATTTGGGGGTTCATGTTTTCTATGATTGACACTTGATACAGCCTATGGGCGTACAAAGATTGCGTAGCTCACCCAGGGGGCGATATTTTTTTTTCGCAGAATGGTAAGGGAAGGTCCTGCCTCCTTCGCCTCTAAATGCAGAAATAACGAGAGCTTTTCAGTTTCAAATCCGTATACTGGTTGAAGGCGTAACCAAGTTGTCCATAGTAAATTCAATCTATGAGTGAAACCAGGACAGGTGAGGTCTGATCTTCAGGTGAGCATCTCAGCCTGTTAGCTGGACTGTCAGTGTCCCCTGTCCTCACGGTGTGTTTGTTTGTGCTCCTGCAGGTGAAGGACTCTGAGGATCGAGCACGTGAGAGAGCTCAGTCTGCAGAGGCTCGGGTGGCAGGTCTGGAGCAGAGAGTCTCAGAGCTTTCAGAGCTGCTGGGTTCCTGCGAGAAGACCCGGCAGAGAGACCAACAGACCGCTCAGAGGCTCAGAGACCGGATCCTGCAGCTGGACACTGAGAATAAGACGCTGGCCATGGCGACGTCCAGCAGGATGGGCGGGGACCTGGGTCTGGACGAGTCCCAGCTGGATGTGGTCGCTCTGAAGGAGAAGATGGAGAAGGTGAAGAAGCTGCTGCTGCTGGCTGTGCAGAAGAACCCGGACCAGAACATCCAGAACCTGACAGAGATAGAGGCAGAGGTGGGTGGGGAAAAAGGCTCAGCGCTCGTCTACCAACAGGAACTACGTCAGCTCAGGGATGAGTTCGAGCGCTACAAGCTGCGGGCGCAGGTGGTGCTGAAGAACAAGAACACCAAAGATGGCTGCCAGGCCAAAGAGCTGGAGGAAGTGCGTGACCAGCTCGCCGAACTGAAGGAGAAGTACATCAACCTGCGGATCCAGAGCGATGAGGCTGAAGCTGCGCACCACGGCCAGCTGGATGAGCGGCAGCAGCAGGCGGCAGTGCTGCAGCAGTCTCACAAACAGGAAATGGAGCGGGCAGAGGCGCTGCACCGTGATGAGCTGCTGCGTCTGGAGGCGGAGCTCCACAAACAGAGGGAGAGGACCATGGCGCTGCTGGATGAGAAGGACCAGGAGCTGGAAAGGCTGCGGGCTGCTGCTTTCAGCTGCGCCAACAACACTCCAAAGATGGCCGATGACGAGCCCAACCCCGGCCCTGAGACTGAGGGTGACATCATCAGTCAGGCTCTGCGGCGGGTCACGCCCAATGAGCCGACGCTGCTGCTGTACGCTGAGCAGCTGGCCAGGAAGGAGGTGGAGGTGGGTGGATTGCGGCGGCAGAAACACCGGCTAGAGGAGGACGTCCACCAGCTGCAGGCCAAGCTCATCGCCAACGGAGAACGCCACGACGAGGAAGTCTCGGAGCTGCGAGGACATCTGGACAAACTGACCCGAGACCGCAGCAGAGAGGGCGCCAACATGGAGTACCTGAAGAACGTCATATTTAGGTTCCTGACACTGCAGGACAACAGCGGACGGCAGCAGACGCTCACCGCCATCCTGACCATCCTGCACTTCAGCCCGCAGGAGAAACAGAGCGTGATGAGGCTACAGGGCGCCACCTGGTGGACAGCCAACAGGAAATAAAACACCTAAAGAAGAAATTTTAAGTTTAACGGGGCAGCTGAGACTCTGCAGGATGCTCGGACGGTCTCTGACGATCCTCTGACAGTTAAATCGTTTAAAAATATTTAGTTTCTGTCAGCTGCTCCAAAGTTCCTCTGAACTCTGTAAATAAAATTATTTAAAGTTCAGTATCTGACGGCTGTCACTGTGATTAAAAACATTTTAAAGTAACTTTATTCTCTCCTCAGATCATACCTCTGTATATTTTTGATTCTTGTTCAAATTAAACTATTTTCCTGCTTCACTGACTGTTCAATTTATTTTGACGTTTCAGTTCGTCTCCAGGTGATCACATGATGTCAGAGTGCAGCTCAGGTGAAGGTGTTAAAGTTTAAAAAAAAAAGTTAAATAATCCGTGTTTTCTTAATTTTCTGCACAAATCATAAACTTTAAATTTTAAGATTTTCATTTCTAATCATTTGTAGCTCCTGAATCTCAAAATCTTAATTTAATGAAATAAAGATGAATAAAAATTTTAATCAGTAATTTGCACCTGGTGAGATTAAACAAACATAAGCAGCGGTGATTATAATTCAGGTTTTACTTAAAGAAAAATTATTTACAGAAACTTTAAAGAAACAAACGTCACAGTCATTTATAATAACATTATATCATTATTGTTTAGGGTGTTACATTCACTGACCAGTCTGTGCAGCGGTGATACAAAAAACAAAAACAATCCAATCATAAAAAAAAAACAAAACATTTTTATCATGAAATAAATTAAAAACTATTTGATTTTAAGTTTCAAATGAAAACAAAATAATTCCTCCATCAACGTAAACAAAGGTCGCAGTTTTTCTAACATAACTTAGTCGGGTCCAGACAAAACTAATGAACATATTAGTGTTTTAATTATGTGATCAAGTTTAAATATTTTAAACATTTTTATCCTCCAAACATCACAACTCCTCATCCTCAGTCCCTTTTCGACTAAACAAAAAATTCCAACATGAAACATAAAAAAAAAAAAAAAGAAATAATAAAACAAAAAAAGGACAAAAAATTAAGACTGACAAAAACAGTGAAAAAAAAAACTAATAAGGAAACAATGAAAAACAGCAGCTTGGGTCTCAGACTCTGTGCTCAGTCTGATCCAGTTTAACCTCCTTAATCTCAGATTATTTAATCCTGACTCCACTAATCCACAATAATCTGAATTTTCACTGATTGGAGGATGAACATTTCAGACTAAACCTTAAACTTTCTGAAAGTGATTTATCGTCAAACAGCTGTTAACTAACTAAAAACTAACTGTTAACCTACAGTTCACTAACTCTTAACTAGCTGTTAACTATCTTTAGTGTGTTTATTGTGCGTCTGTGTTGAGTGTGTTAACAGTGTGTTATTGTGTGTTGAGGACAGTCTGCAGGTCTTCAGGCAGGGAGCCGATGATGGAGTGAATGAAATCATCCAGTTTGTTTAAAACTCCGTCTCTCACCTGCAGCTGCTGCCGCCGAGCTCTCACCTGGAGAAACAAACGCTGAAATTAGAAACAGCATCGTTTCCTGAAAGGGGTTAAAACACAATCTGGATTTATGTTTTAAGTTTTTTCTTCTTTCAGTTCTTAGAAAATCTCACCATCTTCTCTCTGAGCTTCAGGACCAGATCCACAATCTCCACCTCAGACTTATCCTTAGTCCAGCCCAGCAGATCCTGCAGGAGACAGCAAAGGTGAGCGACAAAGGCAGCAGGACAGAGGAGCAAGACGAGTAAAGAAGACAAGTCAGCGACAAGAGAGAAGAAAACAGGTGAGCTAAACGTAATGGCAGGACAGGTGAACAGACAGGTGTTGGGAATGAAAATAAAGGTTTGTACAGGAAGATCTGGGAGTTCAAAATGGGGCCCAAGTGTTCAGAGAGGGTCAGAGCAGTGACAATTTTAGAAATGATGAACAGATGAGTGACTCACAGCGTCACAGATGACCTCCAGGTGCAGACTCTCCAGCTTCTGCGTCATCTCTTTGTGCCGTTGGCGATACCAGCCGTCAAAGTTTGGAGACCTGAAGAACTTCCTGTAACAATTTCAAAATAAAAGCATGATCAAAGTTAAGGTTAATGTGGATTTATACGATACATTCCTGCACACCTGAGAGACTCACCTGTACAGTCCCATCCAATCCCCTTTAAGCAGCGAGGTGAGCTGAGGCCCTGTGTGCTCCAGAGTCGCCATGAACTCGTCCTGACTGAATGGCCGCACCTGAGGAGGAGTCTTAACACACATACACACACAAACGCACACACACTCTATCATAAAGGTGTCTTCACCTAGTTCATTACATCACTGAGAGGTTATCAAACGTCCTTTTTACCTTCCATGCAGTCACCGACCTCTGAAGAGGCATCAGGCTCGCCATGTACCGTTCCTGAAAGACAAAACACAGATAAGTGTACCTGACAGACTAAACGCAGGGATAACTGCACTTGCCAAACTAATCACAGGGAAAACTGCACCTGACAGACAAAACAAAGGGATTTCTGATCCTGACAGACAAACACAGGGCAAACTGCACCTGACAGGCTAAATTCAGGGAAACTGCACTTGCCAAACTAATCACAGGGAAAACTGCTCCTGACAGACAAAACACAGGGATAACTGCACCTGACAGGCTAATCACAGGGATAACTGCACGCTGAAAAAGGTTAAAATAAGTGTTTTTTATCACTAAGTAAGGTGTTGCCAGGTGTATTTAACCCTCAGAGTGCTGAAGCGATGTGATTGGTTGTCTCACCAGCGGGATAATGAAGCTCTGTGTCAGCTCTAACAGGTGTCTCCTGATGATAGCGCTCTGGACCTCAGATGGTCGCTTTCTCTGGATACCCTGCAGGTAGACAGACACACACACACAGGTGAGTGTGTGTGTTAGACTTTCAGGTGTGTTAGCGTTGGCGTGTTTTTTTTCACCTTCAGTAGTCTCCTGATCAGGATCTTGTCTTTGTGTAGAAATGACCTGAATGCCGTGTAAACACCTGCAAACAGGAGGTGACAGTTAACAAAATAAAAGCACTGTCTTTGTGCAGAAACAACCCAAATTTTATTTTGAAGGGAACAGAGGAATAAAAGAGAGTCATGTGACCTGGTTTGGTGTCCAGTGTCTTTAGTTTGGACAGTTTCTTTACCTTCACCTGTTTGGGTAAATCACCTGGAAGAGTAGAGACAGAAAGGACAGGGGAGTCATCACGTCACTATGACATCACTTCCTGTGTTTACGTTTTTCTTACCTGACATCTTAATTTCTCCGAGCCGTACTACATGAGGCCAGCTCTGAAATGTCTTGATGAAGAACGGGTTAGTGACGCCCAGGACCACGCTGGGCCTGCAGAGACAGACAGGTGAGAGGGAGACACTTACAGTAGTTTGTTGGATTAATCAGTTCAGGTGTGTTCATTCAAGTGTGTGTTCATACAGGTGAGCTCAGGTGTGTCAGATACTCACGGGGCCTGTGTGCGGGTGGTGTACTCTCTGAACTCGCTGTCATGGATGGTGAAGTATGGACGGAAGTCGCAGCAGAACTTCAGAGGACTGATGGAGCTGAGAGAGAGAGGACACGCTGTTACCATGGCAACAATACAAATTCTTCTCCCTGATTGGCTAAGTGGGACTGAATAAACTCTAACATCATAGTTAAATTAATATTTTCAGTTGATAAGTTCGTGGAGGGTTGTTCTGTCTTCAAAGTTGTCTGTAATCCTCCTACAGGTTCTCAGCAGACTCTTAGCAAGGACTCTGACTGGTTGCTGTCTTACCTGACGAGTGCCAGCACAGTTTCTGAGGAGACGGTGGGAGATGGCGCCATGATGACCAGCGGTTCTCCGAGCAACACAAGCTCCCAGAGCATCTGCAGGTGAACCAGGACGGACTGGAAACACCTGAGAGGTCAAAGATCGTTAAATATCAAAAATAATTAACAGGAATTTAAAATCCGACTCATTTTATTGGACTTGAATGATATTATAAATTTTATGATTATACAATTTTTTAAGGTTTACTACTTTAATGTATAAATATGAAAAAGAGACGTAACGAATATACATTAAAACAATTTAAAAATATATATAAATTAAATAAGTAAATAAATAAACATAAGCAAATGAATAAATTGATTATCAGATAAATATAAACAGGCAAACAAATGGAAAACAAAATTAAAACGAATTAAAATAAATACACAAAATATAAATTAACAGAATTGTAAGTAATTGAAATAAATAAAAATGAATGAATCAATCTAAAAATAAACAATTAAAAAATTCAAAATTACAATAAATCAATGATAAATAATATAAATAAATCAACCTTTGTAAAAATAAATACAATAACAGATAAATTAAATAAATCGATAAACTAAGACATAAAAAGTAAATAAATGAATTCAGTACAGACTTGAAAAGGTCGAGTTCATGGATGGTTGGCAGCAGGGTTGGAGTGGGAAGGAGGTCCTGAGGAGACAAAAATTAATCAATAAAATTAAATTAAAGACAAAATTTTATCATTAGTTTAAAGTTTGTTTGCTAATAAAGAGTCACTTCTTGTTCCTGACCTCTCGAGCCACCTGTCTGACCGGACTCCCCCCTGGTTTGTCTGATTTTGAAGGAATCCGCACCTGGAAAACGAAAACATCTTCAGTTTGTAACCTTAGCCCTTGTTCACACTTTTAGACCACGCCCCCAAAACTCACCTGTAAGACCATGCCCATCACAGGCAGGTTGAGGGTCTGTCCAGGTACAGGTGGAGGCCACTGATCAATCTCATTACACACTGTGAGGAAACATGACATGTATAAGATGATAGAGTAATAATTGATTTGATTGGCCCATTATTGTGATGTAACTATGATATCATCACCTGTTTCCAGACACGGCTCAAGCTTCTCAAAGAACTCTGGAGCAACGAGCTGCAGCAGAGCGTGGAACAGGTGAGTGTACGGCAACCTGGACACCAGCACCAGAGACTGCAACACACCGTCACATGATCGATATCACATGATCAATGTCACAGAGTTCAGTTTTTTAAACTTTTTAACCAGCTGGTTTTATTGTCAGCACGCTCAGTGAAGCACACAGCCTGAGGTACCAGAGACAGGAGATAACCAGCTTCTTCATACCTGAGATATTGACATGAGGCTTCAGGATATAATCCAGATTACTCAAAGTAATACTGAGTGTGATGACCCAGATATGACAGAGGTGTGAACAAGTTCAAACAGATGTGAGCAGATGTTTTAAGGTGTAAACAGGTGTTGGTAGATGTGGACAGGTGTGGACAGGTGTGTCTAACCTTCTGGAAGTATCCTCTCTTCACAGAAACATCCTTCACCTGCCTGAAATAAACAAAACCGAAGAAATGGGACGATTCAGTCTGCAGAGAGAAACACAGACAGATATTATTATTATTTCTACTTGGTTTAAATGAAAAATGTAGTAAAATCTAGTTTATCTCGTCATTATCGCAACAATTTTTTTTTCAAATAATAATAATAATAATTATACTACTACTATAACTACTACTTCTAATGATAGTTAAACTGATCGTTATCTCAAATATGATTATTCTACATGCTATGTTATACTATTAATGATGTGTCTCTGACCTGCAGGGCGACCAGAGCGTCTCTGTTGTAAACATCCTCTCCTCTCCACGTTGCTCTGCGTCCGACTGACTGACGTAACCTGAAGCTGAACTGAGTGTCCCCGAGGCATCCTAGAAAATGAAGTTTAAAATGTGACCCCTGACCACTTATCCCCCTCAAACACATGCACACACACGCACAGCTGTTCACTATATCAAAGTTTACCTGAGTATGAGTCAGGAAAGGACAGGTAGCAGATGCTGGTTTTCTGTCAAAATATAAAAACATGCAATCAGTATAGTTGTATGTGATAAATCTATATTTAACATATATGTCCTGATTAAACTAATCAGAGGAGATCAATGATGTTACCTCTTTCTCAGTGAGCTTCACATCCTGAGGATACACCAGCTGGGAAAACACCAAAACACAGCAGTCAGAAATTATGATCCAGAGTTGCAAACGCAAAGGATTGATTTCAGATTGACATGCATTTTTTTTAACCAGAGTTAGAATAAATTAAACAAAAAACTATGTTACGGAATAGCCAAACCAAACCTCATTCAGATTTCTATTAATTTATTAAAGGTCAGTCTGTCAAAGTCTCCTCCTCCTATGAATAAAACCACTGCCAATTATTTCAATGTAAATGTACAATTACTGTGTTTTCTAATAATCCATCTGATATAATTTACCGCAGATTGACCAAATTGTTTTAAGATGATGATCTAGAAACCGTTTCACTATGATCAACTCTTATAGTGATAAGCATCTTAACTTTTGTTTGATGTTTTGTTTATCTATGTAGTTTTATTATTGTTAATGTACTTTTACATGTTGTATTTGTTAACCGAACTCCTCACAGACTTAAATTAAAATAATAAATTACTACATTCTATCACTTAACTATAGACACTGCTCTGAAATAATGGCACACACAAAAAACAGTAATTTTATAAAGGGTGTTTGGTTCACCTGTCACCGGCACAGTAACCGGGTGCTCTTTTCCTCTTTATCATGTGTTTCTGCCGTTTGAACACCTGAACTAAATCAGCGATTATTCGACTAATTATCTGTTCAACAATAACCCTGATGAGAGGCACGCTAACGATGCTAAGCTAACAGCTGTACCTCTATGGCTTGTCCAAGCTCCAGGTCGAAGGTAACGACACACACGCACTCCAGCCAGCAGGAGAAGCGGGCCCACGGACACCGACTGTTCCTGCGCTCTGCTTCCTCCATCCGCGGGGAACCGGAGACGTCCAACGGGTCCATCACGACCGTATCACCGCTCCGAGACCTCCATCAGTCCTCCACCGGTTCTCCTCTGGTCCTCCATCACAAGAAACAAGGGACAGACATCGGAGAGCTGCAGAGGGCGGATGGTGCCTCCTGCTGTAGGAAATAAAGAACTGCACCCCGGAACAACAACACCCCTTTTTAATTTTGACATTATTATTATTATTTTTAAATTTCAGTTCCCGTCTCTGTGCTACTTTGTACGGCTTGGAAAAAAAATCTTCCCTGTTTTTCCGGATTAACAAGAAAAAGTTGCAATAACAACGAGTTAACGTTTTTGACACATTTATTTTTTGAGAGTGTACTCTTTAAATCAGAATAAAAAACATTTTATTTATCAACAAAACCTTCTCATTATTTTCAGATAATGTGTTTAATGAAATAAAGTTATTTCATATTTTTAAAATAATTAACAAGAAGAACTTTATTAATCCCCGAGGGCAAATTGAATTTCATTATTATTATTATTATTATTATTATTATTATTATTATTATTATTATTATTATTATTATTTATTTATTTATTTATTTATTTATTTATTTATTTCATTATGTATTTTTTGTTCATTTTATTCAGAAAATCAAGGAGTCGTTTTATTCATGAAACTCTTTGTTATCTAAGACAACACCAATTTCCATGTGAGTTTTTTTCAGTTGCTAAAAGATATAAAATGATCATTTATTTGTGAATAAAAGCAGATATTCCGCCGCACCATGCATCGATATTGTTTTATTCTGAAAGGGCCGGTCCCGGATGTTTGTGGAGCATGTTCCGGTTGATAGCCGGGTGTCAGTCAAACACTTGATTCAGTCTCTCAGTTGATATCAGACCGTCAACATGTCCTCGGACCCGTGTTCCTTCTCCTCTTTCACCAGGTGCATCACCAAACACCTGAACCTGACCCTGCGCGTGGACTTCGACAGACGGAACATCCGGGGTCAGGTGGAGCTGACCGTGGAGGCTCTCGAGGACCGTTTCTCCTCTCTGGTAACGTTTCCGAACCTGGTCCTCTGCTGCATGTTAGCTGGAGAGCTAACGAACGTACCGAGTGTTCTGATTTCAAACCGTGTTTAAAGGTCTTGAAGGCATCACCTTATCCAAACTGAATTGATTTGCACATAAAGAAAATAAATGATCAATAATCACCAAACAGTGTGTAAAATAATCAATACAAACAGTAACGGTAGATGAACATTTAACTACTCCGACTGTTTCGTCTGTAAACTCTAAAGATTTCTGATTTTGTGATCCGTAAATAATGAAAGGATGAATTAAAATGAAGATTTGTAAACTAACTCTCAGGTGTTAGTTTGGACTTTGCCCTGGAGGCAGAGCTGTCATAGTCAGACAGGTGTGTAAACCAACTCTCAGGTAACTCAATCCATGTTTTTACACAGCGGTAAGAGTATGTCAGGTGTTTTAGTTTCACTTTATAATGTGATAATTTGAAACTAATCCAAAAACTGTAACTGGATAACACTTGAGTTGTTTCTTATCTAAACCTATCTTTTGAAGGCCAATTTCATTCTTTGTAAGAAACCCAGACAATACAAAAACCCTACATGATAAAATGAGACCATGAGGACCAAAATAAAAATATAAAATAAGTAAGAAAAAGAAATGTCATAAAAAACGGAGGGTAGAAAGCAGGAAACAGGATAGTAAATATAAAAAGACAATATTTATAATGATAATAAAATCAAAACAAAATAACAATGATGGTAATAGTAATGATAAAATGAAATAACAAAAATGAGCAGGAAAAAAAACAATAAAATCAATAAAAGGCCTAAAAGGTTGAATAGGAAAAGATGATAAGTAAAACAAAGTCTTAAAAGACAGTAAGGTGAAATAAGATAGAGGTAAAAGAGTTAAAAGAGAAACAAGACATTACATTTCAAATCATTTTTATAAATTTATTTTTTTATTTAAAAAAAAAAAACTACAAATTTTTCATCCTGAAAATATCAATTTAAAAAGCATTTTTTTTTATGTGTGACGGTTTCAAAGGAGTTCATGATTCCTGGACTTTGACTTACAGGTTGATTTATCAGGACAGGTCTTATTTTATCAAAGTATGTGTGTGTGTGTGTGTGTATCATAGAGTGTGTGTAATTATTATTATGGGTAATATTTTTGCTGGACTTTGACTGAGAGGATGAATTGTAAGTGCAAAGTGTGACAGGTACGTGTTTATCTGCAGGTGTGTGTCAGTGCTGACTCTGCTGTAACTATTCTGATTTTACTATTTATCCACTACGACTCTACCATCAGAAAGTGCAATATCACTCACCATGCTGCTATTTTACCCCTCAGTTTTTATTGTTTTTATTCATTTTTTCTGTATATTAAATTAAACATCATCATGCTGTGATATGGAAGCCAAGCAACAACAAATCTCTGCTGTGTTTTATTCTGTCTAATGACAAAAAAATAAAGTCTAAAACCTAGGTGTGTGTGTGCTTTTCTTTAACTTGCAGACTTTAGACACCAGAGACCTGAACATCATCTCTGTGAGGGCTAATGGACAAGCGGCCACTTTTACGATGGGCCCCAAACACTCCTTCAAGGGGACTCCACTGGAGATCACGCTGCCCTTTGACCTTTCCAGGTGAGCCCCCCTCCTCCTTTTTCCTCAGGTGAGGTCTTTTCAGATTAAAATGTACTGATGTATTTGTGCTCTGGACCAATCAGAGGGCAGCAGGTGATCCTGGAGGTCACCTATGAGACGTCTCCTTCTGCGACCGCGCTGCAGTGGCTCTCACCTGAGCAGACAGCCGGGAAGAAGCACCCCTACCTGTTCAGCCAGTGTCAGGTGACCATGCACGTACACACACACACACACACACACACACACACGGACAGTAGCTTTTTCCACACAGTAATTTCAAAACAGTGCTGTAACTTCTCGTCTGTACTCAACTTAAACACTGTAATATTTGCTGTAATATCAGTGTCCAAGTGTGATTGCACATCCTATTACAGCTTCAGGGAAGTGTGAAAGATACAGCTCGATTACACACACAGCCAGAGCTTCGCATACACACACACTGAAATGTGCACACACACACACACACACACACACACACACACACACAGAGTGCAGTTCTGCCCGGCCTGCCCTGACTCTCCTTCCCTTTATGTCTCTTCTGTTACTTCCTCTGAGGAAGAATCCGGTGGAACTACTTCACCAACATCACACTATCACACCCTATATAGGTGTGTGTGTCTGTGTTTGGTGTGTGTGTTGTAATTTGTATGTTGTAATGAAGTGTTTCTGAAAAACTGTTTTGACAGTTTGTTCTTCTTCTTTTTTCTTCCTGTTCACAGGAGTTTATGTATTTTTTGTAACAAACTGTGTCTTAACGGCTGTTGCTGCAGCCATGAAGACATCACCTCCACAGTTTCTGTTCAAATCATCATAATAATTTATTAATCGTTATGTTTATATTGATATAATTTAATTAAACTAATCTCGACTTCAAATCACAGCAGTCTGAACTGTAAAATAAAGAGAATGACTCCCTGATTTTTGTCTTACAGGCTCATCACTGCAGGAGTATGATTCCTTGTCAGGACAGTCCATCTATCAAACACACCTACTATGCACAGGTAACCTACACACACATCAACTTGTGTTTTCCCCCTGTTTTGTCTGCCAGGTGTTACATCTGTACAAGGGCTGCAAAGTATTGAGAAGATAAAGATACTGAAAAATTTGCAATATAAGATAAAGGAATACATGCAGGAATGAATACAGTTGAGCTCTACTATTTGCCCTGAGTTTAGTCTGCCAGGTGTGACCTGTATGCCCTGTGTCTTGACTGTCAGGTGTGACCCTTTGTCTTGTTTTTTGTCTATCAGGTGTCTGTTCCTAAGGACCTGGTGGCGGTGATGAGTGCAATGAGGGACGGACAGGCAGTGGATCCTCAGGATAGTAACAGAGTGGTGTACAGGTTCAGACAGCCGGTCAGTCTCTCTTCTTCTTCTTCTCTTCATCAGAGTGTGGCTGTTGTTGGTGTTATTGTTGTAGTTGAGAGTCTGTAAAAATACAGAAACATTTATATTGATATGTTATTCTCCTTTATTTATCCTTAATCCTGAGCTCTGATGTTTAGTGACACTTTGACCTTTGATCTTAGGTGCCCATGCCCTCTTACCTGATCGCCATCGTGGTGGGAGCTCTGGAGAGCAGGTAAGCTCTGTCTCACCTGTGAGTGATGTCATGGTTCACCTGCTGCAGGTTAATAGTGTTCTGTGCTCTGATTGGTTGACAGAGAGATCGGGCCACGCTCAAGGGTGTGGTCAGAGAAAGAGTTTGTGGATAAAGCTGTATTTGAGTTCTCTGAGGTAACACACACACAGAGACACACAGAGACACACACAGACATGTGTTGATGCTGAAGTTAACCGCCTGTAAAAGAATCATTTAGAATAACCCTCTCCCCCTCTCAGACAGAGACCATGCTGAAGACGGCTGAGGATCTGGCTGGTCCATATGTTTGGGGTCAGTACGACATCCTGGTTCTTCCTCCTTCGTTCCCCTACGGCGGCATGGAGAACCCGTGTCTCACCTTTGCCACGCCCACACTGCTGGTACACACACACGCACATAAATGAACACACAGGGACCACTTATACATAATTTTTCTGCATATATTTGAATATTAAGTCAGTGTGTATTAAGTGTCACAGCTGATTACTGTTTGTTTACAGGCTGGAGACAAATCTCTGTCCAATGTGAGTATCAAACACTATTACTGCCCACCTGTTCACCTGCAAGCAGATCCACCAGCTCACCTGTTCACCTGATCATGTTTATGTGTGTTATAAATGTTCCTACCTGTTCAGGTGTTGACAGACTTGTGATTCTTCCTGACAGGTGATCGCTCATGAGATCTCTCACAGCTGGACAGGTAACCTGGTGACCAATAAGACATGGGAGCACTTCTGGTAAATAAACACACTGAGTGTTTCTTTATACAGGTGTGATTTATTATCGGTATATAAGTTGATAGAAAGGTAAGGGTGTTACTAAATAAAGGGGGTGTGGTCTTTACCTGGTGCTCAGGCTGAACGAGGGTCACACGGTGTACCTGGAGAGGATGATCGGCAGGTGCATGGAGAGCGAGCAGTTCAGACAGTTCAAAGCCATGGGGGGCTGGAAGGAACTGCAGGACTCGGTGAGGACCTGGACTTGTTATCAAAGATGATACAACCTGTCTGACTTTAAGCTGAAAGGTGTATTTTCTTCCTGTGTCTCACCTGTCTGTGACATCACCCAGGTGAACACGTTTGGAGCAAATAACCCCCTGACGAACCTGATCCCCAGCCTGCAGGATGTGGACCCTGATGACGCCTTCTCCTCTGTGCCCTATGAGAAAGGATTTGCTCTGCTGTATCACCTGGAGGAGCTCATGGGGGGGCCAGGTAACACCTTTATGACATCACTTTAGAGTGTCTCACCTGTATGACATCACAGCAGAGTGTCTCACCTGTGTTTCTGTCACAGAGGTGTTCATGGGCTTCGTGAAGTCGTACATCCAGATGTTTGCTTACAGCAGCGTCACCTCAGAGGAGTGGAAGAATTACCTGTTCACCTACTTCAAAGACAAGGTGAGACCCACTTCTTAAAGGGATATTCCGGCGTAAAATTTATTTTGCGCCAAATACACCACAATACAGAGTTTGGCACCCCCCCCAAGAGATGAATGTTGCCAACCACTTGCTTCTCTAGTTATACCGACTTTAGTAACGACCGCACGATAGCAATACACAGCAGTCTGAGGAGCCCGTCATCATTCATCTCTTGAGGCGGTGTCTAACTCGGTGTTACAGTGTGTTTGACCCTAAATCAGGTCCTGTTGGTCCTGGGACGGGAGGATCAGGACCTATTGTGTCAGCTTTGTCCTGGACCTGAAAGTGTGTTGGACAGTGACTCACCTGTGCTTGTTTCTCAGGTGGACATTCTGAACAAGGTGGACTGGAATGCCTGGATGTTCACACCTGGGATGCCTCCAGTCAAACCTCAGTGAGTTTAGACCTTCATCAAGTCCTCTTGCTCTCTTCTGGTCCAGGTTCCAGAGTCCTGACGGTTCTTTGTTTGGTTTCAGGTATGACACCACGATGGCGGACGCCTGCATTGCTCTGTGCCAGAGGTGGACCACGGTAAGACCTGGATCTCACCTTGACCTGGTTCTAGTTTTTCTGTTCAGAAAGTAACCTCCCCTACTCCACTTTTAGGCCACAGAGCAGAACCTGAGCAGCTTCACAGAAGCAGATGTGAAGAGTCTGTCGTCCCACCAGATCATCGAGTTCTTGTCGCTACTGATCCAGGAGGTAATCCACTTTGGACCAGTACAAACCACTTCGTCAATTCAGTTTACTCTAGTCCACTTATGTAGTGACTTTTTTCCTTCAATAGAAAGGTTGCTGGGGTTGAGGTTCGCTTGCATCTGTGACTCGTTTGAATTATAAGTCCGGTTTAAGTGTTAAAAATTATTTATTGTTCAAAAAAGGAAAGAAAACAGCTGATCCAGGTCCAAATCCTTTACCTTCAAATGAAAAAAGTGACATGCTGAAATGAGGTTAAAACAAGACGAGTGAAACAATAAAAACGATGAAAAACGGTCAACAGAAAATTATCAGAGCTAACCACCACCATTGTCTGACTACAACGGTGAGATTTAAATAACCCGCCAAACATCCCAAAACCACACCCCTCAGTGACGATACCTATTAGAAATCAAACTCAACAAATATATTTTGGCTCCTACAACTTAAAACAACCAATCTACTGTAGACCTCTCTGTGAACTTCAGTCCCCTGTGTCCTCTCTCCAGAATCCTCTCCCTCTGTCTCACGTGAAGAAGATGCAGGAAGTCTACAACCTGAACGCCATCATGAACTCAGAAATCCGCTACAGGTGAGTCACATCCTCTGTGTTTAGCCCCTCCCACTCTCAGTCTTTGACCCCTCCCCTCTCAGGACACGCCTCCTCCATTACCTCCCTCTGACTGGCTGTTGTCCCTGCAGGTGGCTGAGGTTGTGCGTTCGGTCCAGATGGGAGGAAGCGGTCCCGATGGCGATGAAGATGGCGACAGAGCAAGGCCGGATGAAGTTCACCCGTCCTCTCTTCAAGTGCGTACGCTGACCTGTCACCTGGCGTTTATTAAACCGCGTTCGGTTTAACTCACATGTGTGTTTGTTTGTTTGTTTTTCAGAGAGGTGTATAATTTTGAGAAGTTCAGGGAGTTGGCTCTTCAGATGTTCCGGGATCACAGAGCAGCGATGCACCCGGTCACCGCCGGACTCGTCGCCAAAGACCTGAAGGTGGACGTCAGCCTGTAACCATGGAAACCAGTCTTTTAAAACAACGAAGCCAGTCCATAATCAGTATTTACACACGTTTTGAGCACACACACAATGTGTTTAATTCTACACACTCACGTTATAAACACACACAGTGTATCACAGTGACAGTCACAGCTGTTCCCTGTTGTTTCCTGTCTGTGATCAGCTGATTTGTAAACTTCCTGTCTGCAATGTAAACGTTTCCTCTCAGGGAAAATAATCAATTCTTAAATAAACGGATACATAAAGAAACTGCTGTTTTTAATGTTCGATCAGGAGAAATGGAGGAAAGATCAGAGGAGAGGAGACTCGCCTGAGCTGATTCTGTTCCAGTTTTGTAAACAGGAAGTAGAAATTTTGAAGATGTAGTTTACATGTTTGTGCATCACTGTTGAAATATACATGTCTTTTTGCACAGTGTGAAAAACTGGTATAATGTGTCTTAGACAAGAACATTGTGCACTTGGACTGAGATGATATGCTTTTCTCCCGATTCAATTCTTCTACGATTTTTTTAGGTGCCGATTCGATTTAAGATTGCGATTCTACGATATTGTCGATTTTCTCGATTTTTTTAATCTGCATTTTTTAACATCAGTGAAACAGATGGATGATTATGATTGTCTACTGACTATTCCAGGAACCATATTTCCCCTAAAAATACACATCACATGTAAGTCAGTTTTTCAAATTTAATCTTAAATTTGAAAAAAAAAAAAAGAATTTTGAGCTTAAAAAATACGAAAATAAAAAATTGCGATACTTATGTGAATCAATTTTTTTCTCCCAGCCCTACTGTGCACATGCAGTTTTGGTCACTTTGAATAGCTTTTCTTTAACCTTACTAACACTTTTTACCCTTGGGGTCAATCTGACTCCAGGGATATGATTTACATACAATTTTAGACCATTGTTGATTTTTTTTGTGTCAGGCACTTTGTTTATTTATTGAATATATCAATAACCCCTTGATAATGAAACCTGTAAGTGAGTTGACCTGTCCTCTGGTGCCACCATCAGGCCAAACTTCAAACTTACTGACAACCTTAATGACCACAAGAGGATAAACCCCATTGGTTTTGGTGATGATATGACCTTTCGTGCAGCACTACCATCAGGTCAAACTTTCAGAAAAATTTTCCATCCATATCTTTGGGGTGCACATTCATGACTCTCACAGAATGAACCAACGACGGCGCCCCTGAAATGCAACCAAGACAGTCCCCTGGAGGCCTGGATTGTAAAACGGGTGAACGCTGCAAACACTTGTCACAGACTTCTCTTATTGCTGCAAGTTTGTCACATTGTTTGGTAGTCATGAAAGCATCTGACACACTGAAGGTTTTACCAGCTCAGGTCTGTGTGACTGTGAATCAACATAACAGATAATGATGATGAGGTTTATTTGTACATATTCTAACTTTAACTGCTTTTTAAAGAGTCCAAATCAGAAATATTCAGACAGTTCAAATGAGCTCTTCACCCCACACTTTCTCTCTTTTAGTAAAAATGAGTCAGAGGGATTTTAATAAGGTTTACCCTCTCCGTCTGCAGGGGGAGCCCTTGTTACATACAAAAGAACTGTCCCAGAGCAGAGTCAGAAACAAGAAATTACTTCACCAACAACCTTCATGTAGTTTTAATGTTTAAAGAAAAGCTGAACTAACTTGATAATGTCCATTAAGTCACCTTTTAAACCTGTGTTTACATTTTAAAGGTTATTTGCCATTTTCTTGTGTCATGAGCCATAAGATCAAACTACTGTAGGGAAATATCAGTGTTAGTGGTCTTCATGAATTACTGCTATAATACTTTGGGCACATTTGTCTCTTTGCTGGAACCCAGTATATATATTTTAACGAATTTCTCATGTATGCTATATGGTAATCAGGGCGGTTTATTTACCTTATTCCCAATAACGAAACGCTCTTGTTACTGATTTTCTGAGACACACGTGGGGAGTTTGAAAACCTGTTATTGGTGGATGATGTGCTCTGAGGTCCTGAGGTCCTGGGTTGCATTCCTTTACTGCAGGTCAAAAAGTGGTTTTCTAAAGAACAATGTGTTTGAAAAATCAAGTCCTGGAAAATGTCTCATGGTTTGCCGTTTCTGTTTTCTTGTTAGAATTGACTTTGCTCACTTTTACAAAATGATCATCATCTGAAAGAAAACTTGACAGCGAAATGGTTTGTTTTACTTTGGAAGCCTGTTTCTGCCAGTTTGAAATAAATGAAAAGTAAAAAAAAGGTTTTCATAAAAATGATATCCTAAATCATAATTATAAGATAGTATCTCATAAACAAAATATTATCATTATTATTATTATTATTATTATTATTATTATTATTATTATTATTATATTTATAATACAAATAATTAATAAATAAATCAGTATAGCAATAAATAAATTAATGAATAAATTAATATTAAAATAAAATATAATAATAATAATAACAACAACAATAATAATAATAATAATAATAATAATAATAATAATAATAATAATAATAATAATAATAATAATAAAACAGGCAGTAATTCACAATTTAAATATAGTCTATAATATAATCTGCTCAGATTTTGACCAAGACTCGTTGATTGGACAAATTCCCAATCCACGCCCTCACCATGTGCCTCCTGATTGGTCAATATCCCCCAGTGGGTTTGTTCAGGGGCGCGTGGACATTTAAACTACAGGCAGCGCGCGCCACCTTGATATTATGACTGAGCACGTGAAAAAGCAAACGCCAGCGTGTAAAGATAATCTGCAGATCGATATTTATTGATTCAGGTGTGATTGACGCCTCCTTTGTCGCAATGTTTGACCTGAAGAAGAGGAACAGTTTGACTTTGAACAGCTCTCGTGACTTGGAGGAGTTTAGACGAGTGGCTGTCAGACGCAAAGTTAAAGGTGCAGCTGTGGACGTCGACGCATCCCATACAGGTGAGGCTGAAAGATATCCACCAACACTCTTCAACACTTCACCAAAATTTTCTTGATATTCTGCACTTTGTTTGGATTAAAATAGACCTGTCTTGAGATGTTTGCCTACTAAACACCTTATAATGACTCTTCCAACTACAGGTAGGCATTGTGGAAGAGTTTATCCATGACTTTACCTCCACATTTAAGCCACTGTTGCTTTAAGACTTTCTGATATTAAATTCAAATGAAAACTAGCTTCTAATTCAAGATACAACATCTCTATTATTGTTGAAAGTAGGCTATTTGATACAAACTGGATGGTAAATTGTAGGCCAAGTTAGGATAGTTATGGCAAGAATTTAGTGTTGTTGTCAAATATACAATGACTGCTTATGAATTGAATGAAGCAATACCCACTATTTAAGTATTAACACACCCCACTGAAAAAACAGACACAATCTAAGTTTCTACAGTCTGAAGAAGGGGTCTGTTACTGTCGGTTACAGCATGTCCTCTCCTCATTGTGCCTGGCTCACATCACTAAGTGCTGATTCAGTTAAGTTCCTGTGGCATTCAATGAGTTATATGTGTGTGTGTGCATGTGTTAGAATTTTTGTTAAGACACACAGCCGGTGCCTGTTAGCCTCTTACTTGTTGGATTAGGCTACTGTGTGAAATCTCTTTCCCTGATTCAGCGTGGACTTTGCCTGTGTGTCTAAAGACTGCAGCATTTATCAATCCCTTCAACACACGCATAAAGCCGCTCTGTTCCCTCATTGAGGCAGAGCTTTTTGTTTAGATAGGGGGAAGAATGTGTGCACTAATGGTACTGTAAGATGCAGGATGCAACAGTGGAACCATCCACGGTGGAAATTACTCTTTGCTTTTTGTTACGCTTCTCAAAGAAACACTAGAAGCACAAGAAATAAATAAAAATGCAATGTCGAGATACAATTTTACTGTCTTAACACAACTACTCTAGGAGCTGAACAGTCACTTGTGTTTATCAAATGTTGTTTTTTGATAAGTTAACTAAATTAAGATGCGAAATATTCAGATTGGACCTCTTTGGATCAGAACAAATCTGCTCTTTGACATAAACCTATCTGGCAGATATCAAATTCCTCTAAATAATCTTTCTTTCCGCTCATATTTTTAAGTCAACATCCTAAACTTAATACTTTTTCTGGAACCTGCAGTGTTTGGAGTAGCTTTAGAGAATAAATACGCCAGTGGTGATAACAACGACTGCTTATTTTACCCCCACATGGAGTTTTTGACTGGTTGAAAAAATTGAAATTAAGCAGTCAAATGCGAAATTAAAACACTTTAATTTTGCCCACTCTTCTAGGTGTCATTTTATCAACAGGGAGGAGGTGCCAAAATGAACAAATTCCTCTCAGGAGCTTTAAATGAACATAACTATGTGAATAGACTTGCAGAACTAAAGGAAGTGGGCTGAGATTCCAGTGTCTTGGTGCAGAGAAGAAACAAATGCATGTATTCCTTCAATTCCCGACCAGGATGTAACCACAAACGCTCTGTTAAATGTCTATTTTAATTTTCTGGTACCTTTTTAACCAAACTGAACATCGTCTGTTAGATTCTGACATGAGTCTTAAGAGAAACAAAGGTTAGACTCCAAAGAGAAAAGGAAGAAGTAAGAAAGCAGAAGTGTAACAATGTTAAGAAAGTGATCTTAAGCACTTTCCACATGACCCATAAATCCCTTACTCCTAAGGAGAGCCAAGAGTGAACAGGAAAGCTGTTTGTCGTTATACAAGTATTGGATATTCTTGCGTAAGCGGAGAGATTGACTACAGGTAAGAAAACAAACAGCTGCGTGGTTTGATAGTAGATTGTTGTTGCAACAACTTTTAAGTAATGTTAGTGTGTCAAACAGGTCAGGGTACAGATTTTAAAGTGATGAAACGGCACTAAATGCTGAGTTGTGTGTTCAGCACAGACTGTTTCATATATTTGTCTTGCTTGTTTTCATTTGGTACAGCGGATTATATGATCAATAGTATATTATTATTTAGAGGCCAATACACATTGATTAGCTTTTATACAAATACTGATACGCTTTACTCTGACGTAGAGATGCAGTATGGGTACAAATAAGAACATGAAAGCAGCTCAGAAAGAGAAATAACAGACACAAACTATTACTTTCTTTCAAATTATGGGGAAAGATAAAGCCGTAACGGAACACAAACTACACATTCGTGACATTTAAGTGTTGGCGACATTTTCCATGCATATATATGAGGATGTACATTGCAAGCTCAGGAGGAACATGACCTCTGAATCATAGTCTGGAGAATGGTTTACATCTCAAATATAGATCAGAAGTAGTTTCTTTAGACTTGGCAAAAAAAAGAAAAAGGCAAGAATAGGAGAAGGAGATATTTGATCCAATGTTTGAGCTCAGGTTGGAAAAGAAAATGTGAAAAGTATCATCTTCTCAGCAGGAAATGAATATATTTGTTTCTACTCTAAAAAGTGTATTCCTTTTGTTTTTTTTGCAGCCAACACTGGAGTGTGCGGCTCATATACGAGTGGCAGTTCTTTCGACAGCTTCTGTGGACCGAAACCAACCTCTAAAAACGATCCAGAGAAACTGAAGGAAAGAAGCCCCGTGAAACGATCACCTTTCAAACCACAAGGTAGGTAAAAGACAACATCCTATAAAGTCAAATCCATCCATGTGTGTTTATTTGCATGATTAAAACTCATCCAGACATGTTTAATAGTACAAATTGAGCTCCTGACTTTATTAAGTATACGTAAGATAGCAATCTATACCTATATTTGTAACTCAGATTAATCTTGTTCATGATGTATTTGCAGTGCCTCCTAAACCGGCTCACTTGCAGAGTCCTCTGAGACCAGGACCTACTCAAACCCGCAGTCCTACAACAGAGAAATCACTACCTCAACATGTTAATGGGACTGACCACAGTCTCAAAAAAGGTTCTGGAGTTTCTGTGTCCTGTGCCAGCCCACCGGGGATCGGTCTAAGCTCCCAAACTCCCATCAGCGGAGGGGGAACCCGTTTTTTGAATGGAGTGTCTAGGACACAGATCAGCCCCGTTGGACACACCCGAGGGCTTCCAAAGCTGACAAGCAGTCCAGTTTCAGGATCTCCAAGTCCGGGCAAAAGAGGCATTCAGAGCTGTAGCCCATTGAGGGAAGGAGGGCACAGCCCAGCCAAGTTGTCCCCAAGAAACCGGAGCCCTCTCATAAGAAAGCTGCGGACCCCCAGCCCTGTTCAGGGGAAAATGGGGAGCTATAGTCCTGCCAAGAACTCTAAATCCTGGCTTGGGCTGCACAGAATCCCAAGTGGAAAGAACGAAGGGATAACGAAGAAAGGAGGGAAATCTTTGAGTGTGCCTGACTTGATTTTTTACTTGGAAGAAAGAAGGTTTGATTCTACATTTTTATACATTTCTGCACCCAAGGTTAGAAACATTCTAAATCATATATTTTCTCATTTTAATACACTTTTTATTTCCACAGAGAAAAAGCTGAAAGTCCTCCACCAAAACTGATGCAGTCACCCAGCCTCAACACGACGGCCATTATCATAAAACCACCCGCTATTGAAAGACTCAATCACTCCACAAGTGAAGCCCCTCCCCGGAGCAACAACATAGATCCTCCACCTCAACATATGAACGGTAATGTTCAGGGGAGAGTCCTTACAGAAGTAAACAGTAAAGGAATAGATGAAAAAATTAAGGATGGCAAAATATCGTACGGCTGTAAGTATTCCTGCCTGTGGAACGGGGCCACCACAGGAGATGACAAACTTAACGATGAGTCTAATGTTGAACGAAATGATGAGGAGAAGAGAGAAGAGAGAGAAGATGTTCAGCCAAGAGACGAAGAGAACACGGAGCAAAAGCTGCTCAAGATAGCCAATGAACTCCTGCAGACAGAGAGGGCGTATGTGGCTCGTCTTCACCTCCTGGACCAGGTCAGTTTGGACACCTTTGTAACTTCTCGCAATAGTTAAAATTCTGCAAAAAAACAATATAAACAATTACTTATCTTTATGTTTGCATAGTTCTTCTAGATTTAAAGAAGCAGGGATGTAGAGTACAAGATGGTAATTCTCGCCTTCCCGTGGTTACAGGTGTTCTGCTCCCGTTTAACAGAAGAAGCAGGTTGCGGCTCATTTCCTCCTGAGGTGATCAGAAATATCTTCTCCAACATTTCCTCTATCTACTCCTTCCACAGCCAGTTCTTGCTTCCTGACCTGGAAAACTGCATCAACCACTGGTAGGTGTGCCCTATAAAATCCGGAGACTAAATGCATTCATTGCAGTATTTGTTTAAGACCCTTTCATCCTTGATTTTTCCTCTTCCATGGAAACTAGGTGTGAGAGTCCAGGCCTGGGAAAAGTTCTGCTTCAACACGCGCCCTTCCTGAGGATGTATGCAGACTACGTCAGGAACTTTGACCAGGCCATGGAGCTGGTTCGGACCTGGACAGAACGCTCCTCTGCTTTTAGGAACATAATCCAGGACATACAGGTCGGAGAAGTTCAACCAGATGAGGTTTTTATCCCTGTGTATCTAAAAGTATGCAGATCTGAGTGTCATGCTTGTACTGTGTTGTACTTTAGAGTCAAGAGGTGTGTGGCAACCTGACCCTGCAGCATCACATGCTGGAACCAGTTCAGAGAGTTCCACGTTATGAAATGCTTCTCAGGGATTACCTCAAGAAACTGCCCGAAGATAACCCAGATTATGAGCTTGCTCACAGTGAGTAATCTGTACTCTCTCTAAATCCCATGTACGTAGATTCTGCATTCTTAGGTAGCTTGTGTTTACAGAGAGAGCTGTCTTTTGATCGGTTAGTCGACCATTTTCCTCGGTATGGGTTTTAATGAACCTTTCCCTCATAGAGCGCCTGTCTCTGATGGGTCATTATTTCTGTAATGAGTGTCCTCTCTTCCTGCAGAATCCTTGCAGACTATTTCCATGGCAGCCACCCACTCAAACAGCGCCATCCACCAAGCTGTATGTCGCCCTGAAAAACAAAACATTTAGTGATTGCATGAAACTGAAGAAGCCATGTGCATGTTTGATTTTGACTCCACAGATATGTTTCAGTGTTTTTTCTTCCTCTTCCTACAGGAGAACCTGAAGCGGCTCCTGGAGATCTATGAGATGGTTGGAGAGGAAGAAGTGGTGAACCCGACCAATGAGTTCCTCAGGGAAGGTCGCTTGCTGAAGCTTGCAGCCAGGAACACGTCTGCTATGGAGAGGCACCTATTCCTGGTTAGAGCTCTTGTATTCATAGAAGATTAAGATAAGTAAGTTTGGTTCATAGCAGGAACTTTGAGAATGATGTTTTACAACTTGTCTCCACAGTTCAACAACTTCTTATTGTGCTGCACTCCTAAATTCAGCCTGGTTGGGCAGCGTTTTACCGTTCGCTGCAGGATCGGAGTGGATGGCATGGAGGTGCAACAAACCAACAATGAGGATCATCTGAACACTTTCCAAGTTTCTGGAAAGGAGAGGACCCTCGAGCTGCAGGCCAGGTCTGTGTGTGTTTGTGAGCTGCATACATTTTGTGTTTTGGCCTTTCTTGATGTGTTAACTGTGTTGTTTCTGTTTGTCTTTTCAAGCTCTGAGGAAGAAAGAGATGAGTGGATAAAGGTAAAGTGTTTTTATGTTTAACTCTGTACATTTCATATGGATTAGGAAAGTATTTAATGTCAACTCGGTTTCTAATGCAAATGTTAATTTCAGGTCATTCAGGGAGCCGTTGATGTGTTTCAGAAGAAAAACGAAACCTTCAAACTGGCTTCAAAGGAGAAGGAGAATACAGAAGAACCAGTAAGTTTGATCGTAACTTTGAAGGGAGTTGAGTTTATTTGTAATCTGAATCCAGCTGATGTTGAAGCGTGTTTTAACAGACAGAGGAACTCGGTCGACGCGCCCCCCGCTGGATCAGAGACAACGAGGTGACGACGTGTATGAAATGTCAGGAACCTTTCAACGCACTCACCAGGAGGAGACACCACTGCAGAGCCTGCGGCTGCGTGAGTGACGAGACTTCATGATTCTTTTTAATGAACACACAAGACAGGAAACCTCATGTCAAGATGTGTATCATCCGTCCTGCAGGTGGTGTGCTGGAAGTGTTCAGACAATAAAGTGGCTTTGGAGTACGATGGAAACAAGCTGAACAAAGTGTGTAATGCCTGCTACTCCATCCTGAGCAGTCAAAAGGGAGAGAGGGTGGAAGGAAAGAAGAGGCGAATACTCGAGGTACCGGATCCTACATGCTTCCTGAGGTTTATGCAGAGTGTAGCTCTCAGGTCGTTCAATTTATTCAGGCTGAAGCTGAATTTGAGGACTTTTTCCTTTTTAATGTAGAAATGGTGAATAATCCAACTCGACACTTACCAAGCTTAATTTGAGAGTTAGCTTTGTATAATCTGCATGAAAAGATGCTGTTTCTGCCTTTTAGGAGCATTAAGTGCAACCCAAAGTGGAGGTCTTTAACGGGAGATACTTAACACATTTTTTTTTTAATGTTCCCTCCTAGTCTGAGACATCTTTAGGATCCAGGGACGGTGTAATGAGTGGCTTCCTGCTGTATGGAGACAACCCAAAGACCTGGCAACAGATGTGGTGTGTCATCACCAGGACTGAACCTCCTTTTCTCTGTCTGTACTCTGCTCCCCAGGTAAGGATCTCTGTCGTTAAAGTGATCAGTCATAGCACCCAGTCTATTTCTATTTGCATTTTCTGTCATTCATGGGGAATTGGCTGCTGTCATGCAATCCTATGTAGAAAAGGGAGAACATGGTTTAAATAGGGAGCAGCTGTTGTGCAATACTTGCAATGCACAGACAGACTGAAAAAATGTAATGTAAGCACTTAAAGGCTGAAGAGTTTATCCTCTCCTGAACTTTAGAAGAAGTTAACACGTGAAGACTAAATATCTACACATCTATACATCAGACTTACAAACTAAAAATACGATGTTTGATAAATGAGCTTAAAGAGTAACAACCACCATCATGTCTCCAGGATCTGAAGCCTCTGTCCTGTATACCTCTGGTGGGCTGCAGTGTGGAGGACTCCCCCCAGGAGCTCCAGGGTCAGCCCTGTTTCAGTTTGAGACACTCCAAAACGACCCACACTTTCTCCTGCGACGGCTTCAACCTCAAACAGAGCTGGCTGAACGCTCTGAGAGTTTCCGCGGCGGGGTGCCAGCGCGCCCACTCAGTGACTATGACGGCGTCACCAATGGCCCCAGATGTTGCCTTAATGGTTATGTGAAGGGTGGAAGCATGTACATATGGTAATAAGAATCAAATGTTTACATGTAATTCTGAAATTTAACTTTAATACATTATATTCAGACTGAGAACGGTGTTTTCCTTACAAGTGACGGTGCACTTTATTGAAATGGTTTACAGTAAAATAAATAAAGTGAAGGTGTTTTAATATGAGTCAGACTATCCCTTATACTAGAAACATGGTTGCTTCAGCTCTGTACAGGTTGTCTACGGCGCAGAGCAGTATGGCAGGAAAAATAAGCTCATGGTTTGTCTTTTTTTTTTTTTTGTACAGCAGAGTTAAAACACCGAGGGTCTGAGGGATCGTAATTCCTTATAAAACACATTCGACTGATCCCAATACTTCACAGATAATATTACAGCAATTGAATATTTACAATTCATGATTTACAGTCAACAAAGGACATAAAAATAATATACAGAGTCAATGGGAAAACAAACAATAAATGCATAAAAATAACCTTAAATTTGCTTTAGAAGTACATGGCACAAAGCCATTTAACCAAAGGTTAGTTAACTGTGCAGCATTTACACATTCGTAAATGGAAATGTAATTAAACAATATGGTTGATTTAAGGTGATTAAATTTCTATGCATTTTTGATTTTTAATATGTTGTTTTTCAATTATGTTTTAGTGAGCAAACACCTGGTAAAATTGGCCCTATTTTTGTCACACAGTATACTATGTGGTGCTTTATTTCTGGAGGTATGCAGGCTGGAAATGAAAACTAGAAAACATACAGCTGCATAAAAAAGATCTTTTTAGAATCATTATATTGACTGTAATGTGAGAGAGGCATTTCAGTGAGTAATCCCTCGTTAAAAAGTACTATTGTTACTGTACTCTTTGCGTTTATCAGCTGTTTATGAAACATTTATAGTACTGTTTGATTTCTAAGTTAAGCGGTAAGTTTTCTATCCAATGCTACGCGCTTACGAGTCTGGAGCTAGCTAGAGGAGAAGTTGGAACAGCTAGCAGCTAAAAGACTAAAAGCTATTTTTTCTTACAAGTTATTGGACACAGAAAAAAAAATATGAATGCTAAAAATTCACAGGCTGTATAGTCAGGCAACTTTGTGCAAACAGGTTAGCTGTTGGAGGAGTTGCTCTGTATCTGTTTTTTTTTTTTGCGGCTAAACTGCCCTCTAGTGGCCAAAATGTGATTAATGCAGCTTTAAAGTTCTAACAAGCATCACCTCCCTATTTTGTTGTTGACAGAGACGCATATAAACGCCAACATGGAGTGCTTTTAAAAGTACAGAGTGGTATCATTGTAAATTGATGGATCTCTTCTTTAGAAACAAAATCTCTGAGCTGAGAGAGACGTTGGAAACATGAGAAGATGACACAAGAATAGACAGCACTGTCCTGGTGCAAATGAGCCATTTTCAAATAGTCTTAGTGTCACTTTAGTCTGATTTGGTCTGAGTGTAGCCCAAAATAAAAGCCCTATTTGCACCAGTGCTTACAGACATGTTTCTCAAAACTCAAAGGACGCACTTGTCATGAATAAGAATAAAAAAAAGAGTCCCTGATTTGGGAATAGAGGCTTAAGTATGAGATGTACAAATCCAGCACTTGATACAAGGACAGCAACACTGGCAGAGAGGCAGACCTGGTATCGCACGATACACTGACACACTGTACATAAAGGAGAAAACAGGAGTTTTTACAGGAAGGCGACCTCTCATTCGTACATCAGTAGTTTTTGTTTTGTTCATAGAAAATCTCCAAATCCCTGCATTCATTATGGAGGGAGTCCCTCTCTTCTTTCTTTGTCATTCAGCTTGATATCCGAGTTTGTCTCAGGCAACTCCAGTATTCATCCGATATCATCCTCTTGGGTTCGGACCTGCCATCTCCACAGCTAAGGGAATCACTTGGTGAGTATCCGTGATCCCGTACCACCTTAAAACCACCCACAGTACTCTGGTTTACTGAACAGAAGACTAACTATTACTGTTGCCATCAGGTTGTGAAGGAGCAGAACCACAGTGAACAAAATAAGTACAGGAAGAGGAACAACAAAATATACCAGAGTGATCCCTCCAGGCTAAAACAGTCCTGAAGAGTCCCAAAAGCCCGTAGTGCAGCACTCAAAGGTCAACCGCCTTTTGAAAACCAGCAGAGAGTAAAGGCAGACAGACAGCAGTCTACTGCGTCTCAACTGCAGCACAGTTGCTCCGATACCATCAAGCTGTCGTAGCCGTAGATCTCCAGCAGGTGAAGCAGGAAGAGCCTGTCTCCGTGGGGATCGAGGCCCATGGCCCTGACGCTCTCCTGGGTCAGAGTTGGATCGGAGCTCCCTGCCACTTCACTGAGGGTCTGAAAGATCCTGTTGTTCTGCTCCAGGAAAAACCTGAAAAAGAGGGAAATTTTAGTCTTTCTTTGAGGAATTAGTAATTTGTTTATTGCTTTCCTACTACATTCTAGTGTCATTTGAGGAGGAGGATGGTCACAAGATTCTTGTTGGCTTCATTATCCGTCTGATTTAATTTTAAGAGTCTAAGCTGACTGTCCTCTCCTGGATTTCTAAGTGAACTGGATTGGACTTACAGAATGAAGAGATCTTCTTCGCTCGACACACAGTCGCCATTCTCCTCCTGAGAGTAAAGTAACATCTGCCTACAAACAAAAACACAATATTTTGTAGCTTTTCCTTTGAAATATTTGGGTAAGAGTGTACTTTTCATTATTCTACCACGCCACATATATTATCAGTGTCTTTTGTGAGTTTTTGCTCTCGATGTTAAGAAATAATGCTGTTGCTTTGCGGCGTTACCTACCTCTGCTCCGTAAGCTTGCGGTATTTCTCCCTGTCGGCACTGCTGAGGCGGAGCAGAGGCTTCAGGCCGTCTCTGTAGGTCTTTACATTCTGATTGTCTACGTAAACGTCGTACAGATCCTTCTTCTCCTCAAAGATCTTCTCAGTAGTGCCTGCACATCAAACATACACAGGGTTTGAAACAGCGATCGTATCTGTGATAGGTGAGAAAAAGCCTATATACAACTGTTACAGTATATGGAGCTTCTGCTTACATGCTACATAGGAGAGCTCATTCTCCAGCGCGCTGATGTCAGCCACATTAACATAGAAGAAGGGGCGAAACTCGGGGACAGCCACGCCGATCCCAGGGATGGAGATGTTTGCCAGGCAACAGCAGCAGTACACTTAAAGGGTGGAGGGAGAAATTAGAAAATGATAGGAGAAGGGTGGTGTGGTGAATTACATGTATAGACTGACCAACACTAATGTACCTGGAGAGGAACTGCAAGAGCATTACCATAACATATCTAAAGTACTACAACCACACTGAGAGATAACCCAATGTATGTTTGACAAACTACAGTCTATTTTGTAGAAGTTGAAAAACTCCTCACAGGAGCTTTAAGCCAAATATTGTTTCTTGCAATAATTTAAACCTGCAGTAAGTGTGTAAAATTTGTTCAGAATAAGTTACTGATGTAAAGATACAATTGTTTAACCATGCCTCTCACCTCTGTAGCAGACCACGCCCACAGGTGGAGGAGAAAAGATAAGAATGCGTCTGCGGAGGAGCGCCAGTTTCCAAAGCACCATGATCTGCTCGCCGAAGAAGCGGATGAACTGGGACATGCAGCCTGCAGGGTGGGTGATCTAATCCAAACACAGAGAGTTACAAACAAACACACCGGGACAAAAAAACTCCTCTCCATCTCACAGACAGAGACGCTGGCTGCTGCTATTTCAGGTGGTAGTTTCTATATCCTCCTACCTTCATCTCAGGGTGCATACTATGGTTGATCGCAGCTCCCCAGGCATTAGCTGGGCACGCAGTAACAACACCATCACCACCAGGTGGCAAAAGTGCTCTCTTGTCCTCATAAAAGGCCTCCAGGGGTGAGTAGTGACCAGGGGACTGGAGCTGGAGCCTGGTGAAGTAGACACAAAATGGAAGTAAACAGAGACAGTAAACTAAAAAATTTGCGGAACAGTTGTAACTTTGAGCTTCAGATTTAAATAATTGCTTTTAGTAAACAAAGTCACAAACATCAACTTAGTTTCAGTCCAATCTGAGAACTCTGATCTCAACTCAAACCGAACAATTAAACCAGTTGAACTTGACTTGCTTTCTGCATCACAAACCCTCCAACAGATCCGCCCTCGTCAGTAACATGTTGCACAAGACATGCTTTATACTGAAGATCTTTATCAGGATGTACAGCGAGCTCGACCTCCATGAAGGTTAATGTTGTGTACTGTCACATGTAGCTCCTCTGCTTTCCCTCCTCTCTCCTAAATCTTCTCCCATCTGAGCAGTATTAAAAGCTTGGAGCACGGCAGACCCATTTAATTGGAACTGCTCCTGCACCTTGGAAGAGGTACGAATCTTAATTATTCGACTTAATCTTTCAACATGACTTCAGCAAAACGAAGAACAAAAATGTGGAACGAATGCAGTTAACAGTCACTAATCAGTGCAGAAAAAAAAGTGTTTTGTGGCTCAAGTCATCTGTTGCATCTCTTTGTACTACATTTCAATTTAGCCTGGAGACACCCGTCAAGTAACAATAGGATGAACTCGACTGAACCGCCACTGGTGCTGCGAGCTAAATGTCAGTCTGAGAAATGTGCTGCAAAAGTTCAGAGGAAGATGAGCTGTGCACAAAGTAAGTTTCTTGTAATGTTTAAACATGTTAGATTTTATTTAAAAGCTTTATTGATAACTGTAAAAGTGTCATCCCTCATGAAAAGAGAAATACAAGAAAAGGAAAAGAAAAGAGGGAAATGTGAAATTTTCTTTAAAATTCCTGAAGATTTGGACCGTCTCATGACCAACAGAGCGCCCTTTTATAAAACGACCATGCCAGTCAGCAGATGGGGAATCTGGAGCGAGCGACGCCGAGAATGATGAGTAAGGAGCATGACCGGTGCATGACTGGACGCCAGGAGAGGACAGAGTGTGGGAACTGTGGGAGGGGAGGGAGAACGGCGAGGGGGACCAGAGAGAGTAGGGGTGGGTGTAATAAAGAGCGAGCTGCGGCTAACAACTCTTAGGATGTGACACTAATGAAAACAAATGATTAAAAGGGTGCAAAGAAATCATAAGTGGATTGTAAGTGTTTTGCATTTGTTGAAATACAGCATTTTATTGTAATTACACCAATTATCCCATTTCAGTCTGAAATAAATAGTCATCTCAGCTTGTTACGTGTTTATGTTGGACTTGAAATTAATTCATTTACACATAATAACAGAGGTAATATTAGAAAAATAGTTTGTCCCCTAGGGTCAAGAAAAGTTGAAATTCTCAGTCTGTCGTAGAAACCAGCTCTTCTTACCTGACCTGGTGCTCCAAAAAGCTCATGTAGCGGTAGAGAAGGGTGTATGAAGGAGACAGTATCCCCACCGACTTCATCCTCGCCCCCCTCTCTACCATGCTGTCCACCGGCATGTTGGCAAAGCAGGCAAGGCCAAAGTAGCTGCCTTTCCGGAAGTATCTGCGGACAGAGAGGAGAGGAGAGAAAGATGGAGACAAATGAAGCCATGAGTCACGAAGAGAAAAAGACACTGCCAGATGGCTGGCCTTTTTTTTTTTTTTGCCGGGCAACGCTTTCTGTCTCTCTGTCCAGCCAGGAGGAGGACATGGAGCCGCATCTTAATATCTTAAAGTAGCTTCCTCCACTTGTTTACATCCTTCGCTTTCAGAACAACGTCTTCTTATTTGCTTGAAGTGATCATGCTCACACTTACATGAAGTCTGTGGTGACTCTGTGGGAGCCGCTGGCGATGGCTTTGAACTCCACTCCCTCCAGGTCCATGTCTTTGGGCAGACACCACTCCAGCATGTTTCCTATCCATCCACCCACACCCACACAACAAGGGAAATAATATTGAATCCCACGAGCGAGCAGGAAATACGCTGATACGAGACCAGACACAATATATCATCACAGTTTCTTTTTATGCCCATGAAATAACAGTGACACAGCCGGTCTGGATTCTTTGGGATTCATTAAGTCCTACTCTGATGCTCGAGCAGCAGCTGAGCTAATACAGCCTGATAAGAACGAGGAGACAGAGAAGGTGACTCAGCCAAGCCAGTAAGACTCTCATTATAATTATTAGCAGCAGGCAACCACCAAGGATATTTTTGCAGGAGTATTAGTTGATCACATCAGATTGAGTTTGTAGATCTGCACCCTTCGCTGAGACCATAAACCACCTGCAGCTCAACATCCCTGACACAATTTCACCTCTCAGACAAGTTTTTTACCTCTCATTATTTTCCCTGAACAGTAAGACTAGTATTTAAAGGTCACGGCTTGTTGAAATACAGAAGACATTTCTACATTCATTTCTTTTAATCTCATTTCAGGGTTCCTACATAGTTGGAATTTCCATACTTTTCTTTTATTTTTGGAAATAGCTTCTTTTCTATTTTAGAAAACTGTTTTTTTTAACTGTGGTAAAAGTCTGGAAACCTAAATATTTTTCCACTTTATTTTCATTTACCATACTTTTTAAGACCTGGCAATTGATTAAATTACTTCCATACTTTTTCATACTTTCCATACTTGCATAGGAACCCTGCTCATTTGTAAACTTCCCAGTTAAACTGTCTTTGCTGAAATTACCAAAAAGACTGAACTAAAAGCTACCGAACTGATTAAAAACAACAAGAAATGTAAAGTACATTCGCTGATTCATGGTGTTTTTAATGTGGATTGTTGATTTAAGGGGGTAATGATGTATATCGGACAACTTTTCTGTAATATTTCATATTAATATTTCGTGTCTTTTTTCAGGGAATCCTTTTTTTAGAGTCAAGGCAGCTGTGTTGGCTCATAAGTGAACTGAGGGCAACAATATTGACCGTACAGACCAGGAATTGATCTGCCTAATCTACCTGCAGTCTAAATTGAGGCCTCTGCTGCAAAGACCCATCAGACCTGTATGACCTGATGAAAACAGCGGAGTAAAGATTCTACTTCCACACCAGGGGATGTTAAAGATATGCACATTTAATAATATTTGCAAGAAATTCAAAAAGTGAAACACTTTATCCTAAACCTGCCATGTTGCAGAGTCATATATATGCAAAACTCCACCCTGTATGGAAGAAAGCCAGGTCTCGGTTTCTTAAATTGATTGGTCCTCCTGCTAAGTAGATGGGCTTCTGTTTCAAATTGTGTCTTTAACATGCCCCTCATTAAAAATAAATAGGCCCACTCTGCAAATTGAACCAGCTGATTGATTTCCATCACAGAACTTGTCCGGTGATATTGACATGTCTGTTCTGTATGAGTGTTACATCTTTGAATCGTGTCTCTGAAGATAATAGGGGTGGGGGAAAAAATCGATTTACATAAGTATCGTGATTTTTTGTTTCACAATTTTTAACCTTCCTACTGTGTTAGCTTTTACTGCGCAACCACTATGTTGAGGGTCGCTTTTGACCCGTGTCTACAAATTACACTCAAAACAATTCTCTATCACACAATTTGACAGTGCACTAATGATTTCAGTTTTTGCTCTTATCATTAGATATTGATCTAACTGGGTCAACAGCTAACACAACAAGTGCCATGATTTTAATAAGAGCATATTATAATAAAGTCTATTTTTTTTTTTATTTTGTTAAAATCGAGGTTCCTGACAAAGTCAAAAAGTCTTGATGCAAAAAAGCTAATTTAAGTGGTTCTTTTAAGCATTTAAAAACAGGTTGGTGCAAACCCTAACACAGGAGGAGGGTTAAATCGATTTTTATGTTCAAAAATCGATATTTTTTTCAAATTTAAGAATTAAATCTTAGAAAACTGACTTACATGTGATGTGTATTCTTTGGGGAAATATGGTTCCTGGAATAGTCAGTAGGCAATCATAATCATTCAACTGTTTCACTGGTGTTAAAAGTGAAGACTAAAAATCGGGAAAATCGACAATATTGTAGAATCGCGATTTAAATCGGATCGTAGAAGAATCGGATCGGGAGAAAAGCATGAGACCAGGTCAAAAGGGCCACACCTGTAAGAGGGGGTTCGCAGACTTCAGACAGGGCGTTAGACCTGATTCATCAGACGAGAAATAAACATGATATTCTGTTTTTCATCAAACGAAGCTGTGCGTTAATTGTCGTGTTGTATATTTTAAACCCCCACCTGTTCTGGTGTTGAACGTAACCACAAAGACAGACACGATCTGGTCCTTTTCCTCCCATCTCACCATCCTGTCCTCCAGCGTCACCTCCCTCGAGTCTGAATCCGACAGATGCTCCTCGCTGACGGGGTGCAGCTCCTCATCCTTGCCCGCTGGGTCGCCGGAGGTCGCGGGTGGGGCGCTGCAGCCGTCTGCGTCGGAGACGGACCTGCTGGGAGTGGGACCCCCCGGACCGCTGCTCCACCCAAACCCCGGCGCGGAGCATCCCGGTGACAGGCGACTGTTGGAGGGGCTCGCCAGTCGGTCCTTGCCGCTTGCTTCCCCGGGCTTCTCCGCGGACGGAACCTCCTCCCAGTCCAGCAGAGGGGCACGGTCCGACCGCTCCACCATCCTGCTGTCGGCGGTCCCGCCTCGTCAGTCTCACCGCGGATTGTAAATGATGCTTCAGCCGACAGGCACCAGGTCCATCCGTGGATAATAATCACAGCTCAGAGCGACTCCCACATTATAAAGTTATTACAAACTGTTCTGAACGTTTGCATTTTAATTAAATTAACGCTTCAAGCGGCGGATTTAACATCTATCTTTTTAATCTCTCTTGTCTGAGGTGATCATAAATTTGATGCTGTTCAGAGAGAGGGCAACTCCTTCGTCTAAAGCGAGCTGCATTCAAAACAACTCACCCGTTTCTGTCAAATTCCACTACCTAGAATAGCTTCAAACGTTTGGAAACATTAAACAGTTTCTGCTTCTTGAACGCACCCTGTTTCACAGCGGCAGGTTGTGTTTTGTTTGTTACTAACAGCACTTTCGTTACACGTTTGTTTATTAATAATAAAGATGCGCGCCGCTTATTTGTATAGTACAGTAAAAATAAATAATAATTAAAATATGTTTTTTAAAATATTTCTTATTTCTGCTTTTGGTGAGTTTTAGAGTTCACCACGTTTTGTGAATGTGTCGAAAGTTGCATAACGAGACGCGAACGAGAGGCGATGACACAGTTCAGCGACACGTCAACCACACGGAAGAAGATCTCTGTCCAAGCTGCAACACAAGGACTGAAGTCTTATCAAAATGGGTGAGTTTGGCCGTAATTCGTCGACTTTTCTCTTAATATATAGCATTATTATTGTAAAGCGTATACCTGCTTTTTGTGCGTGTGTTGCCTGTAGCTAAATTAGCTCATGTTTGCTATATTGACAGTGAACGCGTTACATCCGCCGTGCTTCAATGTGGATCTTAGCCACACTAGCTCTCCAAATAAACCGATTGAATTACAATAAAGACCTTTCCTGTACGACTTTGTATTGAAAGCACGTTGTTAAATGTCTTGTTTTGCCTCTTTTGTGTTTATCAGGTGGGTTCTTTAGTCTCTTTTCGGGCCTTTTTGGCAGCCGGGAGATGAGGATCTTGATCCTGGGTTTGGACGGCGCAGGAAAAACGACCATCCTGTACCGGCTGCAGGTCGGAGAGGTGGTCACAACAATTCCCAGTATGTGATTATGGTATTTCTTTATTAATCCTACCAACTATTTCTTACAGGATGCTGTATTTTTCATGTAGTAGTGTGATGAATGGATTGGTTCACACAGTGAATATTTGGAGCAGACTTCCTGTAGAGAAAGTGGATAGAAACAGGCAGTAAGTCTGGTTAGACTGGCTTTGAATTGAATCTGTAACACCTCATAGACTATGTAAAACATAGGTCAAAATCTAACCACTCCCTCTTGTCAATGAAGACAGGTGTGAGGGGGAGAAACGGTGACTATCTTTGCCTGTGGGGGGGAACTGTTTGATTGTTTGAAGATGGAAAAAAACAACATGAACTTCAATCCTAAAACACTATTTCTAAAATTAGTATTTTAACCTGAAATAATATACCCAAGAAATAGTACTTGTCATCAAAACAGGACAATACATGACAAATTAATCAGAATCAGAATGTCCTTTATTGTCATCATACTAAAAGTACGAGATTGGAGAGCTTCTTCTTTTCCAGTGCAATAGACAAGTAAAAATAAGGTAGTAAAAGTACAAATAGTTGTAAGAAAGAAGGTACTGTAACATTAGTAATATTGCACTTGTTACCTCATCTTGAAGGCTGGAGCTGGTTTATTGGAGTTTAAGATGGTGATGGCTCGAGGGAAGAAGCTGTTTTTGAGTCTGTTAGTCCTTGCTTTGATGCACCTGTAGCAGGTCAAACAGTTGGGCACCAGGGTGTGAAGGGTCCTGGATGATGTTTTGAGCTCTGCTGAGGCACCAGGTGAAGTAGATGTCCGTCAGGGAGGGAAGAGGGCAGCCCCCGATCCTCTGTGCTGTTTTGACTGTCCTGTAAATGTCTACAGACTGTTTCTATCTCTACTTAGTTAAATGTCTACAGACAGACTGGTTCTATCTCTACTTGGTTAAATGTCTACAGACTGGTTGCCTGACATCCTGTGGTGCTGGTTGGCCCAGTCAAAGGAAAATTGGGCCATTCTGAAAGAATTGATTCACCTGAAGTCATTTTTACTACACAGGAAAATAACCGCAAGAGTTTTTTTTGCTGTGACAGCATGAACTTCAACCACATACGTGACACATCACAGTGGGTCTCATTATTTAAGAATCTGCACAGTTCACGGGAGAACAATTTCAAGCTTTTGAAAGAAGTGAATTTTTTAAGTTTGGTACAGTCATTTACTCTCAGAATGCATTTTTAAAGATTTGCCAATACAGTATTGGAGTATTTTACTATGTATTTCTTAATACTAGGTTGTTTCAAACCCTAAGATTCAGCTTTGTTTTCCAACTTTTCCTGTCAGATAAATAAGAGATGGTTTGGAAATATAAATTGAACTTTTTATACTGTAGAAATAATGATCCAGGTAATACTCTATGTCCTCACTGTGCCTCTTTTGGTCTCTCTTTTTCCAGCTATTGGCTTTAACGTGGAGACGGTCACATTTAAGAATCTGAAGTTCCAGGTTTGGGATCTGGGAGGACAGACGAGTATCAGGTAGGTTATAGTAGCTTTGCTGAGTGTGTGTATACAGTGTGTTTAACTCTAGTTTTATAATAGTTTCATCTGGCTGCCTGAGAACTAAGAGAACGATAAACATGGCTTACTTTCTTGATTTCACATGATTGAAACTTTTGTATTTTCCCTGTCAAATGCGTGAATTTGCCATTTTTATTTCCTTATGTGAACTTCAGTTCTGCTCCTCTTTTTGCCCAACAGGCCGTACTGGCGGTGTTATTATTCAAACACAGATGCAATCATCTACGTTGTTGACAGCAGTGACCGCGACCGAATGGGCATTTCAAAGTCTGAGCTGGTGGCCATGTTGGAGGTAAGAGTCTGAACAACCAAGTAAGATAGAAAGACTTTTAGGAAAATTCTCACTTTATATTGTCCGTTTGTGCGTATCCAGCTCACATTAAGACAAAACAAACGATGGTTGTTTGATAAAAAATGTTTCAATTCATCCAGAAACTCGTAGATAAACAGTTTTTTAGATCCAAGAAGCAATTGTGGGATTGAATTAGCGCTGATGGCCTCAGGTTGAAATTAAATTTGTGGCACACACAGAACTCACACAATTAAAAAGGAAAGTAGAGAGATGGAGAGAATGTGCCAATTAAATCATGAAGTCATTGCATGCTAGACTTAGGCTACGTTCACACTGCAGGTTAGGATGCACAAGTTGGATTTTTTGTTTAATTCGATCTTTTTGTGCGGTCGTTCACATTACAACAACAAATGCGGTATCTAATGTGAACTGAATGCGTCTGTGAAGTGACCCTGAGCGTCCACACTGCAGTCATATCGGATACATATCCAATTTATATCCACATGCAAAAGAGGCCTGGGTCGGATTTGCACTGTTCGCACTTACATGAAAAAATCAGATATGTGTCACAAATGGTTAAAAAATCAGAATTGACCTGCAGTGTGAACATCGCCTTAAATTAGAGAAATACATCCGTTTTCTTTGGGAACGTTGGCGGTGCACAACAAGCTGATTTAATTCTGTTTTATAGCACCAAATAAACAGACTCCTGCAAACAGATATCATTCATTCAGATAAGGTTGTCATCAGTAACGCTCTGCTGTCATCAAAAAAAAGGAATTACACTGGATGAGATGAACCAGTCTGATTTCAGATCTGGAGGGAAAATGACCTGAAACAGAAGACAATCGCTGAGCGTGTCTGTCTCTTTTTTTTCTTTTTTAATCAATGGAACTTGACAGTTAATTTATTCTGCAGGCTACATCTGTAAAGCAATTTAACATGTGGCAGATTAGTCATTAAAGGGCAGTGTGTAAATGTCAGTTATGATTGCTGTGAATGATTGTTTTCTTTCCAACAAACCCCGTTATCAACTGTAGCCTGTTTTAATCTCTTATGTAAGCTTGGACAGATTAGTTCAATATTCAACAATAGGATTTAGTTTGAGGTGAAACCTAAAAATAAAATACTGAGTTTCTTTATAAGGTACTTACTGTTCCAGCTGTTATTTTGCTCCTAAAAACTTCTGTTCGATTTTACTTTTTAACACTTGTGTGACTTCGTCCCTGTCCAGGAGGAAGAGCTGAAGAAAGCTATTCTGGTGGTATTTGCAAACAAACAGGATATGGACCAAGCGATGACTCCCACTGAGGTGGCCACCGCGCTCGGCCTTCCTGCTCTCAAAGACAGAAAATGGCAGATCTTCAAGATCTCAGCTTTGAAAGGCCAGGGCCTCGAGGAGGCAATGGACTGGTAAGCTATACGAGTTAAACACAACACGATACAACTGAATGATAAAACTGCAAAACTGTATTAGTTCAACATCCTTCCTTTGTTTACCAAGACTGAACTGTGTTTGCTTTGTCCTCACAGGCTGGCGGACTCTCTGAAGAATCGGCAGTAAAGGCTCCCGCCCTTCTGTACATACTCCTGTCCTTTGTCCCTTCTGTATGAAGCCTTGTGACTGACCCCTCCCCACTGGACCAGTGATTGCACTCTTCCACACCTCCAACCCACCTGAAGCCTTGGCCAAACCCTCCCAATGCCGAACGCCTTTTTACGCCTGGGACTCAGAACTGAAGGCTGCAGTAATGTCTGGACTGAGAAACACACAAACACACGCAGAAGCCCCACCCCTCTCACCCTGGTGGCTGATGGGAAGGTTAAATATGTCGAATTCAGTTCCATTTATAATTCTGTCGACGCTTACATCCTGTTCGAGTTCGTCAGAGGTTAAGTCTGTCTGTCGTGAAGCCTGAAAACAACGTCCTGTCTAAAGAGAGTCGATGCAAATCCACCAGGGGGCAGCGTTCCCAAACGAGGACGAACATCACTGCTGGTTTGAGACAACTCCACACAATACGAATATTTCATTCTGGCTTCTGACGCAAGATGAGGACACATGATACTGGGAATAAAAACAGCTACATGATTTCCAACCCATCGGACAACTTTAGGTAATACGCTGAACTGTCTGCGGTGTGTAACTTCCATTTTTAGTGCTTCGGATACCACGCTTCTCTGTCATCGATCTACTGGCTTAAAAACTTCAAATTTCCTTGAATAAATCACACGCCTGGCCTCAAATTGTCAAACAAACTCCATCTTCTACATGTTACCTGGCCGAGTGTTACTGCAGCCTGGGCTGTTTTTGTATGATATCTTCAGGCAAATGAAAACGTGATTTCTTTCTCTTGTTTTGATTCCTTCTGTTTATGTGTTTGTTTGCATCCCCCCCATATATTTTTGAGGTAGTTTGGTAGTTTAAAGCCTTCTTTTTTTTTCCATTGAAATCCTTAAGTACAGCTTTGGCGTGTTAGTTATTAAGTTACTGAACACTAACTGTATGCTCAAAGTTTTATGGTTGCATATTTATATCTGCTTGTACAGTGAAAATGATTCTCAGTAAAGATTGCTATCAGTGATTGTTTCATTCGTGTGTGGAGTCGAGTTACAACAGGAGGTGACGCTTCTGGAAATGATTTTAATACAAAAAAATGTACATTCAACTGCACAGGGTATAAATATGAAGAGCAGGAGAATACAGTTCAGCTTTAATCTGAACTGAGACTACCTGCCGTCTAATCGCTGTTACATGATGCCTCGTTTCCCGTTCATATCACACACTCAAACGTTGGATACCTTTGAAAACCAAACCGTCTTTCTGGTGTTTGCTCTGATCAGCGACGAGATAAAACTGTAAAGGATTGGGTGGGGTGAGTCCACATGTGTGTAATCCAGGATCTTGTGTCCTCTGCCTCACTTCACCATGGCCAGGTCTTTGAGCGCGTTACTCCGCTGCCTCTTGGCTTTATATCCTGGCCGGAGGAACTCGATCTTCCTCTTCTTGGCTTCGATTTTGTTCTTGTGCTTCTTGAGTTTCTTCTTAGCTGCGATGTCTGGATTAGCCACCGCCTGAAGACAGAAAGAAAACCATCATTTTAGTTCATGTTAACGGATGAAGTTTCTCTGTGAGGCTGTGTGAGGTCATCATCATCATCATCATACCTGCATGGCTCTGTGTCGTTTGCGCGCCGCCCTCCTCATCGAAAACTCCTTCTGGACGGCGGAGAAAGCGAGAGAGAATTTCTCCAACCCCACTTGCTTCTTCAGAAGCTCGATCAGCTCCTGCGCCAAGTTCTTCAGTGTTGGATCTGCACAAACGAACAGGAAGGATCAATGCAGGTTTTTACATCACGGTTTATTACTTTCAGGCTTTCTTAGAGGCATACCTTGGTCTGCATAGGTGCTGTCGAGCTCCCTGTACAGAGGAGTGATGATTGTGGTCAGATACGGTCCGAGACGCTCCTTCCCCAAGTCCATGGATATCGCTCCCAGGAACTTAAACACACATGTTCTCTGCGTGGAGACAAAAACGTCACGTCACTCAGCTGTCAAGAAACATTGCACTGATTCAAAAGAGAGAAATAAACGGGTTTCTACCTTGAGAGGAATTTTGGGCGTGTATGCCGCCTCTCTCTTGGCCATGAGCGACATCTTCTTTATCAACCACAGCAGTGAGGGAGGCTTATCGTCTTTATCATCCTCCTTGTCTTCCTCCTCTTCTTTCTTTTCTTTGTCCTCCATTTCCTCCTCATCACCGTCCTCTTCGTTGCCGTTCTCTTTCTGCACTTCCTCCTCCTCCTCTTCTTCTTTCATTTCCTCCTCAGGGGGTTGGACGTCAGACTCAGGAGAAACAAGATAGATCACTTTCCCGACAAACAGCAAGTTCTTGATGACCTGTGGATGAAGGAAGATGCGTGTTAATCGTGAGAAATTTGAAACTTGCTTCACTTTTAAATTTGCGTCGATAAGTTTCGGTGGATTTGACAAACCTGTTCTCCTGACGCCGTGTCCAGGAACTTCGACTGAAGCTGATGGCAGAAAGATAACGCCAGCTCTCTCATCTGAAGGTCAGGAAAGAAAAAGGAAACACTTTTTAGAAACAATAAAAAACGAGATGCGTAAGCTACAGGACAAAAGAAAAGAGCTGTCAGGACTTACCCTCTTGTCCAGGCCGCTGGTGATGAAGGCTGAAGCAGCCGGCTGAGCTGAAGCATCTCCTCCTCCTCCTCCTCCTCCTCCTCCCCAAGCAGTGACCAGCTGCTCGGCCTGATGGGCTGCAAACAGCTGACCGAAGAGCTGTGAGGCAGTCAGCCACACCCAGCAGTGAGGGTACCGCAGATGGGCTTCAATGTGACCTGAATGTAGAAGAAGAATAAAGTGAGTTTGTGATGAGTGTGTGTGTGTGTTTTTATCTCAAATAAAGAGGTGTGTATGTGTGCGTCCTTCACCCCAGATACGATCTAATGTGTCTTTCGGCTCCGTCATCTCCAGCAGCCCGCAGTGCTTGTTCAGCTTCGATATGAGGGTCAGGAAACTGAACAAAAGCCTGTCTGCTCCTCTCTCCTCCTTCTCCTCCTCGATCTGAAAAAGAAGTTCAAGCAGATTTGTGACATTTTTCTCCTCCTCTGATTTCAAAAATGCTCACAAAGACGGATCAGACGTCGCCTCACATCCTCAAAGTTGTCGGGGTTTATCTCTTTCTCCAGCAGAGGCAGCAGCTCCTCGAGGCGACCGGCAAACTTCTCCTCCTCCACCTCCACGAACAGACCGCAAATCTGAGCCCCGAGACGGCGCATGCTGGTCTGAGAAATTAGGATCAGGTATAATCGTCATAATCGCACATGAAGAATACGAAACACAACAAGTCAAGATCAGAATGTATCATGATAGTGCGTGTACCTTTTCTGCGTTCAGCCAGGTGTTGACGAGGGAATACAGGGTGTTCTGGTGGTTCAGGTCCAGCTGTGTCAGCAGGGCTTTGATGGCCATAGCCGCCATTTTCTTACAGCGAGCGGAATCATCGTTGACCACAACCAGGGCCAACGGGGCGAAGAACAAGGCGCTGTGCTGCAACAGTAACTTCTAAACAGAGAAAAAAAACAAACACAATCATTTTTTTTTCTGATGCTGAAATGTGCAAACTTTCTACTTTCTTGCAAACTTCTTGAGCAGAAAGGGCTCGAGAGGAAATTCCCCTGACCTGAGGGAACGTCTGGAAGATGTAGGCCAGCATCTCCAGCACAGACTCCCTGCCTGTATCGTGTTCGTACTGCAGCTGGGCCACCACGAAGTCGAGGTGCCCCTTTAGCTTCTTTCCCAGTGGGTAGTCCAGCAGATATTTTAAATAGATCTGAAAAAAAACATCCAAGAGAAGATATTTCAAACATTTCTGAGTCAGTGAGCGTTCAGAGGAGAGCAAACTGTGGCTCGTCTTTGAAGCATGGAGCACCTGTCGACAGTGGATTCGGATCATGCCGTTGCTGCCGGTGACAGACAGCTTTGCAACTTTCTTTAACACCTCCTCCATCTCAGGAACGATGAGTTTCCTTGACAGAATCGCCTGGAGGGGACAGACACTTGCAGAATTGTAACACGGCTCATGAAGCAGACAGGATTTGTGATTTCTTTTCTTTCTTGTTAAGCAGCATAAACACTCTGATAGATGTACGATTGGTTACTTTCAACAGGCCAAAGGCGGTGGCCTGGCGGGACTGGTCGTAGATGTCCTCCTCGGCATATCCCAGCAGCACTTGAAGTTGCGTCTCTGAGATTTTGTTGCTTTTGACGTTCTTCACGAGTATGGTGATGGCCTGAGAGACAAAAGACAGATTGGCATTCTGAATCAATGCGAATTATCTGACTTTGTTATTAACTCGGATGGTATGAAACATCATATATTTTCAGAGCTTTTACGGCTTAAACATTCGATTTCTTTAACGTCCCACTCCAATTGTATTTTTTTTTCTTCTACTTAAAGTGTTATCACGCCAAAATCGTGTTACCTGTGTCATTTTTAAGGACTTTTCTTCTGCAGAGCTTCAGTAGCTCATTAGCAATTCACCTCTGAGTCGTGAGCGGAGACAGCGCTGCTTCACACACTCCTTTTCATGTTAGCTTGTAGCCTAACATTGCTTGTGCAGCAGAAGTGGCAGGTAACATAGGAGCAGGTAACATGTCTTTAGGGACATGATGAAAGGTAATTTTATAATTAGCTTTCTTACTAGCATTGCAATCTGCTAACTCTCACGCTTGTTCCGCGATCGTCCTCTCTATTTCTCTGGGGGCGGAGCTTGGATTTGCTATGTAGGAAATCTGACTATTTTGAACCTGCCGTTTGGGTCTGCCAGAGATTCACAGCGATTTGAATGTAGAAATACTCAGAAATGCAATTTCGCACTTATTTTTTTCTCATGATATGTCCTTTAGCATCAGAAAAAATGCCACATGAACAACAAGAAAAACATGATTTTCATTGGAGTGGGTCTTTAAGAAATAATAGGTTTCTTTAAAAAACTACCCCTTGTCTCCAGCTTACAGTACGGTGACCAGACGTCCCCGATTTTCGGGTACAGTCCCTCTTTTGGATGACCTGTAGACTAGAACAGTGGTTCTCAACTGGTGGGCCCCATCCCAAAAGTGGGTTGCGGACACATTCTGGATGAGTCACGAACAGCTAGTCAAAAAAGTAAATATTTAATGCGATATTTTTAAGATATTTGATATTTTCAGTAGTTGTCGTCCTCATGTTGTCCCCTTCATGTGCTCTGAAATGCACTTTACTCAATTAGACAAGTGGATTTATGTTAAAGATTAGAGTCTTTTAAAAGGTTTTTTTTTTAAATAAATTTGCTTGGTTTAAATTCTATAAAAGTGGGTCCCAGAATGAGACTAGTTGAGAACCACTGGACTAGAACGATTATTACAGTAACCGAGTAGGTCGGAAGCACGAGTAAGCATGTTGCGCGAAGTCTTGAACAACAGTTTTTACTGGGGGCGTGCGCTGCTACTGAGTAGCATCGAGCTGTTGTCTGTGATCACTTGCAATCTTCAGCCTCCTTGTTGTTTGATTAAAACAACTTGAATTAATTAAAACAATACAGACAGAAATGTATTTGGTACCTTGAAACAGTTCTGGACCAGGTGGTAGTTTTCCCCCCGGGCAGCCCCGGCCTTTGAGTAATCCTTCAACAGGACAAAAAGCTGCTTGGTTAGCTGGTCGGCGCTCTGCTCCACGGCTGGCAGAGGGAACTTCAACAGCAAAGTGAACGCCACCAGAGCCTCCGTGATCACCTGAGGGAAGGAGCAGAGACCAGTCCAGTTTTTAAGAAAGAGACAAGAATGAATCCTAAGAACGCTCCAAATTGTGGTGTTGAAAGAGATCCGCGTACCTTCACATGCATGGAGTTGAGGCAGTCGAGAAGAAGCAGCACAAAGGGGTCCAGCATCTCAAGAGCCGAGGCCTCTGAGGACGTCACTTTGGATTTCTTCAGACTGAGATGGAGCAGCTGAGAAAAGGGAAACAGTCAAGACAAAGAAGATGATGCTTCCTGATCAGGACGCGCAAAACTAAATCAAAACAAAAAAAAAGTTGCAGTTCAGAATTTTCCATGTAGTGATTGTTAAATATTCTTAAATCCTGGCTGATGGGAGGTTTCAGCACGCACCTTAAGACCAGCATCAACCAGGATGTGCATGTTGGTGCGGCTGCTGACTGGAGCTTTGTGACCCCCTCTCTTTGGAGTTGGAGGAAGGAGCAGGCAGCTCGGAGGAGGCAGCCTGGGGTCAGGTGGAGGCTTTGCTGAGGCTTTCTCTCTATAAAACACAAACACAAGGTCATTAGAAATCAGCATCAGGGAAACATTTTAAAGTGATTTCAGCAAACTAATGCGTGTTTGTACCTGTCTCTCTTGGTGAGCAGGGGCAGACTCTCGCTGACCAGGCCATGGCTTAGCAGCAGGATATCCTGGGAAGTCATGCCATCGTTGACAAGGAGACCCAAGACCAGACGCCGTAACACTGCGGTGACCCGGTTACACACTTTAAGACTGGATGTGGTCTCCAGGATCTAAAAAGAAAAAGGCGAGGATGAACCTAGTAAAAGAAAATCATACGATCCAAAAGACATGCATCCAAATCAAATCCATGAAATCAAAGTTTTTTTATAAAGCGCTTTTCATACAAAGGATGTAACACAAAGTGCTTTACAGTCCGTTAAAAAAAACAATAAAACCAGTCCATCCAGTGCGCGCTCACCTCCTTCAGAGGCAGCATGAACTTGGTGATGCTCTCCTTGCTGCAGAACTGAGCCAGCAGCTCGTAAGAGTCCATGCTCTTGCTGTGTCGGGCCTCCATCAGCTTGGAGACGATCCCCTTCACCTCCTTCTCCTCAGCTACAGCCCCGAACAGCTCATTGTTGAATATCTGAACGACGAGGAGTAAAGAATTAGAAACACATTATTGTTCAGATGTTGTTTCTGTCTCGTGAGAGTGATGTTCTTACGTCGATGAGCATGTTCATGCACGGGTCCAGGTCTCCACTCTTCAGGGTTGGCTTGAGGACTGAGAGTAACTGGTACACAGTGAAAGTGAGCACATGGACCTGAACGGAGGATAAAACAGAGAGAGGAAAAAGAGGACATTAAGATTTTTAAATTTAAAGATTTATAGACTTGATTCTGTAATGAGCGAACATATTAAAGTGTTACATGCCTTTTACTTTATTTCTCTACATGTTTAAAAGCTTAAATGGATGTGCATCTACCTGGTAACCTTTAACCAAGACCCCTTGCATCTCTTTGAGCAGGTACTGCAGGTATCTGCAGCCCAAAGTCTCGAGGATCTTCACCAGAGTCCCCCTCGCTACATCACGGACCTCCTGGAAACGGTTTCTCAGCACCACACACACTTTGATCAGGATCCTGGATGAACACACATATATCAATTAAATGTTGTCATTCGATCGAGAGAGTTACGGCGCTTTTCGCCCGCGCATGCATGCACAGAGCTGGCATACCCAGGTAGGTTGGCTTCCATGATGTGCGGAGGTAGAGTCTGCATCAGTTTGACCATGGCGAAGGCGATCGGTATCCTCCCGACCTCCTCCTCCTTTACATCCTTGGACTTGACGGCCTTGTGCTCATCGTCACGTTTAACCTAAAAATGCAGAAACACGACAGCTGTTACAACGCTTCAAAGACAAATCAAGACCGCATTCATCTGTGATCATTTCACCTTCGCATTGAGACACTTCTGCAGGCGAGGCAGCACGCTGTTATTCACGGTCATGTGGATGGCGCTGATCAGAGACTCCAGCTCCTCTTTGCTCTGTGGAAGTCCGCTGGCTGCTGTGGTGAGTCTAGGGGCTTCTGACTTCCCTTTGGTTCCAGTGGGGGTCGCATCCTTAGCGACCACTTCCTTCTCTTCATTCGTGGCATCTGTTTCCATTGTAACGACAGACGGAGCCGCCTCACTTCCCACCTCCATCGCCTCTTCATCATCGCTTGCGTCTAATTCGTCAGCTGCAGTTTGGTCCTCGTCATCTGCATTATCAGCAACACTCCCAGCTGGACAAAAGGATATTATGATTATTTATCACATGGAGTATGACCTTAAAGTTTTTCTGAAGATTTTTTCTTTTTCAAAGTTTGTGAAGTTTGTGTCTCCTCACCCTCTCTGGCTTTGGCCGCTTCCATCTCTCTGCTCAGGGTTTCATGGTCAAAATGAAAAGCCTCCAGAACTGTGACCAGCAAACTGGAGTCAGAGAAACACAGAAAGAGGAAGATTAGAGGAATAAATCTGTATGTGCAGACAGAGCTCTCAAAACAACTGAATCAGACGCAATTAAAGGGATATTCCCGCGTAAAATTAAAGTTATGGTCGGACGAGTCGATCACCAAGTGCAGCGGATCATTTCCTTTAAGTAATAATCATCATAATAATCATTTTGCTCTGCAGACGCGACAGTTCTTCTGCCTTAGTGTCTCGGTCTGATTGCATTTCCATGAAGTAATAATCATAAATGTTCTTCCTTGAGCTGCGAAACTCCGCTGCACTCGGTGATCAACTCGTCAGGGTTCCCCCACAAACAAGCGGCTGCTGGAAGACAGTGGGTGAGTTGAGTTTACTCTCTTTGCTAAAGAAATCAGGCAAAGTTAAAAAGATGTTTGGTGGCTAGTACTATGGCTGGGACCCTATATGTACTGTTGATGAAGTTAGGTGCTGTTCTGAGCATTATTTGTGGCTATAGAGTGGTGTTTTGGTTGAGGTTTGCTCGCGGAGACGTAGACCACTGTGTATTGCTATCGTGTGGTTGTTAATAAACGTTGTATAACTAGAGAAACAAGCGGTCGGCAACATTCATCTCTCGAGGGGGTGTCTAACTTGGTGTTACGGTGTGTTTGACTTTATGTTGGAATATCCCTTTAAAGCTCAGTGTGATGGTTAAAACAGGGTTACAGGGTGACCTCACCTCACAGCTAGTTTCTGCTCAGCCTGCGCTGTCTGCAGGATGTGGATGAAGTGTTTCAGGTAGTAGAGGTATTTGGACCAGGTGAGCCTGCGACACACTGCGCTCACCACCTCCACCGACGCTGATATCATACTCTCGTGCTGCAGCATCGAAAAGATAAAAAGATGTCCTTTATTATTAAATGTTGAATGAAACTCCTCCTTTGTTTTGATTTTTTTCTGAGCGCATGAGTCACCTTGAGCATCTTCTCATCCATCAGGGCAGTCGTGGCGTACGGCATGATGTAATTCTGGAGCGAACGTGGCGTCATTACGACCTGGCCCTCGGTAAGCTGCTTGGCCAGTCTCCGCAGGGCACGGCCTCGGCGGTGAATCTAAACAGAGGAAAAGAGACGCGCTCAAAGACGGCTTTGAAGGGACGGAAGATTAAACCGGACAGAGAAGAAGCTGGAGTGAGTTACTGCGTTTGATCTCTCGTACCTGGATGTGTTTCATGTGCTCAAAGAAGTCGGACTCCGGATCGTTGTAGTTGGTGAGCTGAACCAAGTCTCTGAACTCTTTCTTGGAGGGGAAAGTCTTAACAAGGCAAGCGAGCACCGTGGTGTACTCATGCTGCACACTCTGATGGAGTCAGGAAGGACAAAAAAAGTTAAAAATTTAACTGAATGACTGAAAATTTCACATGAAGAGAGAAAAATGTTCTTACATCTGTCTTGCTGTGTAGCCCCTTGTGGACAGCATCCAGGATTGTGTGCTGCACGACATCTTTGTAGATCTGCTCTCCAGGCCCGACCACCGCCAGCTGGGTGATCACTGCAGACATACACAAGGTGGCGTTGTCTGCGAGCGACATGTCTCCAATCTGCAGAGAAATGAACAAAGTCAGCTTCGGTACTTCAACAGGAGCTGCTTTTCATCTCTGTGTCACATATCTGATCACCTCATAGGTGTGGAAGCAGTTGTGTATGATGGTGTTAATGTAGTCCAGGTCCAGAGTGGTCATTTCTCGGACTTTTCTGGTGGCTTCTTGGAAAGCGGTGAGGCGCAAGTCAAAGTAGATCTCGTCCAAGTGTCTGCTGTCGTACGCATTCAGCTGGAGAGGGCGAGAAGAGAATAGTGAGAGTTATTGAAGTGGTAGTAACTCAGTGAATCAAGTGGAAGAATAATACAGGAACGTCTAGAAGTCAAGTAAGAAATATAAGAAATGAGCAAACCTTTGTTGCTAAATCGGTGATGTACATGAGGGAGGGTTCCAGATCTGACAGAGTCTAAAGGAAGAGAAAAAACGAATCAGTCAATCTCTGATGGCTGAGAATCTGTGCCAAGAGCTGTATTAGTAACTTGACATTTGCATTATACTCCTAAAATAACTCTTCGATCCACTGCTGTACCTGGAAGACATTAGTGAGGGCCTGTCTGGGCAGCTTGTTGTGGATGATGGAGAAGAGTTTACTGAGCGGCCGCAGGAAGGCGGAGGGCTGCACACACTGTCTCAGCAGATTCTGCACCGTGGCCAGGATATCGATTTCTGTCTCCTGGAATAAACACACAAGGTCAGGGTCATTCCTCCGCCACAGTCACAAACAACTCAGACTTTACTTGACTGGTTATTTTTACACACAAAAATCCTCCCCTAAAAGCCTGCAAAATCTGGATCACTAGAATAAAATCTGTGGCCATGGCCTGGTCCAATGCTTTGCAACCTGGGGTCTGAGCCCCCTTTAGGGTGGGCACTGGAAATCAAAAAATCCTGTGAGGCTCCTTTATTAACAAAAAATCATTATTAAATATTTGGAAAGTAGTTCGGATGGTTCTTTATGTAAATAAAACTGTCAAAAATACAGTTTTCCTCTTTTTTTTGTTCAGAATATCTTAGTTGATGTTTTTTTTGACAGTGTTGCATCACTTTTTTCTGCTTTTGTGAGGCACAATAAGGAGGAAGGTCTCCAAGGAGTAAGGGTAGGACTTGATGGCTCACACGACAAATAATACCACCAGAAATAGCAGCATACTGTACTGTGTTTTAGCAAAAACCCACTGATCTTAATCAAGATTTGTTCAGACAACATATGAATTGCTCTTCTTACTTGAGGATTGTGGCTTTTTTGGAGGTACGGCAGCAACAGGCTGATGAGCATCGAGCTCTGCTCCTTGTCGCTCACAAATCTGCTGACCCTGTAAATAAAAAAAACCACATGAATGAAATGGCTCCGTGAAATAAAACAAAAATGTTCATGGGTTCATTTATGGTGAGAAAAGTTCTCTAATGCAGAGTGGGACAGGGGAAACTACGCTTTAAAATCGAATCCATTTAAAGCACCAACTTGGAGAGGATGTTGAGCTCTTTGGCCACCTGAGCCCTGAACTTCTTCTTCTTGAGTCGGTCAGTATTGCGAACGATCCCGCTGAGGTACTGCAGCAGGGTGGTTATGTGAGGCAGCAGCAGCCTGGAGCCTTGAGTCAGAGAATCTGGCGAAGACACGATCACATTTTTACACTTCACTTTCTCCTTCTTCTTCTGCTATTTCTGTCAATCTTTCAATTTAAGATGAACTCTGGTTACCAGCAGCAACAAAAGCGCCCTCTTGAGGCCGAGGGAACACACAGTCATTGACACTCAGCTCAGCCTCGGTCTCTGAGGCAACAAAGTCTTCAGTGGTTGCTAGGGACTCGGCGATGTCCATCACCATGGTGATAGTGACAGGGGAGGAATTCTTGGCTGAGAGGAGGGCAAAGACATTCAGGAGGATATCACACTCCGGCTGGTTTGGCCTCTGCTTCGCCAAAAGAGGGAAATACCTGATATGAAAAAAACAGAGAGGAAGAAAATATATTAAAGGAGAGTTTCTGATGGATAGATGTGAAGGGAATAAAACTGATGGAGAGAAGATAGGGAAGAAACTCGTACTTAGCATCTTTGCACCACACATGGATGAGTTTCAGGAGAGGTGTGGGAGAATAAGGGCTCTCTGTGGGAAGACGGCGCACCTGCCAAGAGAGAAAATCAACTCCAGTGTAAACCAGCTAAATTAAGAGCAAAAGTACAGCTAAAAAAAAAAAAAAATAAAGCAGATATAAGGAGTCTTTTGTAACATGTACCTGAGGCCAAACAACGGCCTGGAAGACAGCGTCCAATTCATCTGGACTGAAGCTGTAGGAGTCGAAACCGTCAAAGAAATCCTGGATTCTCAGAATGCCGAGTCGCCTCAGGTTCTTGAGAGGACTGATGCAACCTGAGCGCAACTGCAGACAACAGCAAACAACAGCAAACAGGTCAAAAGTGAAAAAAGAGAGAGAGAAAGAGAGAGAGAGAGAGAGATGTTTTTAGGAGGAAAACAGTCTCTCTGTGGGTTTCAAACTCGACACGAAGAAAAAACTGAACTGACGAGGAAAAGATATCCTGGGTTTTTGGTTATTTATGATCTAGATAATAGAAATCAAGATCTTTGAGGTATACCACAAGGATCTGGATTACTACTATAACCATTTCTTATTTTTATCGATAACTTTTCACTGGCTTGTAAATTTTCTTTTTCCTATTTTGTTTGCGAATGACACTGATAAAGTGATTTACACTCCCTGATAAATTACAAAAATATGAAAATGTTTTGCTGTTTCGTCTTCGAAGAGAGGTAAGCCTGTTGGCTTCTCTAACACATCCTTTAGCAAAACTTCACACATGCAAAATAAACAGAAACTTAAAAGCAGAGAGTGAATCCAGATCCTGATTACCTGGTCCCGTCTGTCCAGGATGGTAGACACAGAGGCGGTGACACACAGTAGGATCTGCAGCACCTTGGGCAGGTAGATGTGGATGAGGTGGCCCAGTTTTTGGATGACCACATTGATGATGTTCAGCAGGCTGTGTTGACGACCCAGCGGCAGAACAGCTGATACGTCCGTCTCTGTTATCGCTCTCTCCACGGCGGCCAGGCAGGAACCTTAAGACAGGAAACAGACATAGTTAACGTCTGTGTTTTCTGGGGAAATATAAGACTTCATGTGGCTTTAATTTCTGAGTATTCTCGTGTTATAAAAGACTCACAAAGGTGTTTTTACTGTCATGGTTGAAACTCAAATATCAAAATAATGCATGTATTGCAAATTCCTGTTTCTGAAGCTCTTTTGAGTCTGTTTTTTTTTATTATTGCAAACATGATCTACCTTCACTGTGACGGCAGACGGGCTCCAACAGCAGGTCGATGAATATCCCCAGCTCCTCAGCCTGGCAACCCGCCAGGAAACGCAGGATGATGGAGGACCGGGAGGTGGCGAACGCTTTCCCCTGAAACTTGCTGCCTGCTTTGCTGCGCAGACGGCCGAACAAGATCCTGTGAAATAAACATCAAACATGAACCGCTGAGTGAGAGATCAAAGTGGAGTGAGACGCAGAGATAAAGGCACATTCACCTAAACCTAGATCTTTTATAAACAGTGGTTTAGACTGATTTTGGGTGTAGATGTTGACAATAAGGTGAAGTGAATGGATCCAAATGAGCTTGTGAAAACTATTAAAGGAATTATAAACAGACCTCATTAGCAGTGGGATGAGTCTGGCTCGGTGCGAAGCGTCAATCACTCCTGTTTCATCAGAAATGTTGAAATGAACAATCTCCTCTTTGAAGTGTTTGTCATCCAGGAGTTTCTCAAGATTCTCCCTGAGGAGAAAGACACACACAGACACATAAAAAGTCACACACAGGGACACACAGCATTACCTTTTAGTAGTTTAACATCCCAAAAATACCCAATTATGAATTACATGTTCATTTAAAGACAAAAAACATTACAGAAAGCCTGTTCACTGCTGTGTGTGTCAGCCAGATCCTGAGCAAAGACTGTCAGACATGTTCGTGTAACACAAAACTTTCACATCTATCAGAGAAGTAAACGGATAGCCTGATAACAGACAATACAGGGGATGATTTCATGGGGAGAGGAGGACTCTGATTCCTATCATAGACCCACACAATGACCCCCTTTAGGGAGAGAAACAACAGGATATTGTTGCCTCGAGAAAAATTACACAATCATACAATTACTGTCATTATTATAGATTAGATTTCCTGTCCGTCTTTGAGTAAGTGGAGGCAGTTTTCTTACTTGTAGGGTACGATGTCAGGCTCTTTGTATGAGAAAACACATTCCAGCGCCACTCGCTGAATCTGCTGGTCCTGGTGGCAGAGCAGCTGCGACAAGAGAAATGAGGTACTGTGATTGGACGGCGTAAAAAGTGCTTTTTACTGTAACCAAACACTGAGTTAGTAAAAAGTGAGCATATTTGGACGAGTTCTTACCTGGTTATAGAGCTCGCTGAGGCTGCTCTCCAGGTAGAGAGAGCGAGGGTTCGTGAATTTGGAGAAGACTTTCAGATGGGCGGTCAGCTGTCTGTAAAACGACAAAATTCCATCCAGTTGAATTAAACTTTTTTTTTTAAGCTAAAAATACAAACAAAGAGAAAGAAAAAACAAAACCTTCTGTACGCTTCTTTTTCTGTGTGTACCTCTTTAAAAAGTGCTTTTAGAAACTTTTGCACAAAAATATCAATAAAATTTAGCGGCCATAAAAAAACAGCGTGCTCAAAACCAACAAACATTGATATTGGGATGCACCAATCCAATATTTGGATTGAATATCGGCTCCAATATTGATAAACTAACTGGATCAGATATCGGATGAATGATGCCGATCTAGCATTCAGATCCAGTCTTTTTTATTCTTTTAATTAATTTTTCTTTTAATACATCGAAGTCTTACTTCTTTTTGCTGTGCGCTAATGTGCAATTTGTTGTTTGTTGATAATTAATATTAAGTAAATTTATATCTGTGTTAATTTGTCACCTTTTTTTCTTAACAAGGCTGATGTCAAGCCTGATGCCTTCACTCACAGGGAAAGGTATACAGTTTATTCATTCAACAAAAGTACTGGATCGGTATCGGATATAGGCCAATACGCTCAGCCCAGGTATTGGTATTGGATTGGATCAGAAAAAATGGATCGGAGCATCTTTAACCAAGATGACCAAGCATGAACGTAAACCTGCACAAATAAAAAACAAATGCTCTTGTTCATCTTACTTGGCAGCAGCCCTCCTTGGAAGAGCCTTCCTCTGTTGTTTACTGCCCTGCTCCTCCTCCTCCTCTTCCCCCTCTTCTTCCTCTTCCTCTTCCTCTTCTTCCGTAGTCAACTTAGACTCCTTCAGGGCGGCTTCCTTCCTCTTCCTCAAGTCTTGAGTAGGAGCCACGAGCAGGTCGGCAGGGTAAAACTCATTCCTGAAACCGCAGGACAATGAAGTACCACAGTAACACATATCTACCCATCACACTCAATAGGAAACAGTCCATTAGTCTCTTACCTGACGAACCGGAGCAGCAGGGGGGTCAGTTCCCGACTGCGTGGTTCCACTCTGTCAGGAAACTGGGCCATGGAGCGCCACAGCAGGCTGCGGAAGTTGGTGAAGTCGGTCCTCTCATTGGGGTTAGAGGTCAGCTTCACCTGCTCAAGGAACAACACCCCGACATCTCCGCTCTCTATCACGTCACAGCCGGGCTCTCCCTGAAGACCGGACTCTTCTTCTTCATCATCATCATCATCATCCTCTTCACTCTCCTGCAGCTCTTTCTCTGTGAGGAGCAGAGAGAGAGAGAAGGGTTCATATTTGCAGAGACACAAAGCTCCAAAGCACAACATGTGAAGCTATAAAAATCTGAATCTACCAGCCAGTCCGGCCACCATCTCCAGATGTTCATAGAAAACCCTCCAGAAGTCTTTGTTGTCCATTCCTCTTGCATGAGTCCTGTGAAGAGATACAGAAAGTGAGGAAGAAGACACAGGGTTGCATAGCATACTTCTGCAATCATGAGTTTAATTCCTACGACAGTTTGGCTGAAGTGAAACCATGTGTTGACACAGAAGTGTTTTTCAGGCTCTTTAAACTCACACAAGAAGTTCAATCACAGGGTCCCACAGAGGCCTGAAGTTGACAAACAGCATTGCAATGAGGTAACGCAGCGGCACCTGCAGAAAAAACAGTCAGGAACCGTTCATGACAAACATCTGTGACATTTACCAAATCACTGAGACATACTATTATTTCAAATGTTCATAGATTTAAACTGACACTGCACTACCTACAAAATTCCACTTATTATGATTAAAAAAAACAGAGGAAGTCCTTCTTCTGTACCTCCTGGAAGGCAGCAGCTGGACCCTGCGGCAGACTGCGCCGCACCAGGTCATGCCTCAGCTTACGCAGGTGGAGCAGCTTCTCTCTGTAGTCCTGAACTGAAGCTGGCACCAGCTCAGCCTGCAGGCAAATCGCAAACACTGGCTGCACTTCCACATTCTCCTCACCCTGTACGGAGAGGAAGACAGTCAGATGAATAAAAATTTGGTTTTATCATTTTTTAAAGCACTTTAATCTGGTGGTCTCACCTCTGGGAGAGGAGGGAGCTCTGCCTCGAACTGAGAGAGAATCCTCAGAGTCAGCAGGCGGATCTGAGAGAGAAAAGGTGAAATTGATGGTAAAAGTTAGAAAATGAAGCAAAAAATCATATAATCAAGTCTTCTTAACATGTAGACTTAATCCTCCTACCTTTGAGATATTGGAGGACAGGTTAGCATGCAGGATCTGGTAGAGTTCCAGCAGTGCACTATGGGAGAGGTGAGCTGAAACTCCACTGAGTGACAGGCGAGTGTAGTACAGGTCTCCAAACAGCAGGGCTGAAAGGTCCGTGGGAAACTTCCTGTATTGAACAAAAAAGTTAGAAACAATAATCAAAGTTTTAGTTGAAGACACACACAGAAACCCTCGTTACATTGAAGAGGAAGACATGAAATACAAACCGCAGTATGGAGTTGACCTTGTCCACGGTGAGCAGTGAGAGAGGCTGTGCAGAGCTGTCCAGGGTGAGGAGACAGCTGAGGGCCTGTCTGACCACAAACAGACCAGCTGGGGGACAAAGTAAAGAAGATCATGATCATTAGTATCAATGCACCACTAATGATTTCTACTCTCAGTGTGTGAGCACAACAGCACACAATGTTATTTTCGACTTGTTTTGATACTCCAAATACCTGCACTAATAATTCTTCAGCTTGTTTTTCTTTATTATTATCTCATAAAACGTAAATATAGTTGATTAAAAAACAAAAGTGAACCAAGCAAGACGACAGAACTTGATAAGAACACTCATCCATCTACAAAGTTCCCGGTTTAGCTCCGATTAAACCCGTCTATTTAAGATTAACAGTTTGCTACTTTGTGCAATGCGGTAGAATAACCTCTCAAACCTTTTTCCAGTTTCTCAGACTCGATCTCACTCAGCAGGTGGTTTAATAATGCATCCACAGCGGGAATGATACTGGCTGAAGCAAGAGGCCTGAAAAATGAAAAAACCTGAATTTAAATGAAGTTCATCAGCTGGTTTATAAAAATGATGCGTGCATTTGTGAGGAGAAAGTGAGGGGACCTGTTACCTGAGGTGAGGAAGAAGCACCAGGGCAGCCCAAGGCAGTGACAGGTCGGTGATGGACTGGTTCTGCTCCCCAGGAAGTTTGACCAGTGACAGCACCAGTTCTGGGACTGCGAGCTGCTCTGATGGCGTACTGCTGGTCTGAAACACTCTGCAGGAGGAGAAAAACAAGACGACAAGAGTCTGATTGGGGGTGTAAGGAATCAAACGTGTGTTTACGAATAACTGTTTGGTAAATGAGTTATTATTTGATTGTTTTGGTGTGATAATAGTCTGATCTCTCACCCTGTCGTCTGTCCGGTAAACAACAGCGGGTAGGTCTCAAAGGCCATGGAGCCGTCTGTTGGAGGCGGAGCTTTGGCGAGGATCAGGCTCACCAGCACGTCCAGGCCAGAGTGGTGAGATACAGGGTCGCCACATCTGAATAACCCGGTCGTGAAGCGCAGCAGGCTGGGGAGGAAGAGCTGCGAGACAAAGAGGTGGAGAAAATTCATGTTTGTGCATCTTAGGGATGAATAAACAGAGATTGATCATTGATAGATAATCTGGAGACGACTCACCTCTTCAAACTGCTTCATGGTGAACATCTCTTTGGTGAATTCAAGTATCAGGTCTTGTCCCGTTGTGCTGCCAAACACCTTGTGAGGAAGACAAATGAATCACTGTCAAACTTCTCCATGCAGAGAAACTCACACACACACATACAGATCAAGTTTTATCATTTGGTTTCACCTTCTGGACCATCTCCTGTACGAGAGTTTTAGGGAGGTTGATGTTCTCCCCGAGGAGCAGAGAGGAGGTGGTCTGGAGGAGCAGACGGGAACAACCAGCTGACAGAGATGAGCTCTGAATCAGCCGCAGAACTGTCTGCAGAAACATGCAGATGAGATGATTAGAGATGAGGACACACGTCATTTTGAGGATTTGATGTTAAACGTGCATCTCTTCTTCTTACCTGGCAGACAGCCTCGGGTTTAGTGATCTTTGCTCCGTCTTTATGAGACACCAGGGTGTGGAGGATGAACAGCAGCCTCTCCAGCTGCTCTGCTGCCTGGTCTGCTTCTTTTCCTTTTGCCTCCATGATACCCAGGACCTCCATCACACTGGTCTGTATATGGAGACACACCACCGTCATATATAAAGAAAAAAAGAGGACCTACTATCTGACTCTGAGTTTACTTATTTCTTGCTGTGGTACCTGCAAAGAGTCCCACAAAACCAGGAAGTGTTCTCTGTCGATGTGATTGGCTGCAGCCTGGGCCAAGTGATCCAGAGCGTCCCTGATAGTGTCCCATGGCAGAGAGACCCCAGGGCATGTCGAGGGACCGAGCATACGAAAAGCCACAAGAAAAGCCTAGAGGAAAACAGAGCAGGTGAGATTTTAAAGGGATATCCCGGCGTAAAATTAATTTAGGGTCAAACACACCATAACACCGAGTTAGACACCCTCTCGAGAGATGAATGTTGCTGACCGCTTGCTTCTCTAGTTATGCCAACTTTAGTAATGACCGCAGATAGCAATACACAGTGGTCTGAGGAGATATAAACAAACCTCAACCAAAACGCCACTCTTTTACTCTAATAATGCCCAGAACAGCACCTAACTTCATCAACAGGACATATAGGGTCCTAGCCACAGTACCACTCAACAAACATCTTTTTAACTTTGCCTAATTTCCTTAGCTAAGATACTAAACACAACCCACCTACTCTCTTCCAGCAGCCGCTTGTTTGTAGCAAGACCTCGGGCCAGTCTATTACGGACTACGGCGGGGTGCCGCAGCTCAAGGAAGAACATTTATGATCATCATCTCTTGAGGGGGTGTCTAACTCGGTGTTACTGTGTGTTTTACCCAAACTTAATTTTACTCCGGAATATCCCTTTAAGTCTGAATAACACACGAGTATCTTGTATTACTGGTTAGTGTATCACATTAAAAGATACACACAAGAAACCTCGTCCTTTTCATTCAAACGATCACAGAGCAGAAGGATACTCACATTTGAAGCACAGGAGTGGAACATGTTTCGGACTCCTTTGCACATTTCAAACAGTAGTAGACCTGCTCCCTCTGCTTTGTCTGGGTGCTCCTGCAGATCTGAGAACATAAGACTCAGCAGAGCATCGAGATCTGGAACCTGCGTGACACCAGGAGACAAATTTTCATCTGTAAAAAAACAGCTGAATGCATTTAGAAATACTCCACTCAAATGTTAATCCTCACCTTTCTCATCAAAAAAGAGAAGCTCTCTGCTGCAAACTTGCGGATGTGCTCCTTCTTGTGTGCCAAGAGTGTGCTGTATAAACTGTGGGGTAAAAAGTGGTACAATTCATCAAGTTTAACAGGTGAGTGCTCAGACAACAACAAAATATCCAAAATATAACAACAAAAAAGCCCGCAGACCCTGCTTCTTGGTTTCTCACCTGTAGATGTTGGTCATGTCCTTCACCATGAGCCTCCATAGGTACTTGTAGAGGTAAGAGAGACAGGTGAACGCCCACTCTAAGATCTCTGTGTCTTTAGTGTCGAGCAGTGAAGTGATCAGAGTGAAGAAGTCGGGAAAGTGAGGGTAGAAGTCAGTCTGCAGGTCTCTGGCCAGCTGCACCACGAGGCTGGAGGGAGAAAGACATGATTGGAGTCTACAGCTGAAGTCAAGAAAAACAAGAATGATAGACTGAGATGGTGACTTACTCCAGGAGAGGCTGGTAGGCTAGACTGTTCTTGACGCTGAGGTGTGTTTTCAGGCTTTCCACTATTGCCGCCTGATGGAAAACCAGCAAGTTGAAAGACTGGCTTTTGTTGGACACCTCCTTCAGAAATGACGCTGCGGAGAAAAAGGAATAATTTGACATTATAATCATCAACAACAACGTTAACAAAGCTGTAAAATTGATAGTTTAATACATACTGAAATGTTCTGTCAAGTTGAGGTCTCTCCATTTTGTCAGACCCTCCGAAAAGTAGGTTTCTACCGCCTGTAAGGATACAAATCAATTTATTACCAATTGCAAGATCAGCACAAGATCAAGGGTTATTGCCGTTCAAGATACCAGGCTGTACGTACCTCTGCGTAAGATCCTGTCCTGTCTATACGGTGGATGACATTAATGTTCACATTTGCGAGTCTTTCTGCAAAAGTGAGAAACTGAAAGAGACAGATCAGAGAGGTTTATCATCTACCAGAGTAAAAAGAAAACGGAAATCTGTGATTGCAATGCCTCATTTAGGAGTTTTATGGTAAACTGTCCCGTTTTCGAAACTTTAACATTAAAAACTTGTTCACAATCAAGCGTAGTTGCATTTCTACCACTAATTCAGACCTAAGACTGAGTTAGTTTTGACTCTCACCCTGTACGTGTTCTCAGATTTGTGATACGAAGACTTGGATTTGATCTTCATCTTCGCTCTTTTCTTTTTTGGATCTACTGTAATTCAAGGATCGTGTTGCGACTCAAATTATTCATCAAAATTCACTTTTCGGGTCCCTTTCCTACGACTGTTTACACACACGCCGACTCCAGGGCGCAGCCATGTTGAATGAAGCATTGTGGGTATTTTTCCCCCACATGGTCGTGGCCGCAGAGACCCGAAGAAAGCCGAGGAAGCGACACGGTAATCGAACACTCACTTCCGGCGTAGTTAACGTCTTTTCTCATTTGTACTTTTGTAACGGCTTCGTTTGACTATGAAAGGATATTTAAGAAACAGGAATAAATAAACGAATAAACAACGTTTCGTTAAATCAAATGTTTATCGATAACTATGCATACTATAGCATACTGGACTCTTATTTAAAAGGCCAATTGACAATAACGACACTTAAGTTAGCTTCTTGGCGTCCTTAGCGTCACTCCTTTAATCGTCTCTTGACCAAATTGCACCTGGTGCTAATCCAGAACTTTGATATTTAGACTTCTCTGGTCTGGAATAAATTATTGTAGACTGTCTAGTTTACATACTTTAGCAAACACATTTGTTAACTCTCTATCTAGGCAGGTATCCTGAGCAACTCCACATCTGAAAAGTCAATTTTGGCGCCACCTGTGGACAAAGAAGTCTTTACTTACCTTGTCTGCTACTAGTGATGGGCACGGCAGTTCGGCAGTTCTTAGGTCACCAAAAAGATTCGTTCAAATGATTCGTTCACCAAATCACTGAATCATTCAGAGCTGGCAATGTTAGTTAGTTAGTTAGTTAATGTTTAGTTAATGATTGCACTGAAATGAGGAATATTAAATATATAAACTGTGTCTCATCTGACTCAGATTTTTAGTAACACCTGCGGCAGAAGGTACCCAAAGAACTTCTGGGGGGACGTGTATCCAAATTTGAGAAATGGCAGTATACCAATGTTTCTGCTAGATAAATTTTGATGTTGTTGCAAGTACAACAATACATTCAAAATCTTGAATACTTTGAAGAAAACACTTGCAATGAGGGATTCCCAAGAAAGATGAGATGCTGGTTTAGGTTTTAGAGGTCAGATATTTGCTTGCATACCCGAAAATATAGATGGAAGTGCTTGCAAACTATAAGCAGACGATGTAAAACACTAAAATGACACAGTTACACAAATGACACAACATGCCAATACAAACATGTTTTGACCGATGAGCAAATCAAACACAATAAAATATTTGAAAACATCAGTAAAGATGAGTAAAGATGAGAAACTATTAATGTTGGACAATTGATCGAACTTTTCTTTTGTGTTCAAGTGAGAAACCCTGGTCTCCTTTCCTGCTGACTCCACATGAACACACATGAACACACACACACACACACACACACACACACACACACACACACACACACACACACACACACACACACACACACACACAAACAAAAGGGAACAGTCCGTGGACCTGCTCTCATCTCAGTTTTGTCAGGAGAAGCCTATGTATCAGGACTCCTCTGTCTTCACAGATCATCTCCTTTTTTTGTATTTAACTTTATTTTTAGATTTTGATTTTAACTGAACAAGATGCCAGAGACCTCTCTAGTATCCGGCTACTTTCACCTAACAGACTATGTGGTGTTTGCGCTCATGCTTGCAGCATCAGCTGCCGTTGGGATCTACTATGCCTGGGCCGGCAGAGGCCAAAGAAGCTCCAGGGACTTCCTAACAGGGGGCCGAAGACTGACTGCCCTGCCTGTCTCCCTGTCTCTGACTGCCAGCTTCATATCGGCTATCACATTGTTGTCCAACCCAGCTGAGGTAAGGTTTGGACTCTCCTGAAAACCTCTTTTTTAGTCTGCAGGGTGTCTATTTAAGGCAGTAAAACCACCAAGAATGAGTTTTCATGATATTTCACATGAATTAGAGGCCTGATGGTAAAGACAGTTAGACAATAAATACTTTTTGAGTCAGTCCATTTCACAGTTTTATTATGTGAATTGATCAACACATGATTGCAAAGTATAGAAAACTGTTCAATTTTTAAAAAGAAAAAAAAAAATTAACACGGCTTAAATTCATATGATCTTTTTGTAGGTTTACTGCTACGGAGCCAACATTGGATTTTTTGCCGTGTCCCATGTAATGATGGTGTTTGTCACATCTGAAGTTTTTCTCCCAGTCTTTTACAGGCTGGCCATCACCAGCACATATGAGGTAGGTGCGCTTTAGCTTTTTTAACTGGAGTATATGTCGGCGATCTTATTCGTTTTAATTATTTACAAAGCCATTAGACGTATCAAATTTTTGGTTTAGCTGTGCAGTACAAGACGAGCAAATATCTTACTGCGGGCCATGCTTTGCAAGTGCAACCCAGGGTCAACTGGTATACTATAGGCAATAATATTATCTTTCCAGTTGTGTATGCATCCATGCTATGGCTCTTCATGCATCTCCACATTATAAAGGATGCTTGCTTTTGAGCTGAGTGCTGACACCAAGCTAGGTGGACTGAAGATCACGTCCACAACAATGTTGTTTTTGACCTTGTTGAAAGTTCTCCTCGCTGATTCAATCCAAGGTCCGGCTGTGTCCACATGCTGAAGTGTGCTTGGGCAAGACTCTTGACCCCACTCGCCCATGCTGGTTACACCCAGTAGTGTGTATGTGTGATTAGACAAAACTGATGAGTCTATACACAGCTGTATGTGTGTGTGTGAGAGACTACAGGAAGCATTATAGTCCAAATATCATTTTTTATGTTGCCTTTGCACCATAGCAACGTGGTCCAGAAGTAGTCTGATTATGACTACCTCTATTTTTTTGTCATGACTCTGAAGTATCTGGAGCTGCGTTTCAACAAAGCAACCCGTCTGCTGGGAACAGTACTCTTCATTGTCCAGACAGTGAGTAAGACATCAGTCAACACATAATGACCCAGCTTTCATTTCTGAGGGTAAAACATGTAAGCAGATATCAGAGGTTTTTTCTTTTCCATATCTGGGTATTTTTTTCTGTGTCTGTCACAGATCCTCTACACTGGAATTGTTATTTATGCCCCTGCTCTTGCTCTGAATCAAGGTATGTTGTCCTCAGTTGGCAGCGGTCATGGCTCACACACTCCTCCTTGAAGACACTCAAAGCTGCTCAGTTTTGCTCTGCTGAGTTTGACCTAAGTTTACTTCCTCTCTGCAGTCACCGGTGTGGATCTGTGGGGTGCAGTTATCTCGACAGGCGTGGTCTGCACCTTTTACTGCACAGTGGTATGTAAAAAATCATGCTTGAATGACTTTTCCCTAAAGGATTAAATTTGATAAGTAAAGTTTGGATGTACAGAAGACAATGGTTTTTCTTCATCTCTATTGTGACAGGGCGGTCTGAAGGCAGTGGTGTGGACAGATGTGATTCAGGTAGACTTCTGGAGAAACTTGACAAGAGGCTGACGTCCACTAAATGTTCCCATAAGACTGCCAAACCAAACACTTTAAATTTTTCATCCTGAAAGAGAAAGAGGGAAGGATTGGAAAGTAATCAAAATTCTCCTTTCAGATTGGCGTCATGCTTGCAGGCTTTTTGTCCGTCATCATCAAGGCGGTTAAATTACAAGGAGGACTCCACGTCATCGTCTCGGATTCAGAGCGAGGAGGGAGACTCAACTTCTGGGAGTGAGTTTGGGAGGAGATCACACACACAAACACACACATGGGTGCCATAGCAGCAAATCAGAGTCTTTGGGAGGAGAATTGCCTGACGCCCAAATCGCCCTCCACTCTTGTTTCTTCAGCTTTGACCCAGATCCTCTGAGGCGACACACATTTTGGACCATCACCATCGGAGGAGCATTTGTCTGGGTCAGCATCTATGGGACTAACCAGGCCCAGGTTCAGAGATACATCTCCTGCAAGACCGTCACACATGCCAGACTGTGAGTCATGTTCCTCGAGTGTCCACTTCAGGAGGGCTCTGAAAGAAACCTCCATGTAAAATATCACATTTTAAAGCAGAATTGATCATCTCGGCTTGTTTATCTCATTTCTTTATTTAATACTGCTTCACTATAGAGGTGAATATTTTAAAAATCTTTCATTTGCAGTCAGCACTACTAATACTGGGACTACTTTAGGCTTTATAACACCTCCTCAGGAACCAAAAGATGACATACTGTTTTCTGCAACTCACCTCAGGCAGCTGCCTATTAAGTATTTATCATATGACTGAGAGAGGGCGCTCTAGAGCCTTAAGTTTGAGTAAATACATAAATCTCACACCAGAGCGAGTGGAATAATGTGCATTATTAACTCTATTTTTATGTTATGTTGCACCATAAAACTCTTGTATGTGTGTGTGTTTTTTTACCCTTTTTCAAGAGCTCTGTACATAAACCTGGTGGGGCTGCTGTCCATCATGCTGTGCTCGGTGTTGGCAGGAATGTGCCTCTTCTCAGTCTATAAGAACTGTGACCCGTGGACAGCTGGAGTGGTTTCTGCTCCTGATCAGGTATGATGGAGAGACACAGAGACACATAAAGACATCAATCAATCAATCAGTATCTAGATTTTCTGATCTATAGTTACACCATGCAACCTTACCTTTGCAGCTGATGCCATTTTTGGTGATGGACACATTAGGAGACAATCCTGGCCTTCCTGGACTGTTTGTTGCAGCTGTATACAGTGGATCTTTAAGGTAAATACACCAAAGATTAATAATCAAACTAAAACATCTAGTATTTAAATGGTCGATTGTACACTCTTTACCTTCTTTTTAATGTGAGATTGCTGTGTTTACATTTCCACACCAGCACGGTGTCGTCCAGCATTAATGCACTCACCGCAGTGACAGTAGAAGACCTGATCAAACCCTACACTAAAATGTCTGAGAAACAGGGCTTCTGGACCTCTAAAGGACTGAGTGAGTGGGTAATCCTCACATGCAGCGTCGTAGTGAAAGAATATCTGTCTTTCAAACAATATGAGGCCAGAAAATGATACTTCCCGATGCTGTTTGCAGGTCTTACATATGGGATTATATGCATTGGAATGGCTGGGCTGGCATCAGTCATGGGAGGGATCTTACAGGTGAGGCTGATTTGGTCGTTCATTCATGAACTGTGAGCAGTAATACGTTTTATAGGATGATGGTTAAGAACTCAAGTGAAACACACTTTTCAGGCAGCCATCAGTGTACTTGGGGTCATCGGAGGTCCTTTGCTCGGCTTGTTCACGATAGGTATCTTCTGCCCATTTGCCAACTCCAAAGTAAGTCTTTTCTTTTTTGAAATCTTTAATCTTTGTGTCATTTTTGTTACTCTAGGATTGCAGGTTAATATAATAAATAATCCAGCACTAACAATAATTTTTGGACTATCTGATCTGAAGCATTATTTAGCAGCAGGTCTTTGAATTAGACATGATAGCACATCCATATACTTCTTAAGGACACACATGGTCTTCAAATGTCTTCCAGGGAGCGTTGTCTGGTCTTGTGTCAGGGCTGGTTATGTCTCTGTGGGTATGTATTGGGGCTCTGGTATACCCTCCCCATCCTGAGAAGAGACGCCCTCTGCCTCTGTCCACCGAGGGTTGTAATTTCACCACGACAGGCCGTCTCAACTGGACCTCCACCGCTCTTCCGACAACGCCCAGCCTCATCATGGCAGCGACACCACAGAGCAGCGCTGACAGGTGTGATCTTTTAGCGTATTGATAAAAAAAAGGTAGTGCAAGAAAATTGTGAATTATTTTCTATGTTACATCCTGATACAATGCATGACCAATGCCTCCACATGCTGTGAATGACGTGCAAAGAGCTGAACAATAAGCAGTCGTCAATGCAGTGCAGTTACAAGACAGTAGGATATAATGATATTATGGGACTCTGTGTTTATTTGCATTTGATCCGGCAAAGTGAGATCCAATTATGAGTGATCACCAGAAATCCACATTCATACCTAAAGCTTGCCACCAAAAACCACAAGTTGGTCAAGGTATGAACAGGGTCTTTGTCCAGGGGATGGCTCAGAGGACCTATCAGCTGGCCTGGTTCATCTGTTGTCTTTCCCTTTAGGTCCCTACTGGTGGATAGCTGGTACTCCGTGTCGTACCTTTACTTCAGTCTTATTGGAACAGTGACATCCATCATGGTGGGGCTGTTAGTGAGCCTGCTGACAGGTAAACAATATCTATTTTCTATCTATTTTTTTCCTGCTATTGAAACCATTGTTGTTAATTTGTGTTTATGTGAATGTCTATTCTAGGAGGACTGAATCTGGAGTTTGAATCAAGCCTTATGTTGAGAAAAGAAGACACAACCGTATATCATTTGGTCAAGCTTTTCAAATATAAGGTTAGTTCAGTAGATAAGCAACAAAATCAAACATAATCATCTTAAAAAAAGGTTCTGACTCGGCTTTGTGTGCTTTATTTTTAAGGTAACAAGAAGAGCAGGAAAGCTGGACTTGACAACAAATGAGGAAAGGATATCTGGGAATAATAATCCTACTTTCTGTGACGTTGAGCTGGACACACATAAAAGCAGCATTACCACATAACGTGAAACTCGTGAATAAAAAACAGTTTTAAACTATTCAAACAATAGAAAAAATAGGATTTTGTAATGTGATGCAATTAAGCACATCCAGTCTTTGAATTCTTTATATACCTCAAGTCAAATGTATCTTGTAAACTTCGGCTTTGGCTGGAGTTTCATAACTGTTTACTTTATAAAGAAAAGCACTCTATTACAATTTTTTCTTTTTCATCTTTTTTATTTTTATCCTCATTATTGTCACTGTTACAGCTGCTCTTACAAAGGCATGAATGACATTGCAGTGTACAACTAAATCCATGTCAGCCAGCCAAATAAACTGTGTATATCTGAAAAGCTGAGAGATAAGCATTTATTGCACATTTGCATAGGAGGAGACAGATAGCGTCTTGGTGTCGGTGCTTTGCTGCACAGGTTGCTTCCCTGCACTAAATTGTGCAATTCTTTTGTCAATAAAGCGGGACCTTCAACCTTTAACTCTATTGGTAAGTTAAAAGGTAACATATCAGATTTGCTATTTTGTATTTATAGAGAACAGCCTGATAATAATGTCTCACTAAACAGGTTTAATACATTTTTTTAACAACTTCTACTTCCAGGTTTGGTCGGGCTCACACCAAAAATGTCTTGGGATTCGTCTGGAGCTGGCTCTCTCGGGGTAGCAGACTATGTGGTGTTTGCTCTCATGCTGGTGGTGTCAGCTGCAGTCGGGGTCTACTATGCCTGGACCAGCAGAGGAAAGGGAACCTCGAGGGAGTTCCTAACAGGGGGGAGAAGACTGACAGCCCTGCCTGTCTCCTTGTCTCTGACTGCTAGCTTCATGTCATCTATCACAGTGCTGTCGACCCCAGCTGAGGTGAGGTTGACACGCATTTTTAAAAAGCACAAACATACTTGAATTATAAGCAATTTCCACTCTTTCACGTGTCGTGTAACATTTTCTTTGACTCTTGAATTTTTTTATGAGTTATGAAAAGTAAAACTGAAAAAAGCACCTGGGTCTTTGGAAAACAAGTGTCATAAAATCTCACTGTTTATGGCTTTTTCAAAGAGTTAGAGTTAGAGATTCAAGCTGGTGAAGTATGTTGACAAGATTTCATGACGGGATAGGCTCAGGATTCATGGACATATTTTGAAACACATGTACAGACATTATTCATCAACATCACATCACTTTAGTTTAAGCCTCTTCTATAAATTTGAAGATTTAACCGATCACTTTTAAAGCTCACAGCCTCAGGTTTGAAATTCCTCATTACTCCAAAGTGGGTGTTTAAAACTCAAGAATACTAATCCTTTTATGTCAGCGCACCTCGACCTCGAGACAACCTGTCAACACATTTCTGTAGGCTTGCTTTTATGTGTCTTCTTTTATGCTTTTACAGTCTCTTTTACTCTCCCTTCTTTTATTAGTGTTGCTCTGGCTTTCTTTTATCCCTAACTTATGATGTAAAATAGTATCTTGCGTTTTATTTATCTTGACTCATAAACAATGTGTCCCATTGTCTGGTCATTTGCACTTCTTATTTATTGTTTTTGTGTCTGTAATGTACCTGAATTGATTTAATATACTGACTTCTTCCATCTCTTATAGCTGCCATGTGTTATTGAATTTATCAGTTCAGATTCTTACCTGATGTAGACTGTTACTTTTTCTTCCTCTTAAACATTTAAACAGTTTTTGTACTTTTTAATATAATTTTATCCCTTTTTTGTATTTTGATTTAGTCTTATTTCACTCATCCTCTATTGTTGATTTTATTATTATTTTTATTTATTAATATTTTAATGCAATTTTTTCCTTCCTCTCTGCTGCTGTTGTTGTTGTTGTTGTTGTTTTTATTATTAATTATTATTATTATTATTATTATTATTATTGTTCAACTCATTAAGAACCTGCTTTGTAGGTGTACTGCTTTGGAGCCATCTTCATCCTGTCTTCATTCGCCTATATATTGTCATTGATGATTGTATCTGAGGTTTTTCTCCCAGTCTCCTACAGACTGTCCATCACCAGTGCTTATGAGGTAAGTGTGGATTTTTTTGTCCACATTGTTTTCTAAAATTGATTTGTATATATGTAAAAATTTTCATTTACTGAAAATACAAAGACCTCTGTGTTTTCTTTACACAGTATTTGGAGTTACGCTTCAATAGAGCAACACGTCTGCTCGCAACGATACTCTTCATTGTTCAGGCAGTGAGTAACAAGAGATATGTCCTTGGGGAACATAAACTCTTCATCTAAAGTTGATTTATGTTACTTTTTCTTTCTTCTTAACTTCAGGTCCTCTACACTGGGATTGTTATTTATGGACCAGCACTCGCTCTAAGCCAAGGTATGTTGTTTTAAACCAAAAGATGTCAGATTGAGTAAAACAGAATAAATTACAACACATAAACTAGGTCATGTAATGTCATAAAGTGAGCACTGTTTTAAATACTGCTGTCTCTATCTTAGTAACTGGTTTGGATCTGTGGGGTGGAATTATTTCAACTGGAGCTGTCTGCACTCTTTACTGCACACTGGTCAGTAAATTAACTCTAATATAAAAACAAACTCACCTTTTGTCATTTCAAAAACCACAGATGGACAGATGGATAAATGGATGAATTAATGTGTGACAGGAGTGATAGATGGATAGATCGATGGATGATTGATGGATGATGATGGTTGAAGTGATAAATTGACTGATAAATTAATGAATGACTTCAGTGATAAATGGATGGATGGATGGATGGATGGAAACCTTGAGTGATGGATGGACGAATGGATTTTAAGTGGATGGAGAAATGGAGTGATGAATGATCAGATGGATAATGGATGATGATGGTTGAAGTGATAAATCGGCAGATGGATAGATGGATGGGTGGATGGATGGATGGATAAATGGAGGGAGGAATGGATGGATGGATGGTCTGTTAAACAAGATAGATTGATGGATTGATTGTGGAAGGATGGTTGGTTAGATCCAGAGATTGATGGATGTGTGGATGAATTGATGAGTGGATGGATGGATGGATGGATGGATGGATGGATGGACAGATATACATTTGTTTACAGTGTGAACACTGGAAAACAAAATATCAATCAATGATGAGCTTGATCTAAACATTGATTGTTGATATTTGAAAGGAGATGTCATGGTTAAAACTGTTTGTGCTCTAAATTGATACAGGGTGGACTGAAGGCAGTCGTGTGGACTGATGTGTTTCAGGTAAACCTCTGGATAAAAAAAATATCAAAGGAGGATTTTAAAATGTTTTAACAAGACAGTGAGGTCAAAATTGGGGAAGCGGGACAGATTCCTGTGGCCCTGAGAATCTATTTCAAACAAACCACACTTGGGCTTTCTTTGAACTTCTAGATGGGAATCATGTTTGCAGGTTTCCTATCTGTGATCATCAAGACTGTGACATTACAAGGGGGAGTATCCACCATCATTTCAGATGCAAAACATGGAGGGAGACTCAACATTTGGGAGTAAGTATGTTGTCCATCACCAAAGATAGTATGAACGTATTTATGGTTCTTATCATGAATCACACCTTTGCAGATTGACTATTACTAGTTCTGTATTTTTAACCATGTTGTAATTGTGTGTCTCCAGCTTTGACATGAACCCTTTGAGGAGACACACATTCTGGACCCTGACCATTGGAGGGACCGTCAGCTGGATTGTTGTTTATGGGGCAAACCAGGCTCAGATTCAGAGATACATCTCCTGCAAAAGCATCACTCATGCTCGGCTGTAAGTCTCATGTTCTTAATTTATTCTGACTCTGGATTTAAAAGTTTCAAGAGGAAACTTTTCAACTTTAATGGAGAAAGTTTGTCTACATGTCTAAACTAAAATAAATACTTAATACAGTCAATTGGAATTTGCCAAATCTGAAATGTTATCTGATCATTATTTCTAATGTTTTCGTCATGCCAGAAAAAGACAAATTTTAGAGCATTGATGGTTAATTCTTAGATCGAAGAAGTATTTTTTTTTACACTCATCTAAAAATTATTCCATAAAACCATTTTAAACAGCACTCTTCAAACTAACATCAAACTAAACATCTGAACTTTTCATTCATTCATTTGCAGTAATGTAAATGTTTTTGTCATTTTTCCATCCCTTCTTTTCAGAGCTCTGTTCATCAACTTGTTGGCTCTTTGCCTCTTTTTGATGTGCTCGGTATTTGCAGGACTGTGCCTCTTCTCGATCTTTAAGGACTGTGACCCGTGGACTTCTGGACAGGTTTCTACTCCTGATCAGGTGCGACGGACAGACGCCATGACCACTTGTTGTGTTGTGGCCTACCAAATACTCTACGGCACGTTGACCCTTGTGTCTTTCTTTACAGCTGATTCCATATTTGGTGATGGGCACCTTGACAAGCAATCCTGGCCTTCCTGGACTATTTCTCGCTGCAGTATACAGTGGCGCCCTGAGGTTTTCAATCTACATTTTGGTCATTTTTACTTCTCAGATCCAACTCTTACATTAATCCTTGTATTTGCACCTACTTGTTTATTGGGTATAAAAGTTTAAAATTATAATAATTTTAAAACTTAAAGTGGGAAAGAGTCCTTTTAACCCTCTGCTCCTTTTCCAGTACAGTGTCTACTTCCATTAATGCACTCGCTACAGTGACACTGGAGGACCTCATCAAGCCGTACACTACACTGTCAGAGAAACACCAGTTCTGGATGTCCAAAGGACTGAGTGAGTTCTCTTGTTTTCACTCTCAGTTGAAAATCATCTGTAATTTCAAGGACTAAAACCTGAGTTTCTGCTTTGATGTGGCTGCAGGTTTATTATATGGAGTTTTATGCATTTCTCTCGCTGGACTGGCTTCTGTCTTGGGAGGGATGATGCAGGTAGAGCGCTCCTTTCATACACAGTTATGCTTAATGCAACACAGAACTTATAAGTACTGAGAAGTCTGTGCATATGCTTTTCTTTCTGAACAGGCAGCTGCAACAGTCGGTGGAGTCATTTTAGGCCCTGTGCTTGGCGTCTTCACACTGGGGATCCTCTTCCCATTCGCCAATGCCAAGGTGAATGTGTCCTTCTTATACAATGTTCCTCTTTGTAGTGTTATTTCTTTTGGAGATGTATTAAGACAGACAGATTCTGATCTCTTTGGTTCCTTTCTTGCCATCTAAGTATTGTTCTCTGGAGCTACTTTCCACCTTGCTTTTAAATCCAGGATTCCTGCATTATCATTCGAATTATTGGATTAATCTGATCACTGGGTTTGATTTCTTTAGGGAGGTTTGTCAGGTCTGTTGTCAGGCTTGGTTGCGTCCTTGTGTGTCGGTGTTGGAGCCGTGATCTACCCTTCCCCTCCTACCATGACTCGACCTCTGCCGCTGTCCACAGAGGGTTGTAACGTATCCACTACAGAGAGCTACAACTGGACCTCCACTGCTCCCCCGACAGAATCGAGCATCTTTATCCATAGCAATGACAGGTAGGAGTGTAACTGCCTGAAATGGAAATATGTGTGCCTAAAGCTTCATGACCATCCCTGAATCACTATCTGTGCTGGCCTTCTGTTCAAGGAGCCCAAATGTGACTTGACAGATCACCTATGTCAACTCAAAACAACCTAAATGTGGTCAGGTTATGCAGCCATAGAATGAAATAAAATGTGCAAATACACCTTTAATGTATATGTATGTGTCATGGCATGCAGGGTTAAACATAAAAAAGACCCAAATGCAAAACAAAACAGGATACACACACATCATAATGAACCAACAAGGACAAAGGGGAAGACAGAGACTATATACACACTGGTAAACGAGCAACAGGTGAGGCTCATGGATAATTAACGAGGGAGGGAAAACTAGGGAAGTAAAACCAGACTAGAAACACAAGGAATTAACCACAACAAAATAAAATTGGAAACACTGAGAACAGGAGGGAAACGGGTCAAACACAAACTGAAATCTCACAGGACTGGACTACAGGAACAATAGGGAGCAGAAACACTAGGGAAAAATCACAAAGAAATACACTCAAATAACAAAACCAACAAAAATCATCGGAACATATCATGACAATATGAACATATGAGGGAGAAGTTAGTGATCCCCTGTATAACCACGTCCTCCAACCACATATTTTTACCTGCAAAAATTGAAATTACAGGCCAGGTCACTTCTGGCTTCACTTGGTATCTGCGTTTCTGGATTACTGCAGAGAAATGAAAACACTTGAATCAGTCGTGTTAACTGAATGCTGGAACAATGACACCGTTGGCAGATTGATATATAATCAGAGTTCATGCTCTGCCAGGACTGTGTGTAACAGGTCAAGAACACACTGGGTCTATTTTCTGTTAAGGATTGGAGTTGGATTAACTTTTAATTTCATCCCTGACCAGATATTCACTGGAAGAAAGCTGGCACTCTCCCTCCTATCTTTACTTCAGCCTCATTGGTACTGTAACCGCTATCACCATGGGGCTGATAATCAGTCTGCTCACAGGTACAAAAGATACACATTGTTGTCTCTGGTTAAGTGTAGCATAATATGAATTCTAGATCTGTTTTATTATGTTTCAGGAGGATGGAGGGAGAAGGTGGAATCACGGCTAACTTTAATGAAAGAAGACACAGTCTCCTACCATCTCTTCAAGTTTTTCTTTGATAGGGTGAGCGCTGCAGCGAAAAAACAAGAGAGGCTACAGACTGATAAGGTCCACTGACTTTTGTTCTGTGCTTTTTTTCTCCCCCGCAGGTCTTGAGAAGAAAAAGTGAGATTTACCCAATGAAGGACTCAGAGATGAATGACGGGAACACAAATCCTGCTTTCTGTGATGGTGACATTGACCTGAAAAGTTGTATTCGCACATAGCAACACAAGTTTGTTTTGTTTTATTTCTCATGTGCTTGTCCAAACAGATAACATTATGATTTTTGTTTCTAGTCTTATCTTTCTTTTTCAAGTTTATGTTTTTTTTTTTTTAGGTACATTGCACTTAATAAATAAAATGAGTGTGTAAGAGGAATTATGTGTAAGTGTCAATTTTTGCACCCTGAGGCTCTACACAAAGCAGAAGGAGGGAGGCTGAGGACTAGTGAGCATCAGAGACACTATACAGGAAGAAACAGCTAACATCCAAGAGTACATCAGTGAGATAACCTCCAATGATGACCTGCTATGTGAGTACCTCAGGCAGCAGAAGATAAGGAACTAAAGGAGCAGCATGTACTACTAACAGATTAAAGATGTGGCTAATGAGGGAGAAATATACCAATGGCTAGAAAAGGCTTAACTGAAAGATAGCACAGAGTCTCTAATCATGGTCTTTCAAGAACAAGCCGTAAGCACAAGATCAGTAGAGGGCGGCTGGGGTCTACTACACCATGAAGAACCCAGGCTGTGCAAAGATGCCTATGTAGCAGCACATTACAGCAGGGTAAAAGATGGAAGATGATAACTAATAGCAGACATAGCATATGGGAATATCTGCACTGAGTGTGGGCTGGAGGTCCCAGGATCGAGATGAAAGAAATCCCCAAAGGTGACTGGGAACGGCTGAGCAAGAATCCGTGGGACTTCCAGATCCAGATCGACAAAAAGAAGCTTGAGAAATACCAAGGGCTGAAAGAAGAGCTGGAGAAAATATGGGAAGTAAAGGCAACTATGGTACCAGAGGTGATCTGAGCTCAGATAAGGTAACACATATGGCATATTCAGCTACATGGATACATCAAGAAATATCAATATTTTACACATTAACTGCATCAAACACTGCTCATAATAAAAATAAATGAATAAATAAAAGCTACAAACTTAGCACCGGGTCTCCAAAAAAAATAATTTAAATGCAGAACAGCTCTGAAATATAATGACACTGAAATACAGTTTTATGTTTTTATTTTTCTCTTATAGTGCAACGATACAAAGTCATGTACATTCAGTCATTTGTTTACAACACTGAGATATAAAATACAATAATAAAGTCAGTTTGATGCTGAAATTTCAACCACATATTCACAGTTTCTCTCAGATTAGGTGCAACTCTGCATTCGACTATCAAATCTGCTTGAAGTTCTGACCTAAACACAGATTGAATTTATTTGTCGTTGAACATGTCACAAGTACAGAGCAACGAAATTTGCACCTATTTCAAAAGGGGCATGTCATTTATCACCTTGACTTAAACATCATCCAAGTGCATAAAGGAGTTCCATATGAGTCTAGCTGTCTACCAGACCTGTAACATCAACTTTGGAGGAAAACAATACTGGCAACTAAAGTAGAACAAGTTTGCAATAAATGAACGAAAAAGCAGTTTGTAACAGCTTCATTTGTCACTGTTTTTAATGCACAAATCTTCTATTTCCTTTGCAGGACCTCAGTTGTTGCAACTTTTATCTAGGCAAATGTCTGAATTGCAGTGCAACCAATAGTATGGCTGTGTGAATGTGAAAATAACACGCACAGTTCATGCAGCAAATCAAAGTTAAATACACTGACTGAACTGGAGTTATCTGAGTTTTTATTTTTCTGGTTCATAGTACCTTTTCTTCATTGCTCTGTACTTCCTGAGGAAATAAAGAGCCTCCAGTTCTTTAATGACAAAGTCACCACGGGCCACCAACTTTCGGATCTTTTCAGGGTCCGTTTCGTCCTTGTGCTTCATGAAGGCTGCCTTCAGGCGTCCCCGAAAGTAAGCAGCTCCCTGAGGGTACTCACGGCCCAGGTACAGCAGCTTTAGGGGGATTGAGGGACATATGAGAAGTAGTTAAAACAAAGGAGGGAAACAGCGTTTGTGTAAATGTCCAATACTTACTCCTTCACTTACAGTTTTGTAAAGTTTTATAACCTCACCCTTTAAAGGGTTGGCCATGTCAGGAACACGGTGGCCTTGATACCTCTAAAAGATCAGATTCAGACAGAAATAATATGAATTATAAATATTATATGGATAAGGCATAAATAAAAATGTCAGCAGTCAAACAAACAGAGTTAACCTTGAAGACAGCAGTGTTGTGAGTAGTCTGGTATTAGCTCGTTCGCTCCAAAGCATTTCACTCATTACACTGCACTACGAGCAATCATATCAATCCGCATTCATAGATAAAAACGATTTTTTCGGTGAATTTACTCAATAAGCTCAAGAGGACAGCAAATGCAGAAACGCCTCTTTCTCGTCGCCCTTTTACAACCGTTTGCAGCTTTAGATATCAACAGTGCCGTATGCTGTTCAACACTGTCGCAAACATTTTCAGACACCGCGCATGCGTCAATGTTTCCATGGTTACTCCAACGCTCAAGAGTTTCACAGCTAAACATGGTGAGTTTTCGACAATGTTGGCGAGTAAAACTCCTCTGTTTGGTTGTAAATTGCTTGAATTTGATGTTTTAAACCCACAGGATAATTATAAACCATAATTACAGTTTAACGTCAGTGAATTATACCGTCAATATGGCTACAGAGAAGCATATTTTACTTGCAGAGAAAGTTAGCTATCACAAAGTTTTAATTAGAAGCAATATAGGCTATAACTGTGTGTTGTTTTCAGCCCCCCCAAAAAGTAAAGAAGTTAACTAAAGCTCAGAAGGCAAAACAGCAGCAAGAGGAGGAGGAGAGAAGGCTGCGAGAGGAAGGTGAACCAGAGTCCCTGACTGTACATTCAGATGGGTATAAATACAAGATATCACTTTTTAAACCCTGATACCACTTTTTTCTTGCAGAAGAAGCTCGTCTACAAGCAGAGAAAGAAGAGCAGGAACGATTGGAAAGGGCAAGAAAGGAAGAGGAGCAAGAAAAGCTAGAGTTAAAGGTAAAATTCCTTCAAAACCTTGTTTGTTCCAACATTAATTTGATGTAACTTTTTTTTATTTTGCCTCCATGAAGACAGTTAATCTCAAAAACATGATCAACAACAGTAATCATCACAAAAATCTGATTTGAATAGGCCTTCAAATGCACATCTGAACCTGAATGAGTTTCTTTTGCTGGCAGGACCGAGAACGCAGAGAAGATGAGCTGGAGGAGCTGCGCCATCTACTGGAGGAGAATCATACTGCAGTCACCCAATGGAAAAGGGATGCTTTGGAGAAAGCAGAAGTATGACTATCATGCATCAGCATGGAAACCAAACAATTATGATACTAATATAAATTCATATCTGTTTGAAACCCTCCCTCAAAGCAGCTCTTATATTTACGGTGCAGTTTTTCTTGTATTGTTTGCGTCCAGTGGGAGAAATACATGCGCTGTGATGGTACCCCAGACCCAGCGGTACAGCAGGAGATGAACACATATATCAGCTTATGGAGAGATGACCCACAAGTGGACATCACACTTATACTCAAGCAATGCAGTGCTGCTCTTCAGGTTCGTTTTTAAAGATAGTCATTAGTCTCCTTTCCTAACCTTTGACTTGTGTGCTGATTTAGAAATGTTTAAAATCCCACTGCATCCCTACATGATCATCATAGTGTCAATTTAGAATTATAATCCTCTCATATAAGTGGAGGACGAGTAGAAAAGCCAATTGTGATACCTGGAAATACCTATGCTCATAAAAAACAATTTCTTTCAGCTGGTGGAGGATTTAGAAGGTCTACTTAGAGATGTTGAAGATCCCCAAGAAGGCCAGAAGTATCAGGAGATCCTCATCAGTTTACAGGAGCTAATTCACTCCAAACATCATCTTGTCACTGAAGAGATCCTCAAGGTACAAGAGGCGTTGTTGTACTTGTGCTTTTATCTGCTAGAAACTGTACTTAGTGATGTCTTATTTTTAATCAATCTTAATGTTTGTGTTTCATGTCCTTTTAACTTAGAGGGCCAATGCAAACGTTGACCTGGAGACAGGCAACATGCAGACTGTGGTCAAAGATGAGAATATCACACTTTGTCTTTGGGCCAACATCAAGAAGAATCCAAGGTTTGTAGAAGACATTTCCTCCATGGGCATGTCGGAGTGATCGAATCAAATCTAAAAGCAGTTTCATGATAAATAGTATGTTCAGATTGCGCTCATAATTTTTTAACAACCACTCAGGTTTACAGGTTTGAACTTCGGAGAGGTGGGTTTTGGCTTTGAGCTTCCCAAACAGCTGGCTGTGAGCAACATTGCTGTCCAGATCCTCCACACACATTATGATCACCTGTCCATGCTGGCCCGGATGGCTCACCTGAGAATACCCACAGCAAGCTACAGGTACTAATCCGCTACTGCGCTACTTCTACTTCTACTAATACTTCTACAGATATGATGATTTGCTTCATTTTCTGTTTGGTCCCAGGTCTCTGGCAGGTGATGAGGACGTTACAGCAGACATGGATGAACCGAAGCAGGAGGAGATAATTGACGAGGAGGACATGAAGGAAGATAATGAGACAAAGCAGGAGAGGGAAGATAAGGAGGTGCAGTCTATGCAAGGACTGGAAGACAGAAAGGTGAGATGAAAGGAGTCAATTTCCAGTTTTTGTGCGGTAACTGTGATCTGTTTTCATTCTCATTGTGTTCGTACCTCTCAGAGTGAAGCCAGTTTCAAGTCAAGGAGCGGCAGTGCCCAGTCTGCAGGAGGTAGAGGGAGCCAGATACAGACACAGATAGAGACACTTGATGGTAAGTTTGTTTAGCCTGATAGCAGATATATTTGAATGTAGAGTAAGCTAAAGATACAAAAATAATAATTTCAAATGCTACTTTTACACTCGCTTCAGCTGAGGGTGACTCAACTTCACCCTCGATGCAGCAGACCACGGTTTACCAAGGAGTCCAGGTGGCAGACTTACTGCAGTACACACCTCTGGGTGGGGTTTTCTTCTATGAAGTGTTTCATCTCCCACCACAAGCCCATCAAGCTAATGGCTGGGAAATAAGACAGGTGAATTATGAATGGTTTTCATGTTTGCTACTTACACCAGCCCCAGCTGCAGAAGTTGCTCAAACAAAACTCTCTCCATGCTTATGTTCTCCTAGATTTTAGACGGAGGGCTGCAGGTGTTTCCCTACTGTATGCAGCAGAGTTCTGCATCAGATGAAGACAACGCTCTTACCTGCCCTCCTGTTGGTGTGACTGTGACACTGCCTGATCGTGTTGTCTTCTTGGAAACTCCTCAAGTGGCTTATTGGGATGCTGAAGGAAAACATTGGCGGATGGATGGGATCTCTGATATGTCTTATGAGGAGGAAGAGGCCAAGATCTCGTTTAAGATGGACTCCTTTCGAGCTTTTGTGTTAATGCAGGAAACTTACGCAAACTTCCCCTTCCAGAGCTGGGAGCTCAGGCCGCTAGACCAGAACTCAGCTCTTTTTACAGTAAACGGGGCGCACATGGACATCAGCATCACTATCAAGGTAACAGACTGAAACAGACTTCACAACTGAAGAAATATCAGCACAGTGCTCTTCTCATTGAGTTTTTTTTCTACATGACCAACAGGGGGATCAGTGCATGTTGCAGTCGGAGCAGGAGAGAGGTCTTTCTCACCTCAAGGGGAAGTGGATGAGTGGCCCAGCTCTGCAGAGAGCAATGCTGAATACAGGGATCAACATCTTTGTGAATGAGTTCACAGAGAAGTATGTCAGCACAAGCGGAAAGGTCAGCATCAGATCATTAGCATTCACAAAAAACATCTCCTTGCATTCTTATTTTCAAATGACATTATTTTAAGTTCCCTTACAAGTTGTGCTGTCAAACTGCAACACTGCCACTCACTGTTGACTTGGCAGCTCTAGATGATGCTTCAGAGTTTTTCGGTGGTTAATGTGTGGTTGTTTCTCCTCCTCTTCAGGATCCGCTAATAGAACACGCTGCATATGAACAGATGGCCCTTTTCGGCTCAGCCTGCGCATTCTCATGGAGTAAGTGGAATGCCAAATGTGGAGCCGAACATCTAGTCATGCAGGTACTTACTGTTACCCATGAGTGCTTTAAAAACAGCGAGCTTTTTCCCTCCGAGTGTGTAATTATGTAGTTTATCACTCCCTCTAGGTGTGTGAACATCACGGTCCTGCTCCTGTGCCCAGAGACTCGTGGAGACTTTACCTACTGGGGGCTCAGAGGTGTCAGAAGCTAGACATCACAGAAAGGAGCGAGGCTTTCTCATCAGATCCTTATCCTGGCAGTGAGTTTCACTCCACCTTCATCCACATGCTCCAGGATGACATGAGCGTTGATGGTGTAACAAAGACTCGAGAATCCAGTAACCTATTTGTGGACACGGTACAGAGCCTGCTCTGCGCTACCAGACCCCTAATGTACTCATAACCATCATGAAAATCACTTTTTCTTTTCAAATAATCAGACATAATTAACATATGAACACACACACGTCTTTTGTAGAATAAGCTACTTTATTTGTGCAAAGTTCCACACTTCTTTGGAACACGTTTAAAGTTGAAAAGAGTGAATGTCACAGCAAGAACATAGAGAGAAAAATAAAAAAAACGCTTTGGTGTAAAGACTTAAACCATGTAGATTTATAACTTAACAAAAATAAACATATATTCACATCTCCCCACTCATAACTAAAAATCTCATAAATAGAAGATTTCAAATTTTTAAAAACACATAAAATGAAGGTTTTATTACCAGTGTTTATCGACTTCAAAGGTATAAAATATCCTCTACAATACACGAGGAAATGACTGGAAAATGTCAATTTAAAGGCGGACTGTCCCTTTTTTAAGTGCATGAAATGTGTATAAAAAGCCATGTGGCACAATCAGAGCCATCATCCATGATGCTTGTCAATGGAAAACTGCACAGCGGCCCATGGCATGACTCGGTGGATCAGTGCTATCAAAGCTCTAACATGATTGGTCGATGTGTGCCAGCAGCTCTGGTGACTGGTCAAGCCTGATTTGATAAGCCGTGTTGGGTCCAAGTAGGCAGTTACCATAAGCACTGACAGGAGAGCTGCATCATTGTGTCAAGGACTTTCAGGAGTTCACCGCCTGTAACTGCATTTTTTTTTTTTTACTTTGAACATAGACACACCCATACACGCCAAACAGACTAACTAATTTTGCAAACGTGATGTGATGCATAAAATCCTCCATAGGGTTACTCATCCCCTGAGGCCTGTGCTGTCACTGCGAGTCCTGTTTCAGAAATCTTCAGGCACCAGTGAACGTTCAACAGCCTCTGCTTAGGTCTGGCACACTACTTTCTTCTTCACCAACCCAGTGCACCATTTATTTCCATAGAGGGCTGACAGCCAGTTCAGCCATCTACCCCGGGGTCTCAGGGGTTAGACAGGGGGCTGTCCGTTGTGTCGGAGCCCTGCGTAAGGCCACAGCAGCTGCTGGATTGTCATCCATGAGTCCCCGGTCCCCACAGGGGCAGCATCCACTGCTGGCTGCATCACAAGGCTGGCCAGCAGTGCCAAGAGACCTGCAGGGCAACCGTAAACTTTTAAAGGCATATTCCGCCATAAAATTAATTTAGGGTCAAACACACCATAACACAGAGTATGACCCCCCCTCAAGAGATGAATGTTGTTGACCTCTTGCTTCTCTAGTTATACCAACTTTAGTAATGACCGCAGGATAGCAACACACAGCGGTCTGAGGAGCCATAAACAAACCTCAACCAAAACGCCACTCTATAGCCACAAATAATGCTCAGAACAGCACCTAACTTCATCAACAGTACATATAGGGTCCCAGCCCAGCCACCACACATCTTTTAAACATTGCCTGATTTCTTTAGACTAAACACAACTCACCTACTCTCTTCCAGCAGCCGCTTGTTTGTAGCGAGACCACAGGCCAGACTGCAGCGGGGTGATGCAGCTCAAGGAAGAACATTTACGATAATTTCTTTATCATTTTGTTGAAGTAATAATCATCATATTAATCATTTTGCACTGCAGACGCGGTAGTTCATCTGCCTTAGTGTCTCGGTCTGATTGCATTTCCATGAAGAAATGATCATAAATGTTCTTCCTTGAGCTGTGTCACCCCGCTGTGGTCTGTAAGGAACTGGCCCCAGGTCTCGCTACAAACAAGCGGCTGCTGGAAGAGAGTAGGTGAGTTGTGTTTAGTCTCTTTGCTAAAGAAATTAGGCAAAGTTAAAAAGATGTTTGGTGGCTAGTACTATGTCTGTGACCCTATATGTCCTGTTGATGAAGTTAGGTACTGTTCTGAGCATTATTTGTGGCTATAGAGTGGTGTTTCGGTTGAGTTTTGTTTATGGCTCCTCAGACCGCTGTGTATTGCTATCCTGCGGTCATTGCTAAAGTTGGTATAACTGGAGAAGAAAGAGGTCGCCATCATTCATCTCTCGGGGAGGTGTCTAACTCGGTGTTACGGCGTGTTTGAGCCTAAATTAATTTTACGCCGGAATATCCCTTTAACTGCATTTGGGAAAATGACAGCTTTTCTTCTAAAATTTGAATTTGCACAATAAAAAGTGTTGAAACAGACAAACAAATGTACCTGCTAGAACCACCACCATGGCTAACCAAAGCCAGAGCCCTCTGCCACTTCTGGCTACCGCCGCCGCCGCTGCAGCTCTTGAAGAGGTCAGGCTGTGGGACAGAGACTGGACCATCCCTGGTTCTGTGGATGTAGGGCTGGAGGCTGGACTTGGACTAGGGACGGGTAATGAAAGATATGAAAATGTTACCAGGAGATGAGATTAGATAAATTAGCAAAAATGACGTGAAGTAATAATATGTTTTCACAGAAGACATGTGGTAAGAAAAGCGATGAATGGCAGGCTGTGATTTGAGCTGAAGCTTGGTGCAATCAGAATTTTTTTTTTTTTTATCATTGTTTCAAACAGTTTCAGAAAAGCAAAATCATTCACATCATCTTCACAAGCGTAATGAAAAAGCTGTCAGCAACACAGTTAATAATAGCAGTTGGCATGGAAGGCAGATTTGAGTTTTGCCTCGTCAAGCAAAGGCAGAAGACAATTTCAGCCTGGAATTGGTAGCAGCAGGAGAGCTGTTCAAAAATCACTTTACAGTCTATATGAGAGTCAGTGTGACGTAAGTCGTGTTTGATGGGCACTCCTGGCTGAAAATGCAGGGCTATTACATGCATTCAACGCTGTTTTTTTAAAAGACAGAAATAGAATCCGAAAGCAATTTCCACTTTGGAGCCTCCTCCCTTCACACTTACAGCATTACAAACAGCTCATCCTGACTCCTGAGCAATGTGGAGGGAGGAAAAGAGCAAAAAAAAAAGAAAAAGACAGTTGAGAAAAACATGATCTGCTGGCACAAAATACTCAGTTGTCCCATAAAAACGGATGAAATGGTCCAAGTGTAGTAGTTTGCACGTACAATTAAGAGAGCGGATGACAGCAGGGTTAGCAAAGTAAAGATTCGCTGGTAATCAGTCAGATGATTTGTTAGCCTCACACCAAAGATTAACTTGATATCCATGCATGAAACAAAATCATGAGGTGTGGCATGTCAGGCTGACAAACACTGATCTCAAGACAGTCAAAAGTTACAAGTAAATTTCTGAAGATTAAAATTAAAATGACTTAAAGCTGCTTAACCCCTGGAGCAAAGAACAAGCTAGTCCAGCACAGACCCGTACGATGAAAGAGTTTCATCACTTAGGAGGTTCCTTATTCTTCACTTTACTTTTTAGACTGAAAACATGGTTAGGTGAGAAGAGCTTAAGAGGAACCTCAGTACAGCCAAATGATGAACTCTTTGAACATTCAGCTAGCCTCCTAGCTTTTAGCCGGCAGAAAGCGGTGCTGCAGTAGGCCAGTGGTGGGTATTTGGTTGGACTAACGTCTTAAGGGGCAGAATGAAGGAGGTGATTTTGTTGCCCAGCTCACTGAGACTGGACCTCCTCCTCTCTGCCACCGGCTCCTCCTTCTGCTCGTCCTCCGACTGGCAGTCGGTGTTGTCGCAGGCCGTCCTGTTGGCACGCGTGGGTCAGGCATTCACAAACAAACGGTTCAGTTGCACATTCAACACGAGCACGGCTTTACAACCAAACTGATCATTCATGTGCACATGCAAAACATGCACATTTCATGCATATGCAGACAGAGGATATTCACTGATCGAAATTTACCTGCATGTCTCAGAGGTATTTTCTTTAGAGCTTAAAAAAAATACTTATTAAAATTTGAAAAAAAATGCATGCCCTGTGATGCAAATTACATGCTTCCAAGTTATAATTCCACAAAGCAAATCCACAACTTTCAAATATTTGGAGATTCTTAAAAATGCCTCATTTAGACTAATTAAGTTTCTTTTTTTCCAGGTTTGGTTCAGCACAGATAATTCCCAAACATTTGAAAGCTTTACAAGTCCAGTATAAATAAAAAAATAACCTTGGTGTCTCAGAAATTTAAGAGCCACAACAAGATGTTGTCCTCTAGTAAACACTCCCCCATGCCAGGAGGGACCAGATGCAGGAAAGATGGCTGCTTTGTTGTCTGATGTAACCTCCACAAACAGACTGTTTAGAGTTTTTGCAGAAGAATAGTCGAGTTTTTCCTTTTGACATCTGCAGAGTCACTTAACTGTGTACAAATAGTACTAATTCTTAATAAATGTTTCTATTTCATCCTCTCTCTTGAAATAGTTGCACATAATATGTTTTCTGACATCTGACACTCCTGAAAATTACATAAGTGCTTTTTTTTTCTCAGTGGGGCAAACATAAAACGATTGCTTTCCATGTGTTTTCAGGAATACTTCAACTATTTCTACATAATATCCTCTGCTCAGAGGTCTGTCGTAGTGCTTGTTCCACAGCTGCCATCTTTATGTATCTGGGTCCACTGTCAAAGGACTCGTGGCAGGCAGCTTGGTAGCCTTTCTTCTTGGCATGTCTTACCCTTTCATCATGAGAGAGGGCTCTTCAGTGTCAACCCAGGCCGCCGAGCTAACATAGCGCTTTAGCGGCGGGCGCGCCGGGTTCTTCCCTGCCACATTCCTGGAAACCATCGTTATCACACAGGAGCATAACAACAAAAAGCCCTCACTTTCATGGCACGGCAAGCCTCAGTGGCTTGCAGAGGACAAGCAGAGTCAATATTTCCCCAAAAAGTGGAGGGAACTGAGAAACCTCTGATATCAATCTGATCTAGAGACAAATTTCACCAAAACAGCTCATACAGATACTTACCACGGGGATCTCCTGGTCAGTCTCTCTGCGTCAGTCTCTGAACCATCTTGAGTTTTTGACTGTGGAGGGAAAGTCAAACATTTCTCATGATTAGAGGAAAAAGAAGTTACATCATAGTTGACATTTTGTAACCTAGGTCTGGGTGATAAACAGAAAATTTACAGATGCCAAAATTTACAACAATAACCGACATCATTTTGCCCATGTCGGTATATTCCGTGTCAAAAACATAAATAAATGTTGGTTTTGGATGTGTGTAAGTAGGCTATGGTTTCATGTCCCTTTAAGACACTGTCCTACGTCAGAGACGTGACTCCACCCCATCCAGTCCGTAACAAAGAGGGAAAGACAGGTGAGGAGATGGAGGACTGTTCAAAAGTTGTAGCGGCTGGAGCGACGGCTAAAGTAGACGAAGGAGTAGTTATCGTCCATTTATTGTTATCAAGGTGAACTGCTCAACATATCGTGATATTGATTTGAGGCCATATCGCCCAGCCCTATTGTAACCTCATTGGATTAAATCTTTACCAGAGCAGCACAAAACTTGTCATTTTTCATATATGAGGCTCACTGTGGTATAAAACTGTAGCGAACTATGATGTGAAAACACCCAAACTTTGAAATTTGCTGACTGAAAGTTGATTTTGTGAGCACTTCTGGCCTGCACTGGTCCAGGCAGAAGTTTTTGTTTTCAATATTAATTTCTTTACGAGAATGTATTTTGACTTCAAGTATCTCTGTTATGATTTAAGATCATTAAAAAGGTCATAAAACAAAGTGATCTTGAAAGCAATGCCACTGTTGTCCTCACCATGTCAAAGTGCATGTTGCCTCCACCAGAGCGGGGGATTGCTGCGATGCTGACTCGCCTGGCTGACGACTGTAATTGAGAGTAAAAGAAGTCAAATTTATACATCACTTCCAAACACACATGGACATACAGAATGTGACCCTGCCATGTCTGACCTTGTAGTACTGAGATGTTGGCTGCTTCTTGACACGGAAGTCATCTTGAAGAGGAAAGAGAAAGTTGTTACGTTTAGTATCAGATATCAAAACTTGTATTATATCTCACTGGCAGTAATGTGGATGTTTCTCTGTTGAAAATTCCTCACCAGTTGAGGATCCAAAGGACCTCTCATTCTGGTTTAGCGTCTCTCTTAGCTCAACCAGCTCGGCGTGCTCCTTGGTATACACCCTCCTTAAGTTTTCCACGTGCTGAATCATCACCTCCACGGCCTTTCCAATACGACTCTCCTGAGACACGATGGCAAAACACTCAGTTGACTGATTTATGATGATAACAATAACAGCAGAACTTCATTCATGATGGTAAAGGGCCAGAATAAATACTTTTCAACTTCTTCAGATCCATTTTATTCTAATACAGCAGGTGGCAGTAAACCACATTTGAATGTTTGATGATAATAAATTTGTACTTCTTACTCTGTTTCAAGTACTTTCATCTATCTCTGTGCCTCGCCTTTGTACAACAAATTATAGCATCAAAACTTAAACACATGCTCATGATCTGACCTGGTGAATAGCTCCGAGCATCTCCGAGCGACTGGACACCCTGTTCATAGACTGGATGAGGATATCCAGGTTCTTCTGGAGCCTCTGGATGATCTCCATGGACTGATTGTCATCCTCACACAGAGGAGTCAAAGCCTTGAAGGATAAAGAGAAACCCATTTAACAGATGTGTTCATTCGTTCCTCTTAATTATGCAGTTGTTTTTGTATAATGACCTGCAGTAGACCCTGGCAGCTGGACACCTCTCTGCGCACATTCTCCTCCGCCAGGTCCCGTGACCTCTCTTCCAGTCGGAGTCTCTTCTCCAGGGTAAACATATCACACTTGAAGCCCAATGCCAGACGCTGGAACTCCGTCTGTAAGCAAAAAAACACACTTGGCTCTTATTTAAAGCTACTGTGTTGAGTCTTGACCCGATAATGAACACCTTATATAGGCAAAAAAGACCATCAGGTAGAAAACTGACTATTCCAACTAAACCATCGGCCTGTATAGCTGCTACCAGGTTAAGGTCAAGGGGATGGATTTACGGCACACAAACCAGAAGTGACTTAGTTTACCATTTCCTGATAAGTTTAAGGAAGGAGGAAGCTGAATGAGATTTATTTTTCCCTGAAAAGATTGTTTTTGCAGAAATAGAAGATTAAGTGATATTTCCTGAACTAACTGGAAACGTACACCAAATACTGTAAAAAAGAGGAAAAACTCTTTGCAGTCCACTTTGCCAATCTAAAAGTGGTGCATTAAACTGATATGCATGTGGAGAAGGTATTAAATCTGTTATTTAAGCACACCTACTTGCATGCATGTATTTCTGTCACTACCATCTATAAAGATGCAGCTCCAAGACCACACTGCATACATACCTCAATCTCCTTCTCACTCGGTGACAGGCTGCAGAAAGAGAGACGACCGTTAAAACTTTGTGCATTTCACCAAGACATCCTCACTAAGGGTTCTTCATTATTTGCTGTCGTACCTGTTTCTGTCGTCTTTGACCGCGTCGCCTGTGTCAGAGATCTGTGACTTCTCAGCTAAAAGAGTAAAGGATGATAAGGTTGAAGAGCACATTCACTACCTGCAAATTGTTGCCATGTTCATGTCGCTTTACAAGCAGTAATAATATTTAGCTTCAAGAGACAGATAGTGATTAAAATGATCAATATGGTTTATAATTCTCACACTAAACACACTTACCCTCCTTCTCACTTGCTGCGTTGGTCTCACTTGGGTTCTCTTGAACCTTGTTCTCCTCGATGGTCTCCATGCTGCGTGAAATCTCCTGTAACGTTTGGACAAAGAGTACTGCATCTCTCTTCTTCTTCTCCTCCTCCTCAAGCTCTCCTTTTAACTCAGAGCCCTCCACACTCACATTGCTCTCCACGTCCATACTGCTGTCTGTCCTCACTCACTCACTCCCTTACTTTCCCTCTCTCTGCAGTAGTTCTGACATTATAAAAATGAGGATAAAAAAAAGCAGCTGGCGGCGCGGTTGGCTCTTGATTCTGAAAAACCTGATTGTGAACAGACAGAATGAACCTTTGCACTCCAAGCTTCCGTCTCTTCCACAAAGCACGCGCGAGCACACACTTGCATAGCTGGAAAGACGGCATTTCATGATGAATGAGGGTACTGATGGCACAATCTCATCATTGAGGAAGGCATTGAATCCTGATAAAATGATCCTAGATAAGACTGAGCCAAAAAAACTCATGGCTGTTTTAACTTTAAACTAAACTTTCTGCTCCGTCTGCTGTGACTTTACTTTGAACTCAATCAAAAATATTATCAAAGTGAATAAATTTGCCAGATTTTTGTGAAATTAAAAACTTAAGGAGAGAGAAAAGTTTTCTAATGACTCATCCAAACACACACAAAAACATTCAAATGGCTTTAAACCAACAAACAGACATTTAACTACCAGTCAGTGAAAAAGAAAGTGGGAGTTGAGCAGGTCTTACCAGTTCCCTCTTATTTTTGCCACCGGAGGGGAGGGAATCCTTTTTCGCTAGACTATCCTCTGATTGGCCGGGGTCAGGGGTCACGCTGCCCATGCCACTCCCCGATTGGCTACCATGCGTGACGGACAATGACTGAGGAGTGCTGCCGCCGCCGTCGGAGAAGGTGGTCGCTCCACTGCTGGTGAGCTGGTCTGCTGCTGGAAAAGAGGAGTTGGTGTGTGGGCGGATAAACTAACACTCTGATGTGCAAAGGCATAAACAAACAAGCTCGGAAATATCATCTCCTCTCGCTTTCTCTTTCGCACATGCACAGATTTCTGAGTTGGTCTTCTTACCTTCCATGCTACCTGCTACTGTTGATACCTCGGCCGTATTGTCCAGAACACTCTCCTCCTCTTCTACCAACACTGGGAGAAGACACGTGCTGAAACACACCATTGAGGAGTGAGCCGTTACAAGCTAGTATAGAGTTTGCAGCAAAACAAATCAAGAAAAAATAAGATTGAGAGAAAACGACACCAAAAAAAAATCAGTTCACAGTGTTCCCAGAGTCACTCACCTGTCCTCCGCTGCTAATCTGTCTGCCGTTTGGTCCTGGCTCAGGCTCTGAAATGGACAAAAGTAGACGGCAGAGATGAGGGAGAAAGTGAGAGAATGAAAACTCTGGCTGTGCAGCACCGGTTGTCTGGCCTGCATAATAAGAAAATGGTCAATGATTAAAAGAAACATACATTCATTACATGGAGCGTACCTGTCCCATGGCAGTGAAATGCTTTCTAAGCTGTAAAGAGTGTTGAAGAGAAAGATTGGGCTGATTTCTTATATAATATGGAGCTTCATGGAGAGCCCTGCAGCTCTGTGTGCGTGAGTGTGTGTCAGTGTGTGTGTGTGTGGCTGAGAGGGGTGCTAAGAGAACACATTAACACTGGCACTGTGCGAAAGTAGTGGAGGCGGACTGCGTGCATACACAGTCCTGTGGACACACACACGGAGATACACACGCACAATGGAACAAGGTGAGTGCTCTGAGCAATGCAATGGGATATTGTGTAATGAGTGTGCATAATATCCGCTTTGACAACGCTCAGAATAGGAGGGAAGCTGCTAACCGTTGAACCGAGGCACAATATCCAAGGAGGCTTAAATGTCATTGATCAACAGCAGAAAGAAAAAAAGCAGCTAATACGTCTGGTTTAAAAATGTCACGTTTACTAATCTGATTCATCAGCTCCTGACTGGCGGCTCTTTTTTTTTTGGGATCCAAATTATAGATCCAATTTTTAAACCACCTCCTGTGTTAGGATCTGCACTGACCTGTTTTTGATTTTAAATGCTTAAAAGAACCACTTAAATTAGCTTTTGTGAATCAAGACTTTTTGACTTTGTCAGGAATCTCTATTTCAACAAAATAAAAATAAAATTATAAATTGACTGAATTATAAAATGCTGCTGTGCATGCCTGTATGTGTTGCTGTGGGTGGGAAGGGACGGGTTCTATGCTTATTTAATTGCCTTATATTTACCGTTATTTGTTTTTATTTTTCCGTTGTTTGTTTTTATCTTTTTGTAAAGCACCTTGTGTTGCAGCTTGCATGAAAGGTGCTATACAAATAAAGTTTGATTGATTGATTGATTGATTATTAAAATTATGGCACTTCTGGTGTTAGGGTCACCGTTGACCTGGTTAGATCAATATCGAATGATTAGAGCAAGAGCACTGTCAGGCACCGCACTGACAGTCAGATCTTCTGTCAATCATGTGAGATTTAGGAAATTCTCATTTTCCATGTTTTTCTCTGCACAAAAAACAACGTTGGGAAATGTCCAGACATGTGAGATCAGTTCAGTATAGATATCTGTATGAGGGGTATACTGACAAAGAAAGACCCAGAGGACCACAACAAAAACTATTGTAAGAATATTTTCATGGATAATGAAGCCTAACAAGGGAACCTAGAGATGAGAAGCAAATTGGATGATATAGAATTGTTTTTAGTGTAATTTACAGACACAGGTCAAAACTGACTCTTAACATATTGGGTGTGTAGTAAAAGCTAACACAGGAGGAAGGTTAATCAAGTGAAACCACATCCTAATTAAAGAGAGCATACAGCGCGTGGTCAACGATGCAAAAATGTCACCACACGTTGCTAAAATGTATTTTGACATCAATTTGTGTTTGATTATGTTCATATTCACTGGTTTGAAAAGCTTTTGTGTGTTTTGATGTAGAGTTATAAATACGAAACTGACTTTTATCACAAATGTCTTTAAATAAAAGACAAAAGATTTGTTTTAATTTTGAAAAATTAAAACTTAAACTGGGTTTAAACAAAGACTTATTCTTGGTCCACCTCAAAGCTTCTACCGGGAGGAGACTGCATAAACCTTTCCGATTGATCCCTCAGCAGATCAGCAAAACAAACAGAGGCATCACAACACCAAACAGCCTTGGCTGGAGCCTGAACTGATGTGCTGCATCTGCGGCTAAGACTGAGGATAATTACCATGGAGAGATCTCACTGTATATATACACCCTACATCAAAAGCAGCTCGTTGTGTTTACTAATTGGTTTGCAGGGACAGAAAACACATCGCTGTCACACTCGCCGCCTACCTCACCTGAAAACACACAAACTCAAATCTCAACATGGAGCAGCAGATTGAAGGTGACAGCCACAGGGTCAAAAAGAGGAAGGGGAAGCAGAGGCAAGCCTGTGGTAAAATGAATGATACCCTCATGCATTAAAACACTTCCCCTCTGTTACCAACCTTAGTGCGGTTCATGGCTACAGCGCTCGAGTTGGCTTCAGCTTCTTTCTCCTCTTCTCGTCTCTCCTCACTGGTTGGCTGGTTGCTAACCACAAGTAAAGAGATCAAAAACAGACAGTCAAGGACTTCTTTTTCTGATCTTGAACTAGACGCAAAATTAACATTTTGTCCGGCCACTCAAAGCAATGAGATGAGGAACAGCCTTTGTCTCGTTGTGTGTTGACTATACTATGCAAAGCATGGAAGCAGCAATGCTTATTAGGCTGCACACTCCTCCCACGGCGGGGAAAACACCCGTTTGACTAACAAATGTGGGCCATGTCGTAGGGAAATGGCATAACTCTGTACAGTGACGACAGATGAAGCCTATGAAGGTGTGGACAGGATGTTAGGGGACACAAAGACAACAGAATGAGGGGGGAACGACACGATGGCAGCAAAGCCAAAGGTTTATTAAAAAGTCATTACTTTCAGCTGTCCTTAAAAGACAAGAATTAGTATAAGTTTGTACCAAGTGTTTAATTCTGCAGCGTTTCCCTCTTTTAACACTCCAACTTGTGTAACACCTGGATTCTAAACTCTCCCATGATGCTTTGCTGCTGTGCTATCACTGCTGCTCTACTGATTAAAGTGCATCACATGCAGGTAAAAGTGGTAAAACAGAGGATTGATTCTCTTTCTATGTTAAGAAAATAACAAACTTGGGTTGAGGAAACAGAGAGAGCAGCATGGAGGCGGGGAGAGTTTGCAGCTGCAGCACACCTGTTGCAGATAAGTGCTGACACTGTGGCCTTCAGCCTGTTACAGGAGTGTACTGAATTTGTTTTGATAGATACGTCAGACACACAGTGGGGAAAAAATATCATGATTTGAATGTCTGATGGATTAAATATACATTTGTCAGAGATTTTACTATCAATGATGTAATTTTATTCGTAAGCATCACCCAGTGAGCAACAGATGACTATTAGACGTCTAGTTTTTTTTTTTGACTTAATTTCCAATAATTCTCCTGCTCTATCATCGCACTCTACTTTGTTTTGGATTATTATGTCAGATATATCTCGGAATAAAGGATTGATTCAATGTTACCCTTTAAGTAGACAGTGCCTTTTGCATGGTGATCTCTCTCTTTCAGGTGAAATGAAGAATCTATTTAAAGAGCTTGATTGAATTTGTTTCATATTCTTTCAGGACGACTACAACAAGCTGGATCTGCACTGTTCGAAAATCAGTTTTGCAACTCCTTAAAGTAACAAAATGGAAATCAACAGTACTTTATATGAACGGGTGTTTCACTCAAGGAAAACAGACCCATTCATAAATGTCCAAATTCACCTTGTTTTCTGGGCGATAGTTTCATCCGCTTCTGGTGCTGTGCTGTCAGGGACCATCTTGGACTCTGTGGGATGGGTGCAACTCAGCGAGACCGTCTGCTCTTTCTCAGGTAAGGAGTGAGAATCTGCAGTCACGTGAGCCTCTGCATCTGTTGGAAAATCAGACAATTCGCAAAATAATATTCAGTTTGATCTATCCCAAAAGGCCTGTAGACAGAACTGGAAAGATAAAACGTTGTGTTTCATGCAACTCAACTTAACCATTTTTTAACATGTATTTGCACAAGGAGAATAATGCCATCAGTCAATAAAGATGCAATAAACACTAACCCACCAAACACCCAACATCTTTTTTCAGGCTAAATCACATTGGCCCACCATGGCCATAATTTAGCCTGAAAGAAGACGTTGAAAACTGGGCTTCATTTAGACGTTCCAAATCTAGACGTTGATTAGATGTCTGGTGAAGACGTCTTTTCAATGACTTTTCAACCACTTTTTGCTGGGTGGGTGAAGTGAATTTGCAAAGTGAAATAGCAGGCTTCTTAAAAAAACAATAAAAACTACTTCCATACAGAAAATATAACAGACAAAGTTAGGAGATGACTCACACGTCTGTGAAGGGGTAAACACACACAGTAGTGCCTTAAGCTAACAATTGGGAGGAACTGCAGGAAGCAGAGAGTTTGAGAAAAGCAGGTAAAAAGATCTTACTGTTGTTCTCTGAGTGGGACAGTTCAGAGGGAGCATCTGCCTCTGGGTTTTGAATACTGACAGCTTGTGAGTGGGCGCTTGATGACACCGCTGCCTCTTCCTGCTAAACGTACACAACCGCACAAAAAAAGATAAATTATTCAAAAAAGGAAAAGGGGGTGAAAAGATCAAACACACAAAGAACACTAACTATAAACCCAACAGAAGGCCAACATTTAGTTGATGGGAAAAAAAAAATTCTCTGGCAGATAAGAAATTGCAAAAGCAGCCAAAAAATCTGATAGCTGACAGAACACACAAAGCATCTGCTCCATCAGTGATGAAGTATTTGAAAGACCACCAATTACTGTCATCTTCAAAGGAATTCAAAACCTTAAACCCTTTTCAAAAATGACTGTAAAATCAATGGAGCATTTAAATCAGTTTTGAAAACCTCACAGGGACAAAACGGAGTGAATACAGAGGACAGCAAACAGCAAGCATGTATGAAGTTTAGTGTACAGCATCTAATATTAATCATAAAGCCTCATCTTTCTCTCATATGTAGTTGTATAATCCCTTCACTCTCCAATCACTTCAAGTCCTTATCCACGTGTGACCTATCGAGTTCATGGCCATTATTCTATATAAGGAAGCAGACGGCTTCAGCACAAGCACACAGCCTGCAAGGACAGCAGTCTCTGCGCACAAGTGGTAAATAATGTTGGAGGACATTTGGTAGGCAAATTTCAAGCTGCAGAAGAGAAATAGACTCGGATGGAAGTCGTAGGAAGACAAGAGAAGACTAGAGTTAAATAGAAAAACTATTTGTAATTGGGAAACCAATCGCAGCAACTGTTTGGTGGTGTCACAAATCTGATAATTAGACTACTTTCCGCCTCTCAACATGCTGGGACTCAGAGTACTGCACCTGAGCATTACTTTTAGAGGTACATAAAGAGACCTCCCATGAGGGGCTGTTAAACCAGCTGTAAGTTATAATCTAAAAGTTTAATACCAAGTAGGGCTGGGCGATAACCCGAATATTTACAGATACCGAAATTTACGACAATAACCGATGTCATTTTCCCCATGTCAATATATTTGTTGTTGGTTTCGGATGTGTGTAGGTATGCTATTTAAAGATCGATCTTTTATTGGGGTCAGTTTTTAGTGTGAACTTTAATATTTTAAATATTTTGCCCAGTTTGAGTGTATATTCTTATTAAATCAACTGAAAGTATAATTTCTGCTATTAGATCTCTCAGACTAGAGCCGATGAACCGAATATTTACCAATACAGAAATTTACTTCAATAACCGATGCCATTTTGCCCATATTGGTATATTTGGAATGAATAAAAGTTGGTTTTGGATGTGTGTAGGTAGACTATAGTCTCATGTCCCTTTAAGAAGTTGTAGCGGCTGGAGTAGGCAAAGTTAATGTGGGAGGGGGTGAGCAGCTTGTGGAGTAGTTATCGTCCATTTATCGTTATCGAGGTGAACTGATCTAAATATTGTGATATTGATTTGAGGCTACATCGCCCAGCCCTAACACCAAGTCTGAAAACACATGTTCCAGTAACCTCTCTGAATCATCTAATTGTTTGTCCGGTGTTATTCTGCGCCCCGTTAGTTTCATCATGACAGAAACAGTAAATCTTTTTGCAGTTTTCAGTATATATATATTTCCATATCTGCCAAATCTCCTCATGCTGTGATCAGATCAGATATTGCATTGTTGCACTGAGCTAAAGGCAAAAGGATCTCTAATGAGATCGACTGCAAACAAGATCACTGCTAGATCCACTCTGCGGTGTTCAATTAACACACTCAGTCAGCGTCGGTAAACATTTCCTCTGTCTCGACGTGTTTCAAGACACAAGAAATAACAAGCGCAACTCGAGAACTTGAGGGCATCTGAGAACAAACAAGATCTTAAACCAATTACTAGATAATTTCAAAGTTAATTTACCTGTAAAGATTGAGAGTTCACCTCTGGCCGGGACTCTTGAGAGCCTGTAACACAAACAAGGAAGGAGGAGGAGATAAAGTACTAATCAGTAAAAAAATAACAGGAGGAAAAGAAAAGTGGACAATACAAAATTCTTTAAAAGCCTTTCACCCAAAAACAACCTCCTCACCTCTACCATAAAAGGGTCAGACTGTCTTATTATGCAAGGCACTGGGCTGCGGGGGAGGGGCAGAGAGGTTAAAATACCATGCATGGCTAAGGTGGCATTAATGACCACATTCGCACTGTAGTTTTTCGGACTCTCTTCCTGCCAGCTGCTCATGCAGGCAGAGGAATGAGGGATTACCGGGGCTCACTTCTGCCTCCGAGTTAGTCGTACACCTGGCCATACAAGGACCTTGAGGAAGAGAGGATTTCACATACTGTGTAGAAACCACAAACACACTCGCTCTCACACACACAAAAACCTTTATAAGACCGCGGACACAACAACCATAGAAGGCAGGGGTCTACTTCCAAGGGCCTAAGAGCGTGTGTGTGTGTGAGTGTGTGTGTGTGAGTATCTTACAGTGAGTGAGTGAGTGAGTGAGTGTGTGTGTGTGTGTGTGTGCACTGGACTGGGGCTTCAAGGGTGGCTAAGTGCCCTGTGCCTCCCTTGGATTACAAAGTGATAATCCACATCCATCCCTTTCCCTCTCACACACACACGAATCAACAATTAAAGATGATTACTAAGTTTAACTAATCATTCCTTTTCAAACAAGCTACAAGTCAGCACTAGAAATATGCTTTTTCTCTTCCTGTAGGTGGGGATTAAATCAGGGTTTCTACACAGTTGGAATGTACATACTTTTCCATACCTTACTTTTTAAAATCATTTTTTAGAAATACCTACTTTTCGATTTTAGAAAACATTGGAAACCTAAAAAGTACTTTTTAAGACCTGGGAATTGATCAAATTACTTCCATACTTGCGTAGGAACCCTGTTGTATCAAGAGCTGGAAATATGGAGATAAATAATAAGGATACTGTCTGGATGAAACTATGATTTCTCCTGCACAGAGGGACATATTCTGTATCAACTCGTATTCTGGCTGGCTCAGGGTTTATATCTTCTGTTAATCCTTCTGACGAGGATACAGAACTGGAAACAGATTGAGCAGTGATCAAATAGGGCTCCAGAAATATCATATTTAGCCCTATTTGGTTTGGCTCTGTGAGGTTCCTCTTGGCTCTGGAGTAACTCAGATTTAAAAGGCTCATCTTTGAGGGGTAACATCATAGATTTAATCTGGTAAAAATAAATAAAAGTTGACTCGTATTATTATATTCCTGCACCAACCTTGACCACTTCCTGCTGCACCATAGCCAGGCTGTGGAGTAGATGTCTCCCTCACTTCTCCTCCTCCTGCTCCTGCTGTGTCCACCACCGTCCACTTCTCCTCCCCCTCCTCCTCTTCCCCTCTGTCTGTTAGCTTATCTGCCGTCTCCTCCGGCTTGTTGTTGTTGGGTAGCCCTCCCTGTCCTTTGCAGTTTCTCTCCGCCAACTCGTTCTTTAGGAAGTCTTGAAGGGCAAACTCCTCGTCCCAGTCCAAGTCATCTCCTGCCTAAAAAGAAATAAAGCAAAACAAGGACAACTTCTCACTTAAAAGGGTGCAAAGGTGAGATGCAGAAATACCTTAGCAGCAAAGTACTTTTGCAGGCAGAAAAAACGACTCAATATCTCAGCAAAGAAAGAAAATACACAAGATCTCATTTTATTGACAAATGAGTCAAGAGAGAAATACAATCACTGCTTCAGAGCATAACCAATTAAATGATTTTCAAAAGACACAGCGATACTTCTCAGATTTGTAACTGTATGCAAATGAATCGACTCAGAGACAGTGAAACAATAGTGCTGTAAGGGAAATGTTCAAGCGTGCGTCAGTGCATTTTTTTGTTCCAGGAGCAGTGCGTAGGTGTGTGGTCGCATCTGATTGTATGTGTGTGTGTTAGTGTGTGTGCGTTTGTGCCTGTGTGTGGGTGCACATGTCCACTTCAGCCGCCAACTCGCACTTAGCGCTCTTCTCCCAGATACTCCATCTGTCTGAATACAGTATGAATACAGGCGCTACTTTCCGAGCTAATCCTTCTGCTGTATCGATGGTTAACACACAGAAACATTGTCTTAAATAGCTCAAACGTTTTGTTACCTCTTCCTCTGGTACAGGTGTCTGGCATGAGGCCTCTCTGCTGTCCTGAGGTGTCTTTAGCTGCTCCAGCTCCTCACACAGCTGCCGCTTCTGGTTCTCCTGCTCCTGCACCCTGAATGCAAGAATGCAAAGATCCCGCTCAGGAAAAACAGCTGAGGGATGAAGCGTTCTTACGGGGAAATCTAGTGGAACCGTACTAATAAGCAGAGCAGTGTTTTTGCCGTCCAGAAATCTTAAATAAGAACATATGCACAAAGAGAGTACAGTGGACATACTGTACCCAATCCGCAGGCCCATGCAGTGTCCCATTCTGTTGCCCAGGGTGACCAGCGCCAGTTCCCCGACTGGCCCGGTAACAGTGCCTTCACCTCACTGTTTTGTCTCCCAGTCCTCGCCCAACCTTCTGGTTTCAGACTCCACACAGATCATTGAATGTTTGACCTACAACCCTGTTCCTGTCCTAAATCCATTCCTACTCCGAGAAGTCCACTCCAGATCAAAACCCGAACAAACTTTCTGAGTTTCTGAGTTCGCCCTGAAAACTGAGCACCAGTAAATCCCAGCTGGACAGCCTGACCAGTTTCCCCTTCTCTGGTCTGGTGCGGTATCCCATTAGCTCTGTTATATATCTGGAGGGGATGTCCGTCTCCATGAACACACAGGCAAACAGACACACACACACAGCACAAGGCAAATTCATCCACAAAGAGTCAGAGTGAGGTCCAGTTTTTTGGCTCGGATCCAAACCTCATAAGGCGGGCCTTCTAGGGTCATTAGGGTCAGCTGATTGACAGGACTTTCCCCCTCTCACACGACTGACTGCCCAACTGAGACCAAGAACTAGAGCACAGAGCTGCACACTTATGTAGAGCTCTAACTCAAACTGGTGGAACTTTTTAATACATTTTATATTGCGAATTTCTCCAGAAAAAAAATCTATGAACACATCCTCATTACATTGTGAAGTAAAAAGCTTTTTTATCCATTTTGAACTAGGTCTGTAGGTGCCTCAACAGGCTAAGAGACACAGTCAAAAGTTTCTATGACCCTGTGGAGTCAGCCAGGCTAACCAGCTCATTATACCTCGACTGCTCCTCTAATTTGGCAAGCATACTGCTGGATTTAATGGGCTTGTAGTTCTCTAACTATTCCTCTTTCAGTGGGATCAGCATTACCTTACTTAGCCAGAAATGAACTGCTGAGCTCTGCCTACCAGGTTTAATTCAGCCAATGAGATCACGGCTGCACGAGAGCAACTCAACCTCCGAGAAGTATAAACCTACCGTACTCTCAAATCAGCCAGGACGAGATCCTCTGCAGAGATATCCTCGCACATCCTCCTCCTTTATTTTTCTTTTTCTCTGCTCTCATGCAAAATTCTCAGACATCATGCGATCTGCAGACGACTAACACACACGCACAGCAGCAAACAGAGCTTTACTCACCTGACTGAAAGGTGCAGGATCTCAGTGCGCGATCTCCTCATGTTACTGGCCATTTTAATCAGCTCCTTCTCCAGCGAGTCTGTGTACTGGGCTAGCTGGTCCAAGCTGAGGGCCCAGTCGTCCCTTCTCGCATCCAGCTCGGCCTGCGCTGTCTGTAGGGAGGACAAGGCCGAGGGGGTTGATGTCTTGCTCAGGTGAAAGGCCGCAGGTTGCTGCAACAAGCTGTTTTAATCCCTGTGATAAGTTCTGACACCAAATCTTTCCTGCATGCGGAGCGAACACTGAGGAACACTGGTACAGCTCTGCTCCACTAATGATTTCTGTCTCATTTGGTATGTTTACCGCTGTTTGCCAGTACGTGGTTAATGAATGCAGAGTGGCAACAATGCAAGAGGAGGGGGAGAGAAAGAGAGAGAGAGAGAGAGGGAGAGAAAGAGAGATACAGAAAGTTGGATTGAGGGAGGAGGAGGGGAGTGGGTTGCGTTCATGGTACGACACACTGACTAAACAGCACAGCTTGGATGGGGCCTGCTGGAGAGTTATATAAGTGTGAGATCTCTAGAGATGTGGTGAGATAGTGGGTGGGAGGGAGAGAAAGAGCAGAAAGGCAGCGATAGAAAAAGAGAGTGCAACAGGTGGAGGGAGAGCGAGATGGAGATCACATTGCATAATTTCATGAGTCATATCGAAGAAAGTGTTAAGATGCTCTTTTTCAGCCTGGAATCAACTTCGACTTAAGCATGTAAACACAAATGGAGGCATACGGATGATATTAATGTGGCACTCTCTGAACTTGGAATTTTCATTTTGATAGGAAGTGGTCGAGTTAGACTCCCAGTGCACACTAACAGGACTATGTTTATATGGCACTTTCTGTCGTCTCAAAGTGCCAGTATACAGATTTGAAGCCGAAAAGTTGTTCGCATTCAGCGGGAGAGTCCCTGGGAGTCGCTATGATGACACTCGGCTCAAACAGCGTATCCCCTGGGTTAGCTATGCAATCTTCGTATGCCCATAGGCTGTATCAAGTAAAACATGAACCCCCTTATAACTTTAAAAAAAAACGGAGCTGTACAGAAAAAAATGACTTGAGCACAACTGCGTCCACATCGCAAGCAGGGGGGAGAATAATTTATATTGTGTAGAATTTATTTCTAAAGTTTGTCCACAGCTTCATAGGGATTCCTGGAGTAGGCGGGATTTATGAGCTATACTGCACCCCGTCACCAGAGGGTGCTGTTCTCGCGGTGGCTTCACCCCGGCGAGGAGGCAGACGGCATCCATTCTATATACAGTCTATGGGTTTAACCCCTGACCTTCCAACTGGGAGACAACCGACTCTACCACTGTGCCTAAGCCGCCTCAGTCTTTAAAAGAGTGTGAGTGTTGTCTGACCTGTAGACTGGCGGGGACGTTATCCCCTGGCTGTATGTGGTCATTTAGCAGGTCTTTCACTCGAGACAAGACGGATTCACTGTCTTCTCTAAAATCTCGTTTCTGAAAAACAGACAGAGAGTCAAAAACTGGAGACACCAACATTACCACAGATGTAAAAGTCAAAGTTAGATTTACAACTATTTCATTTAAAAAAAAGAGAAACAAAATAAGACAGCTGGGTTTCAGTCAACTAGACAATTTACATTCACAGCTATAACAGTTATTTATAAGCTGTCTTTTTCCGTCACACACACTCGATCACTCTTGGTTACCAGTTTGTCTAGGAGGCTCTTCATGTTTTGAGCCATGTGTTCAGGGCTGGGTCCTTGCAGCATCAACAGCACTTCTCTGTCCAGGGTCTCATCCAGAGGAGAGGCGAAGCTCATCGTGGTGGACAAAAGGTCGACTCCATGAGGGGCCTGCTGCAGAGAGCAATATTTACTCAGAACGGAACAAAACAACACATCTACGTGGTGCTTAGTGTGGATTTCGAGGGTGCATTAAGGCAAGAAAGAGCAGCTATTATTTCTCAGAATTCAACACTAAATGAGAACAGGAGCAGGAGGGGAAGAGAGACAGAGAGGTGAGTGAGTAAAAAAGGCAAATGGAGTAAGAGAGTGCTGACCTCCAGTGGTGACTGTGCTAGGGCCAGTTCTGTTTGTAAGGATCCTGAGCTGCTCTGGTTCAACCTGTAGGCCACCGACAGGGACAGGCCGGCTCTGTCACAAAGAGACATTATCGTAAAAGACGAATACTTTACATAATTTAAAAAGGAGCATGCAAAACTTAAGTTACTGTGAGATTTTGCAGGTTCTCCGACAGTGTAAAAATCCAAAACTCATGACTAACCAGTGCCTGAAATACCTCAGCTCCTGGGTTATTAGTTAGTTAGTTGGTTAACTTACCCTGCCAGTTCCGGATGCAACATCTGGATCTGATTCTCCAGTTTGCTTTTATCCGCCCTCAGCAGCTGGAAGCAAAAGTAAGAAGAAAATCAACATGACTTTGACAGTCCATTTCTGCGCCTGCTCTTCCTCAGCTGGAACAAACCGCAAGACCAGAGCGCCCAAGGACAGCAGGTGATTAAATTCCCACATTCAGTCGCTAACAAAATGCCAGTGACTCACATGCTGATAAGAGTTTTTTGACTCGATCTACATAAGCGAGAATCAAGCGTGTTCAAAAATTCTGACATTTAAAAGTGCGAGGTATTTATTTATATTGCACCTTAACAAACAAGAAATTCATGATTGCTGGGAGAAAAAAAGGAGAAAACCAGTATATAAGGAAGTTTTTTTGAGGCGAGTTCAACACACTCACCTCCGTGATGGATGAATATTCCTCCACTGCTGCCTTCAGCTCGTTTATCTGTCTGCTCTTCTATAAAAGGAGGTAAAAGAGACCGGGATGACTTTGAGAAATATTAAGAAAATAATAATAAAAACCCGAGCTCAATGGGAATAGATAAATTTGTATTGTAACAACACACTGACCTCCTGTATCACAGCGTCCTTCTCGCTGTTGACAGCATCAAAAGAGTGAATTTGCACCTGAGGACAGTGAAGGCGTATTCACTTAATAATACACAGCGTTTCTTTTGAGCTTCAGACGGATTTACAACATGAGGGTCGTTCTCAGGATAAGGAAGGATGACATCCTCCCACGACAGGATGAGAGGAGAGTACAAAAACCATGAGATGTAACGTTGAAGTCTGACAGAAAAAGGCTGTAAAAGGTACCTGAAGGTCAGCGTTAATGTCGCACAGCTCTGATATCCTCCTCTGAAGCTCGTCCATCTCCATGGTGACCTTGAAGTTCTGTGAAGCCATCAAAGCAGTTTAAGAACAAACTTATGATCGTGTCTCTCAGTCAGCTATCGAGGAAAGGTTGAGCACAACTGGTTCTCTCTCTTAAGTCAGGTCATTGACTTTACCGTCAACTTCTCAAAATAACTTCCTCTTGATGAAATACCTCTTCCTGGAGAGAAGCGATTTTGCCGATCAGACTCTGGTTTTCCCTCTCCTGTAAAACAGTCAATCATGGACAAAGGTTACATGAATGCATGCTCCAAAAATCCCTGAATCTGTTCATGAAACTTTGGTAAATGTAGAAAGACTAAGGGCTTTGTAGAATAAGGTACAGGACTGAAACGGTCTGAAATATTGTAGTTTAGGAGAATACCCAGACAGTCAAGAAGGAGCATGTTTATCTTTGATTATTTTGTCGGTTTCACTGACCACATGTTTGCTGTGGGCGGAGGCACGAGCTCTGCCTTCCTCTGTGCAGCTCAGCGTAGCTTTCATCTCCTCCACCTCCTCCTTCAGCATCTTCTCCTTCTGGGCCAGTTGCTGGGTGCTGAGCGATGAAAGACGAGAGATGAATCGTCACAAACAGATTTGTGCTCCAGTGAATCTACGCTGTGCATGAGCATGTGTATCCAAAAGGTGTTTTACACTCTGGCCTGATTGCGGAGTTCCTCATTTTCCTCTGCCAGCTTCTGGTTGCTATCCTCCATGCCCTCCACCGTCTGCTTCAGCTTCTTCACCTCTTCTTGGAGCTTTTGGTTGTTCATCTGAAGGTCAGCGAGGCAGTACACCAGCTCCGATGTCTCACTGACAAGTGAAGCACAAAAAAAATAAACAAAGATAAAGTTCAGGCTGAGCTTCCTTTCCTGCACATCGAAGACACACCCTGGAGGAGTTAAGTTCTGCCTCTGTTTAGTCTCACCCTGAGTTTCTTATGTTAACCACACAGCTGTGAAACAGAGGCTACTTTATTGATCCATCAATCAGCAACAATCATCAAACAGCAGCAGGATAAATACTCGCCTCCAACCTGATTTAAGTCCAATCAAACATGCTAAGATGCAGTTTTACAAAAAGCTGTTTTTGCTTTTTTCCCTTCTAATTTAAGCCATCGTAAATTAATCATCTAGATTCCTAGTTACCAATATCCATCTCATCATCAAAATCTTCTTTTCCATTAAAACCATCGGCATAAATATCATTAGCTTTTATTCATGGACCATGAAAACTCAGATCAAATCCAGAGCATAGACTGTATATAGAATGGACGCCGTCTGAACAGCACCCTCTGGTGACAGGCTGCAGTTTAGGTCATAAATCCCGCCTACTTCAGCAATCCCTATGGGGCTGTGAACAAACTTTAGAAATTAATCACACAGAATATACATTTTTTTCCCCCCTGGTTGCGATGTTGACATGTAGTTATTGTCAGACTGGTTTGTGCTCAAGTCCTCTTTTTTCTGTACAGCTCTGTTTTTAAGAGTTATTAGGGGGTTCATCATGTTTTCTATGATTGACACTTGTTATAGCCTACAGGTGTACGAAGATTGCATAGCTCACCCGGGGGATACGCCGTTTGCGCTGAGTGTCACCACAGCGACTCTCCCGTCGAATGCGTACAATACTACTGCGCAACAGGTGGTTTCAGGAAGTGGAAAAAATCCCAGAAATACCAATTCGGCTTCAAATTCGTATAATGACGGGAGGCGGAGCCAAGTTGTCCATAGTATATACAGTCTACGATCCAGAGTCATTTCTTTTTAGTACCAATATTCACCTTTTACAAATGAGACCCATTATGTGCAAGCTGATTCAGAATACTCTCAAATCGGGACTCTGCTGACCACAAGTAATCCAGTCTACTGTATTTTTCGCACTATAAGGCGCACCATCAATGAACGCGTCTATTTTCATACATAAAGCGCACCGGATTATAAAGCTCATGATGCCAAACAAATCAGTCAGATAAGTCAAACTTTATTTAACTCATTCAATAACTCCGCGAGGCTACAGAAGCTGCAGTGCTCCAACAAGCAAAAAGGATTTTAAGTGCGCCTTATAGTGCAAAAAATACGGTACTTAGTTCACCACTAGGGTCTACAGAGGACCACAGTGAAGTGTTTTCAAAAGATCTGGGTCTTTAGTTTTTTCTTAAACTCAGAAAAGGACTCTGGGTAATGAATCCACCATTCAGAGACAGTAAAGGAGTAAGGTCCGGTTAGTAACTTAGAGCTTTTTCAACCGCCATGGAAATCTAGTAATTCAGGAACCACAACAGCAGCTGTGGGCGGTCATCTACAGACAAAATAAGACACAGTATTCTGGATTTACACACAATCTCACCAAGACACACACACACACACACGAATATCACTTACAACTCTGCTCTGGACACCTCTCCACCAAAGCCCTCCAAGCTTCCAGAGGTCACATTAAGCAGCGTTGACCTTCGAGCTGAAACACCAAAAAAACATCAAAATGAGCAAAAAAAAAAAAAAGAAAAACAGACACACGAGTTGTTACAGTAGAAGCCCACTCACCAGATAAGCTGTCTCTGACTTTGACTGAATCCTGAGTGGTGTCCTCTGTCGGCTCTTCTCTGAAATAAAACAGAAAACTTTTAAATCAACATAGAAAGACCAATCCTTTCATGATCATCTTTTAAGGTTCTGGCAAACGAGCGTGCAGCACAATGTTGCTTTTAGACTCTTGGAAACATGTTTGTAATACTTTAGTGAACTGTTTGATTCTCGGTGCCTGGCACACTCAGCACTTTAAACAGTCGGCTTTCAGCTCGGTCCAAAAATCATCCTCAGTGATATTAAGAAAATAACGGTTAACTCGTTTGGCAGTTACACTAGTGTTGTCCGCCAATTATCTAAAAAGGTGTGTTGAACTGTAGGTGAAGTAGTAACCCTCAGAAACAGAATCATCAAGGACTTCTTTGGACCCTTGTTTATATATTTAAGTGTGAGTTTTGGAACCAAATCATCCAAAAATCTGAACAATTCTCTCTTACCAGTTTGTCAAAACTCAAATACAAATGCACATTTGACCTAGACCTCATACAAACACTGGATGATGACGCACAACTGAGACATCTGAGATGCACATAGCTGAAACTACGGGGGAGAATAGTTTCAGCACAGCTCCATCATCTGATACACGGCCCTCCTACACAACATTTACTTGCATAACCCAGACACAAGAGATGAGCGGCTATTCTCTGTAAAGGCACAAGGAAGGCTGATGAGGACACTGCAATCTTTCCTGGTTGTTAACTTCAATGATGAATATGCAGGAAAAACTGGTTAATCGTGTTTTTTCATTGTTCAGATCTTGTTCAGACACAAAAAAGTTAAAAAAAAAAGACAAAGAAATATTTTTAAAAATCTGGTCAAAAAGCATTTAGAGCAACACAAGTTATTTACTGTTCCTGTAATCCTACAAGAAACTCTTAAAGCTTTAAATTTAACTGTGAATTAAGCAGTTTTCTCGAAATCTGGTATCTAATCAGCTCTTTTTAGTACCCGTTGTTGCGGCAGTCATCGATCCATTCCCTCATGACGGCGTGGTAAGTGTCCAGATCTATGGAGACGTCTTTTTGCTCCGGATCGAGCATGTTGCAAAGTTCCTCCAGCCCGCTGTCTTCTGAGCTGCGGCTGGTGGTGTGCCGCAGATAATCCACGATGTGAGACACGTACACTTTACCTGGAAGGTCAAGAAAAAATACTCGCTCATCTGATCATATTACACCATCAGGACCGAGGCAGCTTTAACTATTTGTTTTTGTTTGGTTACAGTTTCAAACAGCAAAATCTGTTACACTTAAGGCTTTTGAAATCACAGTTTCCAGCGTTAGTCAGTACACCCTCTGTTAAAAGTAATGTATTACTCAAAATCTAGATAAGCAAAAGAACAATTTTTGACAGTTACATTTTATTTACCATAAGATGAAAATAAGGGCGATATAATAACTAAAATTTAGCTCTGCTTTCAGAACTTTAATTGGGGTGTACTCATTTTTGCATCCTGATTTTAAATTGAAAAAAATACTTTTTTGTTTGCAACTTAAAAAATCTTGTTGATTTTGAAAGGAAAACTCAAGGATTTCTGACAACTCTGAAGGGGTGTACTCATTTATGCTGAGCACTGTAGCTGACAAAAGCTGTCTTTAGGGCTGAATACTTTTCTATTTAACATAAATTCTGCTTCTTTTAAAAGGTACTTTTACAACAGCCTGCAATAGACGCCTATACAGGATACTCTTCTGTGATATTTCCACAAAAACTGAGTGAAAATTCTTCACTGCATGGGCTGCAATCTCTCTAAAAGATGAGGCAATGAAAAGAAACCAAAATCCCTCTCTAACGGTGTCTGTTTCATCGAACTTTTCAGGACAAGTGGGAGTGCAGCAGCACCAGGAGTAGGGAGCAGGTCCTGTCATGATCAGCAGGCGACACAGCATGCTTCACTCGAGACAATGCTGATATTATGTGACTGCTAAGAGGGATATAATTACTCTGACTCATAAATATCACACTTAAATACTTGATGATTTGTTATAATTCAACGTCCGACAATCACACTTTGCTTGTCTTTGGCTCCAGTGGGGGAACCCCTCAGGGAGATGGACCCTCTCGTACCTTATTTTAAACCCACAGTTTTAAATCTTGGTGTAAAAGTTGACAATGATTTTAAATTGGATCAACAAATCAACTCTGTTGTTAAATTCAGTTTTTATCATCTGAAGTTAAATCGGTTTTATCTTTTAATGATTTTTAGAAAGTCATTCATGCTTTTATTTCGACTACTGTAATGCTCTTTACGTCAGTGTCAATCAGCATCCCTCACACGCTTACAGTTGGTCCAAAATGCTGCTGAATCGCTCCGATTCTGGCATCCTTTCATTGGCTTCCTGTTCATTTTAGAATTCATTTTAAAATGATATTGTCTTTAAATCTTTAAATGGATCAGCACCACAGTACATCTCTGATCTCTTAAATGTTTAAAGGTCTGCTGATCAGCTCCAACTCGTTGTCCCCAAAATTCTACTTTTAAATCACGTCTTCAAACTCATTTTTATTCCTTGGCTTTTAGTTCAGCATGAGAGTTGTGTGATCTCTGTCCTTTTATGCTTTTGTGTTTTAATTTCATTTATTTTATTTCATTTTAAATGTTTTTTTCTTTTACCTGTTTTTATCAATTTCCTCTTGATGTTTGTTCTTTTAATTTTACCGTGCAGCACTTTGGTAAACTTGAATGTTTTTGAAAATGTGCTATATAAATAAAGCAGATTGTATTGGATTGTATTGTATTGGATGAACCCACTGCGGTTCACAGTGTGAATACAACAGCATGCGAGCGTTCGTGCGGGTCTACCTCGGCGTTGGGTGTCACAAGCGTGGAAGATGGTATCCAGCAGATTCTCCTCGCAGATAAGGCTGATTTCTGCCATGTTTTCTCTTCTGTTTTCGGAGGTCAGTGAGGATCCTGGGCACGGATATAAAAGAAACAACAAACATGATGTGCTGAGTTGAATAGCAAACCAGGAACATGACAAAATTCCCCCCTACAAAAGCACAACAATGGACAGATATTTGAAAAATAGTTGACACAAGGTTAGTTCGTTTAATAACTTATCAGAAGGACTGCATTTGGCCTCCACTCTTCCGCTTTCCCCCTTCAAAATAATGACTTTTTAAAAGTCCGGGTCACGCTTTTACTTTGGAGGAATTCACTGAGAAATGTTTGAGTGTAATAGGTTTTAAAGTAGATTTTCAGACTTCATTAAAATGACAGAATTCGTCAAAAATGGTTTAGCTCTGAATTTAAAAAGTAAGGCTCTCTGGTTTCTAAAGTCCTTGGGGGTTTTGTTTGGTTTGCGTGGTCAGTTATCCAGTCTCTCTTAGTAAAATATTCTTTTCAGCACAGTTTTTCTCCTTGAGGGGAAAAACAGACTTGAATATGAGAGAAGCTGAATCCTTGGTACTATTCAATAAAACCCTACATCCACAGAGAAGAAAACTAATAATTTTCAGCCTGTGCACAAAAAAATAAATTAAATTCTGGACCAAATAGGACAATAGTAAAAATTCTGCTCATAAGAAACATCCGGCAAATAGAGCGGCACAGAGAGTATTAAAGAAAATTGTTTTTTTTTTTGGAAGTACTGCTGTCTTCTCTGAACTTTTGTTTCCTGATTGCAGCAGGTGTCCATCCCTCTGCTCCCTACCTCCATGATCTCCCAGGGACAATCTTTTCACAACCAGGGCCGGGTAGGGCAGCTCGCACTCTGTGGAGTTCCCCGCGTCTCCTGAGCAAAAGTTCAGGTTGTAGGCAACGGTGCTATGGTTTGGGGTGAAGGTACGAGACAGAGGGGGGCTTCTGCTCGGCGGTTCGCTCTCCGGCTGCGCAGACTGAGGCCCCTGTGTGAATGTGAAGTAAGGGGAGTCTTTGGACTGGCCTGCAGGTGTGGAGCAGTAATACCTCTGCCATGTCTTCGCTTTGTTGAGGTCACTCCCGTCAGCGCCTCTCCTCTCTCCCAGAGTGCTTGTGATAGTGTACGTGACATTGGCTGGAGTGGGGGGATTGCACGTTGGGGTGGAATGGGTTGACAGAGGGACCGAAGGACCTCTGCTGCTCCTTCGGGAAGCTGCAGAGCCTTGCATACCCATCCCTTTCCCCTTCTGCTTCACTTTCTCCTTCCCCCTCTCCACCTCGTCTCGGTGCAGCGTCCCTTTCTTCAGGATGGCCTCCAGGTTGTGCCTGAAGCCGTACTGCGGGCTGTCGTAATTGTTGGAGGAGAGTTTGGGAATCTGGAACGGCGAATTTGGCTCTCGGTCACCACGCCACTGTATGGTCTGCAGTTTACGGCAGATGCTGTCCACAGGGTTGTGGCGGCGATTCGATTGGGACGCGTAGTAGTCCATGCTGCTGACGGCGGGGCTGCGGTGCTGGTTTCCTGGCTAAAGGCGAGGCTGAAGTCTGTAACAAGAGAAACCAAACTTATTTTACAGTTTTTCAAAGTAACTAAAGACACAAAAATACAAAACAAAGAGAAATATATGGAAGTAAATCTGTGCCATCTGATTTTGATTTTTTTTAAAGCTGAAAATTTTTTGCATCAAAATCAGACTTTGAATTTCAAGCACATATTTTTATTTCTGACACTAATTTTTTTCACAATGACGGAAAAAAATTGGTGTAAAAAAATCTGTCTCTCAAAATATTTGTTTAGTGAAGATTCAACTTAAAAAAATGGTTTTCAAAAAAATTAAACATAAAAAAAAAAATATTAAGTGTCAAATAATTCTGTGTCAAAAACTTCAGTGTAAAAGAGACCGACTCAACACCCGGGTAACCAGGGAGAAGCTATCGATTGGATTTAATCTTCCACTGGGGTCTGTGTATGGAAGTAAATCTGTGACACATGACCAATCTAGCATTAATTGATTGGCTGGACAATGGATGATTGCGTCAGGAATCAATTACTTCTACCTGGTTACCTGGATGTCTCTTTTACACTGATTTTTTTCACACTAAATTTTTTTTATGTTGATTTTTTTTTTTTTACAGTTTTTTAAGTCGAATTTTTACTAGATGAATATTTATGAGAGACCTTTTTTAAACACTGAATTTATTTCATCATTGTAAAAAATATTAGTGTCACAAACAAAAACGCTGTGATTTCAGAGCGGCGTCAGCAGTGATGCGGATGCTTGACCGATCAGTCGTGGTGAAGAAAGAGCTGAGCGAGACTCTCAATTTACCAGTCGATCTATACGCTGACCCTGACCTATGGCCATGAACTTTGGGTAATGACCAAAAGAACAAGATCGCGGATACAAGCGGCCTAAATGGGTTTCCTTCGCAGGGCTCAGCCTTAAAGATAGGGTAAGGAGCGCTCAGAGTAGAACCGCTGCTCCTCCACATCGAGAGGAGTCAGCTGAGGTGGCTCGGGCATCTGGTTAGGATGCCTTCTGGACGCCTCCCGTTAGAGGTGTCCCAGACATGTCTCAACGGGAGGAGACCTTGTGGCCAGCCAAGGACCAGGTGGAGGGATTTTATCTCTTGCCTGGCCTGGGAGCGTCTGGGAATCCCCCCCCGAAGGAGCTGGTGGAAGTGGCTGGGGTGAGGGCTGTCTGGGCTTCCCTACTGAAACTGCTGCTGCCCCCGTGACCCGGACCCAGATGAAGCGGAAGAAAACGATGATGAAAATAAAAATGCGTCCTTGAAACTCAATGATTTTGAAATTCAAAGTCTGAATTTGATGCAAAAAAAAATTCAGCTTTAAAAATTCAAATTCAAAATCAGATGGCACAGATTTACTTCCATAGAAACCATTGAAAATCAGCAGGTACATCAGCACTGTGGATTTGTCATGATTCAAGTGAATAAAATGGAATATATAGACTAACACAGAGAAGGGGTACAACAAGACAATAAAGTACAAAATATCTACATGTAACTAGTTTTAATTACTATCATAAATAAAGAAGATTATACAAGCAGGAGGCATACAAGGAAAAAGGCAATTGGAGATGAAGGTGTAAAAAAGTGGGTTACTGATTATTTCCTTTTAGAGCATCAGGTTTCTAAAACTTTGCTTTTACCCCTAAAGCTTTGTGTTTGAGTAGGGGTACAGAAACTCTGCTTTATAGCACTGCATTTTCAGGCACCAGGTGTGCAAACAGGCTGATTAATTTTTAAGTCTTCTCGCGAGTTTTAAACGAAAAATGGTGATTCGGACACCTTTATCATTTCAAAATGGTGATTTTTTAGATTTTATTTTGAAAAATATTTTAAAGACAATTATGTAACCGAGACAGGAGGGAAATCACACGACAGGACAGCCACACGATACAAACGTTTAACAATTTTTCGTCTTTTTTTTAGGCTACGAATATCCCTCACCGACAAATTCAAGAAAAATAATCATGTGCATTTAATCCAAGCAAGGTTCGCCAGCCAAATAAGTAGATTTAATTACCTCTTCACGCCAATTTGAGCAAATATCCGCGACGAATTGTTTGGCAAACTGTCCAGTCGCATACAGAGAGAGCACGCGCCCAGGTAGTTTCAACGAGCTCGGCGCTCGAGGTAGAAAGAGTTAAAACTTCAGTGGGTGTCCACGACTCCAAAAATAAGACAGCGACTCCTCCGTGTGGCAAGAAGGGCTCATAGCATTTAATATAGCGTTTAAGAGAGCAAACCTTAAAATATGCTGAGCCAATTTTGTGACACCAGGTCAGAGTTTTGTGTTTCTACGTGCGTAAAGGCAAATTTGTGCGCACAACTTTTGCGCATTTTTACCCAAATAGACAGGAATTGTGTAGCTTGTGCCACACATCACAGCGGATAAGCACTCGTGTTGAAATATTAATTAGGTTTACTTAGATGTTTGGTGTCATGACAACCCAAGAATGGGACGTATTTCAACCCTAAGCGGTTTAGCAGGAGTTGAAAGGTGCTCAGCCGGTGATAACCTTCCATCACAACGACGAGATAGGTCAGACCTCCCTTCTGCTCTGTCAAGGTAACTTATCCTACAATATCTACTAACCCAATATGTGAAAACTGAGAATAGCAGCTGATAGTATAGGATGTATTTGGAGCTGAAATGATAATTAAATTTCACTTTTCAAACAGCCAAATGACTGACAGGCCTGCAGAATCAACTTGCAAGACTTGCATAGACTTGTGTTGTTCGTGAAGGCCAGTGGGCTGCAGTAAATCTATCACGTGACATGTGTCAGTTTGCACATGCATTCACAATGAGAGAGACCTGTTTGGTAAAATGTGCAATATGATGATAAACATGGGTGTGACTAAACCATAAAGTTAGTTATTGTCAATTAATCAAAAACTTTTAAATGAAGTTTTAGATACATGTATTGTAGACTTATTTTTGATGTACAATAAATACATCCTTGCAGTTTTATAAATGAATTTGTTTACTTAACTGTAACTAGAAAATGTAAAATTAGGACAAAAAACACAGGATCAATCTGGTAAATATCCTATTCAGCAGGTTACTTTCTTGTTAGTTCATAGCAGTTGTAGTTTGCATCATTTAAAATAAGTATATTTAATTGTTTTGTTTTTTTTTCTAATTGTTTTCAGAGGATCTGCTTCATTTTCGTCAAACAATGGCTGACAACATCATTCCAAGTTTTAAGGTATTTAAACTTGTTACGGTTAATCAAACGGACCTATAAAATCAAAGATACCCGTCTATATGATCATGACTCAGGAGAACTTACCCTCAGTAGCTGCTCCAGCTGCAGCATTTTGATGATTCCTTGGCTTCCTGACACTTAAAAATCCCCCATTTTTCTGCATGTAGAAGACATTCCACTTTTTCTCTTTGTCCTCATGTTGCCAAATGTGGCACCGAAAAGCCTTGGGAGCCAAAATCATTCAACTATTTTCAAACCGTGACAACAAAACATGTGAAAAACTTATCTCGTAGACATTCCAGCGCTTTAGAAAATCCACTTGAGGACAAGTTGTGTACGAGTTTTTAAGGCACTTCATTTAGCACCTGATTTTCCAAACAGCTAAAAAAAAAAAAGTATGTTTTTTGTTGTTGAAATGGCACAACCAGAGTCCATTCCTGCGCTTGTACTCAGCACAATCCACTTTCCCAGCTCACGCTAAGTAGCTGAAGCTTTGCTTGTTTTCTGACCCTGAACGCTTGACCAGTAGACAGCAGGCTCAGGTAGATTAGAGCGGACATGTGTAGACGCACACACCCACACACAGACGTACACACACACACAGGTATGGATTGGTGTTGGCTTAGGTTTGAAGATGGGCCTTTAATTTTCCTGTAATTGTTACCTAACGTCACACTTGATCTCAGTCAAAACAGTAAAGGTGACACGGTAAAAAGGATTGATGGATATTGTGAGGACAGAGGCTGTCTGTCTGCGTTATTTAATTATCTTATAAAGAGTAAAAATGATTGTTTGTTTGTTGTTTAAAGATGGTGCACAAATGGAGAAGGAAACTAACAAAAATCTTAAAATTTATACTGGCGTGAAAAACAATCAAAGAATGACAAACAAAGCAGAATATGTATTACACTTTGCACTTTCACATGGTTATGTACTGCCTCTCACTGCTCTCCAAGCACTGTAATCTGGGATTATGGCACAAGCGGCCTTCTGCACCGTGAAGGAGGGATGAAGAGCCAGTCTAATCCCACACAATTGGAGCAGATAACTAACTAAATGTCAGACGGGGGGAGAGGTGTCTGTTTGAAAGAAGGATCGCATTAATGTCTCGCAAAACTTCGAGAAAAAATAACAGTCAGAAAGAAACATTTCTAATCCTGCTGTTAGTTTAGGACCAGAATTAAAGAGGCTCAGAGTCCAGATGCTTCGTTTATTTAAAGACGTATGTAAAAAAACAACCTCTGATTGTAGTTATAGTTGCTTTTGTGTGCGTCTCAATCTCACTGATATTGTAGCGGAATTTATCTGGTAGCTACGGTGGACCTGAGGTGCAAAACACAACTGCAAATCAGAAAACACAACACAAGAAGAGAAAACACAACGGCAAATAAGATAACAACACAAAAAGAGAAAACACAACAGCAAATCAGAAAACACAATGACATTAACCGTTGTGTTTTCTTTTTTTGTGTTGGGTTTTTTCTGATTTGCCATTGTGTTTTGCACCTCAGGGCCACCGTAGAGATCTTCTGTTGCATGTCAGCAGAGATCTGTTTCTCATATTCATTTTATCAGCCGGTGTCAAAAAAAACTCCTGCTGGGCCAAATACATGATTTTTGTGTCAGTGTGTATTTATGGGGAAAAAAGAACATGTCAAGAATCACTCTGTTGTTGTAACTAGGCGGCTGATCTGGTCATCCAGTTGACCTCCACCCCGAAGATAAAGCCTGAAGTCTCCACCTTTGGGACCATCTTCACTGACCACATGCTGACCATAGAGTGGAGCGCGGCTGAGGGATGGCGGGCTCCACTTATCAAGCCCTTTGGGAACATATCGCTCCACCCGGCGTGCTCATCTCTGCACTACGGCGTACAGGTAGGGCTGTCTTGATACGATATGATATCAGATATTGGTCCGATATCAGCAAAAAAACAAATATTTGATTATATCGGCCTGCATCTAAAATCTCCAATACAAGCAGTACTAACCCTAAAGTACAGATAAAGTAGTAAGGAGTCGGAGTGATGTGGCAATATTTTTCGTTAAAGTCCAAAAAAGACATTACAGCAGAGTGCAAAACTTGTCATGCATAAGTTTGTGCCAATATTGGATCAGTATTGGTATCAGCCGATACTGAAGGCTACAATATCAGTATCGTTTTGGAAGTAAAAAAATGTATCGGGACATCCCTACATAAAGGGGATACCTTTCTTTTGTTTAAGATAATCCAAAGAGGTGGAAACTTACCAATTTCTCTTGCATGATTGCATCGTCCATTAACTCTCATTTAGTTTGACTCACCTAACCTGATTCTAATTTCTTCTTCCAGCTGTTTGAAGGTTTGAAGGCGTACCGGGGAGATGACAACCGCCTGCGTCTCTTCAGGCCGATGCTCAACATGAAACGCATGTCCAAGTCTGCGAAGAGAGCTTGTCTCCCTGTAAGATCGATGTGAGGAATGAATGGCGGGGTGTCTGGATAGATGGAGGAAATTAGAGCTTACAGCGTCGGACAAACGCCCTCCGATTGCAACAATTTCAAAACAATTTTCCACAAAGTGCAACAGTCTTTTGCCTTATTATTGTATTTTTCTCTCTCCATCAGTCGACTCTGACTTCTCTTTGTTATCCTACTGCTCTCTCTCCAGGCTTTTGATCAGTCAGAGCTGCTGGAGTGTATCAGGCGACTGGTGGAAATTGATCAGGACTGGGTTCCTCACTCAGACTCAGCAGGTCTGTACATCAGACCAACATTTATTAGCACTGAGGTGAGGAAGACTGGAAAGTGTTGTGACCATTTTGAAGTTTTTAAATGAGATGATATTGACTCGTGCGCCTGTTGTAGCCCTCTCTGGGTGTGAAGAAGCCAGGCCATGCTTTGCTGTATGTGATCTTGTGTCAAGCGGGGGCGTACTTCAACAATGAGGCAGAAGCTCTGTCTTTGTGGGCTGATCCAAAATACACACGGGCCTGGATAGGAGGTACCGGGGACTGTAAAATTGGAGGGTGAGTTTACGGATACTGATTTTTATTCAGTTAAATCAATGAATACATTTCACCTCATTGGTTGTTTTGTGTTTTCTGCAGGAATTACGGCTGTTCCTTGTTAGCCCAGTACGAAGCAGTGGATTATGGGTGTCAGCAGGTGCTTTGGCTGTATGGGGATGACCACCAGATCACAGAGGCAGGGACCATGAACATCTTCCTCCACTGGGTCAATGAGGATGGAGGTGAGACTCAAATGTTTCACAAACCTGACCTCTCCTGGCAAAACAGTGTCACTGCAACAAACTCTTAATACTTTCTCTTTTTTTCTCTTTTTGTACTTTTTAAGAGGAAGAACTCGCAACTCCACCCCTGGACGGTATCATACTACCAGGTGTAACTCGACAGAGCATCCTGGAGTTAACCAGGACATGGGTGAGTAAAAAAAAAACTCACCTGTAACACCAACATGTGTCATTGATTTTTACTTGACTTTAATGTGTCCAGGGTGAATTCAAGGTGACCGAGCGGTACCTGACCATGAGTCAACTGTGCTCCGCTCTGAGGCAGCAGAGGGTCAGGGAGATGTTTGGCTCAGGTACAGCCTGCATGATCTGCCCGATAGGACACATCGTCTACCAGGGGAAGGTAAGAGAGAGAGCAACACACATTATTTTCCACACAATTTCTTGCATTTTAAGCAAAAGAGTATATTCATATGAAAGCGGTTGGTGTAATGCATCATTAATGATGATTTTAATGTATTATAAATGTTGTAAACCTATAGTAAATTATGCAATTATTTCTCTGTGCTAGAGGAAAAATTAATAATGTAGACTCAATAAATCTCTTTGCATTCCTTGTGGTCTCTATCGCCGACTGTGACAAATAACTGTAATAGGCTACACAGATTTATTCAGTTAGTTAGAGCCATTATCTACACTAAAAAGAGTACTTTCTATGTAAAAGTACATTAATTTGTTTATTCAAATAGGGCAGCGGATCTAAACCGCTTCTTTGTCAACAAAAAGAGGCGATAAAAACATTTGAGGACCTCAAACAGTCATAGAGTTACATCTGTGCCACAGCTACCTCTGTCGGAACAATTGTGGATCATTTATATCAGGAGCTGTTAAAGCCAAAACCATAGACTATATATAGAATGGATGCCGTCTGCCTCCTTGCTGGGTGGAGTCACTGCGAGAACAGCACCCTCTGGTGACAGGCTGCAGTATAGGTCACAAATCCCACCTCCTCCAGCAATCCCTATGGAGCTGTGGACAAACTTTAGAAATTTATTTCACAGAATATAACATTTTTCTCCCCCCTGGTTGCGATGTTGACATGTAGTTATTGTAAGACTAGTTTGTGCTCAAGTCCTCTTTTTTCTGTACAACTCCATTTTTAAAAGTTATTAGGGGGTTCATGTTTTCTGTGATTGACACTTGATACAGCCTATGGGCGTATGGGCGTGGTGGAGTGCGTACAACGCTACTGCGCAATGATAGTTTCAGGAAGTGGAGATAAAACGCGGACATACTGAGAGCTTTTCAGCTTCAAAGCCGTATGCTGGTGGAAGGCGGAACCAAGTTGTCCATAGTAAATACAGTCTATGCCAAAGACCCTTCAACAGTTCCTAGTCAACATTAGCGTAGCCTCTACACTGTAGAGGCTGTAGAGTTTACAGCCTCTATGCAAACATATCAGTCACTGTTTTGAGCCTAAAATAGGACAGATAGACTGAGATTTTATCTTTCAGCTGTTACATATTTACGTTAATAAAGTGGTAACGCTTTCTTTTACGGTACACTTATTACCAGGTAATTAACAGGTAATTACCTAGTAACAACATGAAATTATCTGGTAATTACATGATAACTACTAAGTCAATACTGTCTATCTACCAGGTAGGTAACCTTTCATCATCATACAAATTTGAAGCCGTATTGCTCTGGTATTTCCAGGATTTTCTCCGCTTCCTGGAACCACCACTTGCGCAGTAGCATTGTACGCATTCGGCGGGTGAGTCGCTGCGATAATGCTCGGCTCAAACAGCGTAACTACGCAAGCTTCACATGCCCATAGGCTGTATCAAGTGTCAATCATAGAAAATAAGAACCCTAAATAGCTTTTGAAAATGGAGCTGCACAGAAAAAAGAAAAAAAGAAAAACTAGACAGTATTGACATAGTAGTTATCATGTAATTACCAGATAATTTCATGTTGTTCCTAAGTAGTTACTAAGTAATTACCTGTTAATTAGCTGGTAATAAGTTTAACGTAAAAGAAAGGGTTACCAATAAAGTTTCAGACTCACATCTTGTCTTTATCTGCTAAACTTTCTTATAATTCTAATTTAAAGTAGTAAAGCCGAGAATGGTGTTCAAACTTTCAGTAGCATGCTTTTTTGATCAATGAGCCTCGTGGTCTCTTGTGAAAACATGGACAGTTTTCATCTTAAGAAGACTTTTAAAGCCCCGAGGCTACTTGTCTTAATAGTATTATATGTTTACTTAATATTCTCAACGTGTTTGTAATTTCATTTGGACAAGTGCGTTCGCAGAGCTTGATTAAATTATTAAAATTGTGTTGGTGGTGTGTTTCTCTAGAGCTTGCATATCCCCTGTCAGGATAAAAACACACAGCTGACTTGCCGGATAGCGAAAGAACTCAGCGATATACAGGTTGGTGGATGCACACATGCAAACACACACACACACACACACACACACACACACACACACACACACACACACACACACACACACACACACACACACACACACACACACCCTAACGTCCCACAGATGTTCAGTAACAGCTGGCTGAACGTCTGTGCTCCTTACACCCCTGTCACCTTCAGGACTTTCTTTCCATGTTGTAACAGGTTACTGGTGTGAAAAACTCCTACAAAATAAAAGATTTAGGATGCTATTTGCAGTGCTTATATAGTCCACTCTGAAAAATACTATCTAAATTGAAGATGCGGCAGATAAAAGTCGATTTCTTTCCCAACTTTACTCATCCTGCGTCTTCATAATTGCAATACAGGCCTGTTATCGCACCGATTATTATGTAACCAAGTGAGTTAAAAGCATTATGTTGTAATCTTATGAGCATTGTACACCTACTGCATATGCCTGTAAGTAGACAATAAGTGAACCTCATTAGGTAATGAGTAATGACTTTGTAATATTGTGCATGGCCTACAAACAAACAAACAAACCACTTCTTCGACTGCGGTGAAGCTCTGCAGGTTTAAACAGATTTATAATGTTTTCGTCCTGAAGGCTTGAGTTGGGTTAATGTGCTTGTTATGTATCACTGGCTTTTTGTTTATTATGCCGTATAATGAGCCTATTATTAACGTGAGTATGACTTTGAATTTAGGGTTTATTTTCTCACTATCGGGCTTTGTCTGGCAAAATTGCTCGCAATGTTTAGGGTCTTTAAGTTTCAGCTGGAATTTGGTTTTACTCGTTTTTGTCATGATATGTTCTGGTTTCCCCCTGGTTTGGGTCATTTGAGTGTATTTTCTTTGTGATTTTCCCTCGTGTTCCTGTTGCCCTGTAGTCCTGTCTTCTGATTTTTCAGTTTGTGTCTGACCCCGTTTCCCTCATGTTCTCAGTGTTTTTTATTATCAGTTTTCAGTGTTTCCTGTTTTATTTTGTAGTAGTTTATTCCCTGTGTTTCTAGTCTTGTTTTACTTCCTCTGTTTTCCCTCCTCTGTAATTGTCTGCACCTGTGTCTCAGTGTCACACCTGCCCCTTGTTGCTCGTTTCCCTGTGTATGTATAGTCCTTGTCTTCCCCTGTTTCTTGTTTGGTTCATTGTGTGTGTTTGTCAAGGTGTGTGTGAATGCCAGTGTCTCCTTGTGATTTTGTTCTACCAGTGCCTTTTGTTACTTTTGGATTTTGCCTCTTGTGTTTTTTGCCTTTGGGAATTTTTCTGTTGGACATTTAAAGTAAGTTTTTGTTGCTTTTTATTTCATTAATTTGGAATAAATTATTTGGACCCTTTCCTTTTTGTTTAACTCCAGAACCTGACCATTTGTATACCAAAAAATGGTGCAACTTCTTTAAGACGCATGATAAATGTCACTTAATAATCTAGATAATATAGTTTTTTGATCTGCATATTACAGTTTTTTCAGTCACTAACAAGCGTTTGTCCAACCAGTTGTCACATTTTCAAAACTCGAAACACAATTAGCACAGCATACCGTTCACACATCTCATGTCGTTCTCACACAATAGGCAGTCAATGAACACATGTCCACAATTCTTACATTTTCTTAACAGGCAAGCTATACCTCCGAACAAAATTATGGATTGTTTTTGTATCATTTACGAATGTTAACACACAACATCCCACAATAGCAAAAACAATATTCCAAACCTTAGATTCAGTAAAAAAAACCTCTGCTTCTGCAATGACACCCTTTCAAAAACAATATATCTCAGCTGATAATAAACAGTTGAATAATTGACACACAACTGATTTATGTTAGGTAAATTGGGCCAAAGGTGAATCCGACATACCAAGCGGTTTTAACCCAGGTGCATCACCTTGGATAATATCAGATGCGATGTTGATGAAAACATGTGGCCTAAAGGTCCTTACACACCGGGAACGACACAAATATACGACGCAAAATTATGAAATATTCGGAGGCGAATTATCCATTTGGCCAGTTGTGTTTTTTGGTGTGAGTCTGTGTTAAGGGTTTAGAACAAGTATGAATGGGTAAGCGCTTGTTTGCGACTGAAAAAACTGTAAACTCTGTTTCAAAGACAATTTCCCGCAACAATTACTACATTACAGTCCCATTAGACTTAGATTTTCACAATAAAAGCTTTTAAACTGCATTCTATAGTTCCACAGTCCTTATTCAGTTTATGATTTAAACATCTGAACTGCGTCAACCCTGTGATTTGAATCTGCAAGGCCATTTGGTTTTCACACACACACACACACGGCAGAAGACTAAGGGCAAAGTTTGTCCTAATGACCGGTATGAGTGGATCAGTCAGAACACACTCTTGATATTTTGATTGGAGGATCTGTCTTATCTTCGCGGTGTCCTTTCTTTTCTCCATGTCTCCCTTCACTTCCCATGCTGCATCTGTGTTTTTGTTGTTTTGTCTTTCTGCCCGGTCTGGGTCAGAGGATTAGCATATCTGCCCTCTTAATCACCAAGGCCTTGTGCGCTGGATTGATACACCAAATCTTTACAACAGATAACATCTTCCTAAGTCTACAAAGCCTTAGAGAGATACAGTTTCCGACCTAATGCTGGAGTGTGGTGAGTTGGAGATAGGGGCAAGACAAACTCCTGAATTCTCTCATTAAGCTCGCTGTAATTGCACAAACCCAATTATTGCCTCAGCCTTTTGTGATCTTCAAAGCCAAGATGCTGCAAATGAAGCCTCGAACAAGTGGGTGAGGAGGAGGAGGAGGAAGATTCGAGGGGGGAAGCGGCGGCAGAGAAGCTTAATGAACAATAAAATCGACAAAACGCTGGAAAACGCTGCGCTTCTTCCGCAGCGCTGTTAAATCTGTTGACATTTCATTTGGTGGGAAGCAGTGCAGTGTTATCCCCCCACACACACTTCTCCTCCCCGCCCCTCTTGAAGACAACATTGTGCAACAAACAAACGAGTGGTCTGAGGCAGCAGATGAAAGATGGGTTTACTAAGTCGCCCTGCTGTTCCTCTTTCAAGTTAATTAGAAATCACATTCTTTTGTTTCCCCTTCGCAGGCGTTTATTTACTTTCTCACTTCGACCATTAGAACAAATTTGCAACATGAGACACAAATAATTGGATTTGTCTCCGCGGCTGTCACGGATTGGGGAACATTTTGTTTTGATTTTTATTATAGTTCCTTTTCTCTGTTGTGTTGTGTTCTGTCGGTGGCTGAGTTTGCAGATTTGCTTACGGATATTTGATTTCATTTCTTGATTTGTGTTTTGCTCGCAATTAAGCAGCACTAAGCAAGTTTAGGGCTTAGAAATACGAGTTTTTCTCTACTTTCTGAGGCCCCCCCAGAAGAGCAGAGACTCTCTAACCTTTCCATGACTTTTGTTTTCTTACAGTTCGGGCGCACACCCAGCGATTGGACCTTCCTTGTTTAGGAGTGATGAAGAGGCCGGGAATACTTGAGCCAAACAACAACGAGTGACAAGGACGAACTCAAACTATTATGCAACAAACAAAGACATGATGTACATTCATAAGAAAACAGTGTGTGTGCAATATTTGTATTCTAATTGCAATATACTGGAAAACTGTGCAGGCAATGGTGTCATAACTCTTTAGTTCCCATTAAACTTAGACTCATAACAAACACACAACTGTCCAAAATAATTAACATAAGTAGGCGAATGTCTCATGCAATACTTCACAATAGCTTACAGTAACTCAGCCACCACTGCTGCCTCAATATCCACAATACAGCTGTGGCTTTGATAAAACTTTCAAAGAATTGTATAACATGAGTGTGAAAGTTACAAACCGGCTACAGGCAGGATTAAACCGGAGTTTTGTAGAGGTATCGATTTAATCATGCTGGGAAAACTTCCTATAAAGGTAGGGTTGGTAATCATGGCAAACTAGCTTGAATTTGAATGTAGTATCTCCTCAGGACTTCGTCTAGCCCTTCACCCCTCCCCTTGGAGCTCCTCCAAAACAACGCCCCTGCTCACATGCACAAGCGTTACTGTCTGCTGGTTCAAAACCACAGACTCAAAACTTTGGCACTTTACATTGGCAAGTCTTTGCACAGTAGGGACAAAGAAGGCAACGTAGCATCGGGATGACCACATAACTAGCAACATGGCTAAATACTTGATCAAGATTAAAAAACGCCATGAGACAAACCTTCAACATACCTTTCCAATAGAAAATGAGTGGCCAAGGCATTACCTTTAAAGCCCTTGACCTCTTTCAGTGTTCTCCATCGCTGAAAAGCTGCCTCGATGTTGACTTTCATTTTCGCCCTTGCTTTCTTCGAACTCTGTCTTGCATCGGCCTTCTCTACCTCCGTCTTTCTTTTCTTGCAGGAGGAGTAGTCACCATTAATCTGGGTATAGGTAGTTTCTCTGCCATTCTCCAATGTAGCTGTATCCCTCTCAGCTCGGCTATGCTCGGCATTGAATCAGGGCCAGTGCACGCTGGTGACATGTACGCACAGGAGGTGAGCACAGGATTTGATTGGTTTAAAAATGTGGGACCCACACAATGTTATTGGTCAGTGTTTTCCCAGTTTTACTCCTGCTGTCGATACCGGCTATTTTTCGCTCTTTTTTTTAAGAACACATCACGTATTGATTGCCATCGGATCATAAAAATCATTTTAACCAGAATAACCAAAAGTGTATCTAAATTAGATCACCAACCCCACCTTTAACAGGCAGAAACCTCGAGCAGAACCAGACAGTCATCTTCTGAAACTGCATTGAGAATGACTCAGTGGTTCCTGAAAAATCACAAGTAAAAGTTCCTGGGCCTTTAAAAAGTTTTATTTTTTAAAGGCCCAGGAACTTTTGAGTGTACAGCAGGATGCGCAGAGATAGTCCAAAATCCTTACATTTGTAATTCTCCGTGATGCTCAAGTGTTTTCCTGACATCCTTCACACACTCACATACACACACACACGCATATCTGAACACACACTTACACACCAATAGAGACCTGGAACAGAACCAAAGCCATCAGCATAATGGAGTCATAACAGAAAGCCATCAAAGCAGAGAGCCCTTGGCTGTTTGGCTTTGTAGACACATGTGATTGCGTGCGCACACACACACATACACACACACACACACACACTTACAAACACACACACATTTACAAACAGAGGAAATTCTTCAGGAAGCATTATTGTTTAAAGACTCAAAGGTAAGCTGTGTCCACCACTAAATTCATGCCTCATTAACCGGAGTCTTGTCCTTATGTTATCTTCATCTATGCTTGCACTACATGCACATTTGCGCCTGCATGTGTGCGTGTGCGTGCATGCGTGTGTGTATGTGTGTGTGTAAAAGGGGGTGCCCAGTGGCATGCTGGATGATTTCTGGCTCTTTGCAAAGACAGCTCATTTTGGCAGCAGCCCGCTCCTTGTATGTAGGGGCACAGCTGGTCCAGAGCCCAGTTAGAGTACACACACTCACACACACATAGACGCAGAAATGCAAACATACACACACACACACACCCCTTCAAAATGCCAAATACCATCTAGCTTGCTTAATCTAGGCCACTTGCGAAGTGACCACAGCATGTCTTACACTCTAATCTCAACCCTTTCCTATCTATTGTTTATTTCCCCTTGTAATTAAATGCCCTAACAGTTGGTCAATTATCATTAGCTGTAAATGAATCACTACAGCTCTCCACTTCATTATTCGTCCACAGGGATCATTAAAATTATACCCAATCTAATCCAAACGACATCTCGACAGGTGAGGACATGTTGCGTGATTGTTTAAGGGCATGTTTGATGTTAGTTTTTCCTGAAACTGTTCCAGGAACGCAGATCAGCACATTTTTTAACTTGTGATCCCATTGATATTTACTTGAAGTTGGCAAGTGTTGATTGGACGTTTGCTTGTTGACACAAAGAGCTGATGAGCCTCTGAGGCAAAAATTTGTTACTCGGTGTAAAAAGAAAGTTTGGATGTGAAGTGATGGCAACACTGGCACTGTGCTGACAGTCGGAGGTTTAAAGGGATAGTTCGTGTTTTTTTAATGTGGGGGTCACATGATGTTCTCGACAATAGTAAGTGTATCATCCATGAGCAACGTGGACCTCTGCTTGAGAACAGGTGTGGAAGCTCGACTTTAAACTGAGGTTAGGCTGTCGTATACCTTCAACCCAAACTCTGTGTCTGTGCCAGTGTGTACTCTCTATTTTGTAAGTTTTAGCCATCAGGAAGCTCCTTTGTTTTTGCACTATTCAGCCACATATATGTGCAAAATGTAAAGGACAATTCCACTTGATTTTCACTCAGTGTACTCTTATAGTGTGAGTTTTACTGTTTTTATTTCAGTATGACAAAGTTATTTAGCAAGAAATGCTAATATATCATCCAGCTAATAGAGTTAGTTAATACAGCTTGACTTTCCCCTTCAACAGTTAGTACACGCACAGTCAGTATACGTTTACATGCACTTACAAAAATTGATTTATTGCAACAGTCCGACTGATACTGGGCTTTTAAAATGAATGTCAACACACATGTCTGACTGAAATCAAACCTCTCGTTTGTTGGAATTACATACCTGGAAAATGCGGTTGCAAATCGATTTGCTCTCGCATGTATACGAACTAAAACTGGCCTAAGCATCGTGTAAAGTTTTTGGGTGCTGAGTCGGTGGTTGAACAGCATGATTGCATTGCTAGGGTGCAGTTAGTATCATGGGGCCACTTGTAATTCCCATCCCTATTGTTCAGGCAGTTTTATTTAGCGTGACAATCTACAAAATAAAGAAGCATTTTTTATAACACTTGGTCTGTAGATAAGCCAGACTCTCTGAAGTCAGATCATGTTTACTGTATGATTGGTGTCAATATCCAGAATTTTGTGTCTTACATAGAAGTCCAACCATGCGCTGTGTGTTTGAGTTTAGTTGATGTTTATTGCAGCAGAACATATCATCTCTTTAGCTCGTAAACAAAACCAGGACAGATGAAGAAAAGATATAAAACTTTCCAAACAAACGGCACAAGCTGTAAAAGTGACATCCGGTTAGCCTCTTGCTAATACGTTATGCTAGCTGTTTTGATTCATAACAAGTCAACAGGACTGCAACCTCATGTGAACTGCTGGTTTCCTATGACCTAGGAAAGTCCTAAAACTCTGCACATACTTTTTATTTTTATTTTTTTTTACTGTGTGTTCACAGTAAATAAGATATAAGTCAAGTTGAGTGTAGAGAGTTAGGCCTCATAATAGCCAACCACTTATTTGTTTTTGCACTTTTCTTCTGCCACTGATTCTGCTGTATAAACAGTTATGAATTAAAGTATATCACCACTAAAATCTGTCTTTGTTTCCTGCCTTAACTTGGTTCATTTTATAAAAAAAATTATCATTATTATTATTATTAGAGTAAAGGATTAGCTTACAGAGTACCTTGCTCTCCATTTCTCCCGGCTCTTTGTATTTTCCCTTCAGCCCCTACATTTCTTTCATTTAATCTCTCTCTCTCTCTCTCTCTCTCTCTCTCTCTCTCTCTCTTTCTCTCTCTTTCTCTCTCCTCCCCTCCCCTACAGACACCAGGGACCCCGGCAGGCCGCTCCCATTCAGCCTGGAGACGCCGATGATGTTTTAATTGTCACTTCTTGTTAAGGCGGCCATGACATTAACGTGGGGACAGAGGGGAAGCGTTTGGCGTAATCAGAGGAAATGGAGAGAGAGAGAGAGAGAGAGAGAGAGAGAGATGGCACCCATTCAGCTCCTAAGAGTGGTATTTGGCTCTAAGCAGTGTGCCTCTTTCTCCCTCTACCCTCTCTCTCACCCCGCTGGGGCTTGATCTGATTTGACAAGCGCAACGCTGTCATCTTGAGTTTGTCCAATTTGAAATTCTAATTAATGAACTCGGCGCCACTTTGTGTTTTGTCGTTGTTGTTGTCTTCCTCCCCTTCTTCTTCTCCTTCCTTCCAAGGCCAGTTTGTCTTTTATTTGTCTTTTCTTTACCCTTCCCTCCTTCCGTCCCTCCTCTGGTTTTTTCTTTGGAGGCGCTGTGACTGCAGAGGCCGCTGGCTGCACTGGGTGGGATTGTGGTCTCACACCATAGCAGATGATATCAGTGGCTTTGGGTCACCCAATTAGAGTCAAGCTGTGTGTTTTTTTCTTTTTGTGTGTGTGTCCTTGTGCATTGCATTTGCTCGTGTGTGTGTGTGCATTTGTAAGTTGTTGTCTCTGTTGCGTTTTCTCAGAATCCTAATGAGGAAGCAGGGAGATCGGTGATGGCTGCTGACCGCTGACGCTGAAGGGCAGAGAAGTGGTCAGTTTATCTTTCCAAAACTTCACACATGCATGTCCACTCAGACGAGAGCTCCATCCTGATGATTTTCAACACTTATCATCTTGCATTGGTAAACAACAAATCAGCGTATGTCCATCACGGCTATAATCTCATGGTGAACGATCATGGGTGTTAATGGATGCATGATTTAACTCTTCATTACAGCACTCTGAGAATATTCTGCGATATCTAGCAGTCACATTCTTCATTGGCTGGTGGCCTTCAAGGACAAGAAGCTGCTTTGGTGCATAAAATGTGTAATCGTCCATTTCTCTGGTTTTTACCACCAAAAACATCCATTAATCAAACTTCTTTTGCACAAACAAACAGAAACCACTGTCTTGCCGCTCCATTTTGCACATCTACTCTCTTAATAGAAAAGCAAGTGTGCTGCTAGTTTGTGGATTCTGTGCTAGAGTAGAAACATGGCAGTGTTGGTTCATATTTCCTTATTGCTAATGTAATGTAATGCAGAAATGGCCCACATGAGCAGGAGGTGAGGCTAATGTTTAAAGAGTGAAGAGTTTTGATTCATCTACATTTTCCAAAACCTTTATTTCCCTAAAAGAAACTCCTACCAAAGTGCACAGAAAGAATCATGTCTCCAGATAAGAATAATTGGGCCAAATCGGACAAAAACAGATATATTTTTAATGTACTCAGCTTGTGAATCGAAGTCTGTTCTTCTCTTCGTGCTACAAATATAATCTGAAACATAATCTCTTTCTGAGTGTTAAATAAGATAGTGAATCAAAGGATTTGAGAGTCATTTTCCTCATTAGCTTTAATGCAACTGTGCTTTTCCCTTTGCAACCATCTGAGTCCACGCATGCATCTCTAAAAGTCACCCCAACTTCTTTTTTTTTTGGATCCAGAAGTTTCCTACACTTTTATTCAATCAGTTATCCAACCTCACCACCTTTCAGTCCCCACCAAACATCGGACGTCGAAGAGACGAGCATATCAAGTCAGTTTTGGGTCGGTCCGTCAAAGACCACATCTAGGCGTCAATGCGACGTGCAAAATAGGTTAGAAATTTCGACGTCACTTGGACGTTTAGAATTTGGACATCATCTGAAGACCAAATCTAGATGTCGGCACAACATGCAAAATGGATCCAAGATTAAGACGTCATTATTGGACCTCTTTTAGACGACAAAATGACGTCCACATTTTTACCTCATTGTCGAAAAAATACGTTAGATAGATGTCATTTCAATGTTGCATTGCGCAGTGGGAAGTTCCTCATTGTACAACAGAGCGTGTATTTTCTGGAAATAATATTTGCTAGTACTCTGCAATCCAAGCAGCAGCTCTATCAAAGGTCAAAGGTCAAAGATTATTTTATTTGTACCCTCAGATAAATTTTGTTTCCTCCATAAGGCGAATAAGAGGACAAGTTAGTGTCATTTCTTGGACACAGAGTTGTCAGATGAGAAACTGGAGCTTTCAGCAGATCATCCAAGTGTCTTGGACTCTGTTTTAGGGACACATATATGGATGTCATGTCTTTCCTCACCAGAGGGTGGTGCTAGCAGCCTATAAACTGTGGAGTTCAGTTCAGCTGTGGCGCACAGATGAAGAGCTGGAAATAGGGAAAATGAAGAGAGAGTATGTGGAGTGAGTGAGTGAGTGAGTGAGTGAGTGAGAGAGTGAGTGAGTGAGTTTTGGAGGCCTGCCAATCATGATGAAAAACCACTGCAGAACTAATCTATTTCCATGCCCATCCTAATCCAGCACCACAACTATGGCATCATTTAATCACAAAATCATCATCACCATCACCACCATCGCCATCATCCTCCTCTCTCTCTCTCTCTCTCTCTCTCCCTCTCTCTCACTCCCCTCCCCCTGTGCTGCATTAATAAAAAATGTATTTTTTGTAAATAAGAGCTTGTGATTAAGAGCAGATTAGCGCGTGCCTTCAGACGGACAGACAGACCGTGATGGGTTTTGTTAACACGGGAGTAACACTGGGTGTCAGTTGTGTGTGTCTGACATTACATCAACGTTATCCTCCTGCCGCTGATGTTATTGCTCTTGGCTTAGAGTTTTAGGGGGACTTTTCAACAGCAGCATTGCTTAAGAGCTTAGAGTAAATGGATGGATAGATAGATGGATGGATGAAGATCAGGCACACACACACACACACACACACACACATGCACACAGAGAGCTCAGTGTCACTCACACAGCTTCAGCACCAAAGCCTGATTTGCTTTGTGGTAAAAGCTGTTTTATTTCTCATCAGTGTTGTAATGGAGATGCTCGGCTGTCACACGGCACTTGAAGTCTCATTTTGTTCTGAAGAAGAAGAGGGAAGTCAGCCATTTTACTGCTCTGGTGTTTATCTCAATTTGCAACCAGATTTTTTGCATGTAGGACAATTTCTGGAGTTTGAATATATGACTAAACCTGCAACCTTAAGTTTAACCTTGAGATTCACTCCTGCATATAAACACTACATGCCTTATCAGATTGTTTTTTTCACTGCAAAGGCAATATTTAAATCTTTATATTCATTTTTGTGTCTTTTCAGCCTTGTTCCCTACTCCAAATCGCCAAAGCCTCACTATCTGGACTTTACAAATGGGTTTTAAAAGAAGCACGGGCAGGTGTGAGATTTGTCTTTTTTGCTCAATTAATCTTTGTCAAATATTTCAAGAGAGTGGGCAAGGGTGTTAACTAATTTTCAGGATTTTATTGGAGTTAATTTTGCATCCTGATTAAAAATAAATAAATAAAATGAAAAAAATCATTTTCTTTGTCACAAATGTCTCCAAATGAAAAAGAAAGTTGAATATTCAGTCAACAGAGTGTATTTTTTTGTAAAATTTGACATTTTTAAACTTCTCTATATGTAAAAAAATGTAATATAAAGCTTAAATTTGAGCCAATTGAATGAAAACTTCACTTTCTGCTTTATCAAAACCCCCTACCAAACCAACCTAAACGGTTTTCATACAATCCCTCTATTTCTGAACTAGATCAGCACCCTCTTCCTATTTAGTGCCACAAACCAAACAAGCAGATTTTTTGTGAAATTAGACAAGATGACTCACATTATAAAACGCAGAGCTGCCAATCTTCCTGCCAATGGTGTAGTTAATTCCTAATGATTGTAGCAATGTCTCAGATTTGATATGGTGATGATTTATTTTTAAATTGCCAATACAGAAAAACAGTCGATTATAAAATCTGTATTTTGCCGTTTGCTTTCGGTGCGTGTGGATGCAGCATGTACTTTATTCACAGGTGGGCGCATTTTGTCTTGGAATGCAGGACACCTACTTATTATTCAGTGAGGTGCTGGATGCTTGTGTGTGTGTGTGTGTGTGAGCGTGTGTGTGAGTGTTTCAGAAGGAGACGTTGGTCCTGACGGTGAGTAATGTTCTCCAGGCCTGGCGGCTGGCACTGCTCTGTCTCCCCGCAGGTGGGAGTGAGTCACACACACACGCACGCATGCACACACACACACTTACGCACACATATGCAGTGCCACCCATTTCATGCTGACCACCTCAGTGTGCCAGCCCAGTGACCATAGCAGCCAACTGGCCAATGAACAACTGTCTATCTGTCTGTCTGTCTGTCTGTGGAGTAACAGCACATACCAGCACAGAAGCAGCTAGAGTGACTCTCTCTCTCTCTCTCTCTCTCTCTCTCTCTCTCTCTCTCTCTCTCTCTCTCTCTCTCCCCTTCTACACACACACACGCAGTCATTCTCTCTTATTACTCACACAAGTCTGACACATCCCTGTCAAATGCCAGCTCACATTAAGGTGGAGAGAAGGTACTTTTCTTTTCCTTCTGTGTGTTCAGTCCCTCTGTCTGTCTCAATGATTCCCTCAAAATTCAAATTCAAGCCTCTTCACTTTTATAATTACTGAGAATACTATCATTAAATTAAGACATTTATGGTGATAGAATATTTAACGTATGTCTAAATATTGGACACAGGAAACTGCTCCTTTCTTATAAGACGTCCTTCTCTTGCTCTACTTGTTTTCTTAGATATATGCATTCCACCAAACTTACTTTTGCCCGTCACTTTATGATTCCTGTATACAATATTTTCCATGCAATATCATAAATCATATGTTCAAAAAAGAAAGGGGAAAATATGAGTTGTTTGCACCTCAGTTTGTGTGAGAGAGAGCGACGGACAAGGACAGACAAAGAGAGAGAGAGAGAGAGAGAGAAATGTCTTTTTCCATCATCTGTTAATCAGATATCATAATTTGCTCCGGCAGAATATTGAAATTTGTCCGCAGGTATTTGTATCACCCCATCACG